ACACAAAATAATAATATCTTAAGATTGATTGTGATTGATTGGAAGGTGAGGTGAAGACCGGGGTCGGTCGGGGCTTTGGGCGACGTCCGTTCCAAATTGAATTGGAGTGATTTAAGTGTGTTGGGTGAGTGTGAGTGTGTGTTTGTTTTGGTTGTGTGATTGTTGATTGAGTATTTATGTGTGTGTATGTTTGTATGTGTGTATGTTTTGATTGATTGGAATGAGTGTAGAGCGCTATGTATCGTTCGTCTTATTAGGACAACCGAAGTGATTTGATTGGATGTCAAAGGTGAGCATGAATGGGCATGTGTGAAGCAAAGCCCAAAGTGAAAATATCTCACTCACTCATCACTCACACACATTCTGTTTTGAGTCAAAAGTTTGATGATGGTGGTGGGACCACAATGGGACCTTCACACACACTCACTACCACACCATCAAACAAGTTGTGTGTTGTCGGCAGTGTGTTTGTTGTTGGCAGGATGGACTTGTGTTTCGTCACGCTGTTGGGTGAGCATCAAGTTGAGGTAACCAAGGCCATTGTTGACACTTAGAGTGGCCAAAGAAGATTGATGAGGTAGAGTGTCGTGTCGGATGCCGATGAATTGAATATATGTGCTGCCAAGTTGATTCATTGATTGATTGATTGCGTTTTGGTTGATTGATTGGTTGGTTACTTACACAAGCTGGAAGTTGTGGTCAATGATCTGTTTGTGTTTGTCTTGTTGTTTTGAGCGCTGCTGAGGATAACTAATTACAATGGTACCAATATGGTGGTGGAGGTGGAAGATTGATGAATGATGGTGCCAAGATGGCAATGTTGTTGAGCGTGGTCTTGGTAATGAACTGTCAGTCGAATTGATTGCCTTAACGTGTCCAAGTCGATCGACTAGAGTATCTATCTATCTATCTTTGTATGTTAAAGTATATTATGTATGTATGTATGTATGTGTGAAGTGTAATGTTTATGTGATTCGGGCTGGCTATCTCTCTCATTGAAAGAAATGGAAGGGTCACAGAGACAAACATACAAAGTGTGGTCAACATAGCACTCAAACCTAGGACTAGATATCGAGTGGGAGGTGGATGAGGAGGAGAGGGATGATGTGTGGGGTGGGAGATGAGCCTCGGCAGTGTGCGAAACGCTCAAACACCTCACTCACACTCTGATCACTCACTCAAAAAGCGTCGCTGTTATTCCTTCATTCTACAATCAATTCAATTGAATAAAATAAAAATATCATTTTATTTTAGATGATGGTGCTGGTATGGTTTGGAGACACTGCCCTGGAATAAACAATCAATGTGTGCTACACACAGGACTAAGACAGATGACAGATCACACACACAACACGACAAATTAGTGCGGGATCTGCCCTTCTCCAATCATGTTTCCATTGGAATTTTCTCTGCCTCCAATTGGTTAGTGTGGCATCAATGAGAGAGTGTGTCTAAAGTGCAAAGATCTAGGTCTGCCCGTTCGCTCTTCATCAGCCATCTTTGTGGGGGCACCTCGGTTGTACTTGGTCCGCAACGAGGTACTCACTGGTTCGTCATCATCACAAGCTTTGTAAAGAGGCCTGTTCATTCAATTATTCAACTCACTCAATCAATCATTCATTGTTTGTACGGCACCTAAAATATCAGGTCAATCAATGAGCATGAGTTGTGAGGGAGAGATGAGGTATTGGTGATAAGTCCAAACTCACCTATTTGGGTAAGTTGTCACTTACATCATGTTATCTGGTCAAAGTTGGACGAGCTTGCACAGCCAGTACCAGAATGCCCTTTCACACAACAGACGGCTCGCCTCAATCAATCAATCGTCCGATTGGTTGCCTTTTAATGAAGAGCATCATATGACATCATTTTAACGTCCGACTGAACCAATGTGTCATTATCATTGAAAAGTGATAGTTGTTTGTTCCAAAGTGTCGTTGTAAATTTGACACTCTTTGTTGTTGGGTCTTGGGTCGAGTCCACCACACCCTGCTCATATTTTATCATCACCATCATTGATGTAACACGACAACCTACATCAGTGACATTCATTATTATCAACACCAACAAACAACAGCGATGTTTATGTTAAATTTATTATACGCTATACTTGTAATAAGTTGGTCAGGTCAGTGTATGATCATACACATTTGAAAGAGATAAAGATAGAGAGGGAACAGATATTTAGTGCTGGTGGTGGGAAGGTCCTGCCCCCAAGTCAACCATCATCATCATTCATTATCATCACCAACTAGGAAACTAACAACCAATCAATTGATTCAATCATTGATCAAAGGATGAGACAACAGGGTTCTTTTTGATCAAGTATTTTTGTTTTTGGTGTTTTTGCACACGTGTTGTGATTCGTCGACGCACCAATCAGCATTGAGTCCGCCTTTGTCTTTGGTGATACCCAAAAGAGTAGCGAATCTTGAAAAAGGATTTGTGTCTGGTGTGACCTCTGATTACTGATACTCTTCTATCCAACCCTTTCCAAATGTGATGACGATGATGTTTGTTTGTTTGTTTAGTCTAAACCATGTACATACCTACCTCAGATGCCCTCAATTGCCTGATCAGTCAACGATGTCCATATTCATCTTATGTATAGATTACAATACATTTATTTCTTGTTAACATATTATTATTATTATAAGTTTATAAACTTACCATTAGATAATTAGATAGTGAGAAGAATGAAGAGTTTGTCGCCTGATGATGAACAAGATGAACCATTACACACTTCAACTTTAAAGATTGACAATGACCACCTCAACAAACTCAGATCTGAGTTGAGTGGTGGTGGTGCAGAAGATGATTGTGTCTCTTCGAACCACTTTCTTCCACACTACCCCAATCCCTTTAAATCAATGCGTCCTGACATCCAAACAAGACCTGACACTAACAACAACAACAACAACAACATCATCATTAATAATAACAACTATAACAATAATAGTAATAAAAACAATATAAAGAATATTGGATGGTCGTCACAAACTTCCCTCAACTTGCCAAGTATCAAAATGTCATCACAACAACGAGAGAATGAACCTGCAGGCATGATGGTGGACATGTCATCATCCACATCATCATCAACTTTTAACAACAATAACAACAACAATATAATTGGAAGAAAGAGACCTTTCCAATTACCATCGATTATGGATACGATGAATCAGTCAATATCAACATCATCATCATCATCAACTTCAGACACTACATCATCATCATCATCACGTCCAACATTATATCCAAAGCCAGATATCAACAACTTCAACAATATGATGATGAACATTCATTATGAACCTGTTACTATTGGTGACAATGGTCAAAGGACAAAGTCAAACAGTTTCAGTGCATTCGAGCACAACTCACCACCTACATCACCTCTGATCAATGTTGCTAGACAACTCCATATGCTCAAGACCAACCCATCAACACCTACACACTACACTCCGACCTCATCACCTATCGAATCTCCAAGAACACAACCAAACCAACAACATCATCATAGCAACATGTTACCATTGTTGCCAAAGATTAGCGACAACTCAAACAACGCGCAATCATCATCATCAGGGTCACCCAACCCTCCACACACTCCACCGCATTCAAGACATAACAACAACAACAACAACCGATACTCATCAACAAGTGTGACCAACTCACCATCATATCAATCACAACGAATACATCATCCAGTGGCTATTCACAATCAGTCACCGATAGAGTTTGCCACACACAGCGGACAATACAATGGAGGCTACCCTACTGGAGGTGGACCTGGCCATGGCCATGGAGGGCACTACCATGGTCAACAACACCCACAACATGGACATCATCATCACAATCATCAACTAAAGAGGAGGAGCAACAGTCTGGACATCTATGGACCAACTGACTTTGAGTTTGCCAGTCCAGGACACGCTCATTTTTCCAGCCAGCCACCAGTTCCAACACATCACAATCATTCTCGACATCCTCAACAACAACATCAACAACAGCAACAACATGCCACCCTACAATTCGAGGGCGCCAAGTCAAGATATGAGTCACACAAGTTCCAGAAGGAGGCAATCCTTATTGCAGCATATTACAATGATCTGACGGGTGTGAAGACATTGATAGAGGAGGGCGGCCATGACATGAACCATCAATGTAACGTCAAGAAGTGGACTCCACTCATGCTGGCCGCGCAATGTGGTGGTACTGAAGTCGTAGATTACCTTCTGGAACAAAGGAATATACAACTTGATCGACAAAACAATGATGGAATGACTGCACTCTTCATTGCATCAATGAGCTCCAATCCCGATCTTGTCATCAAGTTGTTGATCAAAGGTGCCAATCCAAACTTGGCCAACAAGTAAGTGTACCCAATGATTGATTGATCACAAATTTGATTATCCAATTCTTACCATTCATTCAATCAAATGGAAGTGAGGGAACAACACCATTGATGGTGGCCAGCTCGATTGGTAACAGGGACTTGGTGGATACATTGGTTGGATTCCGCGCCACTGTGAACCAAGTCGACAAACGTGGTTATAGTGCATTGATGTATGCCATCATCTATGGATACAAACTCAATAGTATGTGATATTATTTGTGTTCCACTACAACCAAATATGGATACTAACATTGCCCAACATCTAAAACAGACGACGAAACACACTTTAATGGAAAAGTAGTGAGTGGTAGCATGTTACACCAGAAAGGCAGTATTATACAATTGCTGTTGGAGCATCGATCGAGAATTGACACGATTAGTAGTGATGAGTGGTCACCTCTGAAGCTGGCCATCAAGCACGGACCGATTGATCTAGTCGATTACATTGTTGATAAGGACAACAATCTACTTATGGAGCCAGACTCGAGTGGATGGAACTGTTTGAATCTGGCCATCCGTTATTCCCCGATCGAGGTCATCGACCTGATACTCGAGAAGGGTTATCCTGTAAATAGTCGAATCGAACAACTTGCTTCGTTGGCAATGCAAGCACCAAACAACAACAACCAGAACAACACAAACGTACCGTCAGTCTCGCCGTCCAGTGCAGCCATCATGTCCCCTCTGGCATTGGCCATCCAATTTAGGAATGTGGATGTGGTGCAGCGTCTGATCAAATATGGACTGGACATCAGACAGCATGGCGACCCCAAACAGATCGTTGACTTTTGTCGCGAGTTCAACAAACCAGACATCGAGAACTTCCTGACCAACTACACGATCCACCAACTCCGAGCAAGCGACAACCAATGACGACAACGATTGTGTGTTTTATGTTTACACACGTGACACCACAACCTCCCCGATTCCCCCACCCCCACGAACGCAAGGTCGCGACTTAAAGATTGAGACCCAACCCGGGTCTAGGCTCAGATAGATAGATGGATTGATCAGTCATCAAGTATTTGCCAATCTGTTGAGCTTTCCAAGGAAAGTGTCATTCCCTGAATACCCATATCCGTCAAAGTGACCCACACCACTCGCTCAGCTGTCCAAGGGTCGTCATTAAAGCATTCAGTGCCAACACACACAAACAAACACATGTTCATGTTATATGCCCGTCGATGGCGGGTGAGGGTTGGCACGGCATGGCACACGGGGTTCGATGGGTGCGGCCCAACATTTAGGCTTCGATTGGTTCACCACACACGTTAATTAGTTTTGCCCCCACGACCCCTGATTCAGCTGACCTGAAAACATCTGACTTGGTATCGGCGTATGCATTTACACCTTAGGAAGGCAACCCCAACCGCAAACATTGATCCCCCAATTTCGGCCCACCCCCACTAAAGCAACCCCAGCCCTAATCCACGAGTCAAATCAAAATAAAGATCTTAGGCATCGACACAATCCCAGGTCACGAGCCTCCAGATTTAGGGGGTGTGTGATGGAATCAATTGGATAGATGCGCGATTATTGAGTTATTGGGGGGTAATGTCTCTATGTTTATGTTTAGTTTATGTTTATGTGTTTGTGTTGGTGTGGGTGGGTGTGTTTGATGGATGCTTGACAAGGAAAGGTTGGTCGTGGTGACCGACTGGACTTTGTTCACCTCATTCCATTCTATCTAAAAACACTCATAATAACAAATAAGGATTTATTTATTTATCGATTAGAATAATAATAATGTTATAACCGCATTTACTCATCAATTACCAACAACTCGACTATTCGCACGGAATCCAAAACTCACTACTTCTTTACAAACCAACGATACGATACGATCATTCAATCAGGACAAGATCGAGAAATACAGATAAACAATATACACATACATAACCACACACATAAACAAACAGACAGATAATTAATTTAATAATATAAATTACATACACTTAAACAAAAAGGTAACGATTCATTCCAAATTCCCATTTACACTCAAATACGATTCATTATCACATCACATCACACACATCGATCCAATCAATCAATCCAACACACACACAATATCACCCACCCACCCATTATCGCAATAACAATGTAGTATTAATGTATTATTTGTTCCAAACACATAAACACACACACACACACACAACACATTGTATATATCGTCAACAAATACACTGTCTATCTATCTATCTATCTTCCATCATTCTTATTGTTATTATTAATTGACGTACACCACATACACACACATTCACTCATGGCATCGTTTGGGCGATGAGATTGAGAGAGTGAGAAGAATGATAGGATAAGTCCTTGTGTGAGCTATACCATGTGACGTGTTGTTCCATTTTACTCATCACCACATCAACAACAACAGCAACACTCGGTTATTCATTTTTCCATCCATTGTAGATGCGAGGCCCATCCAACCAACTCACACCACCCCCACTGTGTTGTTTTTTGATCAATGCGGGGTGTGGTGGGTTAAAGAAAGAGATAGAGAGTATGTGTGTGTGTTTACACTTGTGGTTTGTGTGATTGTTTGATTGATGGATGATTGATTGATTGATTGGTTGGTGGTATATACTATTACATCTTTGGAGATCTCTCTCTTTAAGTTTCCCCGTGCTCTCACCTACACCCATTGGGGTCTATACCCCTTCGATAGTGTGATCACCCCAGAGAACTATATTTGGTGTTCTACCCTTGGTGTGTGGGGCAGTGGGTGTTGGGATAGAGTGACCAACCCCTTCACTTGTGATGAGTCGAGTGCATCAGGTTTCAATCACACCCGGGTCGGCCATCCATCCATCCAACTCTCGACACACCAACCATCCATCAATCAATCAATCAATCCAACCATCATCCATTCACTCTCGTTGTTGTTGTTGCTGCCATCATCATCATTATGGACTGTTATCTGTTTCAATCTTTATAAATGATCCGCCGTGTGGTGTATATCACTCCAACTATACATCACCCACCCCACCCCCGCATACCACCGCCAGTCAGCCAGGCTGCCTGCCTGCCTGCATGCCCATCACACGTACCACTGCTTGATTGCCTGCCCATTCAACTACAGAAAACAGCACTGGCAGAAGCAGCGCCGGCGCATCCATCATCATCCATCGCCAACATCATCCACAGTACGTGCCTGTCTGTGGACACGACATTGTCATTATCTATCATCAGCATTATCTATTGTTTAGCTTGTTACTCTTATCCCTCATCTCCACTTACTGAGTTCGTTGTTGTTGTCGTTAATTAACTTGCTTGGAGAGATAGAGAGACCTACCCTGTATATATGCGCGTGTGTATATGGTCAACGTCGCCATCGTCATCATCATCCTCCACAATCAATCAATCAATCAATCAATCAATTAAATCAACCATCACAATCAATCAATCAAATAATTCGGACCAATTATACACCCAATCACTAACTTTAACCTTAACCTATAATTAATAATTATTTATAGTCTCCTCCTAAATAACTTATACAAACATTAATAATAATATATTTATTATATAATAATAATAATAATAATGGATTCCCTGTTACCAGAGCTAGAGTCCTTTGGCCTTATACATCCGACTTGCAAGTCGACCACATCACATCAGTTGAGACAACGAGAAATATTGGCCAGCCAACCACTTATAATATTCGACCTGCTGGTTGACGAGACCGAAGATGACCAGGACGTGTCCGCCGTGCCGTCACTACAAAATAGATTCTGCCATAGCGGCAGCAGCAACATCAGCTCCGAGCTACTCATAATCAAGCCCATCTCCAAACGTCCACTTTCACCATCTACCACCACATCCAACAACATCAACACTATTACCGCACCATGCGCCTCCTTTACTATTGGCTCATCTTCATCAACTGCATCATCACCATTCTTATTTTCTCCAATCGAGAGATGCGAGAAAAAGAGAAGGCTGGATAACGGTAGCAGCAGTAACAACGATAACAACAACACAACTACAACAACAACAATCAACTTATATTTCCAACATAATAGTACAAAGAAGACTTCACCTCTGAAACGACTGTCGTCCAACAAACAACACATGCACCATATACCATCCTTTATGAACAAGTCAATGTTTAGCTGTTTGATTGAGCCACCTTTGGAAGGGATCATCTTACAATAAATAATTTAGTAATATATAATATATAATATATAATTTAACTTAATTTAACAAACTTTCCTAAAGTTGTATCTGTTTCCTTTGTGTTTCCACGTGTTTCCGTTGTGTTTCCGTCGTGTTTCCTCGTGTTTCCACGTGTTTCCGTGTGGAAACACACCTTTATTTTTGTTTTAAAGCATGAGCTTTGGATTACGGATTACTTGGCCAGTGAAGCTGATTGCAGCTCGGACCTTGTTGAAGAATCCAGTCTTGTAGATCATGAAGATGGCCTGACGAATGATTCCGACGGCAGCTGGATCGATGGGATAGCGGATGAGACGGGGAACGGGTGTCTTGATGGGGAAGCGATCAGTCAACACAGAGACCTCACGGGAGAAGCCGCGCAGACCCTCTGGACCGTTGAAGCGGCCAAAGCCAGACTCCTTGCAGCCACCAAATGGAAGGTCTTGCACAAGATACGATGCGCCATAGTCGTTGATTGTGAGCATGCCTGTCTGGACGCGACGTCCAATGCGCTCGGCACGGGCAAGATCTGATGACAGGATGCTGCAGCCAAGGCCAAAGGCGGTGCCATTGACCATACGAACAAGCTCGTCCTCTGAGGAGAACTTGACCAGCGAGGCCACTGGACCAAAGGCCTCCTCGTTGAAGATGGTCATCTTCTCGGTAACGTTGGCGAGCACTGTTGGCATGAAGAAGTGACCAACCTTGTGGGCGGGGTTACGCTTGCCACCGGCCAGGACGGTTGCGCCCTCCTTGATGGCAGTGTTGACTAGGTGCTCAACCTTGTCGACTTGAGCGGGCATGGTCATGGAGCCAAAGTCGACTTGTCCAGACTCGGGTGGGCCTTGCTTGAGTGAGTTGATCAGGTCGGCCAACTGCTTGGCGAACTTGTCGTAGACGCGCTCATGCACAAACACACGCTCAGACGAGATGCAGTTCTGGCCGAGGTTGATGAAGCAGCCACGTTGAACGATGCCTATGGCCCAGTCGAGATCGACGTCGTCAAACACGATCATTGGGTCCTTTCCACCGAGCTCGAGGATCACGGGGGTCAGGTTGTCGCTGGCAGCCTTCATGACGCGCTTGCCAGTCTGTGGCGAACCGATGAACAAGATCTTGTCGACACCGGAGCGAACGAGGGCTTCGCCAGTCTCTCCCATTCCAGGGAGCAGCTGAATGAGGTCTGGGTTGTGGCCTCTCTTGGAGAGCACCTCACGGATCAACTCCTCGAACAGGATCTTGGAGTAGGTGGACCACTCAGACACCTTGACAAGTGCTGCGTTTCCAGAGAATATAGCTGCGGCGGCAGCAGAGATGATGCTGTGGATTGGGTAGTTCCAGGGGATGATGATTCCAATGACACCCATTGGATGGTATTCCAGTCTTGCAGACTTGGTTCCCATCAACAATGGTACTCTTCTAGTTTGTGTCTTTAGTGCATCCTCACCATAGTTAATCAAATAACGCAACTTCTCACAGCTAGTAAGTATCTCACCGAATGTGGCTTCGAATCCTAGTTTGATTGATTGATTGGAATAGTTCCATAATTGGTTGAGTGAGTCAGTGATTGAATGATTGAGTGATTGGAATAGTTCCATGATTGATTGAGTGATTGATCAACCTGACTTGATACATACTCGTCTTTCCAGTGTCTCTCATCGAACTCTCGACGATTTGAGTCTCGTACTTGATGAAGATGTCGATGAAGTCTTGGAGGATTTGCTTCCTCTCGGCAAAGGATGTTTGAGCCCATTCGTATTGGGCGACACGAGCGGCAGCCAGACACTTGCTGACCTCGTCTGGCTTGAGAGCATTGACAGTGCCCATCAGCTTGCCAGTGGCCGGGTTGACACATTCGATCTTGGCACCGGTGCCCTTTGAAGCCGGTGAAACTCCAATGTCCCTTGCGGGTCTCTTTGGAATGCGTCCGGACGACGAAGAGAACAGCAGTGATCTAATGATCATAATCACTATGATGCTGCCCAGTAGTGACATGAAGAACGTTGCATTTTTGAAGCCAATCGTTTGGTCGTAGACCTTGGAGTCGATGCCGTAGCCAGACACGAACTCCTCGTATCTATCAATGACCGATTGGGCGTGTGAGAATACACAATGTGTCATTATATATATAAATATACGTATGTATGTATGTGATCTTGAAATGATCTGATGTGATTGATTGATTGTTTTGGAGTGTGGACCTCACATCCATGTAGTTCTTCGTCTGAAGTCCCTCTCACCCCATCATGATGAAATTGAAATAATAAATAATTTAAATTGATTTGATTGATCAAAATATCCATCCATTCATGATCACATTATTTATTTGTGATAATAATAAAACAAGTATTATCTGTTATGGATCACAAAGATGAAGTTAAAGAACGACAAGGTGGGTCTGTGAGTATGTTGGTACCAACTTACAAACACCCTTAAGGTATTCACTTACTCTTCTGCTAGAGTCATTCAATTGAATGTCATAGTGTTTCATCTATGTATATATATACAGATACAGATAAATAGGCAGTGTTCTGTGTGTTAGTGTGTGTGAGTGAGTGAGCGTGTGAGCGCACTAGATAGCTATCCAATCAATCAATCAATCAATCAGCGTCAATGACACTCACTTCACACACTCACACTCACCAACACACCTCAGAATAGTCTGGAATTGAACAATCCAAACCGGATGGATGTATTAGATCTTGATCGAATGAGTAGTGTATACACTCACTTTGATTAATTGATATTTGTATACTCAATAATAAGACTACAAATATTATCAATATTATTTATTATACAAGGATATATAGTTCAATTGTAATATTATTATTATTATTATACCGGCAGTTACCGATCAATCATCTTTAAACATGTTTAAGAATGTATTTGTATCAAGGGATGACCGTGATCATAATCATCACCATCATCATTATCAAATATCATCACCAATACAATCACAATCACCAATATTAAAACATCAACAACAACAATATACAAGTATTACAATTCCAGAACATGTAATTAATGATAATATTTATATTAATCCTTCAATCAATCAGATTGATTGGTCAAGGATGGTACACATCGATCGATGTACCTATCCAAGCCAAAAGGATGAATTCACAATGTATATAATAACTCTATCAATAACAATCAATCAACAACAACAACAACAACAGAATCCAGATATTATCGATAATAATAGTGATCCAACTCAAACTCCACCTCCAACTTTGACAAAGTATTATCGAGTTATTATTAAAGTACCTTATCAAGTTGCCAATGAAATATATACATCGATATTGGCCAGTATATGTCATTTGCCGATGCCAATGATGAGGGTGTTGGAATCACCTCATAATGAGTATCAATCAATGTCCAAACATCTATTGGTGTTGAGTCGCGACCTGGACAACGACCTCCACACTCAGCTGAAAAAGGATCTGAGGCGACGCCACTTCATAATAATGCAACATGTCGAAGGTAGAAGTCTGAGCGAGATGAACAGTCGAGAGATCCTCACAGAGAAGAAACTGTTACAACTTGGCAAGATAATGGCATTCGATCTATTCGTCAACAACTTTGACAGCTTCTTCTATTACTGGGACAACAGCAACAGCGTGGTGCCAGTGGGTGACCTGGTCAGTAGCCGAGCGACATGTGACAAGGACAACCATTTGAATCTGTTGGCCAATGATGTACCGACAGGCGATGGTTGGCACTTTACAATAATGCATACAAAGGTCAACTTCATACTGAACAGTTCATTTACAATATGTTATCACAAGCATATCAATCGACTCAAGTCATTGTTGTACTCTATCTTTGCCAATCCATTTGTGGAATCATCCCTCCTGCAAAAGATGCGCGACACTGTCAACCGACAGCATGGTGCCGGCCTTAACGATCAAGCAGGTCTACTAATACAACATGGTCTAATAGGTGGCATCCAGACGATCGTCACCGAGCTCACTCCAGATATTCTAAAGGACACAAAGGATCGCGTAAAGTCATTGATATGTCGAGAGGACAACCATAATGGACACAGTGACAGTTCGTCCATTTGTTGGAAACGTGGCTTTGACTCGATCTACCTACCATTCCTCTTTGACATCTACGACAAGTTTGAACAGTTCTCTTCGTCGCCACGCTCCAAGCTCAACTGTGGAGGTGGTGGTTGTACCTGCCAGTCATCATCACATAATCACAAGACCAAAGGAATAAAGAAGAGCTGAGAGGCTGGAGAGAGCTAGGAGATGAAGTTGTAAGTGTTTATATATAATGTATAGGTTACGTTAGGGGATGAGGAGGAAGGAGGAGGTGAGTGGCTGACATTGTAGCGCTACAAAGGAGTGTAGAGTGTGTTGGAAAGATGTTGCCAGTGATAGAGGTAGAGGAGAGAGAGGAGAGAGGAGGGAGGTGTGGCGTCGCGCGCTAGTTTGAGTTAAGGTATTTCAGATTTCTCTCGTAGCATTGCTTGAGGAATGGATTGAGACCGGCGATGAATCCACTGCCAGTCTGTATCTTGTCGAGACGCTTCAGTAGCTCGGTGGTGGCATTGCGCACCTCTTTGGACTGGTGGAAGAGACCGACGGCCACTGGGAACAGGCCACCGTGTGACTTGGGCAGGTAGCTGAGGAACTCGGTCACCTGCTGCTCCGTCTTGATCGAGTTGAGGAATGAGTCGTAGATCTTGAGCACCTCCTTCTCGGTGACGTGCTTCTTCTTGCGCAGCTTCTTGATCGACTGCTGGATGGTGTGATCGCGGATGGCGCTGTTCTTCTTGGAGTTCTCGCGGTCCTGCAGGTAGGTCGTGTAGGTCTTGGTGCGTGTCCACGAGTCAATCCTGGCCTGGTTGGCCTCGAGGGCGAGGGCGCGTGTCTGGTCGTCGAGGAACTCCTCCTCGTCCAGCGCCATGTCCACGATGTGTTGTGTGTACTCCTGGAACAAGCTCTTGATCTTGTCCTCGCCATAGTGAGTGGAGATGTTGTAGTTGACCTCGGCCATAAAGTCATTGTCGTACTGAGCAAACTTGTCGGGCACCTCGCTGACCAACGACGCGTTCATGACCACCTTGCCCGTGCCAATGTTGCACAGTATGTCCCACCATTCGGGATGCTCCTCAAACATTGGATTGGTCACACCGGTAATATAGCCGGGTACCGAGAGGAAGTCCAGATAGACAAGGTTGGTGTAGGGGAATGTACGCTCGCGGATACCCTTGAGTGGCGGACAGACCATGCTGCAGGCTGCCAACACATAGTTGCACACCTCTCCAGCGCTGCATCCATATCCCAAGAACAGTATCCTCTTCTGAGACAGTATACCATTGAATATCTTCATGATATCATTGCCAAACTTCTGGACCAATGTAATAACTTTATACTATATTGTTGGATGGGTGGTAATGAGTCGTCAGTCTTGTGTAAGTTTGATTGATCGATTGATTGAATGAGTGATGACTACTTACATCTCCAACCTCATCAGGGAAGAAGGTGATGGGTATATAGACAGGCATTTGCTTCCCTAGATATGCAATGTTGGCCGAGTGATTCTGCTTGTTCTTGTCTGGCGACGACCTTAGGATGTGCTTCTGGACATCATTTAGGTATGGGATGGTTGACATATCCAAGCCATTCAATGAGTTGTACAAGTCGACGATCACATCAAGCGATGGCGAAGAGAAGTATTTCTGGATGCCAAGTATCATGAAAGGCTAAAGGATTGATTGATCAGTATGAGTGTGGCATGGGGCATGGGGCATGGGGCCTAGGCCTTGGAGAAACGGACATTACCTTATATATATGTATAAATGGATGTGTTGTACAGATGGCCAGCGACTTGACAATGGCGCCTCTGCGCACTGAGTCATCCTTCTGGTTGTTCATAAAGTTGAGGCAATACAAGAACTGTTTGTTGTTGTTCTTTGAATCGTCGGTGTTGTTACTGGTCGTGCTTATGCTATTACTACTACTATTGTTGTTGTTGTTTCCGCTGCTGATGTTATTATTACTGTTGTTCATATTGGTCACGTTTACACTGTTACGTAACTCTGGTGCTGAATCATTCTTCTTTGGTGGTGGACCACCTGCTGCAGTCTCCTCTGCCAACTCCTTCACCATCCTATTGAGATGATTGAGGAATGTCTCCTCATCGCCTGCCGTCGAGAATCTAACACCTATTGCTGTTCCACTATCCGTCAGTACACAATCAAACAATGGCTCCAACTGTGTATGCTCAAGATCAGCATGCTTCTCACTGTTCATTCATTCATTGATTGATTGATCGATCCATCGTGATTGATGATTGAGGTAAGGATGTAAGTGATTGATTGATTGATTGAATGATCCAGGACTACGTACATCTTGGTGACGACTGTATTGTTCTTGCCAATGACGTTTATATGGTTCTTGTAGACCTGTAGCGATAGCTTCTCTGGATCAAGCATGACCCATCCCTTATCCTCCTGCTCCTCTGAGAACCTATAAATAAAAGCTTCTATGATACTGTTTGAGTGAAGAATGATGGGTGATGGATGTAAGTCAGGTGATCGTTCAGGCCAGTCAATATCCAAGTCCAAAGCCAAGGACTAGGTCAAGGTCATCGACTTATACGTACCATATGGTTTTCTCGGCGGGAGGTGGCTTGGGCTTGGCTTTGCTCTTGGATAGATGTCCATCGGGGTCGGGACGATTGAGGAAGAAGACGGTCCAATCGTCGTCACGCTTGTGTGAACCGTCGGGCAACATGAACTCGGCGAGTAGTGACTCATCCTCACCGGTGGGACTGGGATACTGGTACTTGACCTTGCTACCAACATCAATGTCAAACTCTGCCAGCAAGATGTACTCGATGTTCTTCTTGGATGCTGTATTCGAGTTGCTGCTGGTGAATGATGGCGAGGGCATGGCCATCGTGCCAATCGATGATGACGACGACGACATTGATGGCGACGCCTGTGGCTGCATCGAGGGCGAGTGGGTGCCGGCTCCGACCGGATTGATTGGGTTCTTGATCATCATTGAGCCACGGCTCATGGGCGATCGAGTGCCAGATGTTGTGCTGCTGGTCGATGTGGTGCTGGTAGTCGACGATGACGATGTTGTGGTTGGTGATTGTGTCATTGACTTTGTAGGCATGCTCCTATGTGCCTGTTGTGATGCACTAATCGGTGTCAATGCCACTATTGGAGATGGAGCATTGCTTGAGCCTGAAGAAGAAGATAACACTGGTGACAGTGGCTTCAACCTGTTTGGTGAATCTGTCATCCTATGATTGATCGTTTGTTGATACTGTTCAAGCTATATATTTATATATTGCGCGCTGTACTGTACTTGTAGTTTGTTTGTTATGATTGATCGAATGAATGATTGATTAATGAATGATTGAATGAATGTATTATAAGATGTTGTTGTTATACAATAATGATATTGAATAGACTACTAATGTACAATGTAAGTGTTTGTGATGATGATGATGATGTCTTCAACAACAATGTAATAATATAATATAATGTATATATCTGCTTCAATGTCAATCACAAAAGATTAAAATAGAGTGATCACTCAACTTCAGAGATCTGAGGCATAATTGAAAAAAAAAAAACAAACACACCCTTTTGTTGATGATGGAATCAACATTCATTCAAGCCCAAATTCAAATAATTATGCTCCACTCTATCCCTGTCGACTGACAGACAATACCAAGTAGATGTTGCAAAGGGAACAACGATCACATCCATCAAGTCCCTGAGACATGGACGGACGACTAACTTTCAGCAGCACGTGCCACGAGCAGTGGCAATTAAATTAATTAATTAATTAATAAACAATCCACGAGAAGAGAGACTGTTAAATTTAATACTTGTAGTTGGCAACGAAAAGTGACTGGGAGTTGGTGGCGGTGGCCTCCTCTCCTGGGTACTTGCCGAGCTGAGCGAGCGAGTTGCAGAGTGCACGATGCATGTAGACCTTGCGGGCAGCCTCAATGTTGTCACTGGATCCCTTCCAGGTGGCGATGATGCTGGCCTGCAGAGCACGACCGTATGAGAACGAGACGGACCATGGACGGTTGGGCAGCAGGTTCATGGCGTTGAGGTTGGCGGTGGCCTCAAGCTCGGTCTGACCACCGGACAAGAAGACGATTCCTGGGAGGGCGGGTGGGACGGTGCGCTGGAGGGTTCTGACGGTCAACTCGGCGACGCGCTCTGGGGCGGCGGGCTGGGCGTTGGTGGTTCCGTTGAGCACCATGTTTGGCTTCAAGAGGGCACCCTCCAAGAGGATGTGGTGGTCATTGAGGGCCTTGAAGACGGCGGCCAACACCTTCTCGGTGATGACAGCAGAGTCCTCAATGGTGTGGGTGCCATCCATGAGGATCTCTGGCTCGACGATTGGAACCAGACCGTTCTCCTGGCAGATGGCGGCGTAGCGAGCCAGGGTGTGTGCGTTCTCGGTGATGGCCAGCTGCGATGGCAGTCCCTTGGGGACGTCGATCTTGAGCACGGCTCTCCACTTGGCAAAGCGAGCGCCAGCCTCGTAGTACTTCTTGCAGCGGTCGGCAAGACCGTCGAGACCCTGGGTGGCGGTCTCGCCCTCGCCGGCGCCTGGGATCTGGACGGTTCCCTTGTCGACCTTGATTCCTGTGATGATTCCCTTCTTCTTGAGGATCTCTGGGAAGGGAGTTCCGTTGTCGTCCTTCTGGTAGAGGGTCTCCTCGTAGAGGATCACACCACCGATGAACTTGTTGATGTCTCCCTCAGTGTTGATGAGCAAGTCTCTGTAGGCACGTCTGTTTGGCTCGTTGTTCTCCAAGTTTATCTTTTGGAAACGGTTACCAATCGTTCCGGTTGACTCATCAGCAGCGAGAATTCCCTTGCCTGGTGCAACAATTGCTTTCTACATCATTCATCATCAAGTGTCAGTTGTTATTGTTGTTGTTAGGATTACCCAAGTTGAGTTGATCAACTCAACAACAATGTTAACTACCTACAGCAGTAGCAATCAACTCTTGGTGGTACTTTGTGTGGCTCATTGTTATATATGTTGGATTATAGCTAGTTAGTTAGATTAATATGATTGACAAGAGATGAATCGTATTGAATTGAATGAGTGTGTACGCGAACTGAGGAGGTGAAGTTGAGGTGAGAGTGTGAGTTCCCGAAGACATACCCCCCAAAACAGGTTAAAAATTAATTGTTTTGTTTCAACAAGCAAACCATAAATAAAGTCAAATCATATGATTCCATTTCGAGATTCGCATTACTACACTTGCCAAGTGTTAAGCCGATGTTCGTTTACAACTCAACAACTTAGAACTGACTTCTACGTTACACTTTGTAATCAGAGCAACCTTGAGAGTTATCTTATTCCATTTTAATCTTATACTACAAAGACATCATCACCTTCATCAATGTTTGTTGATGGTACAAGAATGACTTGAACCTCACTCTTTTGGCGCGAAACTCTGATAAGTTCAAGTTATCTTGAAATCATGTAATTATGTTAACATAATTACAACACGACGATAACAACAACAAATAAGATGAGAAAGAGTATAAGTGTAAATGATAGCTATGATGAAGATAACATAGTAGTAGATGATGAGGATGTTGATGTTGATGTGCAACAACAACCGAAGCAGCAACAACAGCAACAGCAGGGAGGTGGTGATGATGATGCTTTTGCCGATGAGTTTGACGATGATGAGGATGAGGATGATGACGATGGTGACTCAAAGAAGAGAAAGAGAAAGTCTACGTCTGGTTCATCGTCATCATCAACGGCCAAACCAACAAAGCAACAAACAGTACAACAGCTACCATATCAAGATCGTGTATTCGTTCTCTACGACAAGCTGATAGACTCCAACGATATAGATGATGAAGCATCCTACACTGTATTATCATTGCTAAATCCAAAGACAAGTAAGTTATTCAATCATTCTATTCGTTGGCCGAGTGTGACACTCACTCACTCAATCAATCAATCAGATCAAGAATCGAGATATATGTTTGATAAGAGGACTCAACTGATATTGGAGATCAATAACTTTAGACAGAGACCATCGTCATGGTTCATGGACAACAGTGTTCGTCATGGTATGCATTTTTATTGATCGATTGGAATGATCCCAGTTACTGATACCCCACCCCGACATTCATAGATGGCTCACTATACTGCACTTCACCGATCGACCCATTGTTCCTGATCATTCCATACTTGGAGCGAGCAAAGGAGCGTGCTAACCAGTCGTCGAAAGCCGTGGAATATGTCGAACCTTCACAGATGATGTGCGAGCCACAGTTTCAACAGCTAAAGGATGCAGGCTTTGTGGTGGACGACTCACAATTGGAATTGATATGCGATCATACTACACTGTCCGATCGTAAACTCTATGCGCTCAACACTGACAAGATGATGTTGTGGCTCAAGTGCAAGGTGGAACAGATGCGCAAACATCTCTACGATACCAACACCAACACATATCGTGCCAGTGCCATCCAGTCCAAATCAGCATCCGACACGCCACACGAGATATGGCTTCAAATGGCCTTGGACTTTGTTGGCGAGTATCTTGCCGAAGGTCTACTGGCCAGTCTGAAACAACATCTAGGGTATGCATCCAAAGTCCATGATCCTCATTCAATCATTCACTCACTCATTCAATCATTCAATCAATCTAGATTGATCAAGACGGCAGCGGCCAAGACGGTAACAAGTGCCGATACATTGAATTACAATGAGAGAGTGATCGAGCAACAGTTCAATCTTGGTGTCGCGACAAAGAAGAAGAAGCCAATCTCTGTGGTCAAGTCCAAGTTGTTGGCGGCCTCTGCCAAACAGACATCAAAGATATCAGACTTCTTCACAAAGAAGTAGTAGTAAATGATGTATATATATATTACAAGCAAAGTCGACTGTTATTGTAATGCATGGATAGAGATGGATGGAGGGAAGGATGGATGGAGGGAAGGAAGGATGGATGGAGATGTTGACGAGGCAGCGGCGCCACGAATAACTGGATGATGGAGGGGAAGGATGGGAGGGGCTGTGGACTCGCCTCGTTTACAGGTCCAGACCAAGGCTCAGACCAAAGTTAGTCTTCTCACCAATGGTATGAGTGAAGAGACATTGGATAAAGACGGATGAGGCGATTGTGTGCTTCATGCCAAGCAACAGTTCCCATTTGGTGCGGTAGTGAGTCTTGGTCTGGCGCACGCCAATCTCTGTGGCAGAGGGCACATGAACCAATTTGTAGAATAGATGGTCCGACGTGCTCATTGAGGGCATTGGCGACGACTGGCCCTGCTTCATTGCGCTGGCCTGCGACACCAGGTGGCTGAGACGAGTGCTGCCCAGCTCGAGACTGGAGAGCATGGTGGTGCCGCGAACGTTGAAGAAGTAGTTGTGCTTGAGCGTCACGCGGTTGTGCTTCCTGTTGAGGTTGATATTGAGCTGCAGCCAGCCAAAGGGCACAAAGAACGTCAGCTTGGGGTTGACGTAGGGCGTGACCGAGCTGCCCTGAATGCGCAGTCCCGTGCTGCCGCCCAGCTGGAACACGCCGCCAATGCGCGTCTTGTACGAGCTGTATAAGTTGGAGACGGAGACGCCCAGCTCGTGCACGCGGGTGCCCGTGGTGCTGCTCTCGAACGTCGAGATGAACGACTTGACGGGTGTGCTGGGGCGCTTGGCCATGTACACCGCCTTGCAGCGCGAGTCGAGTGAGCGTGCTGACACGCGCAGTGCGTCGGTCAAGTTATACTGTACATAGCCAAAGAGCAAATCGTTTGATGACGCTTGGAACATCTTCAGCTTCGAGGGTATGTTGACTGGGTCCATTATCGTCTCTTCTGATATATCAACTGGTAGTCTCTTAATATCACTCAGTCTGATGTGTGATGGGATTGTTATATGATGTTGATGTTGTTGTTGATGATGAGGTTGATGTGAGTTTGCATTGTTATTGGCAACACTTGATGCCATTGTCGTAGTCGATGTTGTCGTCGTAGTCGTAGTTGATGATGTACCCTTCTCGACCATTCTATATCTATCTATCTCTGTCTGTATATGTATATATATATATTTAAAGTTAACAATAATATCTCAATTGACAAGGCAGAAGCCAAGATTTGAGTAGTCCGCGTTGACTTAATTTGATCAAATGTCCCATAAATTGAAAGTAGTTTGACCACCTTTGCAGTTCACATCAAAGAACACATTGAGCAATCAATCAATTATTATCAAACATGCAAGTGTAGTGAGACATCATAACAATAGTAACAACACAACAAGACAATGAATAGGAACTACAGCCATGATAATATACTGTCTTCTTCCTCGACGATGACACATCAACAACAGTCATCGTACCAACCAACATTCATTGGTGGCCAGTACAATCCTTTGTGTTTCAGTAAGGAGTCGTTTACATCGGATGCATTCAAGGTGGACGCTTTCATTGCAGATTGTAGGAAGCGTGTACCACTGGAGAGTGTACAGAAGGATCTGCGAGAGTATGCCAAGTGTCTGGATTCAGAACTGGTCGAGTTGATCAATCGCGAGTACCACTCATTCTTCTCGCTGTCCTCATCACTTCTTGGCATCGATGTCGTACTCAACGAGTTCAACGATACCCTATCATCAATCAAATCAGAGATATCTGTAATGTGATCGATCAATCAATCAATCTCCCAAGCTTGCTTACTAACTCCTCCCCATCTGCCGCCGCCCCCGCCAGACATTCAAGGGCGACATACATCGTGTTAGAGAGTGCGTAGAGGATAAGTTACGCGAGAAGAAACAGATCGATCATACAAAGCAACTGCTTCAACTGTTCATATCGGTGTCAGAGTCATGCACACATATCAACAATCTCTTTGATCAATTGACACTGTTCAGCAACACTGGACACATGCTCACGACCTCCTCTGCCTCGTCTACAGCCAATGTCCCCTCATCATCGGCGACATCTCTCACATTACCCTTGGTCATTGAGCGTATCTCCAACTCATTCTATCAGATCCAACATCAACTTCTCTCACTCACTGTGGAAGAGTCCAAGCTTCGAATGTTCCAATCACTCAATATTGTAAAGTGTCATTGTTATTATACTCGCTGATCGATTGATTGATTGATTGATTGATCACATGCTTACACCAATTCGGTCCTACTCTAGAAACTACTGGAACTGTCAAGTCAGATTGAGGCCAAGATCGAGCCAATATTCACAGCCACACTACAGGGTTGCATCAAATCGAGTAGCACTGAAGGACTTCCAGTGGACATACTTTCCACATGTCTAAAGGTGTATCAAGTCATCAAGAAGATACATGGACCATACCGCATCTTTAGAAAGAACATCATCAAGCCACACTTTACAACTGTATGTACACATTCAATCAATGAATGACCGACTGACTGACCTTGACATGTACAGATCATCACAATCAAGGGCCTGGAAGGCAACAACAAGGGATCATGTGATGGACTACCAACCATCTATTCAAACATACTGTCATACTTGGAGAAGGACTGCTGGTATGTTCAACTTGTTAGCGATCATCCATCCATCAACACAATACTGACACCTCCCGACACAGCACATTCTTCAAGGTCTGCAGCCAAGTCAATAGCTTGTTCGAGGCGACCAGGTATAACTTTATATCAGAGAGCGTGTTGCCAGAGGTGGACGAGACACTGGGTCAGCTGAAGCCTGTGTTTGCCACGGGCATGACGGATCTATTCTTTAAGAACTACACCTGCAGCAGTGCCTTTATCAATAGGCTTGAGGACTTGTGCACATCAATGCAGCAGGTAAAGGAACTGCGCATGTCGCCAACATACAGCTCACTGCTCAAACGTTGGAACTTTGCAGTGTACTTCCAGCTGCGTTTCTCAGAGATAGCTCAACAGTTTGAGCGTACACTGGCGAGCATCAACTGCATCGATATCCTGACAGGACTCCAGCATCCCACTGAGAAGAACGAGCACTTCCTGGCACAGACTGGATCATTGTTTGGATTCCTGGACATGTGTTGGTCGCCCAACATATTCATATATGACCTGTCATCCAAGTTCTTCAAACTATTCCTTCAGCTGATTGCTCGCTATGAGTACTTCATTCAGGAGGCATTATTACATCTCGAGGTGGCCAAGGGTGCTGCTCCTGGCGTGCATCCAGATCAAAAGTCACTCAACAAGTCCACTCCACAAGAGAACCTTGCATATGTATATTCCGATGTATTAAGATTGACAACAAAGGTACGTTAGGGATTATTCCGTCCATGTCCATACATTCATTCACTAACTCACTCACTCAATCAATCACTCAGATCAATGTACATTATAGACAGGTGATACTGCGAGCCATTGGCAATCCATTGAAGGAGATTGAATCATTGGTACAAGGTATGTGCTCCTAACCCAAACATGTCCAGCCTCACTCACTCACTCATTCACTCATTCACTCATTCACTCCTCCACTCCAATGTAGATGGTTTGAACCTGTCAGTCAAGTCACTTGATGTACTTAGGGAGAGGATGTCCAAGTTGATCACAGATCACTTCATAGCCAAATGTTCAGAGAGTCTGTCGCTGATCAGCTCAATCCCACCATCATATCGTATGAAGAATAAGCCTGTAAGTTGAACCCTTCGTCCCTTCGCCAATCATGTACTAATTATGATGATGACGATGACGATGATACCTCAGATACCCACAAAGTATTCAATCTATGTTCCACAGATAGTCAATCCATTGGAAGCGTTCTATACCAACAAGGCCAATACCATTCCACTAGAGTATAGGGCACTTTGGTCAATGGATATATTCAGGCCAATCACTGAAAGGTATTTATTGATCGAGCTGGACATGTGCCAGGACCACTGACTTACCTTGATTGGCTAACTGACACCAAWTTCAAACTCAATCAATCACCTTACCATGACACAGATTCTTACAGAATACCAACGACGTATTGCTGTCCGTGAGTAAATCAGATGAGATGTTGAATAAGATGAAGAAATCATTGAAGTCCGCTGCCACTGTACCATCTTCCACAACCACATCATCATTGAACAACAATACATCGACAACAACAACAAACAATACCACGACGACAACGACGACGACAGCCAACGCAACCGACATGCAAAAGATATCTTTGCAACTCTACCTGGACGTCATCAAGTACGGTCAGCTGATCGAGAAGAGTGGAATCGACTTACATTCATTCGAGCCTTATATTCGTCTCTTGGAGGTGGTTGAGCCATTCAAAGTATATCAACAGCAGCCAACCACCTCGAACGCGATCTCAAACGATCAATAATAATAATAATAATAATAATAACACCTTGCTAGGTGTTGTGATCACCATCAATTTGGACATCGTCATCATCCATCCCTTGTCTGTGTTCCATAGTCCGATGCGGAGAAGTCTTAAAGTGATTTTTGAATCATGTTTCAAGCTCCAGCTCACATGAGAATGATCAGTTTTTTCATTGAAGTGACAGACTTGACTTGGCTACATCCAGGTCTTGATTTCAATGATGAGGGTAGTCGCTACTTCCAATCATGACAAGACTAAATATTCTTAGTCGAATCGATATATAATGAGGGAAGCCTCATTAACATCAATCCGGATCATCAACAACAACTAGCTAAAACATAGTAGTAATTTACATACCATTGAATAATCATTGTACAAATAACTTATAACTTATATTAATAATAATAATAATAATGGAGCCAAACCATCAACAACCACCACCCCAATACTATCCACCTGCTGGTCAGCCGCAACAAGTGTACATGACACCTGGTGCTCCAGTTCAAACTGTTTATGTACAACAACAACAAATTAAGGTTCACTATGGAGATGTGTAAGTAGGAATAACCAAACAAATGATAATTATATAATTACTAACTCTACCTTTCTTGGAATGAATGAATGAATGAATAGTCCATGTAACTGTGTATGTCCAAACTGCCAAAAGAGCATTACAACAGAGACTGAGTATGTCAATGGATCATATGTATGGACAATTTTGTTAGTTCTATTGTTCCTCGGATGTTGGTTGGGTTGCTGTCTGATCCCAATGTGTATGGACTCTTGCAAGGATGTCATTCATCGTTGTCCAGAATGTCATCAACAACTTCATCAATACAGAAGAAGCAAGGGTAAATAAACAATCAACATCATCATAATGTATGATTACTACCTCTACCTGGGTAGTTTGTTAGTTATAAATAATATATGTTTGTTTGTTTACGTGTTAATGTTATTCATATGAATAATAATAAGTCTGGCATCTTCAAGACAAACCAGGAAGTCAATAGTTGAGTGCAAAGTTGTTCATCACCCACCCCACACTCCGTCCAAAGCGCTCACTTACCTTTCGTTTCTTTCAACCTATTCCTTCATTCACATCACACCATTCTACTTCTACATCTACCTTTGACCACCTACGTTGTTATAATTATAATTATAGTTATTGTACAATAGAATTATAATATAGCTTGGACTCAAAGATAGATAAACAGAAGTTTTTATAATATGGCATTAGTATGTGTACTGATATTAGGTTGAATGAATGAATGTTGACTAACAATGTACATTATAATGATGATGATGATGATAGGCATTCCCACCTCATGCTATACAGGCTATATTGGATATTGCCAATGATCTTACGAATTGTCATTCAAATGTCAATGCCAATAACAGCAATAACAACAACAATAATAACAACAGTAGCAATATCAACAATAATGTCACAGATGTAAATACTACAACAACAACAACTACTACAACGACTACTACACAGACAACACAGACGACACAGACACAGACTACACAGACACAGACTCAGACACAGACTTCAGCAGCTGTATCATCATTGTTCTTAAAGAATAACATTGATGATATGTATCCGAACTGGATGTCAGAACTCAAGATGGCAAGAAGAAACAACAATGCGCACCTATTCAGGAGCATCCTTGATCAGCCAATGATCAACATTGAAAGACTGCGAGCAATCAGTTTCAGTGGCATCCCAACAGAGCATCGTCCACTAGTCTGGAAGATACTACTCGTATGTCAATCATTCAATCATGGTCAATCAATCAATCAATCAATGACTTACACCTTTCTCTTGTTCATTCATACACACAGAACTACTTGCCACAAGAGAAGAGACAACATAACAAGATATTGTTTGATAAGAGGAATCAATATGTACAGTTGGTTACAAAGTTCTATCATGCAGATATGTCAAATGAGGACAAGGCATTGCTCAATCAGGTCAAGTTGGATGTGCCTAGGACAATGCCAAAGGGATTCAATCAGACACCTTTGTTCAAGTCTGCCATACTACACAAGGTGTTGGAACGCATTCTCTATGTCTGGTCCAAGACCAACCCTCTCATATCATACTATCAAGGTCTAAATGACATACCAGCTCAGTTCCTACTTGTATTCCTAACCCAATATATAAGTATGTAGTATATCAACTTGATGGATTGATTGGATTGAGTCCAGCGCACTGGACTAACCTGTTGTGATCATCACTAGACATTTATGGCAACCTGGACGACTTGACTACAGACATCCTGGACAAGGTTGAGGCCGACACATTCTGGTGTCTATCACTTCTCATGAACAACCTAAAGGTATGTTCAATCAATCAATCAATCAATCCCTCGCTCACTCAACTAATGATCGTATCACAAAACATTAGAATCGCTTCATCAACTTCCACGATGGCTTGACGAGGATGACAGTGAAGCTGGAGCAACTTGTAAAGTTGAAGGAAGGCAGACTGCTGAACCATCTACAGAATGAGGGATGCGACTTTATCCTCTTCTCACTGCGTTGGATGATTTGTTTGTTGTGTCGCGAGTTTGAGTTCCGTCTGTGCAACAGACTTTGGGACAGCTACATTGCTCATGGACCCAACTTTGGCTACTTCCACATCTACGTATGCGCTGCACTGATCACCAACAAGGAGTGGCTGCCCTCGTTGCTCAAGAAGGAGTTCTCCGACCTCATTGTCTTCCTGCAGCGTCTTCCCACCGACAATTGGAACATTCATCACATTGATTATCTGCTGGTCAGTGCCTATCACATCTTTTTGTCAGAGATACAGCATTCGGTGCAAGAGTCCACGCTCAAACTGGTTGGACTGTTCACAACAAGGAGTATGGCCAACATCAGTCACGGTCACAGCAACAGCGAGCAACAGATGGTGCAACTACATCAACAACAACATCCATCGGACAATAGGAATCGTGAGTTGCTAGACAACCAGATGCGAAGCATCTACTCACAGTTCATGAGACAGCACAACAACAATCGTCTTTCATCATCATTGTCGTCGACTGCTCTGGGTGTCGACCTGCCCGCCGCCACCAACCTGCCCCGCCTCGCGCCACCATACCGTCTGCAAGACCGTGCTAGCTCTATGCTCTCAATGATGACGCCTGGTGCAGTGACCGCAGCGGATCCACTCAGTCCACCACTCAGCATAAGGAACAACAGTGACGACGATCAACTACTGCCCACATTGAACATTGACAGCGATCTTAGGACAAGTTTGTTACAACTGCTGCCGTCACATTTGAACATGTTCTCTATATCGCCAGAGGGTGCCGATGAAGAATTAGTCAAACAGATCACACTACATCTAATGGTCATCATTGGAGCACTACTATTTGTCGGTGTCATACTGATCATTGTAGTAATATCAATCTGTCTAACAGTGGTATCATTGGAATACTATAACAACAACTAATAATCATAAGTGTAGTAATATAAGAGTATGTGCGGGTGCGGGCACATGTGTAAATAAACCTTCCATTTGGACTTGGATATGATGTTGTGTTGGTTGTCCGTGGAAACACGGAAACACGGAAACACGGAAACACTGAAACACGGCGACAGGAAGTATTTGGAAGGGAACCATTTATTATCATAATTAAATTTTAACCATCTGGATTACACTAATCAAACATATACTATTGTTTGGAATAAAGAGTTAATGATTGTTCGATGATTGGGTCGCTCACTCGCGGACTCAATCAATCGCGACAACATTAACTAACTAACTTACCATTTTAGAATTGAAGTCTTGTTGAAGTTACTTCAAAGGTTGCGCGGGATATGTGGCTGCACTTGATAATATATAGGCAACAACAGTGAACATTAGGAGTTGGGGGATTGGACACAGTATATGTCATGTGATGCAACATGACATATGCACTTAATGCATCAAAGAGATAACATCTCCTTGCTCAATACCGCAAGTGTCAATGGTCTCATTCTCGTTGTCCAATGGGAGCAACGAACCGTCAAATGCCAGGTTGAAGTTGTAGACACTCTCGTGGCTAACCTCAGACACAGTGTGATACAACTGGTACAATCTGTCCTGGGTGTCCACCTGGACTGGGAACTGGTTTCCCTTTTGTGACTTGACGGTGAGTGTAATGATTGCCATTCTTTCTATATATGTTTATTATATATTATTATATATATGTTTGTTTGTTTGTTTTGTTATTATCTGTTATTGTTGTACAAGTATATTTGAGTATTGGTAACAATGAATATATAATGAATGGAAAGGATGTCTGGGCTGGAGAATGGTTTGGTAGGGTGGGAGATGGAGCAAGGGAGGTGTCAACGTCGACGTTACCTCAACGAGAAGATGAGGTAACTATTGTTCGCGTTTTTTACTCGTTTTCTTTTTGTTAAATTACAGGTTGATGAGATGGAAGCAGACATTCCATCTAGATTGTCGGGGTGATTCCAGCCTGATCAGGAGAAGTGTTAACATCTTGAGGTGAGAGTGTGTTTGTGGTCATGTGATTGATTGCTTGGCAGTGCATCACCAGATTTAAGTAAAGTAATTGTGGGTAATGTGGTTTGTGTGAGTTGTCGTTTCGTATGTTGTTTGTGTGAGTCATAGGAAGAGATGTAGGTCATTGTTTGACTATCTTCATGTGACAAACTCACATACAGACAGACAGACAGACGGAAGAAGAAGTAAACAGTTGTAGATGAATACTTTATCGGTACCGCAGCAGCAGCATCGACAAAGACATGTATTGTACTTTGTCGAAAGCGACACTTACAATGCGCTGTCGCATCATCAAACCAATATTGAACATATCATTATACAGTCGATGACGACACTAGATGACGACGACGACCATGAATTTAGGTCAGCTATCACACTCAACATATGCCTATTCCATTGTCCCTTAGTTAATGTATGTTAGGTGTATACGGACATTGAACATCCTCTTCGGATATACACCCTGAATTCTCACTAACTTACTTTGATTGATTGATTGATTGATCGATCATGTGATGCATGTCCATGCGACTAGTCAACTAAATCTATGATCGATTGGATTGGGCGATACTATGAGTTGACCAACCATGCTCTTGCTAAATTCAATGTACATCTACTCAAGATTGATTGCAATGTGTTACTACCATCACTTCAGTTAAAGGCCGTTGGTAGCGGTGATGGCAGTGATGTTGCCGGTGGCCCAATCAACAACAACAATAATACACCGATTATTAATGCTCTGTTATCAAGATTCGAACGTGGCTCGATCAATGCCATCTACATCACATCAACACATACTCAACTACAGATCAATGATATTATGGCACACAACAGTTCACGCTATGGAGGCATCACAATCACTTTGCTCGACAATCACGCCATCCCCTTTGGTTGGAATCATGTGAATGACAGTCAGGACCATGATGAGTCTCAGCCAACTGAGCCCAAACAAACAATGGATGAAGATGATGATAATAATGTACATTATGACAATGTGTTTGCTGGAGGCTTCTTTGATTACCTCCACAGCGGGCACAAGTACTTCTTGTCAGTTGGCGCATTGTTGTCCAATCACTACTTCCTTGTGACAGTGTTGCAACCGAGCGACACTGCATCCTCTACCAAACACAAGCAACATCTGATGCAACCTTTGGACACACGTATTAGACAGGTCAAACAGTTCATGGAACTATTCCATCCATATCATCAACACATTGATATTGTGCCCAATCAGAGATGCTCAGAGATTGGACGATGTCCATTGGTCACGAGACAATGTGGACCAAACGACGCCATACTACTCATCGAGGAGAGTGTGTCTAGTGGCGTCAAGATCAACGATTTCAGGCGGCGAAATCAACTTGCACCTTTACACGTATATAGAATCCAAGAAATTTCATCTGGGCGCACTCCCATGGCATCACCTACCACCAGTCCACTGTCATCTCCCACCAAGCTATCCTCATCCATCATCCGCACTATACTCGATGAGGAGGATCCAATGGCCTAAGTCGCACTATTCCACCAAGGACGGTGTTGTTGCTGTTGGAAGTGAAGTGCCAGTCAGTGATTGGAATCATTCCACCAGCACCAATTACATGGCTCATTGATTGTGATCAATCACCTATTCACATTATTCACTCCATCATGGTTTGGACATAGGCAAAGACTCCAGCAAGAGTCCAAGGATGACCATCCCGGGTGATGTAGTGGTCAGGAAGTATGGTATGTCACGTGATACTTGATTGACATTTGTTAAATTTCGCATAGATGTATTAAGCTAATGTCAGTGTTACAACCATAACAACAACACACTTCGGTGTAGTTGACTGTCATAGACGACGTATCCCCCTTCACCTCTATCAATCATTGGGCATGCCCAATAAAAGACTGTCGCGCGTGCAACACATTGGCAACAAACACCCAACCCCAAACGACAAAGTTGTTTTTGATTGAATGACACTTGTGTCACTTTCCATTATGACCTCCTAATCCCAATCAACATTGATGAATTCATATAACATTGACATCATATGATTCGGGAAACAGACCTACCTTCTAACAGACTCCTTGTCAACACTGTTTGACAGGACTTGCTTGCAGCATAGATAGATATTTGGTAATCTCGATGTTTGAAAGAATGAATGCATGAAGGTATGAATAAGGTAGGTCACACGCACTATCTTAAGTGATTGATTGACATTCGCGTCCCACCACCAACACGACCACGACCACTCCCAGGTCCTACACATTGATTTTGATTGGATCGGATTGGACCCTCCCCTTAGACCCTACGTTTGGACAGGCCTAGGCCCATGTAAAGGAGGTGTGATATAACCATCCCCTTCGTCTTCTTTTAACTTCCATAGGCAATAACCAAATCACTAATACTGCTTCGGATGGTAGCGAAATTTGAAGTGGACTCACTGTCAATCGTTCGCTATATATTGTGAACAGCTGTTCACATTCCATTTCATCTTCAGTCTACAACTACATAGTCTAAAGTCTTCAACACATACTCATAAATACTTATAACATAATGTCCTTCAAGTCTACTATCTTTGCTTTGATTGCCGTCCTCTGCTTCGTTGGTCTGGTCTCTGCCATGTGCAACAAGATGGCCTGCCCACCAGTCAGCCGTCTGAACTGCTGGCACAACGGCGGAAGATTCTTCCGCAGCGACATTACCTCTGTTGAGCCAAAGCACTGCTGTGACGTCTGCCTCTACCAAGGTGAGATCGACTCCTACTGCAACTCCACCGTCACCCTCGAGTGGTTCGACCAGAATGCCCGTGGATACCTCGCTGGTTGCCTTGAGGATCATGCCGTCTGTGTCATGAACCAGAACAAGTGTTTCCCATACTTGAACTAAAGTGTTAGAACTAGTGTTCTACCCATTCATTCATTCATTTATTCTTAATAAATCACTTCAGCGATCACCGTGACAGTAATACTGTCCACCTTATCAAACTTACAATGTATCTCTTTCATTCATCCTTCACTCAACTAAAGAACATAACATAACAACTAACTTTGAAGAGATGTCTCGAAACACATGTGTTGTTAATTTATTAGTATTTGTTCTTGGAAATGTATATAGATAGAGATATTCAACATAGTTGTGTAATAATAATAATTAGGAGTACTACTCTTCATCATCTTTTGTGGTCTCCTCAAAGTAGGTATCTAGGACAATTTGACGACGCTCCTTGGTATCGGTCAAGGCTTCGACACAATCTTTTCTCGTGGGGAACTCGTCGGTAGAACTTGTTATCTTCTGGGCCATCTCTTGTAGTTCCTTGAGTTTATAGCTACGAAGTAGTTTGGACTTCATTGACTTGATGGTCATGGGACTGGTAGAATCCTTCTTCTTTGGCGCTGGGGCTTTAGAGTCAGTAGACTTTGATGTTGTAGCTGTTGTTCTCGACTTTGTAGATGACATTATTTATATATATATTAAATGGAAAGGTATAAATATATATCTTTTATTTCTATTATGTTATTTCCTCAATATATGGTCAATGAATGTTTGAATGAAGTAAATAATGATGAAGTTATATTGGTATATATCTTAATTATACCACATGATTAATCTGGAAACCATTTATAATAAAGTATTTCTTAATAATAAGTATTATTCATTAGATTATTAATAAAAGTTTAATAGGTTTATTAGATTTCTTATGAAGTTCATTTGAATTATATTTAATAAACCAATAATAAATATATTTGGATAAACACTGATATATATAATTAGATATTTACTATACTAGTGTATTTTATAAGTATAACTACCAATATCGATCGATCAATGTTCCAGAATAAAAAATGGACAAGATAGTGTGGACTTTGAGAGTCGACGGGATGTGTGGGTTGAAGCATGACCCAAACGATTCAAACACACTCTGGGATGGGAAGAAACACGAAACAATCTGCTGATGAACAACACTCACAATCATCATCATTATGCATTCATTCAATTGAATTGTACATTGTAATTATATATATAATACTCTAGTGGACACAATCATCATCAACATTAACAACAACAATCATTCGATCGAATCACAAGTGTGACGACACACTTGAATATCTAATCAATCAATCAATAACAAAGATACATATACATATATATATTCATTGATATTATATAGATAGCTCATGCCTACACAGCCACCTCAGCCTAATACATTACAATGGAATAGTACCATTAGTAGTGGACCGGCTGTTAGGTCATCAACAACAACAACAACACCGACGGCAGTTGACCCATCATCACATGCACGTCATTTGAACCCAAAGATGATAGAGATGATATCAGGTTGTGGCGCAGGCGCCATGGCCTCATTGGTCACCACTCCTCTGGACGTTCTAAAGACAACGATACAGGTGCGATCAAATGAACACATTGGCGTGTGGCGTACTTTTAAAGATCTGGTCGGGCGAAGTAGTTGGCGAGCTCTATACATCGGCTTGAACCCGACACTCGTCGGACTGATACCATCTTGGTCGATCTACTTCCTCTCCTACAGCTTCTTCAAGACGTCGCTCGCCAAACACACTGGCCTCGATGAGGCCAATTCCTTTCCTCTGCACATGATGGCCGCCATGAGTGCTGGTGCTACAACATCCACACTCACCAATCCCATCTGGGTCATCAAGACTAGATTAATTGTAAGTCATCAGTTCAGCATCAAGTATCAGGTTCCATCATGTCAACGTGACACTGACACATTCATTCAATCGATCAATCGTTCGACCAATCATAGACACAAGAGATGTCAGGACGACAGAAACAGTACTCTGGCATTATTCAATGCTTTCAATCGATATTAAAGCAGGAAGGCGTGGCAGGACTATATAAGGGTCTTGGACCCAGTCTATTAGGTTTGATACATGTTGGAGTACAACTACCATTGTACGAACGATTCAAGATCATTATAGAGAGTGAGTACCTTGATCAATCAATCATTCAATCAAGTCGACTAACATATGTCATTGTTAAACAATCAATAGAGAGGAAGAAGACACCGTTGACAACGATGGATATTGTAATAGCATCATCGACGAGCAAGATGATTGCAAGCATAGTGGCGTACCCTCATGAGGTACTGCGTTCACGACTTCAAGATAGCTCACCAAACTCACCGCATAACTATAAGGGTGGCCTGTTACAGAACTTCAAACAGATCGTCCAACAGGAGGGCGTGCGTGGTCTCTACAAGGGCATGGGCGTCAATCTGATAAGAGTGACGCCAGCTTGCGCCATCACATTTGCCACGTACGAATACATTAAGAAGCAGTTGACTGGCAGTCCGAGCTGAGTGATGCATCATCTCTTATATAATATATTACAATAACAGGATCAAGTAATCATTGATTGATTGGCCATTGTATTTGATGATGGTGTTAATGCCAAGACCATTATTATTTTGCACTCAAGTAAACTTTGTTGGGTTCCATGGTAATCGCCAAGTGTTATATTGGTAGATTGATTGATTGTCGTTCTGTCTTAACTAATGTTTATCATTGTCAATATCTTTGGGTACCAAACTGATCAAATAGTTTTGTGTGTTAAGGAGTGGGTTTGATGATCACAAACCACAGTTGTACAAGTAACGGAAACACACACATTCATTTATGATCAAACACACACACTCACATCACGAATGATTGTTCATTTTGCTTTAGCCATTGATAGTGCAAAGAGATAATAGATAACTATATATAACAACAGAGGTAGATAGATAGACAGATATAGTGTTCAACAATCAATCAATCAATCCAATCAATATGACATCACAACAGTTGAATATTATATTGAAGTCGTTCAGTGACTTGAGTGAGAAGTCGTTGCGACAGACTGTTGCACTGTTCAAACCACACGACGATGTCGCAGAGATAAACAAAGCGGAGCGAGGCGAGTTGGTGTCCAGTATGAAGTCATTGATCTGCGCCGAGACCTACTCATTCATGTTGGACAGCGCATTGGGCTTCACAGATATCTTCTCCAAGCACTTCAACGTGCCCAACAACAAGGTGCTCGAGCAGCTGACCGCCACGGGCCTCGCTGCCAGTCTCGAGAAGCTGTCCAGCGACAGTCTGCTCGCCGTCTTCAAGCTGCTCTCACTCGAGAGCGACGACGAGCCCACCGAGAACCTGCCTCGTCAAGAGAAGATGTCGAGAATCGAGGAGGAGTGCTTCCTGCAGGGTGTCAACAAGCTGCTCAGCAAGTTGGATCAGGATGTGTTGAAGAGCTACTGCAAGGATCTCAAGCTTACATTTGACGGCAACGACAAGGCCAAGAACGCAGAGGAACTGATGCGAGTGATGTTCAATCTCACTGACGACGAGCCTCCCGAGATCCCCATCGCCGGCCCACCTCTCCCCGCACAGGGCAAGACCAAGAAGGCGCCGGCGGCGCCCAAGAAGGCGACCACCAAGAAGGTGCCGGCAGTTGCAAAGAACAAGCCAGCGGCCACCACCACCACCACAAGATCAGCAGCAGCAGCAGCAAAGCAGACAGAGATCGACGTTGACGATGACGAAGAGATTGTCTCCAGCACCACAAGAACAAGAAGGGCAGCAGCAGCAACTACAACAACTAAGAACAACAATGGCAATGGAAAGAAGAGTGGTGAGGCGACGAGCAAGAGGGTCCGACTGCCTGTGCAAAAGTATGAGGACGAGACCGCCGCCGCTTCAGCAGGTGGCAACAAAAAGAGGAAACAGGTGGATAGCGATGTCGAAGAAGACGACAACGATGACAACAACGACGAAGAAGAAGAAGACTATGGATATAATGACAAACGAGCAAAGAGTGCCTCTACACAATCAACCATCACAAGTATGGGCGGCTACTATGATAAGGGCCGCTTTGTATCACCGCCGATCAGCAAGATCGTCCAGGGCGTGACGGCACTGGACCTGCATAACAACTACAACCTGGAGCCACTGCAGGAGTTCTGCAAGCTCAATGACATCCCGTGCGTATCCATGAAGAAGCAGCAGCTGACCAGAGTCATCGTTGCATTCCTGGATTACGGCGTGAAGCCCGAGCCCAAGAAGCCCAAGCTCACCAAGAAGCAGCGAATGGAGATGTTGGCGCAGAAGAAGCTGGCAGCCAAGTCATCTGTCAACGATGAGAATGGCGACAATTGAACGATCCCCCAAAGACCCAGGGATCGTTCATTGAGCACTCCCCAAACCATAGAGTAAACAGATATAGGTCATGTACACATACTACACACTCCTCTCTCGCGAGTCTTTCTTTATTCTTGTGGCTGCTCTTGTAACAGATACTCAATGTTGCGTTGGATGATGGCCTGTGTGACTGGCGGGCACTTGGCCTTGCCAATGCGCTCCAATTGAGTGATGGTCGCCGGATTCTTGTAGCCAAAGCGTCCAAAGCCTGGGAATCCAAAGCGGAACACCATGCTCATTGGATGAAGTGGATTGTCTGGCTGTGACACAAGGCTGGCCTTCCAATCTGAATAGTCCACTTGTTTGAGTGGTCTCATTGTAGAGATACCCGTACACAGATCATCCAAAGATACTGAAGTCTCATTGATGATATGGAACACCTTGATATTGCTGGCCACGGCAGTATTGTAGTTTTCTGATTGGAGTGCCAATGAGACTATTGATGAACTGGCCCAGTTGACGGGCGACAGATTGAACATACCGCCACCACCTCCAATCGTACTCTCGATGAGTGGATAGGCAGACATGTGTAGTATACCCTTGAGTAGTAGCCTAACAAAGTCATTGGGGTTGTCAACACCAGTGGCAGAATTGGCATATACAGTGGCCGGTCTAAACATTAACACGGGTACACCTCTGACCTGCGCTTGTTTGACCAGTTGCTCAGCAATCAGTTTGGACTGATTATAACCGTTCATCATGTCAAGGTTATCCAATGTTGGTGTGCTGGCCTCGGTGATCACTGAGGATCTGTCTGAGAATGTGCCAATGGTTGATACATGTGCCACACGGATGATGTAGCTACCAGCGCAGGCCAGTCTAATAATCTCTTGTGTGCCAAGCACATTGGTGGCCTTCATGTTTGGATATGGGATGACCATGTTGACAACTGCACCATTATGTAGAATTAGATTGACTTGGTTGGCCAGCTGAGTGAATGCATCAATGGACAGTCCGAACAGTGGTTGATCCAGACATCCAAGGACTGGTATGATTCGACTTGCCTGCTGCTCGGTCAAGCTCAGTTTGTACTTGTTGAGTAGATTGATCAGTCTATCCTTGGCCTCCTCCATGCTGGAGGTACCTCGAACGAGACAATGGACCTTGTCAACACCTTGTTGTGAGAGCAACTCATACAGAAGGAATGATCCCAGGTATCCTGAAGCTCCAGTCAAGAACACATTGTTGCCAGTGGTTCCATTCAAAGGTGCTAAACTCTTTCCATTGATCTGTATAGTGTCATCCAACATCATCTCCTTGGTCCAATCAATGAATGATGTTTGAACATCCACCTCTCCCATATTCTCCTTTGCCATCTTGGCCAAAGTCTCCAAGTTATTGTTGTTGTTAAGTATAAATGCTGGCGAAACAGTGATGTTTGCTTTCTCTGTTGTTCATGATTGGACGATGTGTAAGTAACTTGTTTGATTGATTGGATGGCTCGATGGCTGGGGAATGTTGACATTGCTTACCCTTTAGCAAGTTTGATAATCTGATGGCACCAAGTGAGTCACCTCCAATGTTGGTGAAGGTCAGCTTGGACATATCAATGTCACTGGCTTGTTGCGAGTCAACTCCAAGGATCTGTCTGAGGTAGGTCTCCACCAGTCCTCCATTGTTTGAATCATCACGTAGTCCAACTTGAATGGAATCAATAGTGTCATACATTGTATTAATTCTCTCCTTGTAGAATTGATACAAATGATTCCTACTATACTTTCCAGATCCAGTCAACAAGTGATTGTCCACAGTCCACACAGTATTGTCAATGGCAATAATCTTTGGTATCTCATAGTTGGCCAACTATAACATGATTGAGTGAGTGAGTGAGTATAGTGAGCGAGTGAGGTATGGACGTTGACTGACTTACCTTGATCTCAGTTGCTATCCTTTGGATCTCCTTCATTACGATGTTCTTGAGTGGCAGACAATTGTCTTTGTCTTGGATCGTCGACTCATTGGTGATACCATGTTGCTCGAGGACACTCTTGCGTGGCATTACAACGGCCACAAGGAACGTCTTCAATGTGTTGCCATAGATGAACATCTGCTCGATTAGGTCACTGCCCAGGAAGTGGTTTTCCAGAGGCTCTGGTGCGACAAACTCTCCATTGCTTAGTTTGAAAGCATTCTTCTTTCGATCGATGATCTTGATCTTGCGTGGACCCAGTTGCTCGACAATATCGCCTGTCTTGAACCATCCATCCTCTGTCCTCGAGTCATTGGTAAGCTGATCATTGCGGTAGTATCCTGAGCTCATTGTTGCCGACTTGACCACAAGCTCACCCCTGGGGTTGGGCTTGTCTTCTGGCGAGTATCCAAACTCTGGCACTGGCTCCAAACGGAATTGGATGTCCTCTGCAACGTATCCATCTACAAATATTCCAATGGCCTCGCTCAGACCATAAGAGTTGGCTATTCCAGTCTTTGGCCAACATCTCCTCATGAAGTTCATGACATCCTCGGATGTGGGCGCACCTCCAGTGACAATTGAGCTTACACGATTGCCCAACACTTGTGAGAACTGCTTGACAACCTTCTCCTCACAGTACTCTCTACTGCTCAGTGGGTGTGACTTGGTGAACTGCTCCAACTCACTCTGGTATTGAGAGTAGATTAGGTTCCACATGCGTGGCACTGCCCAGAAGATGTGTGGTCGCAGCTCCTTGAGGTCGTCGAATAATGACTCCATACTGCCTGAGAATATACCAATCTTTGCACCATGATACAGCATCTTGTAATCAAATCTGCGCTGTGAATGTGACAGTGTGGCGAAACTGAGTGATGTGCCTGGATACTCGATGAATGACTTTGTGATCGACTGATTGAACTCTGAGTCCTTGATGATCACTCCCTTTGGAAGTCCTGTACTTCCACTCGTGTAGGCTGATCAAAGTGAGTGAAAGTGTGAGTGAGGGTTAGGGCTGGAATCATCCCATGACGATCCAATCTATCAATCAAACATACTTAGACTGAATATCTCGTAGGATTGAATTGGATTGTGATGTACATCCTTGACCTTGTATCCACCAGTGATCATCTCTGACAGGCGACGGAAGGTCACATTGTTTGGTATTCTTGATATGACATCCTGGTCCAGAGTATCCTCCATCTGAACGATCAACTTGATACCCTCATACTCCTTTGCAACCAATATATCCACAAGCAATGGTAATACACTATTTGATATAAACATACATGATGTCTCAGAGTTGGACAATGTCTCCACCAATGTATCATGATCTAATAGGGCCAAGTTAGGAATGATTGATTGAGTAGGTGAGAGAACATGATATTATGGTACTCACTAACTTGATGATGAATTGGCACAACTGGCATGCCATACCAGAGACAGGCGAGATCAGCACAATACCATTCATAACAGTTATTGGCGCATATTCCAACGAACGACCTCTAATTGATTGATTGATTGAGTGATGGTAAGTAAAACAAGTTATTGGAAGTATCCAAGTGATAACTTACCGATGGTATCAAACTGACTAATGACCTGCCCAACATCTCAGTCTCCTCTTGGAATAGCTCATATGTCATCCAGACAAACTCTGCAAGTCCGTATGGATGCTCCTTTGAAATAGGGACCTTCCTCCTTGTTCCAATACAATGTCTATCCTTATGATCTCTAAATGAGTTCCTAAGTGAATGATAAGTTGTCTCTCCAACATTGGACAATGCCATCGCCAGTTGTGACTCTAGAGAGTTTGGTCCAAAGTTAGTTAGTATGAATGTTTGGATGGATGTGATTGGAATGATTCCATTCAATTTGATTGATTTGGATGATGATCGTACTTGTCTCAAGAGTGAATCTATGTGGTAGGGGAGCAGTGTCGGCATGATGATAACCAAGTGCCTTTTCATGTTTACGGATCAATGCCAATCTTGCCTCTTCAATGGCCTTGTCATCTTGATCGACATTGTTGGATTCCAATGATGATGTTGATGATCTATCTGGAGTCTTGTTGGACAATGATTCATTGTATTTTGTATAATACTTCTGATCTTTTTGCCAACACTTCTTGCAAAGACTCATTTCACGACATTCTGAACAAACATATCTCTCCTGTCCCAATTGCATCTGGCTTGTACAGCCAATACAAAAATATGTGGCCACTACATTATTGGATGCTGTTCATTCATTCATTCATTCATTACAGTGAGTAAGTTAATTTGGACAACAAAGTCAATCAATCAAACATACAATCCGACTTTTCCTCTTTGAGTACATGTTTCAAAGCGGACATCCTTGATTTGATTGAGTCCAATAATCCTGTCATCTCTCTATTATTATTATTATTATTCTATTTAATATGTATATAACTATTAATTTACTTTATGATGTATCGTTTGTATGAATGAATGAAGGTATGAATGTAATTAATGTCAAACCGTTGATCGAGACACTGAATCGACAAAAATAGTTTGATGAGAGATATCTCAAAATGGTCTAATTTTCATCGAAGTCAATGAGTTGGAAGAGTGTGATTGTTGGTGCAAGGTGGTATTGTTTGTGTGGTTCATTCCGTGTTCTTTCATTGTGATTGGTCATTAACAAGATCAGAATGACAACATACCCCAGGGCACGTTAATGAATGAGTTGTCAATCGATGCAGACTCGACTCTGGTCTGGTCGATATTATGATATTATTTTTGGTTTAGGCTGAATAGCTTATATCTAACTCCTCTACAATTTATTTAATGGGGCGGACCTGTTGGTTTACTTTCTCTTGTTGGCAACCTGCTTCTTGGTGCGGGCAACGTTGGCAGCCTTAACCATCTTTCTAACCTCGAGAGCAACCTTGTGGTTGACCTATATTATAGTTTGATTTGATTGATTGATTGATTGATGATGTTAACAATTGTTCGATATTCATTCATTCATTAATGATCGTGCGAGTTGTGATGTTGCTGAGGTTGTTGATGGATTCCTGTCAAACTCAAAGTTGATCATGTTCGCGATAAGTTCGTTCCCAAACACAAATCTGTACTAAATGTACTCGAGTAGTCTGTCGCTATTCAATCGAAATCAATCCGTATTGGTGTGCTGTCGCTGTATGTATCAACCGAACCTGCTGCTGCTGCTGTTGTTTGAATGATTGTGTATGTAATGTATATCGATACTTACGACCTTCTTGGCGATGCGAGCCTTGAAACGCTCGAAATCGGTGGAGGCAGCCTTCTTCTCATGAGCAGCGACGGCCTTGACAAGACGGAGTCCGCTGATCTTGGTGTCGAGATCGGCAGCCTTGATAGCCTTGTTGAGGGTACCAGTGCGAGCACCTCTCAAGATGTTGAGCTTCAACTTGGACAGAGAGATCCACTTCAAGTTGATGACGTGACGTGGGACACCGGTGGATGGACCGTGAACCAAGACCTATAGTTGTTGAATGATCGATGATTAGCTAATCTGTGTTTCTGTCGATGATGCTGATGCTGATGCCTGCAGTTGGATGATAGATTGATTGATTGATCGCGGATAGAGAGAGAGATAGATGACGTACTCTGTTTTGATCGAGGACATCGAGGATGATGGCAGTCTTGTTTCTGAAGGCGCCAAAGTTGATGAAGACGACGCGTCCAATCTCAACGAACAAAGTGTACTTGCTAACCAACATTATTGGATTGTATAGGATTCGGTATTAGGTATGAGCTGATAACGAGTAAGCTTGGCGATACATCTAACTCAAAGACGAGGTTAGGTGGTCCCTCGCGCACCCATCTTCGCAAACACTCTCATTTCCATAAAACATGAAAAAATTCAAATTTAATTAATATCCAATAGAGTAACGTTATCAAATCAGAGTTCCAGATTGAGCGATCTTCATTTACCCCACTCCATCATTCACAATGTCAAAGGGATGGTCCCTCATTCAAACTTGTTGTTGAACTTAATAATAACTCATGTAATAAGTTATGGCAATGACAGGAGCAAGAGTTACACATAATGGTGCCAACAATAATAATAAACCAAGTGTTGGCAATAGAGGCAGCATCATTGGTAACCCTGCAGGAAGATCACATGGTACATCAGGGTCATCAGGGTCATCAGGATCATCATCATCAACAAACAAGACTGGTAATAGGAGTGGTAGGAATAGGGATGATGATACAAAGTCATTCATCACATCTTGGTTGTTGAACATTGCATCATCAAACTTTGTATTGGACACTCTGTTGGTAGTTGTCATGCTCGTACATCTCTCAATGTGTCCCTACACCAAAGTAGAAGAGAGCTTCAATCTACAAGCCATGCATGACATACTATACCATCAGACTGATCTTGACAATGTATGTACCCTGCCCTGCCCTTGCCCTCACTCACATCTCACTAACAATCAAACAATCAAACATAGTATGATCACCTTGAGTTCCCTGGAGTTATTCCTCGTAGCTTCATTGGCGCATTGTTGGTGTCGACGTTGTCGTATCCATTCGTTTGGTTGTCACAGTATTATATGCTTTGGAATAAGTTGGCTAGTCAGTATGTGGTGAGGGCTGTGCTGGGACTGCTTGGCATCGCTTCGTTGTCATTCATGCGCAGATCAATCGCTCGTCAATTCGGTAGAGACACTGCTGTCGTCTTCACACTGGTCTTGCTGTCACAGTTTCATCTGCTCTTCTATCTCTCGCGTCCACTGCCCAACATCTTTGCATTGGCATTGGTCACTCTGGCCTATGGCTGTTGGCTGCGCGACAAATACTCTTCAATGGTGGCCCTGTTGACCGTCAGCATCTTTGTATTCAGGAGCGAGGTGTTGGTGCTGGCGGGTCCAGTCGTCCTGGCGCTGCTCGTTACCAGACGACTGTCATTCCTGCGCTTCGTACTCATTGGAGCGATCACGGCCGCATTGGCCATTGGCGTCAGCGTGCTGGTCGACTCATACTTCTGGCGACGAACACTCTATCCCGAGATGGAGGTGTTCTTGTTCAACACGGTGGAGAATCGCAGTCATGAATGGGGCACGATGCCATGGCACTGGTACTTTAGCTCAGCACTTCCTCGTGCGCTACTCCTTTGGTTCCCCGTTGGATTGATTGCGCCCGTAATCGTTGAGCGTCGTCGTCTCACACCATTCATACTTCCAACACTTCTCTTCATCATCCTCTACTCCTTCCTCCCTCACAAAGAGCTTCGATTTATCATCTATGTCTTGCCCATCCTATCCATGTCAGCATCAGTACTCATTGCCAAAGTGTAAGTTATTCAGTTCATCATCCATGATGGGGATAGTTCCACTCACTCACTCATTCACTCACTCAATCAATCAATCATTCCCGATCACTTTAGGTTCCGACAACTTGGAAAGGGAACAATGTACAAGTTGATGGCATTGGGCTTCGTGGCGGCAATTGTGGCCAATGCAACGATATCAGCAGGCTTCTTGTATGTGTCCTCGTTGAACTATCCAGGTGGACATGCATTCACCCGACTTCATCAGGTTGAATCGGGTCGTTTAGATCAACCACTCAATGTACATATCGATAACCTTGCAGCCATAACAGGTGTAAGCAGATTTGGTCAACTATCATCAAAATGGACGTAAGTATCCCAACATCCATCATCAATCATCCTCTCCATAATCCATTACCTAACTTTGTTTGTTTGGAACTTATTGTAGATACTCAAAGAAAGAAAGAGATGTTGAATATTTGGACTATGACTTATTGATCGCACCGAATAGAACAGCATCAGAAGATGGTCTTGGCTTTAATACAAAGGATAGTGTTTCGGGCTTTGTCAAGCTCCAACGAACATCATCTCCACCCTACATTCAAGTGATCCAGGAGGAACAACTATTCATTCTTAGCAAAAAACCACAACAAGTAAACTAGTGATCAATCACTTTACTTCATTTCTATTCACCTCACTACATCAAATACATAATAGGCAATACCTGTTAGATGAGTGATGATCATCACTCTCTCAATTACCCTTCATCACCTCACTCACTCTCTTGTCCATCAAGTCAACAAACACACACACTTCCCAAGCTAACCAAACCACGCTCACTCATTCATTCAAACATTCAATCACACTCACTCATTAACAAACAAACAAGAATGAGTGATTGACCAAAGGGATGCGTATGATTAGGGATGCGCATTTCCATTTGCCCCTAACTGGCAATACAACAACAACAATAACAACAGCCAACAGCCAACAGTATAAACAAACACTATATACTTCCTGTCATATTTAGAAGGAATCGTCTATCCTCCCTTGTGTGTTTGGCCAACACTAAACAGGTAGGCGTACTACACATCTATAATGCATTTGTTTGTTAATATATGCTCTGGACGGAACTGAACTGAACTGAACTGGATTGGGAATGGACTGTTCACCTTCAATCTGTCCATCAATCAATCAATCCATCTCAACCAATCAATTAATCAATCAATCAATCAAAAATAATTATATATATTATATAGTTTACTAAATTATTATTATTTAGAATGATGAAGTTGGCATTATTAACAACAACATTGTTGTTGGTATCAGTTATAAGTGGAGAGATATTATCTGGACAATTACAGACTAATGATAATTGGTACCTATTGGACAAGTTTTGTTTGACTGAAGAAGACTCAACATTCATCGTCAATGTTGATTTCTCAAAGACACCAAATGCCAGTCTACTCCTCTACTCTGACCTCTCCACCAACTGGGGCACAATCGAGAGTTATCCATACTCATCATGTTACACAAGAGTAAGAGAGTTGACCAAGTTACCTTGTTATAACAATGTTGAGACTAATGTACCATTCAATTCAATTAGTTGAGGTCAGTTAGTACAACTATAAATATAAATACACCAGAGTTGATGGGAAAGTCATTGGACGTTGGCCAGAAACGTGATAGATGGTGGTATCTTGTCTTTGCCAACTGTGGATCAAATGATGGCAGTGACTTTATAATTGATATCCCATCATACTCGATTATAATGAAGAATGGAGGTGATTCGTTCAACTCTATCATCTCGGCAGACCAGCAGAACATCCCTCACGCACAGATATTCTTTATTATCTTCTTCTTCATCCTTTTGGTCGTTACTATGATCAATATTGTATTCCTTGTACAACGTAACTTGGAGTCAAAGGTGATGAAGTTGTTCTCTGTAGTGCTCCTGTTCAAGATCCTGGCCCTATTCGTTTGCCTCACCTATTGGGCATACTTCTTCCATCAAGGCTATGGTATGGATGCTATCAACTTGGCTGGTAACACCATTGACCTCGTATCAAGATCATTCTTCATTCTCTTGCTCCTCCTGGTTGCACAAGGATGGACCATCTCTCCATACTATGGTGGAATGGGTACTAAAGTGATTGCCGCTGGAGTATTCTTTGTCATCCTCATCCTCTCAATCTGCATCTACCTGATCCCCAACGTCACCACCATGCCAACAAGAATGTACATATTCTTCTACGATACCATCCCTGGTTACGCACTAATGGCCTTCTTCCTGGCCATCATGATCTACTTCATGGTCCTGTCACGCTCCACCTACATCAAGCAAGTTGATCACATCAAGAAGAAGTTCTTCCTGTTCTTTGGCGTGACTTTCACATTCTGGTTCCTTATGCTACCAATCAGCGTTGCCTTGTCTCACTTCTTGGAGACTTGGGTTCGCCAAAAGACCGTTGTAATCTTCAACCTCTGTGTTGACAGCATCTTCTTCCTGATCATCACGGTCTTGTTCCGCGCCTCAAAGACCAACCCATACGTCCACATCCTCAACCTCGATCAACAAGAGAAGGGTGTCCGTCTTGATGACAAGGGATACCAAGGTGAGGCCTCAGCCTAATCATCAATCCAATCATGTTTGTAAACATGATCCCCAAGTGTTATCTCTACCCTATATACATATACCAACCATAAAGTACTATCTATCTATTCCGAACTACAACTCATACCCTTTTCGTTGTACTTCTGTTCACTCTTTCCTACATTTCGCCAGAGTTGGTAGTGAGTTGTCGTCATCAATCAACTTCACAAGGATGTTCCAAGACGTGTACTGTTGACAATACTATTATGATGGAATGGATATTGACACCATGTCTATTTGGATATTGGAATGCCCAAATTGAGTAATGGTCGTATTGGTATAACGTGTTGGTATAATTATCAATCCCTTGTTTGGATGTATTTGAATATATGATTGATTGATTGATTGTGAGTGTGATGGTGTGGACAATAATAGCAATCAATCACAATCAATCAATCAATCTAAATATATATTACACCCAACTAGTTGATTCAATCTTAGATTCAACCATTGACCATTATTCCATTGTCTACTATGATCACTCTTTGTCAACTTGGATGATGAATGTACGAGTATAGTTTGGACATCAACTTCACCAATCAACGATGAACTTGAGGCTATTATTAATCATTTGTCATTTTTGTTGTTGGTGCTTGTGTGTGTGTGTGTGTATGAAGAAGTAGTAGTAGTACATGTAGGATATTGATTTGTATCTGTTTGATTTGTATAACTGTAGGGGTGTGTGATATTATTATCAATCAACCCCCAAACACACACTTGCAACAACAGATCCATCAACACACACACTAGACAACAACCAACCCACCCTTTGCGATGGGAGAAGGGTAGTGCTAGCTGAGGCAACGAGGTTGTTGGTGGACATCCTTCTAGCTCTGGCCTGGCTGGCTGGATGGATGGATGGTTGTTTGTGTTGGTGTTAATGGGAAAGGGAAAGATACACACAAACACACAGATACATACTTACCTTCATACATCCATCCACTGTTTGATATTGGACAACAACAATAACAACAACAATAACAACAACAACAACAGTATTAGCAGTAGCAAGAGAGCAATAGCAGGTTCAGGGACAGTGCACTCAGAAGAAGAAGAGGAGAGTGTAGTGTAGTGTAGAGTGAGAACGTCAATGATGATGAGGTGATGTGTGAGTGCGTGTCTTTCCTGATTCTCCCTTGCTTGCTGTCCACTTCCACTCCACTTCCACTCCACTTCCCAATTCAACTACCAATCAAACGATACTACACCTACTTCCTACGACCCTTACCTTACCTTACCTACCTACCTACTACATCAACGTATCTTTAGTCTTTTTCCTAATCGATAGCCAAGGTTTAGGAAGAATATACCTTTACCCTTCTTCAAGTTCAAGGAGGAGGAGAGCGAGAGAACTAGAGCGAAACACAGTGACTGAGTGAGCTGTAGGTATCGATCAAACATCCATGGCTGTTCAACAAGTTAGTCTAACAATCACAGGCAACACATAACAACAGCAGCAGTTAGAGACACACATAATGGACATTGACGCTAAATTACAAGAAAGGCGGAGACAGAGAGAAGAACGACGTATTAGAGAGGAAGAGGAAGAAAGACGACAGGAAGAGGAGAGGAAACGAAAGGAGGATGAAAGGAACGATCGCAAGTTGCAGCGTGAGCGTGAGAGAAAGGATCGCGAGGACAAACAACGGCTCGAGATGGAAATGTGTCTCAAAAAGGCCGAGGACGAGCGACAGGCGCGCCGCGAGGAGCGAGAGCGAAAGAAGAAGGAAGATGAACGTCGTCTGGCCGAGGAGGAGGAAAAGCGTCGTAAGGAGCGCGAGGACCGCGAGCGCCGAAAGAAGGATGAGGATGAAGAGCGACGTCGCAAGCAGCGTGAAATCGAGGAGGAGCGCAAGCGATTGATGGTCCAGCGCGAGCTAGAGCATTCCAGTCAATCAATCAATTCAAAGAGCAGTGTTGTCAGCATCACTGCCAGCATCAGCAGTAGCAGCGGCATCAACAGTCCGAGCAACAGTGGCCTCAGCAGCAGTAGCAGCGGCAGCAGCAGTCCAAGAAGTATACTAATCAACAAAAGCTCCGTCTCGGTGGCGGCGTCAACAGCAGCGGCGACGACGCCAAAGAAACCCACGCCCAAACAGATGATTGAGAAGATACTTCAAGGTTGCAGCAAGTCCAACAATCAATTGACAGCGACTGGCAACGAGCCAGTGATCAACGTGCTGTTCACGGACGAGTTGAGGGAGGAGGTCATGGACCTGGTCCAGTGCGGCTTCAAACCACTCTGCGAATACCTCTCACTGCCCGAGTCCATCCAGACAATGATGCAGGTTGTGGTCGACGTGCCACTCTGCACCCAGGTGTACGCCGCGAGACAGTCTTTGATCCAGGGCACAGCCTCGCCGGAGCTGAAGAACGCCTATGCACGCCTATCCACCTCGTTCGAGATTGTCAAGGGCGCGATCATCACAGTGCCACGCATCATCTGCGAGCCCAGCAACTACTCCATCCTGGACACACTGTTTGGCGTCATTGATTACCAAGAGCTGCCGACGGCCAACATCCAATCATTCGTCGATCTGATAACATCGCTGCTGGGCAAGAAGAAGGAGCTGCTACAATACGTGTCGGAGCGACGTGACACTGTGCTCCAGTCGCTCATGCAACACATTGCGTCGTCCAACATCATCGACCTCCTGCTCAAGATGATCGACGTCGAGATGCAAACAGTTGGCAACACCACAACCTCCTTCTTGAATGTATTCAGCTCTAGCACTCCTGCCTCGGGTGCGGCCGCCGCCTCCAAGGACAAGCCATCATGGACAAACCACCTGACGCCATACCTCATACTTAAGCTCAACGAGATATTCAGCGTCGAGCGCTCAGGAGACCTTTTGGAAAGTGAGATTGACAACATCACGCGACTCATCACCGAGGTCATCAAGAAGTACTCCAAGTCCAAGATTGCCCATCAGTTCTTTGTACAATCATTCTCCAACACGCTGCTCAAGAACGCCTTCAAGGTCGTGCTGGAGAATGACCTTGTCCGCTTCACGCCCTCCTGTTCCATCCTACATCTTGTGGCCACAATGATTGAGTACAGCTCCATAACAACCAATCAACAACAATCCCAAGACATGGCACCTATCATTGGAATGTTGTTCAAACCAATCATTGTTCTAAATGATGGCCGAGAGATGACCACAATTGAAGCCGTCAATGATATCATGTCGATGCCAGGTGGCTACTCTGAGCCCTACGGCATGATCCGACTCAAGTGCCTCAGTGTCATACAGGCCATGGTCAAGGTGAATGTGCCCAAGCTGGACCAGGCCATTTGGGAGAGTGGCATCATGAAGAAGTGCGTCAACATCTTCTTTGAGTACGAGTCAAACAACATTGCCCATAGCGCCATCGAGTCCCTGATTACACCTCTAATCCAGCGCAGTCTTGGCTCTGATGACGAGGAGTTTATGTATCATCTACTCAAAGACTGTGGCTTTGTCAAGCGCACCGTAGAGGTCCTCCTCGCCTCTACCCCATCCATCCCAGTGGCAGCTCCTGTGCCAGTACAAGAGAAGAAGGAGTCTCCTGGCACCTCATCCAACAAGTCGGTACGGTTTGCCGCTGATGGCGCTGATGTGGTTGAGGACAACTTCTCACTGCAGAAGAAACCATCGACCAAGATCAGGAGAAGAGTATCCTTTGCTGGTGGTGAGTCCGAGGAGGACAAACTACCAAAGAGAGAGAACTCGCTCGAGAATCTGTTCAAGCGACCCACGAGTACTACAGCGTCTGAGCAACAGGACGACAAAAAGAAGAATGGCTTGACCAAGCCAAACTCTCTGAGCGTGGAGATATGTGGCGCCGACACCGAGGTTGTCCTGTCTAAGCTCTCCATTCACGACTCTTCAAATCGACTTGTGAATGGAACCAACAACAACACCAAACAACATTGTAACACTAGTAATGGATCCTCCTCCTCAAAGCAGGGACCGCAGCAACAGAAGAAGGTTTATCAGAATATTGGACACATCCTGTCGCTATGTATAGAGGTCACGCACATTGTCAACAAGAGCAAGAATCAATTCCTGCGCGACATTGTTGACGAGTGCTGTGGCGACGGCGACTCTTGGGACCAGGTAGTCGTGCCCAGGCTCAAGAAGGAGATATCATACAGGAACAACAAGCCTGTCGGAACCGTATCCATGCGCAAGAGCAAAGGCAAACCAGTCCTTTTCGAAACGGAAGACATACAGCCAATGACTGAATCGGGTGTCCCGATCGCTCCGACAGAGACCTCGTCCAAGTTCTTCTTCTAGTATACCTACCTACATCCTTTCTCACTTCCTTCTTCCCCTCCTCCCTTCACTCCATACCAATGGACCAGATGGTCCTAACTGCGCCCCTGCTGCTACTCTTGCAGTGGACAACCTTCCACCAATACTCTACCGCACCCTATTTATTCAAGCCACAATCATCACCTTCACCGCCACCATCCATATCAATAAAGTATTATTACTACTTACCTAACATTCCATCGTTGATCGACTCATTGATTGATTGATTGATTGATTAGCACCTCTGCCAGCTGATTGATAAACACTTTATTTCTCGACGGTGACAAGTTGCTCTGACAGCATCTTCCTTTCCTTGACCTGTCCCTTGCTGTGCTTGATAACGTTCTCCTCCTTCCTCTTCTTGGCTTGATGCATGACGTTCTTCAAGAAACGCTTCTTGTAAATAGCCTTTGGTACTCTTCGATGTCTGTTACATTGTTGAGAAAGAGTTTGATTGATTGAGCGAGAGTTAGAATGTGATTGGAATGATTCCATGGATTGGTAACTTACTGTGCAATTGTCTTGATCTCTGGTATCTCCTTGAACTTATCCTTTAGTTTGTCGCTGTATTCCAGTTGCTCCTTCTGTCTGTGTGCGATCATACCCATTGGCATTGATGCCTTGCTCTTCCAGATACGAATGTTCATGTCGTCACTACCAGACATGACAAACTTGGTGTCGGCGGTGAACAGCACCGAGAAGATGTGCTGCATACGATTGGTGAAGTAGACCTCTCTGCTGTTGTACGAGTCGGTCGAGAAGATACGGATGGTCTTGTCGTAGGAGCCCGTGACAAACTCGTCGCCTGTCGGACTGTAGTCAATGTCGAGCACGGAGCCAACGTGGTCGCGATGCAAACTGATTGCTCTCTTGAGATTCCTGATGTCGTATTGGTAGGCGTTCTCGTCCTCGTTGGCCAGGGCGATCACGTAGGCCTTGCGAGGGTTCCAAGAGGTGGCGTTCGATCGCATCTTGGTGATGAGCTTCTGAACAGCCGAGTTGGCGCGAATGTCGTACAGAATGACCTCGCGATCACTAGTGCATGCAGCCAACAGGTTGTTCTCGATGGGATTGAAGCGAACACGTGTGACTGACGCGTGGCCCCATGTCAGACGCTGCATTGGTGTGGATCGCGTCTGGTCCCAGATCGAGACGTCGGTGCCAGACGTGGCGAATGTGAGCGAGTTCAACTGATGATCGATCGATGTGAAAGAGTGTTGACCTTTGTACACTGTTGTCGCTTCCCTCTTCTCGCATGTATAGTCAGGTGGAGTCAAGTCCCACAACTTCACAGTCTTATCCTCTCCACATGATAGTATACTGTTTCCATTCGGTGCAAATGACAATCCTCTAACGAATCCATTATGTGATAATATATTAGCTGTCTCCTTCCTATTGATTGATTGATCGTTAGTTAGTATGAATAACATGAATGATTGATTGATTGAATGAATGAATGAGTGATGATATGTACAATGTTGATAGATTCCATAGTTTGATTACACCATCGCATGAACCTGATGCAAAGCAGTTGACTTGGTTGGGATGACGAGTCATCGAGAAGATACCATCGGTGTGACCAGTGAGTGCTGCTACGAATGGTTTGGCAAAGACCTTGTCCAACTTTACAGCATTTAGTGCTCTAACATATTCACGAGGTCTCTCAAATGGATGAACCAAAGGATCTAAATTACGTTGCATCTTCCTAACATCTGTACTCAACTCCTTTGTCTGGTCCTCTTCAGACCTACTAATAACTTTGATTTTCTATATTCGTTTGTTTGTTTGTTTGTTTGTTTGGTTGGTTAGGCTGTGCGAGAGTGCGAGCGACTTCATCAATCATACCATTGTATGTATATATATGTATAAATAGATTGATTGTTGAGAGTTTGACTTAGAACATAATAATTGAAGTGATTAGGAGTCGTTCGTTTTTATGTCTTTGTTGTGATTTGGTGTATTTATTTCACCTCGCGAGTCAAAACAGTGCCAAGCGCCAAATCGAAATTTTCGACAAGTATGAAGTGAGAGACGAAGCTAAGATTATCGTCAGTCTTTTGAACTCCTCTGTGATACATATATACAAATACTTAATAGATAGATAAAGATGTTTTGGGGTATGTTCTCATTTTTTAATGTATTGTCATGATTGATGAAATTCTAACCTTGTGCACTCAATCAATCAATCAATCATTTAATCAATCAATCACTCGCTCGACAACATTCATTCATTCGCGTTCATATTCTTAATCAATGATATATAGGATTGGAAGTTGGAAACAAGCCAGTGACATTCACACCACCATTCGATGCTCATTTGACTGCTGCATGTTTGACTGCTGCTGCCAAGGGTGCTGAGCGTAATGTTTTGGTCGTCAAGTATGACGGAAAGGAGTACTCGCTCTGCTCACTCAAGCTTGGTCTGCTCGAGTCATCTCAGGTCGATTTGATCTTTGAGGAGAACAAGGAGATCGTCTTCCAGGTGCTCGGTGGTGGTCAGCCAATCCACTTGTCCGGCTACTTTGTCTCATCGATGGATCACGCAGAGGAGGAGGAGGACGACGAGTTTGACGACGACGAGGAGATCGAGATGGACGACTCTGAGGAGGAGGAGGAGATCGAGGTCCCCCAGCCACAGAGCCTCAAGAGAAAGAGTGATGCTGCCGACAAGTTGGCTGCCATCCCAGTCAAGAAGGCCAAGGAGACTCCAGTGCCAGCCAAGCCAGAGGCTGCTCCAGCCAAGCAACAGACCCCAACCAAGCCAGCCGCCGCCGCTGCCTCCCCAGCCAAGAGCGCCTCGCCAGCCGTTGTCAAGCACCCCAACGGACTGATTGTCAAGGACATCGTCGTCGGCAACGGAATGCCCACGATCAAGGGCAAGACCGTGTCGGTCAAGTACGTCGGCAAGCTGACCAACGGCAAGACCTTTGACTCATCGATCCAGAAGCCATTCAACTTTAAGCTCGGCGTCGGTGAGGTGATCAAGGGATGGGACCAAGGTGTCCACGGAATGCGTGTTGGTGGCAAGCGTCAACTCACCATCCCAGCTCATCTCGCTTACGGTTCACAAGGCTCTCCACCCCAAATCCCAGGTAACGCTACTCTGGTCTTTGAGGTTGAGCTCGTCAAGGCTCAGCAATAAATCAATATGTTGCTGTACCCTTGTTATTAATTCTCGATCTAATATTTATTTAATTATTTATTTATTAACATCAATCTATTATTATCCACAACATTGTTGGAATCCAGTCGTCCAGTCAAAGTGACATCACATGTTATTATTCCATCTTTAGGAGGTATGGTTTCGTCACTGTATGAATATATATACAACTTATAATCCATAATAAGTATATTATTCAAAGAGTGATGTAATAATCATTCCCCGGTACATCCTCACACACTTACATGTCACTCACCAATCAATCAATAAATAAATTGATTGCCAGGGTGTGTCATGTGTGTGTGATCACACTCATTAGATCAATCAATACCCATCTCGCACACTCTGAATATAATATATATTAATATTAATGACGTATTTTAATTAAGTAGGAATTAGGACAATTGAATAGTAATGACGAATATATTTATAAAGAGATGATAAAATATTTTAAAAGAATATCCATTAAATCATTGGAATGGGTCCCATTCACAGTCCATTAAATGATAAATCATTGGATATTGGTATCTTTCCTACTACTTCTTAATACATCTGCCTACTAATCTCAATGTAATAATAATATTATTCTAAGTTTACAAAAATGCCCATTGTAATTAAATGTTTATAAAGTATCTAACATTAATGATCAAACATCGAGTCGACAACTATAAATTCAACAATCATAAGTGAATATACATCATTAAATCAAATACTCTAATACTCTAATACTCTAATACTACTCTACTTCTAAAATGTTGATCAGTAAGTAATACTATCCTAAATGGATCTTCAAATATAATCCAAATCAATAATATTAATCAATTTGAATAGAGAATATCTCATCCTTCGGTGCCGCCCCAAAGACCATCTCCAACACTCAGGTTGGTAGCTTCACCTCCACCTCGACCACCCAGTCGTCCAACCAGGTTGCCCTGTTGAATGGTGCCACTACCATTGACTTGAACATCCTCAACCTGATCATTGCTCACATCAACCTCAACCTCAGTGCCTAAACCTACTACTATTGTTAACCAACAATTGTTCGATGTTTTAGTATCCTTCCTTCAACATCCTGTCCATCTATTTATTGAGGAGAACCTTCTTTTGGCAACTATTAATAGTACCAATTGAACATGTAATAAATGTAAACTTACATCAATATTTAATCAAATTATTGAATTTATGGTTTGAGGAAATTGGAAAAACGAACGAAAGACTAGTTTGAGTGAACTTTGATTTGATTCATATCACTCATCCTTCTAAACAAATACAAAGTAGACAGATATGTCAAAGAATAATAATAATAGGAGGAGGAATGATGGAGACTCAACAGTACCAGCAAAGCTACTCACACCAGAGTCTGTTGAAGCATTCCAAAAGAGTCTATTGGGCAATCTGATATCTGCAATCAAGATATCGAATCAATTACCATTGGATGAGGACTATTCATATTATACGACATACCCTGTGTTCAAGAACAAGATGAATCAATTGGGTAATAGACTGTTGACATTGACACAGCGCTTCGTCACCTTTGAGAATCAAAAGAACAATCCACACATCTTTGAGAAGCATACTGCCGAGGACGTCGATGACATCTCCGAGCTGTTCCCATCAGTAGTAGATGTAGTAGATACCATCATTGACAAAGTAGTACGTATCTCGCGCTTCGATCAGCGTATCGGTGTCGATGCTAATCACGCTCCACGATCGATCATTCGATCAATCAATCATACAGGATGGCTTCACAGATCAGATTGACAAGTCACAAACATCGTCTCAACCAAACATATATATAGCAACAAGCAAGATAGCTTCAAAGGTAGGCTATCTACACTCATTCATTCAATATACCTTGCTAACCAACCCTCGACCCACTTCCCTCTTCCCTCGACAATTAATCAATCAAAGGGAGGCAAGTCAAACGAGTACAATATGTTCTATGGAGCGAATATACAAAGACCTCAGATGAAGTTTGAGGAACCTGTGGACAACTCAATATACCCATTCATTCCAAAGATACAGGAGAAGCCAAATGCAATGGTACCTTTGGACCCGATATTCGCAAAGGCAAGGGTGGAGGTGGTACATGGCAAGATCTCCAGGACAAAGGAGCAGGAGAAGCTGGTCTTCCCCCATCCCTACCAGCATGAGCTGGACAACCTGCAGTACACGCCCAAGCAGACACAGTCCTGCAAGGAGATGCTGTTCAAGGAGCTCGATCAGACCGCCTACACATGGATCGACAAGATCGACCAGCTGAAGGAGCTGCGCGACAAGCTCAATCAGGTCGATGAGTTCGCTGTCGATCTCGAAGCGCACAACTACCGATCATTCCAGGGCTTTGTCTGTTTGATGCAGTTGTCTACGAGGAGTGAGGACTTCATCGTCGACACGCTGGCCCTGCGCTCGCACATGCGTCTCCTGAACGAGCCTTTCACCAACCCGCGCATTGTCAAGGTGCTGCACGGAAGTGACAGCGACATCAAGTGGCTGCAGAACGACTTTGGAATATACGTGGTCAACATGTTCGACACTGGCCAGGCGTCGAGAATCCTCGAGTTCCCATCGGCGTCGCTGGCATTCCTCCTGCGCTTCTACTGCAACGTCGACGCCAACAAGAAGTTCCAGTTGGCTGACTGGCGCATCAGACCCGTGCCCGAGGAGATGATCAAGTACGCCCGCGAGGACACTCACTACCTGCTCTACATCTACGATCGTCTGCGTAATCAGTTGTTTGATCACAAAGGCTCGGCGACAGCTGGCACCCTGGTGTTGGAGGTGTTGCGCCGCAGCAAGGAGATCAGTTTGGTGCGATACGAGAAGGAACCATTCGATGAGAATCAATCATACATTTCCTTTGCTCAGCGACTTGGACTCAAGTATGGTGCGGCCCAGATGCAGGCTTTGAAGGTGCTGTACAATTGGCGCGAGAACATTGCACGAGAGGAGGATGAAAGTGTTCGATACGTGCTGCCCAACTCAATCATTCAGTTGATCGTCGAGAAGAAGCCAACGACGATGGAGGCGCTGCTGGCATGTTGCTCGCCCGTCCCACCATACATCAAGCAGCATGGACATGACCTGCTTCAAGAGATCATGAGGGCTCGTCTGAAAGAGAACCTGCCAGAGGGAGGCGTCATGGGCAAGCCAGTGAGCGTACTGGATAGGATACTACCAAAGTCCCTTGTAAAGACACCAGCTATATCACAGCAGGAGCAACAACAGCAACAAAATGCGACACCAACAAGCTCAATATCGACAAAGCAGGAGTCATCGATCAGGAGTCAATGGCTGACAGACACCTCCAGCAACATGGACGTGGATGCACCAGTGCAGACATTTATCTCTGCCGTTCAAAAGCGCACCGCGAGCATCTCGACGGCCAACATTGATAACCATTCCAATGGCACACTACCAAATGGATTGAACTTCAACTCGGACGAAGAGGACGAAGACGAGCAGGCTAGAGCACACAAGAAGATAGCATTGATGGTTAAGTCATCGTTTGACCCATCCTCTGGTACTGCTCCAGTGTTCAAACCAGTGATAGAGTTGCAACAAGCAACTGTTGCCAAGACTGATGATATTGAGGCAATGAATGTTGCCCCTGAACAAGCCAAATCAACAGATGCCACTGACACAAAGAAGAAGGAGGGCAAGGGCAAGAAACAGAAGCAAGAGAGTAAGTACCTTTATTGATGTTAACATCATTCATACATACTAACATATCTCGCCCGTCACCATGGAATAGTTCCAAAGAGTCTCCATGAGCGATATAACATTCCAACATCCACAAATACTACGTCGACTACATCACCAATGGATCTGGATTCACAACAACAGACATCTGCTGCTGACACTCAATCAACAACCACGTCCACTTCCACTGCGGAAGTGTCAACAACTCCAAAGTCAAAGAAGGATAAGAAGGATAAGAAGGATAAGAAGATGAAGAAGAAACTGCAACAGCAACAACAACAGAAACAAGCAACATCGAACCAAGCCAACAATACCTCCACATCCACTACCACAACTTCCACTACCAACAACAAGGAATCGGATGGTGTTGCGACAGATGCACCATTCGTTCCATTCGACTACAGTGCACACGAACAGAAGCTTGAGAGTAGTGATACCAAGCCTGGCACCAAACAACATAACCAAAGCTTCTTCAACATTGACTCCAAGGTGTCCTCCAAGAAGAGGTCAAGCACAATGAGATCAGGAGTCAACTCAACAATCTTCCAATCAAAGTCAAAGACCAAAAAGTAGTTGTAGTTTGATTGATTGAATGAATAAAGGATACTTATGTTGTTCAGATACATTAGGAAGATGGTACCATTGCTTGCATCGTCAGTGTCCAAGTTATAATGCCCTTGGAAAGGGACGATGTTTATTTGCTTGCAAGCCAAGGTTGCAGCAGCTGAGGGAGATGGTGACGTGCTCTTACTGATACACAATAATGTCGCGAATGAACCATGAACATGAATGAATACTCTACTCTTACTCTACTCGCTCACAGGGCATTCATGGACTCCTCATCTTCGATGTCCTCTGACTGTTCTTGTTGTGCTTGATCGCTCTTGGTCTGAGCTGGTGGTGTGGACGTTGTACTGGTGCTGCTCTCGTTTAGCTCCAGGGTGATGCGTAGCTCTGAGCCATCGAGCTCAGTGCCGTTGAATCTCTCCATGGCCGACATGGCATCGAGACGTCGTCTATAGGTGACGACGGCCTCCACCGGTGAAAGATGAGTCAGCAGATCAAAGTCCTTGACGGGTCCGATGATGCCAAATGCTCTGCCAATATCGGCGAGTGTGACGGATGGTGCGATGTTCTTGATGCGCAGTGTGGCGCCCATCTCCTCCAGGTCCTCAATGTCATAGAAGCCGTGACGGCCGTACTTTGGCTGTCTTGAGCCGGCCTGACTATAGTCTCTGATGCCTCTTGGGTCGAACAACGAATGATCGATCTGTTTGGATAGCACTATCTTCTTATGTGTCAGTGCATTGTTGTAACCACCGCGTCCATGGTAGCCGCCACCACTCTGGTAGTGACTATTATATGTTTGAGGATAGCTATATCTTCCATATCCTTGATTGTTCTGTACTGTGACAACTATATTCTTGTTTGTGTCGTGCTATTCATCATCAATGTCATTGTCAATGTCAATGTCACAGTCATTCATTCAAACATTCAACTATAACAACATACTGTATTATTATATTGTCTCTTGTTGAATGTGTTTGTTCGCTTGACATGGCCATCACCATTACTATATCTATTGTTATGTCTTTGTTTCTGTTGTGATTGAATAATGTTGTCAAGACTTGACTCCATTGGTGAAGGACCTGTTGACACAGGTGTAGTTGAAGCAGCTGCAGCAGGTGTATTTCTACGTGATTCCTTCTTTGCTTTTATAAACTCATCCAATGATTGATCCATTATTATTACTTGGTATATTATATATATATGTATATCTATAAATATCACAACAACTTATTATTAACTAAATAACTAATGTCAGAAGACTTCTGATCATGAGTTGTGTAGTAATTATCTGTGAGGGGTGTGTGATCAACTCATTCTTTCTTTTTTGAATTAATTTATTATTACTGTGTGTTGATCAAAGTTCACTCAAAGTGTGAACATCACTTCACATTCATTTAACAATCAATCAATTACAAATCATTCATATTCATACTACACTACTATACATATACATATACATATAATAATATATACAACATACTAAAGATGATGAGAGCAACAGAATATTTAGAGCATTTGAGGATCACATTCCCAGAGTTGATTGAACAAGTCCAGATCATTAAACATTGTTATGATCAGAAGTATGGATATTATGACAGGGTCAAGACAGAGAGAGCATGCATGAATCGGTTCTAACATACACCATCCATCAGACTTTATCATCAGTTGACTTCACAACTTGAGGACTTTGTTCTGCTGCCTCAGGTGGCCCAGAAGAATGAACTGGTCAACCTGTACGAGCACTTTATCAAGGAGTTTGAGTCTAAACTGAAGCCATTGAGTTTGGTCCTTATCTGTATCACTATAGCCTCTCATCTTGGTATGTATATTGTATTAATGTCATTTTATTGGTTGATTGATTGTATTACTAATAATTGTAATGATGAACAACAACAACAACAAACAGAGAATAATGAAAGCGCAAGGAAGTTCCTCGAGCAGATATCAGAAAAGGTCAAGAAGGATAAGAGTGGATACATCTTGTCATTGGCCTTTATTGCCTCCAAACATCTTGATGCCAAGCAGTTGCCAGAGGCAAAGCAGATCCTCGAGACTGCCAAGGATGAGCTCAAGGGTGTCACTGGCCTAGAGCAGACTGTCTACGCTTCATTCTACCAAGTGAACGCTGATTATCACAAGGTATGTTTGTTGTACAATCAATCGCAATCAAATGAACTGACATCAATCAATCAATCACTTAGATAATGGACCAACAGAGCGAGTTCTATCAGAGCGCATTGCTCTATTTATCGTACAGCAAGGAGATACCATTGCCACAACAGCAGACTCTTGCACTTGATCTCTGTATTGCTGCGCTGGTCAGTGATAATGTGTATAGCTTTGGTGACTTGATCGTCAACCCAGTGCTCAAGTCACTGGAGGGTACACCATTCGCATGGTTAATACAACTTCTCAAGGTCTACAACGTTGGCAACATCCATCAATACCAACAATTGATTGCCAAGAACCAAGATGCCTTGACCAAGATTGTAAGTTAGTTTGGTTTGATCATTCGTTCATTTAATCAATCAATCAATCATACTCATTCATACTCATTCACATTGATTACATGTAGCCAAAGCTTAACAACAATAAGGATCAACTGGCGCAAAAGATATCAATTCTGTCTTTGATTGATCTTGCATTTAGGACTCCTTCGGACAAGCGTTTGATCTCGTTTGCAACGATCGCACAGACTACTGAGCTGCAATTGGGCGAGATTGAGTTCTTGTTGATGAAGGCATTGTCACTCAAACTGATCAGAGGCTTGATCGACCAGATTGACCAGACCATCATGATCACCTGGGTGACACCACGTATTCTGGACATCAACCAAATCGCCACGATGAAGTCCAAGATCCTCGATTGGACCGACAAGACACAACAATCCCTTCGTATATTGGAGACTGAGACAGTGGACCTTGTCGTTTAATCCATTCCATCATCATCATCCTCATCATCTTGATCATCATCATCAAACATTCTCTCTTCCTCCATCTTCATCTTCATCTCATTAATTAAACAAACTTCCATTCCAGAGGTGTGTGCAACTTCACCATTCCCCCCACCCACACACTCACACACTCAAACAAACTTCCAAACACGCTCTACGAAACAGTTGATCAAACACCACCCCGAATGGACTGTTGTAGTGGGGGTTATACACATACGCACAAGCATAACAACAATAGAGATGGAGTAGCACATAATTGAGAACACGAGTTCCACATACATATATATAAACACACACAACAAGTTCAATTCAATATTAACATATATGGAGCAACAAGTTGACTAGTTTGTTCATTTACATCATCCTCAATCAAACAAATACATACACATACAAATAATAATAGTAATAATAATAATATATATAGATAAGTATAACAATGGATATAAACTCTAATATTGTAAGTATTTAATTATTTATTATTATTATTCAATTTAATACTAATATTAAAAATATGATATAATTTTTTGGATTAATAGGGAATTACAATTTATGTGGATCACAAGAGAACTACAAACAAGGGTATCAACATTCAACTATATCTTGCAAAGTTCTTCTTACAACATGGAGTACACAGGAACTACATCATGATCTATGACATTGCCTACAACTATGACAAACAAGCAGAGATTAAGAAGCATTCAATTCGTATTCCAAACTATCCATACATCGAAATCAATGGAGTATTGTGGGGTGTAAGTAGTTCGATCAATCTATCAATTAATAGTAGCCCAAAATATTAACTCTTGAAACTATTTAGGAAGGTGCAATGGTAGAGGAGAAGAAGGAGGAGGTTTTGGCATTGATTCAGCCATTGGTTGGAATTATTCCAACAGATGAGAAGTCAGAGATCATCGAAGCCTTTGTTAATAACAAGGTGGTCACAGAGGAGGAGATCAAGGAGGAGTCCGAATCACTCCAACTTGGTTACATCGATGCATCGATCAACGTCACCGAGTGGTTATTGTTTGGTTTGGTCAAGGGTATCATTAATGTTGCATGGCAGGCATCACCAATGGAAGTGCCAAAGCTCGAGGACTCTGACTACGAGTGCAAGGTAATCAGAACAAACTGGTACGGAAGACATCAGATTAGAACATACCGTTTCACACCATCAGAGATCTATCGTATGGATGAAGGTGTCATCAAGGATACCCTTTACTATGTTGATATCAAGGAACTTGTATGCCAGGATCAGAAGAATATTATTATCAAGTATGTATATATATTTACTTAACTTGATGATTCACCATCCTAACATTAATTATCTATTTAGGAATACAAAGGAGGACCAGTACATTCAAGGCAAAGAGAAAGAGGTTGCTAAGATCATTGAGATTGTTACCTCCAGAGCATACTTGACTCCTAATGGGGAGGGAGTTTGGACCTCAACATTGGTATCATCATGATCCTAGGACTGAAGTAGTTCAACAATCACAAACCGATTCAATGTCTATATATCTATAGTTTTATATATAACACCTATTACACAAACATATATATATATGTATTTATTATTATATATACCTTATTATCTTATCTGTACATATACCTCCAGAGAGATACTATTGAATAAACAAATACCAATCATTTGGTATCTCCTTTGGGAATAACTAAAGAGAACAAAGTAATGAATGTTGTATTAATAGTTGTTGTTGTTGTTGATGTTGACTATTATTAATTAATATTGTTTATTTCGACGTCCAGCAAAAATGGATTGAATGATTGGCAACTAGTTGACATTGTTAAGCTTTGATTTCTGGCTGGATGGTTTGAATATCTTGAGTATCTCCCTCTTCTTGTCTCTATCTCCCTTCTCTCTCTCCTTGTCTCGGTCATTCTCGCGATTAGCCTCTAGGCTCTTGTCGTTCTCTATGTCTCTATCGCGCTCCTTTGACTTGGCCTCGTCACCATCCATTTTGGGCGACGACTTGCTGGAACCCTCCTCATCGTCGGTGGTCGTGGTGGGCTTGACACGCTTGTTCGGACCGCTGTCGCTGCCATCGTCGTCCAGTCTCCTCTTGTTGACCTCCTCCTGAGATGCATCCTGGCCTGGTTCGATTTGGTCTGGTCTGGGTGATGAGTGGAGTGGTTGCTCGCCGCCCTTTGTATCCACAGATGTCAACTCCTTCTGACTCTCTGTGCTTGTCTCCTTGGTTGATGATGGAGAGGCAGATGACGATGCAGCAGGCTCTGTCTCCTTCTCCTCCTTTCCTTCCTTTCTTGGTTCGTCTGGCAGTGTCTCAGATGAGGCAGATGGAGCCTTAGATGATTCCTGTGGCTTCTCCTTCTCAGTTTCCTTCTCCTTCTCCTTCTCTTGTGCTGCGGCTGGTGGTGTGGCTGCGGATGGTTCCTTTTCCTTTGATGGCTCCTTTGATGGTTCCTTCTCTGATTGTTCGACCTTCTCAGCGTCCTTCTCCTTCTCCTTGTCCTTCTCGCTTTCTTCCATTGTGACATTCTCCTCCTTATCCTTGTTTGTTACATCAGATGTTGTTGGTGGGGGTGGTGTAGCTGACTTTGGTGCATCCTCAACCATCTTCTCCTTTGGTGCTGCCACCTCCTCCTTCTCCTTTGGTGCTGTTGTTGTCTCCTTCTCTGTGGGCTTGGATTCCTTTGGTTCGGCATCCTCACTCATTTGAACATCTGTTTCGCGCACTTTCTCCCCTTCTGGAAGCTCTCTCTCTATCTGTCGTGCTCTCTGACGTTCTCTCTCGCGCTCCCTCTCTCGCTCTCTCTCAAGCTCACGCTCGCGTTCTCTCTCGCGTTCTCTCTCACGCTCTCTCTCAAGTACGCGCTCACGTTCAGAGTCTCCTCTCTCGGGCTCCCTTTCTATCTCCCTTTCGCTTGATTGCGCTCTGGAGCTGAGTTCGCCAAGAAGTGGAAGTGTGTTCTCCTGTCTGGATGACTTCATGCGATTCTCATCAAATCCACGTCTGTCTGCTGGTCTGTCAATGTCCATGAGCTCGCGGAGTTTAGACAGTCCACTCTCCTCCAACTTGTTGGGGCCAGAGCCACCGCCATTGTGGTGGAAGTCCTCCATCAGACCATGCTTGGTCTCTGGTGAAGATGCAGAGTGCATCTCCTTGCCCTTGCTCTTTTGTGTGCTCTTGTTCTTCAGCGAGATGTCGAGCTCATTCGATGAGGGCAGGCTGTTGTTCCTCTCCTCGCCAGCCATGGCGATCTCAGAGAGCTCGGGAAGGCTGGGCACGCCACCAGGGCCGTTGTTGTTGTTGTTGTTGTTGATGCCGCCGAGGTTGCTGTTGACACCACCGAGGTTGGGACGGCCATTCCTGTGCTGATCGACGGCCATCGCACGACCTGGTGAACCTGGCTCGATGGTCGTTGGGTTGAGCTTCTCGTTGTACTCTCCACCTGGCTCCTTCTCGTCTCTGCCGTCTGCCGTTCCATCCTTTTGTTTGCTAATGAGTATCTTGAGTTGGGCAAAGCGGGCCTGGATCTGCTTGTTCTGTGGATCAAGCTCGGCAGCCCTCTTGTACGCATCCAACGAGTCGGTGTACTGGTTGCAGCTCTCGTACAGGGCGCCCAGGTCGTACCAGACCTCGGACACGTAAGGGTTGATCCTGATGGCGCGGGTGTATGCGTCCAATGCGTCACGGAACTGATTGATCTGGTAGTAGAGCACACCGATCGAGCACCAGAAGGTCGGGTTTCTCGCGTCTCTGTACACGGCCTGCTGATAGGCATCGTAGGCCTTCTTGTATTTCTGCTGGATCATGTAGCAACGTCCTAGCAGGTACCAGGTCTGAGCGTCCGAGGCGTCGGCATCGATCGATCGCAACAGGAAGCTGATGGCATGCTCCTGATTGGTGAAGGATGGGTTATGATGGTAGAGCAATCCCAATGATTGCAGTACCTTTGGATGTGATCCATTCTCCTTCAAAGCTGCCTCAAATGCATCCTTTGCTTGGTTATACTATGTACAATTGATTGATTGATCGTGTTAGTGTTGTGTGTATGATTGATTGATCTTCATTCACATCACGTGATGTGATGTGATGTACTTACATCTTTCTGCATCTCATAGACTAAACCGATCTGACAGAGAATGTCGGCAGAGGTGAGAGGACGGGGAGGGTTCTTGAGGAGACTGTTAAAGTACTCCAAACTCTGCTCACTCTTGCCCTGATGCTTGTAGAGTATACCGAGACGGTAGAATATCTCATTGGCCTTGTCAAACTTGTTGTCCATCTTTAGCACTGCAGTGAATGCCTCCTCTGCATGCTCATACGAACCATATCGGTCATAAAGTATTCCGATACCATACCACAAGTTAGGGTCCTAAGATGATGGCATTGTAGATGTTAGAGTCTTGTTGTGTTGATTGATTGATTGAACGAACGAATGATTGAATGAACGAATGAGTCCGTTACCTTTGGATTGGGAAGATGATAGAGTGCATGCTGATAGGCACTGTAGGCCTTTTGGAGATCGTCCAACATGAGGTAGCAGTTGCCAAGGTCGCCCCAAGCCTCGCCATTCTTCTCATCAATGGTGATGATGCGTTGGAAGAACTCGGCGGCCTTTGTGAATTGCTCCTTGGACTTGAGAATGGAGCCGATCTGGGACATTGCCTTGATCGAATGTGGATTATGCCTCAGCACCATCTCGTAAGAGAAGATTGCCTTCTCATGATTGCCCAACACCTCTGCCACCGAGCCCAGTTGAGTCCAAACGATCTCATTCTGTTCTCTAAACTTTTGTGTAATGGCATTCAATGCATCGTTTGCTGCCATTATTATTATTTGTTTGTTTGTGTTTGTTTAGTTGATGTTTAGTATGTGTGAGTGTGTGTGTGTGTGTGTGTGTGAGAGTTGGATGAGGTGTCGGCTGGTGTCTCTAAAAAAGGTAATGTTTTAGAAGATCTGTATCTGTATCTGAATGATTGAATGAATGAATGAACAAATGAATGAATTGAATTGTAAAAACACCTTATTTAATATATATAAACTTATAATATATTTATATTTATATATAAATAAATAAAGGGATAAGATAGAAGAATGAGATATGAAATGATGGTTGTTGTGTGTTCAATGGAACAAGATGTGTGTGTTGGTGGTGGGTGGACTTGGAGCGGTGGGGTGGGTGTTCTCCCCAATTATTACCCCGCACCCGATAACAAGTCGCGGTGGGGGTGATCTATGTGTTGGTGTGTATGTGGAGCATAGTGAGGGGTATGTTTGTCATTCACCCACCAACATTGATAGAAAGAGAGCGTGTTTGTGGACCCAGGTGGCGGTGTTTGTTTGTGTGAATATATTATTGTGGGTGAAGAGTTGTTGGTTGGTTTGGTAGTGTGTGAGTGTAGTTGACTTGTTAACAAGCCCATTCATCTGCCAAGGGGTTAATGAACTTCACATCTATAAGATGATGACTTAATGATAGTGAGTATTGATTGATCAAATAGAGCTCTATTTATATACATATATGGTATGTAAGACGAGTCAATGACCAGATCAGTGTGTAACTATGTTGTGTTTGTATGTGCTTTCCTCATACAGGTGTTTGTCAACCACAAACCCCACCACCAACGCGCGCAATTTTTGAACCGAGTCTCGTGTGTCAGATCATTCAAATACTTTGAGTCCTTCTTCTAAGTAACAAACCAACGAGCCAGGTTGGGGAGACTCCAAGTCTATCTAATACATTCAAACACACATACACTCATCATACACATAAACATACATACACATATCCACCCTCACCCTTCATCATCATGGATGGACAAAAAGAAACAAATAGCGGCAATAGTACTGTTGCCATCAATGTTGACAGCCCCGTTATCAATAATGTTGACAGCCCTGTAATCAACAATGTCGACAGTCCCATCATTATGACAGAAGTTGTCGATGTTGACAGAAGCAATGGTAATGGTAGTGGCGTCAACGGCAGCAGCAACAATGACAAGAAGACCGATTCCATTGATGTCGACAGTACAAATAGTCCAATATCCAATATAGATCAAGGTATGTTGACCTGCCCGCATCCACTCACTCGATGATGGTTACTAACAACATGTTATTCAGATAGGAATACACTGCGATCAATGTGGCAGCTGCCATCAGTTCAGTACTTTATAACAGTGTTCAAGGACGCACTACATATCAAGGTGCCAATATACATCGATGACCTGGAGAATGCACTTCTCGAGCCTGCCAACGACGACAGCAAGACACTGCTCGCTGATTTGTTCATGCCAGTGTTACGTGGCCTTGTAAAGGGTCCAATAACGTATGTTGCCTCAACCATCCAGTCCTGTCCTGTGCTCCAACTAACGTCAAACCCACAGCGCTACCACATGGGAGAAAGTGTTAAAGGTTGAACTGGGCAAGCGTACGAATGTGTTCCACAAGAATCCATTTGGACAAGGAGATCATTTCACAGACGTTAACATCAGCAATAGATTGCTGGCTATCAAGTGTCTCTGTGATCTGCACATGAGCAAGACCAAGTCAGTGCTGGACCAAATCAACAACAACCCAGATCTCGATGCAATGCGACCCGAGTCCATTGGAAAAGACGAAGAAGGACGACTCATCTGGTTCTTTGATGGTATGATTGATGTCATATGATTGATTGATTGATCACCAATACTAACACTACTGGACTATGTTAGATGGAAGATTATATAGAGAGGCACCGCCACCTCCTCGAGGCACACCATCAAAGTCACGCAAGTCATTGGATGGCAAGGACAGGAGATGGGAGGTAGTGTGCTCGACAAAGGAGGAATGGGTCGAGTTTGTAAATAGTCTGGCCGGTAGCACAGATGATCAGGTGAAGGAACTGCACTCATTGTTGGACAAGGAGATAATGCCATTGGGATTGGCCAAGATCCAAAACTACAAGAAACTGGTCACAAAGAAAGAGCGAGAGAAGAACAGAGAGACACAGCTGGCACACAGAGCCGTGGCGTCACTGGCGTTGCCACCTGGCTACAGACAGTTCCGATCACCAAGGCTGTTGGAGCAGAACTTGAAGAAGCTGGAGGCGGAGCGATTGGAGAAGGAGAGGAGGAAACAGTTGGGCTTGCCAGATGACGAGCCAGATGAGGAGGACGACGATGACAATGACGAGGACAACGATGAGGATTACCTCGATGACGATGAGGAGCAAGTCGAGGCAAAGACAAAGAGAGTGAAGCGTGTGCCAATCGTGCCACTGCGACAGACAAGCAGTGGAAGAAGGATCATTGCACGTAAAGTCGATCAGAATGGAATGCCACTGCTGTCATCAGATGCCAGAAGGTTGGCTGAGGACGCCGCCATGGAAGAGGACAATGTTGAGGACACCATGGAGGATGATAATGATCAAACATCTACTACCACAACTACAACCACAACAACATCCACCAATGGACATGATAATAATGATCAAATGGAGGAGGAGCAGGAAGAGGACAACAAAGAGGATATTGATGCCGATGACCAGGAATAAATAATCCCAGCCATCATCGTTTAATACAATTTTGATTGATCAGTCTCGAATAATACATATTCCATTAGAGCCACGCTCTTTGATTGGATCCTGGTCGGTAAGCCGTGTCCATTGGTTGTCTTGTATTGAGTAGACGTAATTGCCACTTTGATTGCCATTGAAGTAATAAATGCTCATTGTCGATTGGTCATATATGAGGGGAGAGGCCATGTACACCAAACATATCGTTTGCCTTTGTCCATTCCAAAGTTGATGGTGAGAACACATTGCACTCTGCCACTAATCCTTCCAACAATATTATATGTCCATCCAGTGTATTGGTAATAGTTGACTCAATTATTGTTAGTATCTATCTATCTCATGTTATTGGAACCAACACGCACAAAAGACAAATGTTATATGTTTGATTGGTTGACTTTATTAAGTACTGATGATTGGACAACAATGGTAGGTAGGTAGTTTAAGCCTTGAAACCAGAGAAGAACTCTCCCATCTTTCTCTGCATATCCTGCTTGGAGACAACCTCTGCCTCGAGATCTCTCTTGGTCTTCTCGTGGTCTCTCTGGGCCTTCTCGATGGAGTCCTTGAGGATGATGATCTCGGACTGGAGCTTGCGGTTCTCGGTCTCGAGGGTGAGACGCTGTTGCTGCTCGTCGGAGAACTCCTTCTTGGCCTTGCGGAGGTCGGACTCGAGCTTCTCGGCACTGAGCGAGTCCTTGGTGAGGGTCTTCTCGACTTCTCCGTACTTCTTTCTGATCTCCTTAAGGTCGTTCTCGATCTTCTTGAGGTCCTTGAGGGCCTTGTTCTTGGCCTTCTGCTCGGCGTCAACCTGGGCGGTAAGGGCGTCGATCTCAGAGTCGAGTCTCTTGCGGGAGCGGTCAGCGTTGGTCTTGGCGATGGTCTCCTCCTCAAGGCGACCCTTGACCTCAATGAGCTCACGCTGGAGGTTGTTCTTGGCATCCTCAGCGGACTCCTTGGCGTCGGACTCACGCTGCAAGTTGCGGCGGGCCTCCTCAAGGTCGAGCTCCTGGAGTCTTCTGGCGTTCTCAGCCTCGGACTTGGCCTCCTCGGCGTCGTCGACCTGCTCACGGAGATCCTCAAGCTCACCCTCGAGGGCGCGCTTCTCCTTCTCGAGTCTCATCTTGACCTTGCCCTCGTCGTCGACTTGAGCACGGAGGTCGTCGATTTGACCCTCGAGGGCCTTCTTGGACTTCTCAAGCTGCAGACGGGCAGCCTCGGCAGAGTCGAGCTTGGCGCGGAAGTCCTCGATGGACTCCTCCAGCTTGGCGGCACCGATCTCGGTCTGGGTCTTGGTGGCAGCCTCGTCGGACAGCTTGCCCTTGGTCTCGCGCAGATCCTTCTCGTACTTCTTCTTGTCCTTCTCGGCACGGGAACGGTTCTTGACCTCGTGGTCCAAACGTGCAAGGTAGTCCTCGTTCTCGGACTCGAGTCTCTTGCGGGCACGCTCGGCCTCGTTGCGGGCCTTCTTCTCCTCGTCCAAGGTCTTCTTGAGAACGTCCAACTCCTCCTGGAACTTCTTTCTCTCCTCCTCGGCCTTGGTGGCGGTCTCGACCTCGTTGGCGTACTTCTTCTTGATCTCCTCCAACTCGAGGTCCTTGCGGCGCTTGGCCTCCTCGGCCTCGATTCTGGCCTCTTCCTCCTCCTCGAGCGAGGCCTTGACCTCCTCGAGCTCGACCTCGATCAATCTCTTGGCCTTGACGTGCTTGTCCTTGCTGAGCATCTCGTCCTCGTGCAACTCGCGGAGCTCGTCGATCTCGGCTTGGAGCATCTTGATCTTCTTGTCAGAGGCGTTGAGAGCAGAGCGCTCGGCATCGAGCTGTCCACGGAGGTCGTCGACCTCTCCCCAGATCTGCTTGCGGAGCTCCTCGTCGGCAGCCTTTGAGCTTCCCTCCTCGGCGGCACGCTTCTCGGCAAGGGTCTGCTCGAGCTTCTTCTTGCCCTTCTCGGCCTTGGAACGGGCCTTGGACTCAGTGTCGAGGGCAGCCTTGAGGTCAACGAGATCGGCCTCGAGCTTCTTCTTCTGACGGTCGATGGCGGCGGTGTTGCGCTCGGACTCCTCGGCCTTGGTCTCGAGGTCGGAGAAGAGCTTGCGGGTGTTCTTCTTGTCCTCCTCGGCCTTGACACGTGAGTCGGTCTCGCGCTCCAAACGGGCGCGGAGGTCGTCGATCTCGGCATCCTTCTTGCGGATCTGCTCGACGTTGACGGTGCCAGACTTGTCCTCGAGCATCTCCTCCAGCTCAATGACACGGACCTCAGCCTCCTTGGCCTTCTTCTCGGCCTTGGACTTGGCAAGGTTGGCAGCGTCCAACTCGTCCTTGAGGGTCTCGAGTTGAGTCTCGGCGGCCTTCTTGGACTTAACGGCGTTGTTGGAACGGTCGTCAGACTCCTCCAGGATGGATCTCATCTCGCTGAGCTCCTCGTTGAGGCGCTTGAGCTGGACGTACTGGTCGGAGGCGATGGCCTTCTGGTCGTCGGCGTCGGTACGGGCCTGACGGTGGTCAGCCTCAGCCTTCTTGAGGGCCTTCTCAGCCTTGGCGCGTTTGGCAGACTCCTCCTCGACGAGCTTGGTGGACTCCTCAAGGTCGTACTCGGCCTTCTTCTTGGCGCGCTCCGAGCGGTCGAGGTTGCCCTCAGCCTCGTCGGCAGCGTTCTTGAGCTCCTCGTTCTTGGACTGCAGAGCCTTGTTCTGCTCGACGGCCTTGTCACGTGATGAGACAATGTCGGCGAACTGGCGCTTGAGCTCGTCGAGCTCCTGCTCCTTCTTGGCACGGATCTCGTTGGCGCCCTTCTTGTGGGTGGACTCCTCCTCGATCTGGTCCTTGAGGGACTGGACCTCCTTCTCCAAGTCGGCCTTGCGGCGCTCGGTGGCCTCACGCTGCTTCTTCTCCTCGTCGAGCTGCTCGTTGGCAAACTTAATCTCGTTCTCGAGGGCCAGACGCTTCTTGTCGAGGGCTTGCTTGGCCTTGGTCTCTTGGTCGAGCTCGACCTTGAGGTTACCGATGGTTCCCTCAAGCTGCTTGTTGTTAGACTCGGATGATGACTTGCCGTTGTTGGCGTCGTCCAGCTGCTGCTTGACCTCGGAGAGCTCCTGCTCGAGCTTCTTGCGGGTCTTGTCGAGGTTGCCCTTGCTGGTCTGCTCCTGGGCAAGGTGCTGCTTGACGTCCTCGAGCTCGGCCTCAACCTTCTTCTTGGACTTCTCGAGGTTCTCCTTGGCTTGACGCTCGGCATCGAGCTCACCAGAGAGACGGGCGACCTCAGCCTCGAGTGTGGCCTTGATCTTCTCAAGCTTGGCAATGGTGGACTGGAGCTCGGTGATCTGCTTGCGCAGGATCTCGAGGTCTTGCTCTTGCTTGACCTTGAGGTCGTAGAGGGACTTCTTCTCACCACCGGTGGACTCGAGCTGGCTGTTCATCTCGTCGAGCATCACCTCGAGGGCCTTCTTCTTCTTCTCAAGGCCATCACGCTGCTTCTTCTCCTCCTCCAACTCGTTGCCGACGGCGGTCAACTGGCCCTCGAGGGTCTTCTTGGTCTTCTCGAGGTTGTTGCGCTGGGAGACCTCGTTGTTGAACTTCTCGTTGAGGTCGGTGTACTCACCCTGGAGCTTCTTGTTGGCGTTCTCCTGGGCGACCTTGGCGGCGGTCTCTTGAACGAGCTGCTCGGTGACTTGAGCTAACTCATCCTCGAGCTTCTTCTTCTGGCGGAGAAGATCGTTCTTGTCCTTGGACTCGGACTCGAGCTTGGCAGAGACCTCGTCGATCTCACCCTGGAGACGGACACGGGTCTTCTCGAGGGCACCCTTGTCCTTAGACTCGGATGAGAAGGACTCGGTGAGCTCCTCAACCTCCTTTTGGAGGTCGTTCTTGATCTTCTCAAGACGGACGATGGTGTCCTGCTGGCCGTCGTTGAGCTTCTTGAGCTCCTCGACCTCCTCCTCGTATCTCTTCTTCAACTTCTCGAGACCGGCGCGGAGCTTCTGCTCCTCGGCCAACTCGTCCTCGAGGTCGCGGACCTTCTCCTCGGCGTTCCTCTTCTGGGACTGGAGGGTCTCGATCTGGGCCTTTCTCTCGTCGAGGTCCATCTCCATGTCTGAGATACGGATCTGGAGCTGGTTCTTGTCGGACTCCAAGGCGTCCTTGGTGTCGTAGAGGGCGTTCAAAGCCTCCTTCTCGGCCTTGAGCTGGCGCTGGAGGTCCTGGACGTTGCCCTCGGCATCGCGGAGAGTCTTCTCGACGCGGTCCTTCTGGGACTGGGTCTCGGAGAGCGATGACTTGAGCTCGCCAATCTCTCTCTCCTTCTCCTTGATCTCCTTCTCGAAGTTTCTTCTCTTCAACAAGGGACGGGCCTTGCTGAACAGCTTCCACCATGGCCAGTTCTTGAACTCCAAGTAGGCACGCAGGTTCTGCTGGATGATACGGGCAGAGACGGTGTGCTCACGGGCTTGCTTGTAGGCCTTACGGGCGATCCAACCACGGGCGGCGGCCTGGATTGACTTGATGATCTCGGAGATACGCAACTCACGAGCCTCCTCAATGCGGGCCAAGATTCCAGCGCGGAAGAAGATCTTGGTGAGACCGAAACGGAACTGCTCCTCGTCGATGTTGAGGTGCTTCAAGACGGCACCGGTGGCCTTCTGGACATCCTCGGCATCACGTGGAACGTTGGGGGCGAGCAAGTAGTAACGCTTGACGAAGTCGGCGTAGATCACACGGTTGGGGAAACCCTTACGAGTGATACGGATACCCTCGAGCACACCATTGCATCTCAGCTGCTCCAAGACGACCTTGTCCTCAAGCTTGGCGGGCAACTGCTTGTTGTTGGGGATGATACAACGGACGAAATGTGGGTTGGTGGTCTCCAGAGTGGCCATGAGCGACGAGAGCTGCTCCTTGTACTGGGCGGCGACGGTGACGAAGTTGGCACCCTTCTTGGCACGCGAGGCAATGGCTGGGTCGTTGAACAACTTCAACACCAAGCTGTCGCCCGACTCCTTGAAGGTGAGCTCCAGATCCTGCTGGAGTGGGTCCTTGTTCTTCTCGAGCCAATCGGTGACCTCGTACATGACCTGACCGGCATAATGGGTAACACCGAACTCGGTCTTGGAGAAACGTGGCTCCTCGTACTTGGGGTGCTTCTTGGAGAAGTGGGAGTGGAACTTGCCAATGAGGGTGATGTCAGTGGCGTTGGGGAACACAGACTGCTCGTCGAGGAGGGCCAACAGTCCTGGGGGCTGACGGGCGTCGATGAGGTCGATGGTGGCCTGCGAGTCGAGACCGAAATCGATGAAGGTCCAGTTGATCTTCTCCTTGAGGTACTCCTCCTGCTCGAGCTTGAACATGTGGTGGTTGAAGAACTGCTGCAACTTCTCGTTGGTGTAGTTGATGCACATCTGCTCGAACGAGTTCACCTTGAAGATCTCGAAACCAGAGATATCGAGCACTCCAATGAAGTAGGCCTTGCGCTCCTGGCACAGGACCTGGTTGATCTTCTTGACCAACCAGAGGAAGAGACGGCCGTAGAGGGCCTTGGACAAGGCCTCACGTGAGTGACCAGCCTTCTCTGGGGTGAGATGGGTGGCGACGAGGTCACGACCGGCAAGGATACGTGGCTCGATCAAAGCCTTCTCGAGGGTCGATGGGTTGACCTGGAGGAGGGTGGCAACGTTGTTGAGGGCGGACTTGTCCTTGAGGATGGCACCCTCGCCGGATCCCTTCTCGAAACGGATGTTACCGAGGTGGAGGATGGCAGAGACAACCTTGAGGATGGAGGTCTGCTCGTCGGCGGTGAAGCCCATGATGGTCATGGCGCTACGGGTGAGCTTGTACTCCTCGACGTCGCTGACTCCCTTGATGTCAATGCAGCCCGAGCTGTTGAGGTAGTTGTAGGACTCTGGGGCGGCCAGGGCAAAGGTCTTTCTCTCCTCAGAGGTGGAACCGGCAATGAGCTGGTAGAAGATGTGGAAGTTACGCTCCTGCTCGGCTTGGAAGGTGACACGGGACTTCTCCAAGAGGTAGGACTGGATGGAGGCACCAGAGATGAAACCAGCGCTGTTGAACTGGATCTCAATGAACTTTCCGAAACGGGACGAGTTGTTGTTACGGGTGGTCTTGGCGTTACCAAAGGCCTCGAGAATTGGGTTGGCCTGGAGGATCTGCTGCTCCAACGTGCCTCCGGCGGTTCTACCGGCGACGGCGGCCAAGTACTGGATGACCTTCTTGGTGTTCTCGGTCTTACCGGCACCAGACTCTCCAGTGATCAGGAGCGACTGGTTCTGGCGGTCATCGAGCATAGCTCTGTAGGCACCATCAGAAAGGGCAAAGATATGAGGGGCAACCTCGGCTCTTCTTCTTCCCTTGTACAGGTCAACCATCTCGTTAGTGTAGATCTGCAATCTCTTGAAGGGATTGACGACTACCAAGAAGAGTCCTGAGTAGGTCTATATGTTGTTGATTGAATGAGAGAGTTAGTATGTTTGATTGATTGAATGAATGAAGGATGTTATACATACGTAGATGAGGTCTTGACCATATCTGACACGCATGTTGTGGAAGACGGCTGGCTCGTTGAGGTAGGAGAGCTCAGACATGTCCTCGACACCATCGAACTTGGCTGGGTTACGCTGGTTGGCGTCGTCCTTCTTGACGGTGCGCTCCTCGCCCTGGGGGGTCTTGAAGACGAAGGAGTCGGCGGTCTCACGGACGATCTCACCGCAGTCGTAGGCATCACGCTCCTTGGGGTCTGGGTTGAACCAGATGTACCTCTTGTCAGAGGCGGCGATCTTGAAAGTCTCATTGTCGCCTTGGCGCATCTTGAGGTGCTTCCAGTAATCGGATTTACGATCGTTGATTGGATTCATGGTTGTTCTGGTTGTTGTTGTTTGTTGTTACTTTGGTACAGGGTAGTATATATATTGATGGACTATATATCTTTAGTTTTGGGAATTGATTGGAGTTGAGTGAGTGATTGATTGAGTATTCGGTCGAGTGAAGTTGGGTGAGGTGATTGGGGATATTGTTGGATGATTGTTTGGGGAGGGAGAAAAAGAAAGATGTGGAGATAATGAATGTTAGTTCAATGAAGTTTGAAGAAGAAGGGCTATTTAAACACAAGGGAATAAAGGAAGAGATAATTGATATTATTATATGTATATTTAGAGGCACACACGTATACGCATATGCCACACACAAACACATCAACTATAAATAACAACAACACACAACAATCTGATCCCAATGTTGGCACCCATTGGGGGTGGGTATTGTTCATCAGTTGATGGCTTTGATCAATCACACACTTCTAAAGTGAGTGAGTGTGAACATGAAAGCATCCAATTTTGTTTTGTTGGTTGTGTGTGTATCATGTGATCATTCATTCACTTACTCAAATGTGATTGAGTGAAGTGAAGTGAAGGTGTGATGGATGTTGTTGGTAGAAGCAATGGATGTTTGTTTGATTGATTGTAATAACATGGCATGCCTTGACAGACAGCGATAGAAAAGGAATAATAGGAATAGGCGAGTGGACGACAAAGTGTTGGATGAGGATGAGGATGAGTGTTGTGTGGATGGAGGATGAGTACTTACAAAATACAATTAAGAGTACAATTGGGTTGGGGTATATAATTGCTAACAATGGATCTCTGAGTAGAGGTGTTGTTAAGCAAGTGTGTGAATGAATGAATGAATAAACAAAGATATAATATATATTATATGTATATCAAAGGGGTGTATGTATTGAATGGACCAATGAAGGGTGTGTATCTAGTTGTAGACCACTGAGGAAGTTACCAAGGGATACATCAAACAACACCAAAAATCAAAACAATTATTAAATGAATTAAACTTTTGATAAAGAAACAAAATGATCATTTTCACAGCCCATTAGTTTACTTGAAAATGGCTTTTAAAGCCATAATTTAATAAAAAGTTAATATTTTGATGGATTTCAAAGATTACACCCTTGTGATTAATGCAAGTGCTCCAATTTTGGATACACACAGACGGCATTGAGGGGTGATCGAGTGAACAAGATTTATCTCTGACCATGGTAATGTTTATGTTTATGATGACACGCTGTTGTCCTATTGGGTCAAATATGACATTCTGGGAGGGAGGTGTCTACATGAATGGATAGTTGGTCTCATCGTGTTGCCATTAATGTTCAAATCACCCCGTCAACAAAAAATGAACAAGGACCAAGGCCTCAACTTCAATAACATCGACACTAACATGTGAATGATGTTAGATCTTGCCGCACATTAATCATACTCCTCAATCAATTAATCAATCAATGTATGACTTTGATTCATCCATCAGGTCAGTCTAAACTTATTGGATGAATGATTGATCAATCATTGTATCATGATGACTATCTATCTTTCTAATTAGCTAGAACAGAGTCTCTTCTTGTTCTTGCAAGAGCAAGTCTGCATCGCACATAATGATGAACCAAACCCCCCAGTGTTTTGGTGTTATCACCTCACATTGGTTAGGTGTTGTGTGTTTGTTAGATTCACAATAGTTAGTTGGTCAGTATCACCACCTCGTTGGACAAAGTAAATTCTGTGCTTTCGGAATTGTTGTTGTGAAGTAATAAATCATACATACTTATTATCTATCTATTTAGTTATATATTTGTTACAACAACAATACAATAGTACATACATTATATACATTACAATGTCATCATTTCAAGAGAATACCTCTCAAGATGAGAACTACTTTGGACAGGTTAGGTTGAAGGATGATGGTGTAGACTTTAACGACTCTACCAATATAGTGGCCATGAAGAATATACACAAGACATATCTACTTGGTATTGAAGGTGTACCTGCATTGAGGTATGTTTGTGTAAATGACACATAGGGGACTGACTGACTGATTGACTAACACGATCAAACACAGAGGTGTAACAATGACTATTAAGAGAGGAGAGTTTGTTTGTATCTTTGGTACATCTGGTGGTGGAAAGACAACTATGCTCAACTTGATTGGAACAATTGATAAGCCAACCAAGGGTGATATGAGGCTCTGTGGAAAGGGTAGGTTGAATGAATGCATAATGTCAACCCAACATACTGACTCAATCATCTATCATGTCACGTGACAACAGTGATCAATCATAAGACAACAGACAAGGACTTGGCATACATTCGTCTAAAGAATATGTAAGTAGTAATGGTAGTTAGTTAGGAGTTCCTTCAGGAAATGACATGTCACTAACAATAATGATTGATTGATTTAATGAATAGTGGATTCGTATTCCAAACATTCAACTTGTTGTCATCATTGACAGCATTGGAGAATGTTGAGATGCCAATGATATTGTTGGGCGAGTTGTCTGCCCAGGAGAGAAGAGAAAGAGCAATCTCATTGTTGACAAAGGTTGGCATGAAGGATCGTCTGGACCATGTACCATCGCAGTTGTCCGGAGGAGAACAACAACGTGTAACCATCGCAAGAGCTATGGCCAATAACCCTGATATCCTATTGCTTGATGAGCCAACGTAAGTGTTGATTTTATGATTGATTGAATGATCGAATGATTGTTTGAATGATTGAGTACTGACGTTGACAAACAGTGGAGACTTGGATACAGTGAACACATCAATCGTTATGAAGTTGTTGACTGACTTGAACAGAGATGAGAATATCACTTTGGTCATGGTCACTCATGACGTTGGACTAAAGGCATACGCAGACAGAGTGATATGGATGCGTGATGGCAAGATTCAAAGGATCGAGACAGTGTCACTGGATCTCAAGAAGGACAGCTTCTCAAGATTGCACAAGGAGATCGAACTGATAAATCGTAATCAAAAGGGTGGCGTCACCAGTGTAATCACATCAGAAGTTGGCGTCAAGAAGGTCACTGAGATGAGGAAGCCTACAGACTACAAATCAATTGCTTCCTATTCACATCCGGCAGCGGCCAATGTTGTACCTTTGACCACAACATCGGCAATCAACACTAATCTGGCAGCAGCAACAGCAGCAACCACAATGTCTCAAACATCATCATCACTGGGCAGATCAAATAATCAACAACAGGTGTTGTTTAACCTGGAGGACGATGACTATGGAGATCAACAAGCTTCGTCATCATCATCATCGACCTACAACAACAGCAACTATCAACATGGACTGTCACCACACATGGATAACAATGTTGTCAACAACAACAATGCATTCAGATACAGTAGTGGCTCAATCAATGTAAATGGTAATGGCAATGTCAATGGCAACAACAACAACAACAACAATGATGTGTATTTGAATATTGAATCACCACCTTTCATCAATGGCAACAACAACAACAACTCAATCGATAGTCTTGCAAACGACATTGAGAGGATACTCTAAACAACACTACTACTTACAACTACTACACTAGTATATATACTCCGATTAAAGCGACTTGTATGTATGTATGTACATTGCCAACCAGGATGCTGCGTCGTGCAGCCTGGCCCACAAAGCAGGAACCACTCGCGGATTCATGACTACCCTTTATTAGCCCTTTTGAGCAGCTCCATCAGATGATTGTATCGATGTTGTATCTGCAATGGTGTCTTGCTTGGTAGACTGTTGACAGAGAGCCACTGCCACATATCCTCCAGGTTCTCTCCACTCCTTGCTCGCACTGTTGTCAACAGTATCTTGTCCTCCTCCCTGTTCCACTTTATCAGTACTCCCTCAATCAACTCCAGGTTATCACTCCTGATAGGGGCGTTGGTGTTGGTCGTGATGGTACTGGTCGTGCTTGTGCTGGAAGTGCTGGTAATGGTGTTGTTGGTGAATGTGTCGTCATTGTTGAAGTTATTGTTGATGGTAATGTTGTCGTCATTTGAGTTGTTGATGTTGTTTGATGGTGGAGAGTCATTGCTGTAGTTGTTATCATAGTTATAGTTGTTGTCGTAGTTGTTGTCATAGTTGTTGTCATTGTTGTCATAGTTGTCGTTGTCATTGTTGAATACGCTGTCTTGTGATTCACTGATGCTTGACGAGAGTGTTGCTGGCTGTGGAGTGATTGCAATTGGAGGTGGTCGATTGTTGAGAATGGAGTCATTCAACAGATTGATGTTGACCTTCTTGGGTAATGTCTTTTGCTTCTTTTTGGTGGTCTCTGATACCTTCTCTGGAGAGACTTTAGTCCTCTTGTTTGTCCTGTTGCCACTCTTGCCTTGCTTTCTCTCCTTCTTCATCTTCCTGCTGTAAAAGTCTCCAAGGGCCACCGGAGTCTTGTTGGGGAGGTAGTGTGTTGAGATCGATTCCCAGTCTTCGCCAAATCTCTTGAGACCCTAATGATTGATTGATTGACAGATTGTGAGTGACATTGTCCACGCCATATTGATTGATTGATGACATGACGTACTTGCTTAAATAGTTCCTCTTCCTCGGTCGTCAGGTTCCTGCCAGAGTGTACCTCTTTGAGGATATTATCCGAGGTCTTTGAACAGGTCCTATTCTTGTATCGATGGAATAGTTGCTCAATGGTCTTGGTGGGCAATAGGGTGTCTCGAATCAACTCCCAGTTGGAACCATATCGTTCGAGTCCAAGTGCCAGCAGCTTGTCCTCTGATGGTGTGAACTTGAGTCGACTCAGACCGACCTGGTTAAGTGACAATGCTTCGCTAAAGTAGTCCTTAAATGTGTTGAGGATGATCTTCATGGTGTTCTCACTGGGGTTTGGGTCCTCCTTGAGCAGTTCGTCGATATAAGGATGAAGCCGCAGACACTCTCCATCGTACAGTGGTGAGATGAATCGAGGCACCATCGACTTCTTTGAAGCACGTGTGATGACCTTTGTCGGCGATTCAATCTGTTGAAGCAATATCTCTGCGTAGGCGTGCTTGTCATAATGTTTCATATAGTTGATGTAGATATCGTCCTGTTGGATGTGTGTGCGAGTTAGCATCGACCGCACGCGGTGAAACGAATTGGGAGGCGGGAGATACTTACGAGCATTTTCTTACAAACGTCGACGTCTTTGGCACGTGGATACTCTGGCAACTCCTCATTCTGGAAGGAATTGGCCAGGATTGAGCCTTGTTTGAGCATGGTCTTCACTTGCTTCTCCTTTGATTTGATTGCCATGTTGGTAAAGTTGATCTTCTCAATGCGTGTCTTGAGAAGTACTTGTACCAAGAGTTGATAGTGATTGGATAGCTGTGACTTGAGTTTGGATAGCTCCAGCTCTGTGAATATTGGTGTTTCTTGTTGTTGTGATTGCAGTTGTTGTGGTTGTTGTTGTTGTGATTGTGATAGTTGATGTTGTTGAAGTGGAGATGAGTGTTGTTGGTCTGTATCTACGTCATTGTCCTTGTCTTTCTTTTTTGATTGTCTCTTCTTTTGACGTGATGAGTTGTCGACATTGTCATTGGATTGAGTGGCGGGTAAGACAGTGGCGGAGGTTGACGTGGAGGTAGAGGTAGCAGTAGCAGTGGAGGTAGCAACAACATTGTTGCTTGGTGTATATCCATTCAATGAAGGAGGTTGAACGTTAACCACTGCATGTGATTGAGTATTGTTATACAATGATGATGACGGCGATATGGACAATGAAGATGGCAATGATGTCTTTGTGGGAGTGATCTGATGAGTGTCCAGTGGCGTTGTGCTAGCATTGTATCTAAAGTCATCAAACATGTTGTCGCTGGCATCCACTTGAAATCCAGCAAATGATGTGTCCAACTGTGAATAGTTCTCAACACCAGTTGTTGGGGCATCGCTTGATACCACGTTGCCATTGGCATTGGCCTGACGTATTGCATTGAGATGTTGTGAGTGTTGTTGTTGTTGATTTGCCTGCCATCATGACCATCTCTTGGAACACCTTGGAGTACTCAATTCCCTGTGCATTGGGATCACTATAGTTGTTCTCGATAAAGTCGCTCACCAATGATTCCATCTCGTCTAGATTGATTGATTGATCGAGTGTGTCAGTGTCTGATGACTGATTGATTGATTGAATGAATGAATGAACATACTTGATAGAATACTCCGACTTGATTCAATGTGATCAGCATGATCATCATCCTCGTCGACATCTGTGTCATAGTCATCATCTTCATCCTCTTCTGGGACATAGTCAATGTCATCATCCTCTTCATTGTCAGCTGTTGGCGTCACACCTGATTGTAGATCGAGCAAGAACTTCTGATAGACATCAAGGTTGCCAGTACCATTCTCTGCGTTCAATCCATTGTTTGGGTCTTCAGACTCTAATGGCAATTTGGACTCAAGGTACTCTGTGGAGCATCATAGTTAGTCTATCTAATCATATGATCGCACTAACAAAAACTGTGAAACATACCATCTAGTTGATCAAAGTCCAGATACTCAAGGTTGAAGTGAGAACGAGTTCGCAGATATGTCCTATCATTGGCATTGATGATCTCGTCAATGTCGACCATCTTGTTGGGTGTGATGTTGGTGCTCGCGTTGATGTTGATGTTGTTGTTGCCGTTGGTACTCGACACCAATGCAGCAGTATCAGGCAGTCTATCATTGTAATCCACAACTCCATATTGAGATTGATCAACATATCCACCTTGTGATATATCCGTCACTTGTTGTTGTTGTTGTTGAGGGTGTTGTTGATAGTACAGACTACTGTCATATGTCGTTACATTGTCTGCGCCATAGTATGATCCATCTGTTTGTTGTTGTGTTTGATATAGTTGGTGTTGTTGTTGCTGTTGTTGTTGTGTATCATATTGGATATATTGTTGTTGTTGTTGTTGTACTTGCTGTTCAGTGTTGTAAGTGAGCACCTCTTGTGAATGTTGATGATATGATTGATGTTGTTGTTGTGTTTCAAAGTTGGTGACATAGTGTAGTTGTTGATGTTCCTGTTGTTGTTGAGTCTGTAGTAGTTGTTGTTGTTGCTGTTGTTCATGTGTTACTAATGAACTTGAATCTATATATCGTTGCCAACATTAATATCATCACCATTGTTAATATTGTTGTTGTTAATGTTGTTGCTCTGGTGTTGATAATAATCGTATTGATGACTATCTATCATTCTTGTTGGTATTGTATTGGAGTTGGTCTAATGTACATTTGGATATTAATATATATCTATCTATGTTGTATTGTTGTTGTTGTGATAATTTAAATGAACTTATTGACCTTGTGATAATTATTATTATTTGGTTTGGCGCGCTAGTTTGGGCACTTTTGAAATTATGGGTCTCAAGTTCTCATGTTTGTTGACGACGAATACATAACATGCCACTCATTCATTGACATCAATCTATCTAAACACAGATATACATACGACAAATGGTCATTCTGCGACGATTCTTCATCGATAGACTACCGGCTACACTACAGAGTACAGTGTTGCTCGATGGAAGACAACACAGTCACTTGAAGAAGAGTCTTCGTATGCGTGTCGGTAACAAGATTGAACTGTTTGATGGATCTGGTATCAGTGCCATCGCAGAGATAGTTGAGATTGGTCGAGAACAAACTATTGTAACAGTTGAGTCAATTGGTACTAGTAGTAGTAGTACAGCCACCGATGGAAATGATGCACACATAGAGGACTTTGGTCATCTTCCAAGATTGGACATCGCCACATCACTACCAAAGGCAGCTAGAGGTGATTGGATGGTTGAGAAGTTGACAGAGATTGGAGTGCGATCACTATATCTTCTCGAGACAGAGTACTCTCGCTCGTCCAAAGCATCAGTGCCCTCAGAGAACAAGATGGATAGATACCAAAGGATAATAATAGAGGCTGCCAAGCAAGCAAAGTATGTCTGTCTCAATCAAGTACAGTACTATGCATTGGTCTAACAAACTCGCACACAGAGTCAATCGAATGATGAGTATATACCCAACAGAGCCATTCAATAGCTTTGTAAACAATAAGATAGTTAATGGACATCAGTGGTCACATGTGATTGTTGGACATCCAGGTGGACAACCACTGCCACAACTCTTTGAGTCAATCAAGAACCAACACCAACAGCGTATGTCTTCGATATCAAAGACATCGCCAACACAGCAACGGACACAACTACAGCCACCCAGCTTATTACTCATGATAGGACCAGAGGGAGGTTTCACCAACAATGAGATTGCCAAGCTATCACCCCTGGCCAATGTCTATCCTACCAACTTTGGCAACACAATCATGCGCATGGAAACAGTGTCGATCGTCGCCTCTGGAGTCTTCAATCAGTTCTACAGTTATCTCTTTCCACCACCTCCGCCATCATAGGTTGGAGTGGACTATATTATAAAGTACTGTACAGTTGATGACGATGATGATGCTGATGATGTTGTTGTTATTATAACTTCAATGGTTTGGGAGTGAGTGTTACAGTTTGGATTGGTTTGCCAATCGATCGATCGATCAGATGACGTAGATGATGTTGTTGACAAGCCAGTTGCGGTGGGGAAGGAAGAGGACTGACATGTTACTGCGCTGGGATGGTGATCGATATCTTGATCTCCTCGAGGTCGTCGTTGATGATACGCTTGGACGAGAGACTCTTTTGCCTGGACTTGGAGGCGTCCTCGAGCTTGGATGCGATGGTGTCGACACGCGCCTGGATGGCCTCCTTCTCCTTGCTCTCCAGCTTGGCCTTGACCTTGGGGTTGTTGTTGAACAGGTCGGTCTCCTCGACCAGAACCTTGTTGATGGTGGCCAAGTCGTCGTGGCTCTTCTTGTACTCGTTGTACTTGATCAGTAGCGTGTCGATTGTCTTTGGTATGTTGGCAATGGCTGGCTTCTGCTTGAGCGTGCTGATCAGCTGCGTCAGCTTCACCGTGTCCTTGTGGTTGGCCAGCTGCTGCTGCTCCTGCTTCAGTGCGGCGATGCTGTTGTGCAGCTTCTCCTTGCGCTCGAGCAGCTGTTGGAGCAGCTTCTCATTGTCGGCCACCTTTGTCTTGGAGTTCTCCATCTCGATCATGAACTTCTTCTTCTTGGAGATGTTGGGGTTGGACTTGGTGCGCAGCAACAGCGACGAAGACGACGCCGACGACTGAACCTGTGGGATGATCTCAACGTATGTCGCTGGGAAGCGGCCAGTCTTTCCCTCATACTCACCGGCCCACCATCCATCCCTCGCCTGTGACGTCACTCTGATCTTGACGCCCTGAGGGAAGTCCAAGTCCTCAGCCGTACCTCCATTATATTCGTACAATGTCTTTGCCATAATCTTTTGTTCTGGTAGTTCCTTGTCCTGTTCATGTCGTCGGGGATGATGTTAGAGAGGTGAGGTACACATCGTGATCTGAATTAATGATACATACACCAAAGATATATGGATAGTCTCTGATCAGTGAGAGGGTCAACGCATTGATGATTGGCGTATCCTCTACAAGGTTCTGGACATTGGTTGACTCGGACTTGGATTGTTTCTCGCGAATGAGATTAGGACCAAACACAGTCGACAAGTTATGTAGTTGCATCTTGTTGTTTGCTGAGTGCTGTGCCACACGACCCAAGAATGAGATCAACTTTGTCAATACGGCCAAGTTTGCCGCTGGCAATGATCTAACCAAATGTTTGATCAACTTGATCCTCGATGCCAAATCATCCATTGCTATTGATTGGAAGTGAGTGAATGAGTGATTGATTGAGTGAGTGATTGAGCGTGGAGATTACTTGGTACGTGAGGCTTGCTTACATTGTGCAGCGATAAACTTCTCGTACTTGTCATATGTCAACACTGGCTCTGGCAACTCCTGTTGGGTGGACATGTGTCAGTACTAACTCATGACGTAGCGTATGGAGGTCGATGACTGTATATAAACATACTCTTAGATATAGCTTCAGAAGACCTGCCACTGCATGTGGATCATTCTCAAGCATCAAGTCACACTTGTCGCCCTTGTCGTACATCTTCTTCCAGTTCTCGATCGTATTTACACTTCCCGAAAGCCTGAATATACCAACGACATCCATCGCTCTCTTTTCAATATAGTCAATGGCTTGTGTCACAATCATTGGCACCTCTGCTCCAGGTGGGATGGTCCTCTCCAAAGGCACACCAAAGATACCCTTGATCGGCTTGCCCTTCTAAACAATTGGGAGAGGTGAGTGAATGATTTTGGACATTAGGGTGTAGTGTACTTACGACTGGCGCAGGTGATGGCGCTACGTGACATTGGAAGGTGAATGGTGCAATGTTCCAAGCCTGCATCTCGGTCTCAGAGTCAAACTTGAGGTAGATGTGTTGACCGGTGTGATGAGGATCCTTGTGGATGAGCTCTAGCTTGCCCTCGCGGGGCGAGCCCATGACACGGATGACGTGGTCCTTGAAGTTGATGACGCCAGACGCGCGCTTGTCATGAGGTGACTTGTAAAAGTAGAGGAACTTATCGGTGAGGATGAAGTAGCGACTGTTCCACGACTTTTTTCTGTTCTGTATCTTCAAGTAGCCTTCCTTGAGAGCCACGACCGACTTGGCCGGCACGTCCAGACTGACGTTTGACGTGGACTCGTCGTCACTGATCTCGTGCTCCTCGGTGTACTGCGACGGGTCGTCGGGCGTCTCGAACGACCTGCTGTCACTCTTATCCTTGAGGAAGAATGGGAGGGATAGGTCGATGTTCAACGACCTGATGTCGCCATCGGTCAACTCATGGTTGTTATGGAACAGGCGATAGTCAGCATCGTCGCCCAGGTTGAATTTACATGCGGCAAAGCCCAACAGGTTACTGATTGGCTTGGTCACATCGGACACCAATGCCTTTGACTCTGAGTGACACACAATCTTGACAACCTGTTGCTTCTTCCTCATCTCCAACACAACTTCCTGTTATATCCATTCGATCAACTCACATGTTAGTTATTGCAATCACTCGATTGATTGATTGATCACAACAAGTAGTACTCACAGGTGCATTGAGTGGATATGAGGACAACTTGACATTGTCATCCATCCATCTGGTGCGCTTCTCGAGTTGTGAGCGCGCTGCTGCTGGATTGGGAATGAAGACTGATTGGCGCGAGGGCACAGGCGGTGCGTTTGGGTTTGGCTGTGATGTTGATGTGGCAAAGCTATCGCCACCCATATAGATTATCTGCATTATGTACTGATCCGCTCTGGTGATTGCATTCTTGGCGCAGATAAAGTTGATAGTGTCACGCACCGATATATTATAATCGGACAACTTGATTGTCTTGTAACGCATTGGGAAGCCGGGCGGGAAGCCGATCTTCAATCCAAACGTCTGATACCCGCTGTTACTACTGCCATCCTTTGCAGACGACATCATGATGAACCAATCAAAGGCTTATATTTTGTTTTGTTTTGTTTGTTTGTCTTGTATTGATTGATTGATCGAATGGTTGGTTTGGTACTACTAATACAATGCTCGTTCGTTTATCTCTTTGTAATGTATATATATATTGAATGAACAGATAGATAGTGATCTTGAAGTGACACCTGTGTTTGATTAATTATTCATTTTGTTTGTTGCACTGCAGCTTTGGATTCAAATAAAGTTCAAAGGTTGATTCAACCCCAACCCTTACCCTTGCCCTTGCCCTTGCCCTCACGCTATCACTCACTTTGACAACGAAGATGACGTTATACACCAAGTTCACAACTTGTGCCACTCCATTGTGTTACCTATCATCACCATCATATACATCACATATAATATAACAAGTATTACCAACAACATAATGTAATAATTATCAATCAAACAGATATTAGGTTGATTATCTCTTGATCAAATCATTACATCAATCAACTTATTGTAAACGACTTGTGTGTGTGTAGTTGTCGACTCTATTCCTTTGATGACAACGTATTCACCAATAAATGAATGGCATCATCAACAACCTCGTAGTTATTATGAACAACAACTCACACAATGACCCTGATATTTGATGGGGCCTACAGGTCCAGATTTAGCAACTGCAAGGCTGAGGAAGGGGCAATCTCAAAAGGCTTCTTTGGGTGAGACATAAGTTTGGTACAACGACAAGACGATCTATGCCTAAATCAATCAACCAAACAATCAATCACATGGTAGTGATGTTGAACGATGCCACATCGTCGACGTCCTTCCCTGATGATTACTACAACTTCATTGTTTGGTTGTTGTTGTTGTTGGACATAGATTAACAACAGTATAAGCATAACTACTTACACAAGACAAGATGACAAAGTTGATGAAGTTGATGCTTATTCTATTGTTACCTTTGTTGTTGTTGTTGGACATTGCACTGACAGTCAGTATACCACCTCAAGAGAAGGTATCATTGGATTGGTTGATCAATCAATATAGAGTGAACATAACAGATGTCGATCGTATATGCGGTTTGTCAACAAGCCAGACAATACAATGTGATATCAATGGAAGTCTGACCGGAATGTACATTATCCCATCATTCAATCATTCCATCCATGATATCCATCAAATGCTAACCATTCATTCATTCAATCATTAGCAACTTTGACACATCATTATCATCTCAGGCTTGGACAGACCCTGATCCAATGCTAACTAGTCTTTACCTCCCAGAGTTGAATACATTAGCTATTACCTCGGATCCGAGTAAACCAACGATATCAAACCAAACGATCAACTTATTGTCCATGATGGTCAACCTCAACAAGTTGACCAATATCAGACTGGTTAATGAGCCCACCATCACAGACTTGAGTGATATATCATCAWTTTCCAAATCTGGTAACCTTGTAAGATGTTGTTCACTGATTAATCCATCCATTGAACCATCCATTCATTCGCTTACACTGGAGTCAATCTATCTCAATCATAATCTAGGTTTATGAGTAATATAACCAATATGCACAAGGTKGATCCTATCCAATCTACCCACAAAACTGGCAACGTTGTCATTAGATACACCTCTTAGCCAAGTATCTCTGCCTCCAAACAATGTTGTCACTAATCTGTAAGTACCAACTGAATCAATCAATGAATGAATCAATCAATCAATTAATTAATCTCAATCATCCATCATTACCATAAAGTTATCTTGGAGTTGGAGCACTTACAACAGTTAATATTGATCAATTCTCTAAAATGAGCAATCTGTAAGATTGATTGATTGATTACCTGCCACTTCCACTCCCTCTCACTTACTCACTCTGATCGATCCATTGACTTTGATTCCCAATCAAAGTGTTATTATTAGGTACTCACAAGACTTCATTATTAATATTACCTCTTGTCCTTTTCTCAGTAATATGTGAGTATATAGATCACTATATTCATCCATCATCATTCTACTTACTCTTTTTTGTTTGTCTCCAATGTTAATAGAAAGTTTCAACATGATCCAAAGTATATATCAAATGGGCCAACAGTACCCTCACTCATCATGGATAATCCACCAAAGATTCTGAAGCTGTCATTACTAGGAGGTGTTGCAATTGTACCGAACAACATATCACTCTATACTAAACTAAGGTAAGGAGGTACCAAATATCAACATGATGTCATTCACTAACTCAATCACAGTACATTGGAATGCACCGTTATGATGACACAACTCACTGGAATATTGCCAAACACAATCAAATTCTTGTATGTTAATCTATCAATCAATTATGTTCCACTATTTCCAATTGCTAACAAACAACATAATATATAGCACATCTGGATACCTATATCCACCAACACTCTTATCTGGGATGAAGGATGGCATTGTTACCTTGGATTACTCTCCATTTATTGGTGATATGAACGATTCATTCGTGCCAGATAATCTCAGTCTACTCAAGTTCAATCTCAAGGGCAGTTTTTCCACGGCGATCAAAGGAGCAACACCAAAGGCAACATGTTTCTCCAAGTCCATCAGCTTGGTAAACACTGCACTCACATCCGTACCAGACTGCTACCTCTGCCACAAACCATCCTTCAGTCTTCCATCATCCCCAGTGCTCATCAATGGTATCAGTGCGACATTCCCTCCAACCTATCAATGTAGTAAGTACATTATACATCAGTGATTGATTGATTGATTGATAGAGTGTATGACTTACATGGAATAGACATTACACAGGACAGTAATTCATATTACTCAGCGGATAGGAAGACGATCACTGTGACTGGAAACAACTTTGGTTGGGGTATCAAGGGTGATTCAGACCCGTTGTTGACAATGTTGGTACCAAACAGGTCATTCCGATATAATGTCACATTTCCACCTGGTTCCGACACTGGCTCAGCGACAATCCTACTCTCAAATGTCTCAAACTATCAATTATCAATCAACTATTATGCATCCACCACTATTGTTGCCAACATGAAACAGGTACCATACGGTGCACAAATCACTGTCACTTCATCTGGACCCTTGGACACAATATCACTCACAGCTACAATCGATGGAGGCCCAAGTGAATGCTCTATGGCAGCCAACACCAGCTTGATCAACACATACTACTGCTTGATGAATGGATGGTTTGATCAAGGTAACCACACTATTAAGGTGAATAGCAGTGGCCAGATACTTAGTCAACGAGTGGTACTTGTTTGGACATATCCGCTTGTGACCTCCATTTCACCAATCACCACTGATGGTGGCCTACTCATACTTGGCGGCAACTTTGGACCATACCACAATCACACCGCTGTCTCGATCAATGACGCCGACTGCTCCGTTCAGACATGGGATTCAACAACAGTGCAATGTCAGATTGCCAAAAGTAGTACACTTGTGGCCGGACCAGCCACATTGAAGATGGAGGTAGATGGCTACAATTATACCTCTTCAACAACACTATTGAATGTACAAGATCGATCACAGATTATTGTTGACAGTTGTATTGTCAAGAATAACAATTGCTCTGGCAATGGACATTGTGTGGCGGATAATGGTGGATCATGTCTGTGCAATGATCAATTCCTCGGAACGATGTGTGAGCAGGTGGTCTCTCCAACAGTCCAGGTGGTCACCAATCAGTTGGCACCAATCGCATCGTTGACTACAGAGGACAGCCCTTTTGTGTTTGAATTCGAGATGGCCTCTGTCCAGGAGGTGGATGTCAGAGGTGAGGTGGTTGGCGAGCTCGCCACCAAAGCCTGGAGCACAAAGGATATATCCCCTGAACAAGATGGCAATGGTAAAGCTTACCTATACACATGGAATAATACCAATACTGGCAATGGTGGCGGTGGACAACCAGGGCTGATGATCCAGACCACGCTCAATATGTCTGTGCAGGCCAACACTGTCAAGTTTGCCGGCCAATCAATCCAGCTGGCACCCAACTCGGTCAAGATGACAGTGTCGATCAGCGGATGGACATTCTGCAGCACACTCAACACTCTTCGAGTCGTCTTTGCAACCAACCTGTACAATACCTCATCATCACCATCAGATTGCAATACAGACCAAGATACATACACACTCATACCTTCCTCGACCAATGGCCAGTCTGTCCAATACCTGCGAGTGATCAAGGGCAAGACAGAGTTCCTTGGCAGATTCGTCGACTACTCGCTCTCTGACGGGCGACCCACCTACACTCAAACACAGTTCATCAATCAGACCAAGCTGGACACGGACGACAACCTCTACAAGGTATACTTTGGCATCACTCTGCCTCAGTGCCATACATGCAAGCTCGATCCAGACTTCTCGGCCCTGGTCTCAATCCCTCAGGCCGTACGACCGGAATGCATGGCTGGAAGACGCGACAACAACACCTTCGCAACATGGAAGATCATAGTTATTGTTGTCGTATGCTCCGTTGTTGCCGCCACTCTCCTCAGTGCCTTCATCGTGTTACGCAAGCACAAGATCTACCTCAAGTATCTCGAGATGAAACAAGGTCGAAGGACTATAAGCATGAGGAACTTGATTAAATCGTCGGCGTAGGGGCGCTGGCGCACACCTTTTGTACTTTACTTTACTTTACTTGCTGTTCTTTGCCTCCTCGATCAGACGCGCTGTCATTGTCTTGGGCAGACCCATCACAGTCTCGAACTCGCCCTCACAGCGATCGATGTATTCTTCCATGTGTTCGGCTGTGAAGCCTCCTGCACAATTCATCACGTCACCCTGTGCGATCAATCTCTCAATGACCTCCTCTGGTATCCTCTTGAAGTACATTGATGCCACATCCGTTCCTTGTACTCTCTTGCCGGTCTGTGTGTTGACAACCACAACACTAGCAATGCACTCGGCAGGGTGGAACTCATATGATCGGAGATACTCTCTACATATATCCTTCGTATCTGTTATTGTTGATATTGTGTTTGTGAGTATGTACTCTCTCTCTCTCGCTCTCTGGCACTCAACATCAACAACATACCTGGCTTCTCTCTAATGATGTTGTTATGTACAATGACTTGATCGGAGCAGATCAATATCGCTGGCTCCTTGACCTTGGACAACAAAGCATCAGCCTTTGCGTTTGATATCATCATTGTAAGCTTCCTTGCATCTGGATCTCTGATGGCCTATGTATATACATAGAGGCAGTTAGTCACCTACACTGATCATGTCAATAACCCTGCCGTTAGTGATCGCTAGCTCACCTTCTCGTCAATATCAGGTGACATTGTTGTGAATGTATATCCCATGTGATCACTCAACACCTTCTTCCTCCATATCGATGATGATCCCAATATGATCTTAATATCTGAAGTTGTAGTCGATGTCATCTTGTTATCTCTCTATCTCTGTGTCTTTGTGTAATTGATTGATTGATTGAATGATTGAATGAATGTGTGGACACAACACTTTATTATTTCTTGGAGGAGGTTGTTGCTTGTTCGGTATTATCAAAGTTGATCGTATGGAGGTATAGTGCATCAGTGTCGTTGGAGTTGACTGGCATCTTGCGCACCAGACATACACCATGGTACTGATCATTCATACGAAGTTGGACTGTAAGTTGTCTGGTATCAATCTCTGACGTGATGCGTCGACGAACGTAGCGTGGAACAGAATACTCGATGCGAAGATTATGCGTGGTGACGTTTGGTAGTGAAGCTGCGCACGTCGACACAAACGATACCTGTCTATTCGTTAGATTCTGAATGTTGACAGCTGGCAACTTGGCATTCATCCACAATGTCTTGACGCTGGCGGGGATCGCCGGTGGCTGGAAGTCAGCACTGACCTCATTCTCTATCTCGAGGTCGTCAAGTGAAGATGGTAGCACAACGTCCTTGAGCTGCGTCAATGATGCTACCAACAGGTGAGTGAGTCCTTCTGGCAACACTGTACTCTCTGCAATCTGATCGTACTGCTTTCCAAGTCTGAACCACTTGAGCGACGAGGGCAACACGCCAGGCAAGAGAGGATGATTGAACATGTCGCCCAGCTCCAACCTTGTCAATGACGACGGCAATGCTTTTGGCTCGATGGATTGATTAAACGCTTCACCTAAGTTCAAGTGAGTGAGCGTTGATGGGAGGGATCCAACAATGATCGGTTGTTTGCACTGGGTCATGATCAATGTCTTTAGGTTTGGTGGAAGTACCTTGGGTCCAAAGACGTCTTGATCGAACGATGCTCCAAACACCAACTCTTGTAATGCACTTGGCAATACATTTGCAACCAGCTGTTGATTGTAGACTTTTTTAAAGGTCAGTGATGTGATGGTTGAGGGTAGCACACCTGGGGAGAGTAGTTGATTGAATTGTTGGCTAAAAGATAGTGATGTGAGGCCCTCTGGTAGAGATCCTGCATCAATAGGTTGATCGAACAAAGACTCTGCGAAGGACAGTGTCTTGAGTGACGGTGGAATGACTCCAGGTTGAAGGTATTGATCATAACTTTTGTTGAACGTGAGTGAGGTTAAGGATGTTGGAAGCACACCAACCGAGATCATTTGATTAAAGGAATAGGGTAGGGTTATACTGGTCAGTGAGTCTGGCAGCGAGCCTGACACAAAGATGTGATTGTATCTTGAGAACCCTATGAAGGATAGAGTCTCGAGCATTGAGGGCAGGACACCAGGATGAAGCATATGATTGAACTGAGGTCCAAATTGAAGGAATCGAAGTGATTGTGGTAGGTCACCTGGTTGGAGCTCTTGATTAAATGTCGACGACTTGCCAAATGACAGCTTCTCCAGTGCCGGTGGAAGTACGTTGCCTGATAGGCTTTGATTGAATCCTGAACCAAGGTACAACGATCTGAGTGATTGTGGTAATATACCATCTTCCAAATGTTGATTGAATGATTCCGAGACAATCAGTGTTTGGAGGGTATCGGGCAGTGATCCAGGTGCGAACAACAATTGGAACTGTTGTCCGAGATAAAAGTCAGTGGCGAACTTGAGCTTGGTGAGCGATCGTGGCAATGTATTTGGTGTAATTGTAGTTGTAAATTTGTATCGTGCCGTAAACTTCAATGAGCGGAGATTGTCTGGCAGGGAGCCCGGCTTCAACTCTTGAGTGATGGATTCAAATGTTATACTGGTGATTGAGTTTGGCAATGATGCTATGGGTAGTTCACAACTCTGACACCAAAGTTTACCAAGTACCAACTTGGTCAGAGAGTGAGGTAGATACTCTGGCACAATCTGATGTCTCGAGTTATATGTCAATCTAGTCAATGTCGATGGGAATATATAATCATCCAACTGTGCATCAACACTATATGTGATACTCTTCATTCCATACATCATTGCAACTGATGCCTTTGTTACTGTACTCAATGTTGTTGTTGGACTCGGTGTTGTACTCGTTGTTGTACTCGTTGTTATAGTTGTATTATCTTGTGGACAAAGAAGTGGAGTATCACGTTGAAAGTTGATCTCTGGCATCTGTCGACTCATGTAAACGAATAGTCGTTTACATGTTAGTCCAAGACAAAGTGCATCAAATGGCTCATCCTTCATATAATCGAATATCTGTCTAACTACAAGAGTTGAAAGTGAGTCCATATCTCTCTATCTATTATCTCTAACTGATAAATATCTCAATACAATGACCAATCATCAAACATTGATGTTATCTTTAGTATTTTGGTATTGACAACTTGATCCAACAAAATTCTGGAATTCATAAAATCCCAGCCCGCATTCTGCAGGTCCACAGGTTGTCCTAAGAATGAAATCTTTTATTTACAAAGTGTTCAACTGATTGATGTCAATTTAGTGGATGCTGGCATGGATATCGGCGTGGATAAGATCGATACCCAACAGGTTAATGTCGAGATCAATGTCAATGTTGATACTGATATCAGGCAAACATGGCAACAACTTGAAGGCAGCTTGGTTTGCACCCTGAGATGCAACACCGTATGATCCACCACCAAACGATGCCTTCGACACAATAGTCGAGGAGGTTGGTGTCATGTTCTTCATTGATGCTATAAAATATTGGTAAGTTTTAAGTATTAATATTATTTAATGTATATAATATATATTATTATTATTATTAAACATACCGATTAAAGTCATTTTAGATTGTTTGATTGATTGATTAATTAATTAATTGATTGATTGATTGATGATTCTTAAAGTCACACTTTGTGATGTATAAATAGTTTGTTGATGAAAGTGGATAAATCAATGATTGGGGAGACATAGTACTTCATTTGGAAGTCCCTTAATATTATATTACATCTTTCCATAAGAAGGAGTATTAATATCAAACTGTTTGATCATAAATTATCTCTTTCCCAAAGTAATTATCTGTACCCCTCACACACTCACACTCTCACACACACACACACACAAACAACTGATCAATCAATCCAGGAATGAAACCTACCACTTGGATGAAGGATTTATAATTCGAATGTCGAGGATAGGACAGGTACATCATTAACATTTATTTGAATGAACGAATAGATGATACGATACAGGGTTATATAATACAATTATGGGTGGAAGTGATGATGGACTTGAACTGACTGACTGCGACTGACTGAATGACTGGACTGAATGATTGACTTGATTGAACTTATAAATCATAGTTATATAGATCATTTGGTGCGACTGGTGCTGCTGCTGCTGCTCTGTTACGACGATGTCTTCTCTTGATATGCTTGCCCAACTTGACACAGCCGTAGATGGCACCGCCCACCAGCAGGAATGGCAGACCAACGGTGCACACCGCCAGTCCAATCGCAACGTTGCGTCCCTTGTGTGAGGTGCGACGTGGGGGTGGCGTGTAGGTCGAGTTGATCGGCGTGTAGTACTGCTTGTCATAGCAGTCGGGATAGTTGTTGTCCATAAAGTGGCCGGCTACATAGTCGTTGCGACACAGCCAGCAGAACTGGTGCTGGCAGTTCTGGCAGGTCATGTGGTTGCAGCCCTCGTTCTTCTCGATGAACGCCTCGCATTTGGGACACTTTTGCACGTTGAACGTGTTGGTCGTGACCCATTCGTCAAAGTGCTGCTTGGCCGTCACGCCTGACTTCTCCTTGCGATTGTTCAGATTGATTGCCTCCTCGCCACACTTGTAGCCTTGGTGCGCCAGCTCGCCACAGTTGTAGCAAAAGTCCGTGCGGCACTTGGGACAGGTGAGCAGCGGGTTGCTCGCAGAGCCGCCCAGAACAAACGTGTCACAGTCTGGCGTTGGACACCACTTGATTGGCTCGGCCTTGATCGAGGCGATCATTGAGAACTTCTGGAACTTGGTCCACGTCTTGTCGTCAACAAAGTGATGGATGACCTCCTCTGGGATGTCGCGCTTGCAGCCGGGGAATGGGCATACGAGGTCGAGCACGCGAGCTTCGACAATGTGGTTGGTGAGGTACTGTGTGATGCACTCGTTGCAGTACTGATGGCCGCACTCAAACTGGTGCACCTCGGTCGAGAGTGAGTAGTCGCAGTAACAGACCTTACACTCGACTGGTGGGTCCAACACCTTGGGCTCTGTTGGTACGTAGTAGGCGCGAGCCCATCGCTTCGATGCGTCTGGCACCTTTTGGTGCTCTGAATCCGAGCCTGAAGATGAGTCCGACTCCTCCTCAGACTCTTCCTCTGACTCCTCCTCGGACTCCTCTTCGTCTTCGTCAGAGTCTGGCTGTGGGTTGTAGATGACACCCTTGGAGTAGTCCTCCTCGTCAGACTCCTCCTCATCGTCAGTGTAGCGGTACATTCTGCGACGGTTCTTGACTGCGGCGTTGTTTGTCGCCGTCTCCTTCTTGACATGTCCCAATCTCTTTCGCCTCCTGGTGACCTCTCTTCGCAGTTGAGCGTGCAGGTCGTCGCGTGTCGATGACTTCTTTGACGACTGCTTCTTCTTCTTTGATTGAGTAGTCGTCGTTGTGGTCGTGGTAGTGGTGGTAGTGCTGGTAGTGCTCGTGACTGGAAGCACATCGATAGAGTGTCTGCGCAGTGTGGTGCTGGTCGTGGTGATCGAGGTGTCTGGTTTGACGTCCTCGGCTCCATCCAACATGGCGTACAGACTGTTGAGACTCTGTGTAAAGTCGTTAAAGTTGTTGTTGATGTTGTTGTTGGCGGCTGTGCTCGTGGTGGTGGTTGTTGTGGTGGTGGTGGTCGTGGGCGTGTCCATCGACTGCGGCAGCGGGACGCGGAAGTTGCGCTGACTCATACGCATATTGTTGTATCTTGGCAGCATACTTATGCTCCTGGCGCGACCCAACTCGGTCGCCTCCGAATCGGAACCATCCCTCAGGTTATCGTCATCGTCCATGGTTGTTGAAATCTTGGTCGCCCTGATTATTGAGGGCGCCTGCAGATCCACCTCTGAATATGATTCGACCTCTGATGACTCTGATTCTGACTCTGAACTGCTTGGCACTACCACCTGTCTCCTAGTCGTCCTTCTTGTGATGCCAACACCAGGGTTGGTCGATGTTGTTGATGTTGTGGCTGGTGGTGCGGCAATCGACTTCTGTTGTTTTGTGTCCCAAGTCTCGCATGTTAGTGCCTGCCTGCCCCTCTCTCTTGCTGATGATAAACATACCTTTCGTTTGGAGAGTACATGGAGGAAGATGTTTGGACGCGACTTCTTGTGATTGAATAACTCGGCTGGGGGTGGCGCCAATGGGACGAACCTGCTCCCGCTGTCGCTGTCACTGTTGTCGCTGTAGATATTGGTTGGGGCGCGGACTGTCTCGTGTGGCAGCTGGTAGTCCAGGTCCTCGGACTGTCCACACACGATCTTGACGGTGATGAGCACATCGTCGATCCTGTCGAGCAGTGCCAACAACTCGCTCAAACGGGTCTCGTGTGACATGTACGTGTTGATCAGGATGACAATTCGTTGGCGCAGTGTCTCGAGACTTCGATGGTAAGTGATCAACTTATTATTCTGTGATCGCGACAGTTTTGCCTTGCACGTCACATCTGGCGATGCGGCATGGCTTGAGAACATAAGCTGCACCAGCTGATTCAGTCCATCTATATTTCTCTCGACATATGGTGCGACGTTTGACACAGTCAAGTCCTCTTCCTGTTTTGTTTGTTTGATTGGTGTGATGTTAGGTATTTCTGGAAGTTTCCGGAAGTGGTCATGACATTTCCGCTTTGATCATCACATACTCTTTGTAATAGAATGTCTGGAGAGGCCATTGCTGATGCTGCTAACTTGTTTCTCTCTATCTAACTATATATATATAATATTATTATTGAAAGGAATGTGATGATCGAGTTCCAGAAATGTGTTGGATTGGTGAATGATTATATCTAATGTACAAGTTTGATTGATTGATTGTCGTCCTGGGACTCAAAGTATGTGTATCTAAAGTTGGTATTGCGTGTTAGGGTCCAACTTCTAGTTTTCAAGTTTAGTTGTTAAATGTCTATTATGATTGATTGGTTGATTGATGAATGAATGAATGAATGTAGGAATGTTGGGGGCGGTGTCGACAACCTCTTGACTAACTAACAAACAAACAAATAATAATAGTAACTGAACACAACACATACACATAATAATAACAATGTTGTTGATGGGATGGATGACTCTAGAGATGTAAGTAGTGCCTGCCCGCAGGCACTTGGAGTCCATTGATTGAGATTGTGGTTGGAAATTTAAGTGTTGGTTGGCTGGCGGGCAGTATCAAGCGTGGCCTTTTCTCCATCGCCCTCTCTCTCACTCACCGAGCGAGCCGAGATACACATATGTATATATATATCCAAGTTGTGTATGCAGGTATATAAATACATCGGGTATGTATGTTATGGCGTGTTTGCACAGCCTCGTCCAGCACCAACCCCTTCCATCTTCCATCCATCCATCATCCAACAAACAAACAAACAAAACAAATACACACACATAAACAAACAAACACACTGGAAGTAGTGATCTCTTTAAACAATGTCGGTACATATGTTGTTGTTGTTGTTGGAGTGAGTGAGTGAGTGAGTAGTAAGTGTGGTGTGAGTGGTGCTGATGCCAACACAACATATGTGCGTGCTTGTGGAGTTGGTGATGTGTTTGTTGTTGTTGAGCCTGGTAATGTCAATGTTGTTGTTGCTGATGCTGTTGCTGTCGCTGTGGTCGATGCCCTGCATTAACACCTGATTCCTTGACATATCATGATAAAGGTATGGATCGTATGATATGAAGTATAGTTTGCCAAACTAAACTAAAAAGCTAGATGTTCTGATTGATCGACTGATTGATGTGATTGATGAGTTGTTGTTGTTGTTGTTGCCTACCTTGATTAATGAAATATATATATAATCTATAGATTACTTATTATTATAATAATAATAATATATATTGTATATGTACACTATACTACTGCTAATATTACTAGATGTGTAATTGTTTGATACCTAACAACAAGTGTTGTGTTTAATGATGACCAACTAAACCAAGGTCGTTATGTGACCCTCTGCTTTGCTTGCTTGTCCGAGACTTGATTGATGATGAGGTGAGTGGAGAGACTTGTACACATAGGGTAGACCCTTCCATACACACAATTTAATTTGATCAATCATCCATCCACCAAACAGTTGCGTCGAACGGTGTTTTGATTGAGCCAGGGTTCTCCCACATGCTCACTGACCCACACTCTCACTTTCTTTGTTTGGTCACACACCAAAAGGTGAGTATTTTTAGATTGTATTGCAGAAATACAAGAGAATTTTTACCTGGGCAGATGATATTCGAGGTTGACACGATCATGAACATGATCGACTATCTGGGGCAACGACCTTCACACACTTGAAATCACCGAAAAGCATTCAGATTCAATAGTTCATTGTATCTCGATGGTTAACTGGTGACAACCATCATTGGAGTTGAGTCAACTGCCGGAATGAATTTTCATATGCATTCATGCGTGCTTCTGATGTTCATGTCATGTGTCATGTTTGTCAGTTGACTATGCAATGGCAGAGTTGTTAAAGCCTGGTGTGTACGTGTTGAATGGAGTCGCTGAGAGTACCATGATATGGTCAAAGTTTATTCCGCCTAGTGGCGTGGACTTAGGCCTGATGTGTGTTGGTTGACGAAGAGTCGGTGGATGATACAGAGGCAGCCGCAGCAGCAGCAGCAATTGCCTCTTGTTCCAAAAGTTTCTGTTTTGCTAATAGTTCTCTCTTCTCCTTGTTGGTCATCTGTTTGATTGCAGGTACACCTTCGCGATGTCTTTGCTCAAGCTCTACCAACACTCCTCTAAACTCTGCCACTGTAAATACATTGTTCAACTTTGATCTAAGGTCTTCATACACCTCACAACTTCAATGATTAAGTGGAGCGAGCGAGTTAGCGAATGATTGATTGATTAATTGAGTGAGTGAGTTAGGATACATACTCTTTGCGTAATAACTTGAAGAAATGAGATCTGATTATCCAATGTTGTGTTGGATATTGTTCGCACATGTCAAGGAAGTCGTGACATATCTGTGTGACTGGTATGTTCTTTCCAGAAAACATGGCTGGATTCGCCAATATACCCTCAGCAGACATCACACCATCAGCAGTAGTCTCCTTCAAACATTCATCAATATCATCATATTCCAAAACACTTCCATTGGCAATCACTGGAATTGATAATGCATCCCTAAAAGATATGATTGATTGATTGAATGAGTATGAGTGATCAAGTGGAATAGTTCCACCTCTGATTGATTGAATGACTTACTTAACAGCTTTGATTGCCTTCCAATTGGCAACACCTGATAGTTTGCCCTTTTGCTCTTTGGTGCGACCATGAACGGTGAGCAATTGACATCCAGCCTCTTGTAATTGAAGTGCCAACTTGATTGTATCTTCAAGATTTGGCAATAGACGTATCTTACAAAACACTGGTATACTCAATCTCTTATGTAGTTCTCTGACCATTGGCAATACAATCTCTGGTTGCTCCAACAAGAATGCACCATAATGTCCCTTTTTCGCCACAATCTGAGGGCATCCCAAGTTGATATCAACTGCATCACATTGACTCTCGACCATCAATGCTGCCTTTACAATGTGCTCCACTTCATTGCCACAGAACTATTGATTGATTGATTGTCGTTTGAGTTAGACATGCCCATGTATGAATGAACGAATGAATGAATGAGGACACTCACCTGCACTACTAATGGACGATCCTCTTTGCAGATCTCAAAGTTCTCAAGACGATAGGTGGCATCATTGGCATAGTTCTTGCTGTGAAACATTGGTGTGTAGACTAGGTCTGCATTGTACTTTCGACAGAGCATTCTGAATGCCAAGAAGGTGTGATCAATCATTGGTGCCACAATATGTTTAGGTGACTTGAGCACATCTCTAAAGAATTGATATCCACCCATCTTTGTAGTAGGTGTTGCTATCAATGGTATAGCTGTATTATATATTGTTGTTATCACATCTGATGATGGTGTGTTTGTCGTAGTTGTCGTTGTAGTCGTCGATGTAGTAGTATTATCCGCTGATGCACCATTATCATTTTGAAGTTGTTGAGTCACAGTTGATGATGTCCAATAGAACAATCGATTGTTCAAATCCTTTGTAATAGTACTCTTAAGTAACATTATGTAGTTATAGAAATATAAAGATAGAGATAGAGATAGATATAAAGTAGTAGTGTAGCGAGGGGGTTAGTTGTGAATGGTCTGAGAAAACGAGTCCCGAGTGTTTAGTGGCACTTGGGGGGTGTTGGGCGAAGAAAGACAGAAGCGTTTGGATGAAACACTCAACCCCCAACATGTGCCTATTGGACATGCGGGTACTGGATGGAGATATTTGCTTCAACAAGTTAGGTGACCTTTGGTATTTTGGACCCAGCCCGCACATCGCTTATCTCTCGATCCAAAATATTAATCATCCTTGCAAGTGCTCTACCCTCTCTGCCTATCTTCATCGCAATGAGGGATGTTTTCAAGTTAGGGATTGATGGATGGATGATGCCCTACAATCGGACTCCTGAATGGATAAATGAAAGAACTTGAGTTGAATGAGAGATGAATGAACGAGATGAATGACAACAACAGACGGTTATTGGATCAATCATTATATCAAACAAAGTAGTAGCGTAGTCTACCATTACTTACTTACCCAACTACATACTACAACTATATACTACTTACAATTATAACAATAACAAATAACAAATAATATGGCAACAATAAAGAATATAATAGTATATACATTAATAGGATTGTTATCAGCAGCATTCCTATCATTAGTTATAACAACATATATCTATGATTGGTATGGCATAGTTATGCCTAATGATGATTTCTATGTCTTTGGTCTATCAAGATACACCGTATTCAATGTATGTTTAAAGATGAATGAATGAATGAATGAATGAATGAATGAATGTAACTAACTAATACTATTAATAGTTAACAAGTATATATGTTCAGGAATATACATATAAGAATAACATTATACAGGGTACATTCTCAACAATGGCTGCATTTGAAGGATTGTCATTAGTATTCTTGGCATTGCTGTTGATCAGTATTGTGGTATTCTTTATTAGAAGACATGATGAGATATTCCAATCATTGGTGTTCGTCTCATCGATATGTATGCTGTTGTGCCAGATCATTGCATTCCATATTGTATTCAGTGTCACTGGTAACCTCAATGATCAACACTTTGCCAACTGCCAATCAAAGTACTATTGTGAAACATTCCGTGGCAGTGCCGATGGATATATTTGGGGACCGCTCAAAGGTCTATGGCTGGGTCTGGCTGCACTATGTGTATCATTCGTCAATGCCATAGTATGCGCAATATTCAAATGGACCAGATATGCCAATCAAGCCGAACCAGGTTCAAAACTATCCGCAGTGAGTAGTACCAGTAGTTCATACCGTGGATAATGATGGTGATCACCATCCCAAGGGTGGATCTCAAAAGGCCAAGTCAATCAATAATTCAATCATTCATTCAGTCATTCACATATAGTTGTGTGAATGATCATTATGTACAACTACCAAAGTAATAATAAATTCAAAGTGATCACATCAAGTTGATCAGGCGATAACCTGATGGGGTTGTTTTGCAAAAACTGATCAAAAAATATCTTGTCCTAAGCCCCATGCAAAACAATGTTGTTTGAATGTGAGGTGTACACCTCGAGGACATCAATCTACATATGATAAGTGAGACCATTGTGTATTGGTTACCCTGTAGCTGTGTCTCTCTCTCTCTCCCAACAAGAATAGAAGAAGAAGAAGAAGAATACAATACAACGACAAACCAACAACAACAACAATAACAAAGGTACTAAATGTTGGATGTCAACAAGTTATTGGGCTCATTCCTTGTTCTCCTCTCATTGGCCACCAGTCTACTGGTGGTCTACTCAATGACCAAGCCTTGGTACATCATCTCGGTTCTAGCACAGGCGCCTCCAATCAATCAAGTTCACATCAACACCAACATCAACAACAACAGCGTAATCAACAAAGATGGAGGTGCACTCTATGATATATATGTACAGTTTGGATGGTTCTCCTATGGCACATACTATGTAAGTTCGATCCCAAAAGGATCAAGGCTAGGCCCTGGAGGGTCTCATCATGGTCCACGCCCACTCACTCACACACTCACACACACATAGGCTGTGAACATGGAGCAGATTGATCACTCAACATATAGTGGATCAGCGATGGAATGGACGATGTTGACTAGTTTCATTGTGCTGTGTATATCGATGGCACCATCATTCGCATTGGCATTCATCACGGTGTTGTTCATATTCGTCGACAAATTGTCAGAGTCCAAACGAAGACGACTGGCACAGCTGCTGATAATAGTGTCCACGGCGTCGTTTGGCCTGCTGACGACAGGCTTTTTAATTTACTTGACGCTGACGGCATCACTACGCAACGATAACTTCCACAACTGCCATCATCAGTTCTTCTGTCGGTCGTTCAGAGGCACGCAAGGCAATTTCTCATGGGGTCCAATGGATGGATACTGGCTGTGTCTAATGGGTATACTCGGATCGTTCATCACCGCCCTGGTATCAATCATAGTGCATCAAGTCTACAAAGTGGGCTCATCATCATCCTCAAACAACAGTTATCAAGCAGTTGCCAAGCACTCCTCTGTCAACTAGATAATCTAGATTGATTGATCAGTTGATTGATTAATTGTAACATGTACATAATATATCTCGAGATAAGGAATGTAGAGTCTTCAATGTTTATTAAGTATGAGATGGTACAAGGCGGTTAATATTGACCGATCCTTGTCATGGATCGTGTCGGGGCAGAGTCTGGCCATCAATGTAGCTTGGGGTAGTAGTCTTCATGAAGACCCACAAAGTCAGGTTTGTCCAACATTCATTTCATCGACTTGGTGTTATCTCTTTGATTGAATATACACAGATACAGAACCTAACAATAAATAACATAATGAATCATACTTCTACGACAACTACTACTTCCTCGCCAAACAACACCAACAACAACAACAGTCATACATCACCAGAGGTTGTACAATTCACAAGTGGAAGAGGTAGTCACATTAGAGTCTCAGACGAGGCTGTGATAAAGGCAAAGACATTGATCAACTCTATAAAGGATGATGAATACGATGGTTGGTTAAAGAAGAGGAATAGAGATGATGATGATGTAATTGATGATGATGACGTTGATGACGATGATGGATTGGTGCACTATGACAACAACAACAATGACAATGACAATGGCAAGAAGAACAAGTTCGATAGCAAATGCAAGAGTCAATTCACTACTGGCAGAGGTGATCAGATCAGAATAGAATCGTCCAATCTCAATCAAGCCAAGAGTACAATCGATGTGCTCGATGTCAATGTTGACAACTACCAAGAGGACTTGATGCTGCTGAGTCAGCCCTTCAAGAAGGAATAGACGGTCGTCCATTGAATGTAGTAATAGTAAATCAATATATTTATTATATGCTTGTACAAGATCATTCATTCATTCAGTTGGTACACATGTATTAGACAATCACTTGAACATGTTGCAATCTACATAGATGGTTGGTCCCGCGACACAGGTTAGTCATCTCTCAAGAGGCCATTGGTGTCCACCACATCCTCCCTCCCTCATTCATTCATTCAGTACATACTCTATTCTTCCTTGCATTCCATCTCAAGCCTTCGATTGAACCAAGGTGTACTCTCCTCGCATATACCTTCTCCATCGAATTGATATCCCAGATGAATATCCATCCATTCTGAGTGGCACAAATGACCTTCTTGGGTTGCGACACAGGGCTAGGCCTTGTAAGTGCCAGATATGTAACAGTATGCCATTCACCAACATCGCCAGTTGTCCTAAATAAATGTGCCTCCTCAAATGTGTTGTCGTTCTTGCTTGACCATAGTCTGATCGTTTGATCATCGGCACATGTGGCAATAGTGTTTCTACGCCAATCAACGCATGTGACTGCCATTGAATGGCCGCGAAGAGTGTGCAATCTCTCGCCATCCGATCGTCTCCAGAGCACTGTGGTCTGATCCTCTGAGCAGGTGGCCACTTGGCTTCCATCGTCGTTGAAGCACGCTGACCATATCTCTGCAAAGTGTCCAATTGAGCCGAATCGAATGTCTTGCTGATCACTGACCACTGGTTCGTGCATCAATCGTTTCCACGCCAGGCTGAGTGTGTTGAGTTGTATGTCATAGTTGTACAGGCACAGATGGCCGCCTGTCGTTCCAACCAGCAATGTATTTGTGTCTCGATGCCATTGAATGACTGTGATCGCATCGCCCAACGAGTCTACCACCGTGCTTTGTTTGGTCTCAATGTCAAATCGCATCAGACTGCCATCCATCAGTCCTGCCATGATGAATGAGCCGCTCGGACATCCTGTCCACGCCAGACTTCGAACAGGGACACCAAGTATCTCCTTCCAATACGGCAGCTCACCAATGTGATCATCACTCATTGACCAGATCATAAGATTGCCCATGAAGTCTCCACATGCCAGCATCGTTCCATCATCATTAAAGTCCAGTCCACAGCATGTTAGCTCGTGGAACATCAGTCTGTAGTCCTCCTCCTTTGTCGTCACATCATCAACTGCATGTGGTACTATGGATACATTATGCAGGCCAGACTCATCATATATCCATATTCTTTGATTGATCACTGCCCACTTCATTGCGTAGACCAGTCCATGCTGGAACTTCATCTTGCTCTCGAGATTGCCACTTCGATATACCAGGATCTCTGAGCTGGACGATGGCACGACGAGCAGGTCACCATCAAATAGCATGTCCTTGATGAGACCGGATCCCTGGCACTCGACACTCCACAACACATTCAAAGTGGTCAGGTCCACGACCTGGATGGTACGTCCACGTGACAGTGCCATCTGATTCTGATCGAATCGATTCCTCACGACCACTGTACATCCCTTGCCGGGTGGTAGCTCCACATGTTTGATCGTCTCCTTTGTTTGATAGTCGATCATTGACAACTCCATCCTCTCCTCGCCCATTGTAAGAGTGCGTGATGATTGATATCCTTCCTTGCCAGAGTCCTGACGCACCGTGACCAGATGTCCCTGTTCATTGAGTTCGCCAAAGAAGTTGAGTTGACCATCCACAATGGACTCGAAAACAGGTCGTCTCTGAAGTGTTAGATCGAATGATATGATGTAGACGCGGCAGTTTCCATGCTCACTGCTCACGGCCACTGTGAGTGTATTGTTTGATTGATCAATGCGTGGAGTTGAGATATGCATCACTTTGATTGAGTCATCAGCTATCGACGATAACAATGGCAATTGAATAGATGACAGTGTATTCCATTGATGATCATGTAACATTATACATCCAGAGTATGAACAACTCATGTATACATCATAATTGGATTGACCATTGATTGTTATTGTTGTTGGCAATGTAGTATGTATTATACAAGTGATAATATCATTATGTATTCTCTTGAATAGTACTCTCCTTTGTTCCTTTATATTCCATTTACATATTGATGATCCCATTGCCAGTGTGATTGAGTATTGATCATCAACATCAGTGATACAAGATATATATCTTGATGATCCAACTCCATAAGAGTGTATAAGTTCCATTTCCCAGTTGATTGATCGATTGATTGATTGATTGAATGAATGATTGAAAGGACTTAAGTTCAATCACATTTAACGAATGAATGAGTCGACTCGCCCCCAGCTGAGTCATTTTGAGTCAGTGATGATTCACTCGCTCACTGGTGTTTGATTGATCTCGAGATTTATTTGATCAATTATATATTAATACTATTATTACTACTATTACATGACATTAATGGTGATTGACTCGTCATCCTTGTCAGTGGCAAACAACAATCCATTGTTGGCGTAGTGTGGATTCAACCTGTTCTTTGGCAGTGCACACTCGCGCGAATAGAGTGAGTTGAAGTTGTTGGAGTATATAAAGCTTCCAAAGCATAGTCCAATCAATGTACCTCCTAATATCTATATGTTGCGTAAAGTTAGTATCAATCAATGTACATTGACATCGTTGTTGACGACACACATACATCAGAAAAGTCATGATGGTAATCCATTGTCCTTGATACGGCTACCAATGATGATACGACAAATGGAGAGAGAGCAATGAATAGCTTCCATGATGGTGATCCAGACTTGCGGAAGATCTTTAACTTGCCACAAAGATACATTGAGAGGAAGGTCATCGATGCGAATGACACTGAGGAATGTCCCGACGGGAATGACAGTCGCCCATCCCTTATGAATGATTCTCGTCCAGTCTCCACTCTGCCTGCATAGCTTGGTCTGTATCGGCCAGCGGCCACCTTTAAGAAGTCTGTGAACAGCATCGTCATTGTGAAGGCCTGGATGAGACCGAGACATGCGTGATGGAAGTCGTTTGAGTTCTTGTAATAGGCAAACACTGCGCCAAACACTGCAATGGGCACAGCGAATGCAATGACCATGAGCAACCAAGTGGGAACAATGTCCGCTCGGACAGGGTATTGAATCTGTTGGAATGTTGCCAAACCATCCGGTAGGTATCTGTCATAAGGTTGAATGGCAAAGTTGAACACTGCCGACTCTATAATAAATATCACTGCACATAATGCCCAATCGAATATATGTTGTTTAGTGAACCATGGTATATGTGAGTAATAACTAAGATTATGTATCATCTCTATCTCTAACTCTAACTATATAGTATTGTTTGATTGATTGTTGAATGAATGATGTGAGAAAGTGATTGAGTGATTGAGTGTAGTAGTAATAATAAGGGTGAATGAAGTAATGTTATAAGTAACAAGGTACAGGTAGTAGTATATATGTTGTACAAGTAATATATATATGTTTTATGTATATGTATTGGTTGAGTGAATGGTAATGAATGGGTGGAGCGCAGGGCAGTTCCATCAAGGCATGCACGAAGGGTGAGGGGTGGGTTTGAGAGTCGGCGTTGGAAGCTTCTTTTTGCCGATCGTATGTTCGTGTGTGTGGGTAGTTGGTTTGCAGACCCGACCTATCACTTCCATGCATGAACTTCTGGAAGTTATACTAACTTCACTGATTGACATTATCTAACTTAGTTGTTGTCTTGAAGCATTTGAAGTACCTCTGAGAGATCTGGTACTCGACTACATCCTCCATAGTATCGCGTGTTTAGGGCACCGGCTGCACTGGCAAAGTTTAGACATTGGCTCATTGATTGATCTTGTAGGATGGAGAATAGCATTCCGGCTCTGAATGCATCACCTGCTCCTATGGTGTCTTTACAATGCTCTTGTTGCATTGTTGGTAGTGCATAGTGCCAGAAGGGTGCGATGTATGTCGCTTGATGATTGACGCCACGTTTGAAACATCCTCCTGCCGCAAGACCATTTGCTCCGTCCGTTATAATGATGAATGTGTTGGGATACTTTGATAGCCAATCCCTGGCGACACCCAATGTCATCTCAATGTCACCCTTCTTGCCCATCCAATCTGTTGATGTCTGATAGAAGAAGGCACTGCCAGTGTTGGGCAGCAGTCCCGTGACTGATTCATGCAGGCAATGGTCCATGACATAGACATTCATCTTGCTTGCGAATGCCTTGAGTATTAAATCATTTGATATTGATGGTGTGTTGTAGTCCAATGTGATCCAAGAGTCTTCTACAGTCCAATCGATCAAGTCCATGTATTGTTGTTTACGTTGTGCCACATACTTGTCCACGGCCACAAAGCCCAGACCAAACATTGTCCTTTCGGCATCTGGTGTCAAGTAGATATCGGTTGATGGCGTTGTCAAATGACTACTATGTACCAATGGTGGAACACGTACATGTAGATAATTCCTATAAACAGATTCCAATCCAACCAGATTATTAAGTATACCAATTAAATCTCTTCCACGTTGATCATCAGCAATTGGTATTGAGTTAAAGTTAACATATATTGGTGTTGTAGTTGTTGTCGACTGTTGTTGTTGTTGTTGTTGTTGTGCACCTTGTAGTAATTGTTTAAGCCATGTTGATATACATATCTTAACAACAAGATAGTTAGTATTCATTCAATCATTCAATCATCCATTCAAACTTGAAGTTTACCATTGTGTTTGACGCTTCGCCACCCAAAGTTGTTACTTGGTCTGTACATTCTGTGTATGAACCTTTGGTCTTTGGGAATACATTAACAAACTTGATGTAGTCAATGCATATTGTACCATATATTGTCAATGTCTTCATCTCTTATCTCTCTTTGTTGACTCAATATAAAGACAATGATTGTTTGAAGTTTGATGTTCAACCTGACCCCCACCCTTCATTTTTGAACCCTGATGACTCACTTTGATCAACTTCAAACACTTCTATTCATTCTAGCTTATAACAATATATATATATATATATACATTACATTAACAAAGATATAAATAGAATGCAATACAACAACAATATAATGTTGGTTGGATTGCTGTTGGTTGTGTTTGTAGCAACTAGCAATGCTCTGACATTACAGGTCGAACCAAAGATGACAGAGTGTTTCTCAGAGTATGTGGACAGTGGAAAGATATCATTTATCAACTATCAAGTGATTAGAGGTGGATTGTTGGATGTCGATGTCAAGGTATTCGACCCAATGGGAAACACTATATACTCTATTCTTCACTTTGAATCGTCGATGAAGGGCAAGATGTCTTTCACCGCATCAAACAGTGGCGCATACAAGATCTGTTTCAACAATGAGATGTCAAGGTTCACTGCCAAGGTCATCACATTCACCTGGACATACGACAATGCTGACACTGCATTTGTCAAGGGAGGTAAGTCATACGAGCTCCGGTCCCAACTCGCCCAGTGACTGATTATCATGTCGCGCCAACTTCAAACAACAGAAACATTGAACCCAATGGATCAGTCCATTCAGAAGATCGAGAGAACACTGCAGTCAATCGTATTTGAGCAGAAGAAGATGAGATACAGAGAGCAAACCAACAGAGACAGTAAGTACCATAGCATGGAGGACTCACTCAATCACAAACCTAACAACCAATCAATCAATCGAATCAATAGCCTCTGAGAGCACTAATGAAAGAGTTGTTAGATGGACCATCATTCAGTTGTTAGTCCTGGTAAGCATGGGCGTTGCACAGATTTGGTTCCTTAGAAGATGGTTCAACTCCAAGTCGACACAAAGAGTTTAAAGCTGGTGATGATTGGGACATCCCTCAACATGGATGTTGTTGGTAACCAAACACTGCATCATACGCATACATAGTTGCCAAAGACATCAACAGCAGCAATAATAATAATAATAATAGCAAGTTACAATATGATATAGATAGATAGTTATTATGGTCCAGCCTTGTTTAATGCAAGTACATTGTTGATCATGAATGTAGAGTATTTGTGAGTGGATACCAGGTGATCCAGTCGAGTCTGCTCATTTCCAAAGGTCATAGTGCAATCATCAACAAGACATTCATACTTTGTATACAAGATATGTTAGTGCCTGATGTGATTGAACCTAGAGATAGTGGACAAACATACCATTTGACGCTTCTTTGCCAACAGTTTGAACATGGTGTCGTGTGTCTCGAGGACGTGACACTCTAACCATCTGTTTGATTGGAATGAGCGATGACAGTACTGACACTCATAACTATGTACACTATTGTAATGATTCTGATAGGCTGCTATCGTATTGAATACTACCATTCCTTGACAGTTACCAAACTCACATACAATGTGTTGTTGTTGTTGTTGTTGCTGTTGTTGTTGATGTTCATAATAGTGATCATTGTCTTCATCGTCTACTGACATCATCTCTGTATCATTAACCTCTTCATAATCATCATCTTGTTGATGTTGTTGTTGTTGTTGTTGATTATCTTCGATCACAGCCAAACACCTTTGTTTAGAGTTGTTGGTCTTTCTTGAGTATTGTTGATCAACAACGTCGTCCTTGAAGAAGTCATCATCGGCATTGTATTTGTGCACTACACGTTGATAGCCAGTGCTCATACTGTCAATGATGTTATTGTTGCCATGTACTTGTATCAAGTATAACAATGTACAGATAAGAATTGTAATGAGGGAGAATGAATGAATGAACTGGACAGCTTTGTCCATTTTTTATTAATCCTTGAGAGCGTCTCTTCTTGGAGCAGTCTGCTTGGATTGCAACTTGAGCTTGGTACAGTTGGCAACACGATGGCCTCTACCTCCACAAAAGTCACACTCCTGTCCCTCTTCATAAACTTGCTGCTGCTCATCTGGTATCTCGAGCAACACCTCGGGCACCTTCTGCTTGGACTCCATCAGTAGATACTTGAGATCGAGCAATACGGCCTCGGTCTGGTTCTTGTTGATGAATGTCGTTGCCACACCGGTCTTGCCACAACGTCCTGTTCTTCCAATCCTGTGAATGTAGTTCTCAATCTCCTTGGGCATGTCAAAGTTGATGACATGCTGGATGTCGGGGAAGTCCAGACCCTTGGACGCCACGTCCGTAGCGACCAGCACATCCTTCTTGCCATCCTTGAACTGCTTGATGGCGATATCTCTCTCCTCCTGTGTCTTGTCGCCGTGCAGTGCCACTGCGTCCACTTGCTTGAGCAACAGGTACTCATAGATATCGTCCACGTCCTTCTTGTTTTCGCAAAAGATCAATGTTGGCGGCGCTGTCTTTTGTAGACACTCGAGCAAATATACAATCTTGGCCTCTTGCTTGACGTACTCGACTTCTTGAATGACGTCGAGATTGGCCGCACCGGCACGACCGACGTTGACCTCTACGGGCAGCACCAGCGCGCTCCTGGCAAATGTCTGGATCTTCTTGGGCATCGTAGCCGAGAAGAGCAATGTCTGTCGCTGAGTTGTGAAGCTGTCCATGACGCCTCTGATCTCCTCCTCGAATCCAAGATCAATCAAACGATCGGCTTCGTCCAGACCGAGATATATACACGATATCAGATTGATCTTCTTCTTGTTGAGCATGTCCAGCAGTCTGCCTGGTGTGGCCACGATCATGTGCACGCCCTTGCGCAACTCGGGCTCCTGATCACGTATGCTTATTCCTCCCATACAGAGCATTGTCCTGAGCTTTGGTGCTCCGCCACTGGCCAACGCCTCGGATATCGCCACGACACCATCGTACGTCTGTCTGGCGAGCTCACGTGAGGGGCAAATGATGAGGCCGATGGGTCCCTCGCCTGAGACCAATGGGAGCTTCTTCTCTGCCTCCAAAGCAAACATGACCATGGGCAGTGTGAACACCAATGTCTTGCCACTTCCAGTGAACGCAATGCCAATCATGTCTCTGCCACTGAATGCCACGGGCAGGCCCTGGATCTGAATGGGTGTGGGTTTCTTGATGCCTTTCTTCTTCAAATAGTCAATGACCGTTGGTGGCAACTTCATGTCCTTGAAGCTTGTGATTGGTGGCGGTATGTTCTCGCCCGTCACCAATATGTGCAACTCCTCTCTCAACTTCCTATTGTCCTCGTCCGACCTGTTACGGATGTGTGATGGTGGTCTCCATGATGACCTCATGCTCTGAGTATACACAATGTCTTTGGCACGATCCTTCACCGACACCAACGGCACTGCAGTCGCTTGCAATGATCTCAATATCTCCTCTTCCTCGCGTTTCAATCTTTCATTCTCTATTGCCTTTGGATCAATAACTTGGTCCTTTGTGCCTTGATTCCTGAGCATCTCCAACTTCTGATCAATCAAACTCTTTGTTGGTTGTTTGACAGGTTCATCTTCTTCATTATTCTTTATATCTTTCTTATTATTATTACTATTACTATTACTATTACTGTTATTATTACTATTATATACATCATTATCATCATTGTTGTCATCTTTTGATTTACTATCTTTACTCAATGTTGATTGAATCATCTTCAATCTTCTCATCTTTCTCTCTTTCAGTGGTACCCATTTCTGAAGGTCGTCGTCAACCTCCTCTTCCTCTTCTAAATGTCTCTTCCCAATATCAGTCATTCTATATATCTATATATCTCTATCTCTATCTCTTTTTGTACAATATACAATGGTGATAGAGTGAATGAATGAATGTTTGAATGAACTTGTCGATTTTCGTCAATCAACCACTTTTTTCAACTTTTGAACATTCTTCATTCATTTTCAACACCACGACTCATTCAAACAAACAGATAATAATAATGTCTCCAGATCTGGAGAAAATGTTGATAATAATAATATGATTTTAAGCTTTATTGTCTTCCTTTGGTTGGTTCTGTGCCTCGAATCTAATCTTGCTATACCAAATGACACCGGCAATGGCAACAGCACACCCGATGCCATTCATAAAGTTGACCTCATTCTGGAAGATGATCACCGATATCGTTATGCTGAGCACCACCTTGAGATTGCCGCTGACCGTGTAGGTCAGTGGTGACGTGTAGCGTATCACCAAGAAGGTGAACACGTTGAGCATGAAGGCGATGGCTCCGCTGATCAGCAGCATGACGACGGGGCCGACCTCGCCGTACTTGTCCCACTTCTCCTGGATGGTGGGCAGCTCGTAGATTAGAGCCAGTGGCGTCAGCAACAGGAAGGAGCAGGGCGCCATGTAGTAGAGCAGGTTGATGGCGTTGAGCTGTGTCGACAGCGACATGCCCGAGACGATGGCAAACAGGGCCGAGACGATCGACGCCAGAAGCGCCGCGTAGAAGCCATAATGGTTGTAGTTGACCTCGGTGAGCGACGCCAGACACACACCGCCCACGATGGGGATCATCGAGAGGTAGGTGTTGCGGCAGAATCGCTTGCCAAAGAACATGGTCTGCATCGCCACGGTGAACAGGGGCACGGACGACTTGACCGTCTGCATGAAGCTGACGGGCACCCAGCGCAGACTGACGTTGCCCAGCACGATGTTGAAGGCGAACAGGGCGCCCAACGGCAGGATTGTCTTGAGCTGCTCGCGCATCGAGATTGGCACGAGTGGCGTCATTTCAAAGACGCGCAGCACCAGGTATGAGCCGATGGAACACACCATCATGTGAATGGCCGTCAGACTGACGGGGTAGGTGAAGTGTAGCGACACATAAATATATTTGTTGAGTATGAGAGTGGAGATGTTCATCACGAACCACATGGCCAATGATATCACGGCCATGTTATTCGGAGACACCTGTTGGAAGGTGTTTAAGAACTGATCCTTTATCCTCATTCTATATATATTTCGATATAATTATTATATTCCTGGATAATAAATATATATAATGGATAATAAATGGATATTATGTATCCAATATGTGAATAATAATGATAATAATAATTGATTGATTGATGATGAGTAGTATGAAAGATTATTGTTGATGTGATTGAATGAATGATTAGGGTAGTCGTGTTATTGGTCTACAATAGGTGTATATGTACATATGTGTCCTCCTTTTCATTGATTCGTGATGGCAGTATACACACGCGGAATGAATAGACAGAGTGATGTAGTATTGTATAGTGTCAATCAATCATCAATATTGACCTGATATGACAGAGAGACAGACAGACAGAAGCTTTCAAGATGGGTGTAGTGTGTGTGGTGTGATATGATGATGATGATGGTGTCGGTGATGTTGATGGGTTGACACCCTTGATTGCATGGTCGGACAATCTGTGTGTTAGTGTTAGTGGAGTTGATGAGTGTGAGTTTGCCTGCAAATATAAGTGCGATGGTATATGTATGTACTATAAATGAATGAGTGAATGAATGAATGAGGATGGATGATCGGTCGAGTTAACAATACCAAAAGAGTAACAGAGTCTTGTTGTTTACAAAAAAGTACCAGGACTCTGGAGATCAAGTTGGAAATTTGGATATTTGGTATTGGATATTATTTGAGCTACTTTCACCCACACTCACATCACATCTTGAACAACGAGCTTGATCAATTAGTTGGCATTTAATCAATGATTCGAAGTTCATCATCTTTTGAAACAGTTAATAATAGATATGTCAAACATGTTTATTTACAATTATCTATTAAATGATTTAGAAAGAGTTATGTTTATTCAATGAAGATTCTTGTTTCAAACAATGTTATCGAGATAAACTTGCGAATGGTAACAGTGTGGTGTGTTTGAGTGTTTACACGTCAATCACATCAAAGATATCTTGTGGGTGTGCAATGACATAGAATCGAGGAAGGTTCTCACTTTGGTCAACGACTACTACAACCTTATGAGTAATATATAACCTTGAGTGATCATAGCAGTAGTGATTAGCATTAATACCAGTACAGTAATAACGAATGCTTTCATTGCTGAACATGGATACAGACTACTTCAATCAACACAACAACTACAACAATGATTAATAATAATGGTTCAGGTGGTGCACTTACACCAACATCAACTCAAACATCACATACTACTAGTAATGATGATGGTCCAGTACTATGTACAAGACTGAAAGATATCACCAACGACAACAACAACAACACAAAGTCATGGAGAGATCGTGACTCTATATACTTTAACTTTATACAACAACGTCAACATGATTGTGATATGTTGATGCAATTCATAGATGACATTGTACATATTTACAGACAACTACAACATCAACATCATCAACAACAACAACAATATTATAATCATTTACTTGACATTGGTTGTGGACTTGGTCGTTTATTCAATCAATGGCAGTCTTCACAATGGCAACATATCGATGCCTATGAACCAGATGATGATTATTACAATGTGGCTCAACAGCATCAATCAAGAACACTCGACAACAACTACAACAAGATCAATGTATTCAAACTTGGCTTCTTGGAACTGAACCAACATAACAAATATGATATGATTGCATCGATTCATGGACCATTCCAATACTTGACAGAAATTGAACATCAACAACAGGCAGTGGATAATATGTATAGAGCTCTGCGGCCTGGTGGCGTTATAATACTTGATGTATCCAACTTCTTGGGCTCAATGTCACACTTTCAATCACATACAGAGCATTGCCAAGTTGTCAATGGTACAAGAGTCAAACGAATGTCCAGTGTACGACTGGATCACGATCGTTCAATATGGAATCAACATGATATATTTGTAAACATGGATGGTGACATTGAGGAGGAGGCGGAGCAACACATTGAAGAGAGTCATCAATTCTACATGTTCACATCTGATGAGTTAAGACAACTACTTGAATCACAAGGATTTGTAAATATTATGTTTGCTCATAGATACAGCGCCAACAGTATAAGTAGTGATGGTACTGGTGAAGGACCTCGTCTAATCGTCACAGGACAGAAGTCTTGGGATGCCTGTAATTCATGAATGATCAGAGAGATTGACCTCTTTGTCTCATTGGTCAACCATTGACAAGACGAAACACGAATAAAGACACGAGTGCGATAACTTTCTTTGGTTTCAAACAAGATCTTGAGTAAACATTTGATTTGTATCACTTTTTTGATCAAAAAACAAAACAAAACAAGCCCCTTTGGTGGTTATGGGCAAGACAATGACGACGACGATTCAGATAAATTCAATCACATGCTTGTGAGTGGAGACCACATTGATGGGGGCACTCATTGGGCCTTCACACACAAACAAACAAACAAACAAATATTTATTTGTGTTCTATTTGCATCACAACACACTCACCAACAATTGACACTTACTTGATTACTTGAACAATATTTATCTGAAAACAACAACAAACAGGAGACGTGTCTATTCAATCATACATCAAAACACACAGATATATATAAACATTCACACACTTAGCTTCTTTATCTCTTTGCTGAACAACACTCACTAATCACTATCACACCAATCAGCTTTCACATAACACACACACGATCAGCAGTTTACAGTGCGGTAAGAGGGTGGTATGATCATTCCCTCACTCCACCTCTCGATTAGATATCATCATTCTTAGTTCATTATATTTATTATTCCTTATAACTCTATAATACTTTACTATATACTACACATTTGATCCATCCGACACAAGGATCATTCAATCAATCAATCAAACACATAATGGTCAAAGAGAAACTACTTGTCACAGTGACTGGTGGTAAACATTTGAAGAAGAAGAAGACATGGATACTTGGTAAGTCATTGTAATCACATGTGTGATTGTTCCAGAACTGACATCCACCCACATGGATAACCAATCAAAATATTTCCAGTCAAGTTCAAATTACACAATAACAAGTATAAGACCAAGTATGTCAATGGAGGTGACCTGGTCGAATTCCAAAAAGAGACATTCATATTGTATGTTTACCATCATTGATTGATTGATAGATAGATTAACAATAATTGTTATTAGTGAGGTGAATGAGGATGTATATCCAGCAGGTGATTTGGAGGTCAAGGCCAAGACATGGGAGATGTTCAAGAGTGGTGAGGTGTTTGCATCGGCAGTGGTACCTTTGGCACCAATAACATCAGAGATCAGAACAAACAATAATAGCGAGTTTACAGAGTTGACTGATAGTGGAGCATCCAGATCATCATCATCTGGATTCTCATCAGTCCAAAGACGAATCCAACTTCGTCCCAAGAAAGGCGATGACAACACTGGAGAGCTAACAATCTCATTCGAGTTGGTACCCGAGTCCGACACAACTACAATGGTATGATGGAGTGATGGACCATGGTATGATTGATTGATTGATTGATTAACTGGCTTCATACTTTTGATTTAGAAATCGATTCCATTGTTGTTCAGATGGTTTCCAGACCTGCCTCATAGTGAGACAGTCATCTCTGAGTGCTACTGCACCAAACAATCGCGCAAGAAGACACTTAGCATGTCACACAATGGCACCCTGTACATTACCCAAAGCTATCTATGCTTTAGAAGTCCATCCCATCTGGCAAAGAACAAGAAGGTACTGATCAGTAATATGGTTGATTGATTGATTGACCAATATCCTAACTCGCCACATCCATCCATAGACTATGATACACTTTAGGGATATCACTAGGATCAAGAAGAAGATTGGATCATTCTATTTACCAAATGCAATAGAGATTAGAACATCAAAGAAGAAGTATTTGTTTGCGTCGTTCATACATAGGAGTAAGGCATTTGGTATATTGGTCAATCAGTGGAGTATACATGGTGGTTTGGACAAATCCACGGCAACAGATAGAGCATCAGATGATGACAGTGACGATGAGGTCGATGACGAAGTGGAATCAATCAACTCTGGTCTGGACTCTTCATCATTGAGCGCATCATTGACCAATAGTATCCGCTCACTCTCACCACTCACCAAGTCATCGGCCACCTCAGCATCAGGCAATGGCAATGGAGAGTCGGCATCAAGTGCCAATGGCAATGGCAATGGCAATGGCAATGGAAAGAAGTCAAAGAACAACACACCATTGATGGATGGATCCAAGAACAAGCCAAGTACACCAACATCTATGGCTCAGACCAACCCATTCGCGATGAAGCTCATCATTGACATTGAGGACTACCAACAACTTGGTTGCAACAACCTTCTCATGATCACAGTGTCCAAAGAGAATACCATTCAAGAGTTGTTGGAGAAGCTCAAGACCAAACTATCAATGAGTAAGTGATCTTAGTCATAATACCAGCCTCACATTCACTGACCCATATGGTCCATTGTCTAGATGAGGACTTCTTCAAGACATATCAGCTGGCAGTGATCAAGAAGAAGAAGTCACAGTTGAAGCGTAGTTCAGGTATATTCTTCTCTACGATCGATCAGATATTGGCACATCCTGGACTACTCGAAGCGATTGATAACAATGCAGTTCAACTGATGCATCGATCAGCAGGAAGTACATCATCAGTGGAGCAGAGGTTCATCATCCTCGAGTCACACAGACAACTCATGTCCTACCAACTTGACACGGACAATGGTTCGACCACCATCTACCTCAAGAAGCCCAAGCAAGTCGATCAACTTCATCTCTGTTTCGAGATCATCGAAGACGTATGATCAATCAATCAATCAATGGATCGGACATGTGACTAACATACAACAAACATATATACATAGGGATCCAAGATGGTCAAGTTGACACAACAACAGAGCATTGTGATTGGCGATATCTTTAAGGAGTTGTCAAAGTCATCGTCGAGGAAGTTGTTCGCATCAGACTATTCCTTCTACTTACCAAAGAATGGTGAGCGTGGCGTAATTCTTAACCCGACCAAACTACTATCGCACTATCATCTGCGGTCCAACAATGCCACGATCCAAGTCAACAAGTATCCTCCCTTTGACAACTTTGCCCAAAAGTTTAGATACACGACCAGTCGCAACAAGAAGGTATGTTGGGTTGCGCTGAGACAACGGCCGTGTCCATGTACTAACCACTGACATCAAATAGACTCTGCTATTCGAGCTGGTGCAATCATGCTTGACACACTCGATACCATCCATGCAGATGCAGGCAATGTATCATAGACAACAGTTCCTTAATAGACTGCAACAGAAGTTGTCCATTGATGATACAGAGGCAAAGGGCATAACAAAGAATGTCCTCACGATAAACTCATACAAGGATGAGGGACTGCTCATCGAGCTCAAGAACAGATGTGAGCAACTACAGGCACCACTCGAGACCAACCCATATTACAACACTGAGGCCTTTGGAGGCCTGCCCGCCCTCTATGATCAGTGGAGGAGGCGTGAGCTGACACATATCACACATCTGATGCGCAGCATTATCTTCAAGGAGGACTGCTTCTATGGCGTCGTGTTCCTGACCATCATCGAAGCGGATGGTCTGGATGACGACCAACTGATGGCAGGCAATCATCACTATTGCATTGTGTCCACTCCTTCCCAGCGCATCAGGACCAACACTCACGCGTCCAATGACGAGCAACCATCTTGGAACTCACAGTTCATGCTCAAGATCAAGCAGCCCAAGTGCAAGTTGGAGTTGGCATTGATGAGCAGTGGTGCTCCAACCGACTCCTCGACTCCAGTCGAGTGCAGCGACACATTGTTGGGCAAGTTGGAGATCAACACCAAGGACTTTGAGGACTCGGAGCCCAAGGATATGTGGTACTCACTGCCCTCAAAAGGTCGTCTACATTTGTTGGTGGAGTATCAGTATCAATTCACAGAGACCAATCAGTACCTCACCAGACTGATGGACAAGGTCGACAACACATCAGAGAGCTTGGTCGACAACAATATTGACCCGAGCAAGCAGGCACCTGTGGACCATGTCAATCTCTTCAAGATATTGCTCAACTTTATAGTGGAGGACAGTCAGAACCCCAACAACCTGGATGACAACGACGTTGACGATCCAGATTCAATGGAGTGGATCTATCCACCACATCGATCACTACTCAATCAATATTGTATTCGATTCGGAGTTGGTCGTTTGACCGCGTTGATAATGTAATGTATCATGGCGGTGAATGGATGAAGTCGCGACAGGTAAACTAACAATCATACCATGAATATAGACAACTGGAACAGATGTTGGAGATGTACTCTATTGAGAAGAGATTCATTGTAGAGTTGGAGGATGTTACATCATCATTGATTGATATTGTTGGTGGTGTGGATGAGGAGCCTATCTTTACTGTGGCCGAGAATACACTGTTGAAGAACACTCTCGACAAGTTCATTCCAAAGATCAAGTACAACGTTGGAAGGTACTACGAGTCATTCCCAAATGTATGTATTATTGTGATCAATTAATCACTCATGGAATCATTCCACTCACCCTCAATCAATCATATTAGAACAAACCAAGAGATAGCCTCAAGACCTTGGTAAGGTCATTGGAGAATATTATTCACTTGCAGGCTTTGTTGGATAAGAAACCAAAGCCAGCGTCAACGATGTTCAATCAACTCCTGTCACAGATCATTCGTGACGAGTCAAAGAAGAAGTTTGATGAGAACATTGAGTCGTTGGGCTTCACGACACTGGAACAGAGCCAAAAGATCAAGGAGGCAGAGACAATCACCAAGATGTTGGTCGAGGTCATGGCCATCATTCAAGAGGAGGTCAACAATACCATCCAGTTCGAGTCTGCATTCCCAATGGAGATCAAGATAACATGTGATGTGATCGATGCATGGGGTCCTTGTATCATGAGAGTGATCGAAGACTTTTGCAACTGGGCACCGTACAATGCCAACATCCTCAGTCTCGTCCGACGTTTACTGGACTATTACAACTTCACCAAGAAGATATCCGGTGACATGTTCAAGCCATTGCCCCTCAAGCAGTTATTCATCACCTACGTCTACAGGTTGCTCAAAGAGATCAAGGTCCAACTACACAACACACAAAAGTCTGCTCTATCAAGTGATGACAAGGTATGCTCTGCTCCATTACAATCAATCTATCCAACTAACATCCAAGTATCCAGAAATCTGTATCAATCACATCAGGAATCTCATCATCATTTGTACAGTTCTTCCAGGCATGTGATAATACCATCAAGGACTTTGGATCGCTGTCGTGGTTACCTGATCCATTCTCATTCGTTCAACTGCTCGAGGTGTTGACCATAGAGATCATTGAGTATTGCCGTAGTGTTTCCAGCTCATTCGAACACTTCATCGAGCATACAGAGCTGGAGCAACCTGGCAAACCAAACCTATTCACATTGAATCCTGAACCATGTGTAATGCTCAACAACATAGACTCGTCCAGATCACGTCTCGAGACATATGGTTCCAAACTTGGCAAGGAACTGGCAAGACATCTTCAAAGTGAGCAAGGTGCACAGTTGGACGATGTCTCCAAGCAATGTGTTACCGATTCCTTCAAGATATGTCTTGATGAATCCCTCCGAACAATCAATGAGCTCTACACATCCACATTGACATTGTTGACAACCAGAGTAACTATCAATCAATCGATCAAACCTAACATCATGCACTAATACATCACCCGAACCATCAAATAGATGAAGAACTATGTCTTCTTCCTATTCCAGGATGTCCTGTTCAATCCTCCCCTTTCATTGTTGAATAGTCATATGAAGGATACTGATATCGATCCAGACTCACAGGTTGTGTCCACGACCAATCCCTCTGATGGAGGATTGTACGAGGCAGTCAACACCAGTCCACAGCCTATATCCTCTGTTGGTGGCGGTGGTGGTAGCAGTGGCAATCTCAACAGCTCCACCAAGTCTACAGCCAACAACAATAGCAACAAGCAGTATGAGAAGCAAATACTGACATCAATCAAGGATTTCCTATCGCCAAAGATTGAAGAGCTCTATAGTACAATCAAGGAGCCCCTTTTCAAGCAGTTCATTCGCAAGCTCTGGGGAGAGTTGGTCGATGTAAGTATTCACTGACCATACTCAACCATACCACATTGTCTAACAAACTCGTTCACAATCATAGGACATGATATACCTTGTCATTCCAAGACCAAGTGACCAGAGGGCATCATTCCACGTACCAAACAATATATTGGCCAACGAACAAATATCAATCATCAACAACTGTTTGAAGGACCTGATGTCCCTATTCCATCGTGGAGGAGCAGGCTGTCCTACACCGACTCTTGAGGAAAGAGTGACGCCTCTTCGCCAACTGCTAACTGCATCAGAGATGGACACGACTGCTTTGATCGACCTACATAACCAGAGAAGACTTGGTAGTAGCTCAAAGTCTGGACAACTCAATGCCATCTCCAAGGAGCAGATCATTGGTGTTCTCAGCACCAGAATGGAGTTTGACAAAGAGGCGCGATCCTTTGTAAACAAAGTCAATGGTGTTGTCGAGTTATCAGAGAGCAATCAAGTCCTCCCAGAGATTATCAATGTAGTCCCAGAGTCTGAGTTTGTCATTGACCGTAAGTAACCAAAGCATTGGCCAATCATAATCATACATCCAATTAACCATCATCAATCATAGGTTATCATTGCTCACTCAATGGACAACTTGGAATATTGGTACTTAGTAGTCGATATGTTGGCTTCCATAACTTGTTGAAGGAGATTGGAGTCAAGCTTGGACAACGTGTCTCGGTACCCTTGGTCAGTATATCCGAGATCAAGAAGACCAAGGTTGCAATATTGTTCAACGCCATGCAAGTCAACACCAAGGACGGCAAGTCCTACACTTTCACCGGTTTCTTTGACAGAGATTCTGTCTTTAGAGACGTATCATATCAGATGAAGGTTGCTCAGAAGAACCAAAAGTAAAGCAAGCAAACATTCATCTATCCCATCATCCTTACACCTATTACAATGTTTGGACATCATCAGACTTGGTTTATTATCCGTTTGTGAGTAATGAATGCGGTAGTAGAAGAAGAATAAGAAGTAGAAGAAGGTTGTTATCTTTGGTTGTTGTTACTGGTATTGTGATTGGTTGGTAAATAAATAGAGCGTGAAGAATGAAGTAGGATGACCACTGACTGGAAGGTGTTGTCGTTATCTTGTTATTCCACCGCGAGTGGCCACTGCGCCTCCCCTTGCTGGCATGCCTCCTCTAGCTGGGAGTGCACCTCTGGTTGGGGCACCACCTCTAGTTGGAGCTCCACCTCTTGTGGGACCACCTGTTCCTGGCTGTGGAAGAGCACCTCTAGCTGGACCTGGTGGCGAGCGGACAGGTGGTGTTGCCTTGGTGATCTGCAGGTAGTTTGATGGCACCTTGCCCTTGCGTCCACGCAGCTCGGCGTCCCACCAGTCACCGTTGGACTGGTCGATGACGGTGAGGATGTCACCCTCCTTGAAGGTAAGCTCCAGTGGAGACTCGGCATCAAAGTCATAGAGGGCCTTGGCCGTTGGATGGGCGGCACCCACGCTGTGGCTGTTGGCAGCCACCTTGGCGTTCATCGCCGGACGGTACATTGGAATCGAGACGACTGGCAGCGACTCGGGTGCAATGAGGTTGGGTGCGGTTTCAGCGGGCAGACCGTCGTTTGGTGCCAGCACCTTGGATCCCTTGAAGACTGTGTCTGGCTTGGTACCCTTCTCAAAGTTGATGTTACGCTCCTTGCCCTTGCCTCCTTGCTTGGAGGCCTTGATGGCCACACCGATAGTGTTGCTGTAGTTGACGCGGACTGTCTTGAACGCCTTCATGAGCGTGCCGATGAACTCTGTCTTTCTGCGACACTCAAAGATCTGGTCGTGCTCGGTCATGGTCTTGATGACAACAAAGCCATCGGAGAAGCGACTCAGCTCTAGTGATGTGACATTGGTCAGCAAAAGACGTCTCTTCTGGACGTAGATCCAGGGACGCTTCTTTCTGTCCTCCTTGTCCTTGTTCTTCTCGACAGCGATGAAGTAGATGGCGTAGTCGGTCAGCAGGAGGACACGACGTTAGGCAACGTGAACGTCTGGTCGTACTTGTTGACTGCATGGAGTGAACATGATCTTCTCATTGCCGTTCTTGGCCACCAGGTCCTTCAGAGGGAAGTTCTCGCGGTAGTTCATGTAATCGCCCTGGAATGGTCTCTCGAGACTCAGACGACGACGCTCCTTGTTGTTCTTGAGCCGAGTCGTTGGCGCCCTTCTGGATGGAGTAGTAGTAGGACATGAGGGTGAAGCGCAAGAAGAAGCGCTGTAGCTTGTTGGCGTAGATGAACACCTTTCGCTCACGCAGCTCCTCGAGGTTGAACACGGTCTCTGGCGCACGGATAAACATCTTGGTCTTACCCTTGCAGTACTGCTTGCTGTCAATGTCCATGGACTTGAGGATGGCCTCGCAGGCCGGCCTCAAAGCCTCCCGTCCACTTAGGCCAGGTCTCCTTGCAGACCACTCTGTAGCGGTAGAAGAACTTGTCGTAGGTCTGACGGTAGGCGTAACCGGCACGTCTGATACGCACGTTCTCGAGCAGACCCAGGTACTTGACCTGATGCATCACGAGCGATGTGTCAAAGTCGTTGGCGCGCTTGTTTCCGTTGGGCTTGATGCAACGAATGTAATGGGGTGTGCAGGCCGACAGGGCAGTGACCAGAGCACCGATTGACTCCTTGATCTTGAAACCGGCGGTGGTGGGCTTCTTCTTGTCCTTGGCCGAGTTGATCTCTGGGAAGAGCTGTGGGATAAGGGTGCTCTGTGTGCATGCGGCCAACTCTACAAGATCGTTGAAAAGCAGGTCCTTGTTCTTGTCGACAAAGCCCTCGGTACAGTACTCGACATCACCGGCATAATGCTTGATGGTGAAGTTGCGCGACGCCTGCTGCGACGAAGCATAATGGGCGTGGCCGCTAAAGGCCTCATTCATCTTTTGGAGGAACTTCTCGTCGTCTCCCTTGGGGAAGTTGCACACGTCATCCAGCTGCGTAAGGATACCGGCGGGCTTCTTGGCGTCGATCAGGTCACAGCAGATCTTGTTGTTGAAGTAGTCGATCTGCTCCCACTGGATGCCCTCGGAGAAGTACTCCTCCTGCTCGGTCTTGAGCGTCAGCTCAATGAAGATCTGCTGCAGACGCTCGTTGACGTAGTTGATGACCATCTGCTCGAAGCCATTCTTCTCAAAGATCTCAAAGCCGTAGATGTCCAAGATACCAATCATCAGCGATTGGGAGTTACCCTTGTAGCCCAGCGCCACGTTGACCTTGGAGACGATCCAGTCAAAGAGACGACTGTAGAGGGCCTTGGCAAGTGCGTCCCTGCTGTAGTATGCTCCCTCAGCATTCTGTGGGCATGCATAAGTACTGACACGGGCACTTCTTCCCTGAGTACCTGTCGAGATAGTCCTGTAGCAGAGTGCCTTCTCACATGATTGTACATCAGTCTGCATCAAGAATGCAAAGGTCTCCAATGCTTTGATTGTTTGATTGTGTGAGTGTGAGTTTGATTGAGTGAGTGTTGGACATGATGATGCTTACGCTTTCTAGTTGCCTGGTCGATTTGAGCCTCATCCTTGTTGTTGTTCTTGAATCCAACGTTGCCAAGGTTGAGAACAGCGGCCACGAGTCTAAAGACCTCCTTCTGCTCATGATCAGTGACACCAATGACCTTCATGGCCTTCAAGACGTCCTGGAACTCTTGATTGTCGTCGACACCATCGACACTGTAGCATCCACTTGATGCAAGATATTGGTACTTGTCAGGTGACTCTAATCTGAGCTCATCTGTTATGTTATGATGTTAGTAAGTCAGTTTGGAATGATGGACTGGATGTGTGTGCCAGTGGATGCATACTCTTCATCTGAGCGCTGGCACCAGACAGCAACTGGTAGAAGATGTGGAAGTTTCTTTCTCCCTTGGTTTGATAGACTACACGAGACTAAAGTAATGGAGTATGTTAGATATATTGTTTGGATTGGATTGGATTGAATTGATTGGACTGATTGGATCGATAGGATTGATTGAATATGACCTACTTTCTCTAATAAATCTGAAGATTTGTGGATATAATATTAGTCAATAACATGTTCCAACATCATCATCATCATCAAAAATGGATATAACATACAATTGGTTACTCTTCCTCCAATTGGATCACCCTTGCCGTCGAACTGTACCTCCATGTACTTTCCCTGTATGATTGAATGAATGTTAGTGGACGAGTCAAGCTGATTGATTGATTGAATGGAGTACATACGAAACGGGATGAGTTATTGTTTCTCAAGGTCTTGGCATTACCAAAGGCCTCGAGGAGAGGGTTGGACTCGAGAATGACGTCCTTGACACGAGATACATCGACACCTTTGCCACTGACCGCAGCAATGTACTGCATGATCAACTTGGCGGCCTCGGTCTTTCCAGCGCCAGACTCACCAGAGATAATAACACACTGGCTCTGACCCTCAGCATACATGTTCCTGTACATGTCATCGGCCACAGCATATACATGTGGTGCCAACTCATATCTGAACTTGCCTCTATACTCCAACAAGTTTCGCTCAGAGTACAAGTTCTTGATCTGTTTGAATGGGTTGACTGAGATCAACACATTACCAATGTATGTCTAGTATTATATTATATGATGTACATGTACATGTATGAGTATTATGATCTTGATCTGTCGCTCAATCATATGATGACCTACATAAATAACATCGGCACCATATCTCTTCTTCAAATTGTCAAGGATGGTATCGTTGGCAATCTTTGACAACATAACCATGTCGTCAACTCCATGTTGACTCTTATAGGCCATGTCTGTAAACTTATAATGCTAGATATTACTAATACTTTATAATGGATAAGATTGAATGTTTGATTGATTTGATTGATTTGATTGATTGAATTGGTTTGTTATTACAAGTTTGTTTGATATAAATATATTAATGTACAACTTTCGTCTTTGTCTTGATGATATATATTAGTTAACTAATAACAATAACAACAAAACAAACAAACAAGGTGGTTGATTGATTGTGTTGAGGTCCTCCTTTGATTGAGATGTGTGAATGATGATGATGTTGATTCAATTCTTTCAAAAGGTCAGCTTTGGTGTGATGTGAATGGTGCGTCTATCTTTGTGATGTTGTTGGGGTATTGTGGTGTTTGGTTGGTTTTGCATCCAGAATGAGAGTGAGAGGACACCCAAAAAACCTTTGAATTCAAGTAAAATTAATTGATGGTTTTTGTTGATTGGCTTGAACACTATTCATTCAAATAAATTAAAAGTGAGGTGTGTATTCTGTACAAATGATTGTTTGTGAGTGTGTGTCTGCTTGTCTGTCAGACAATGACCATCCATCATTCAGTGATCTGTTGCTTTTGCCGGCAGGTGCGCAGTAGTCGTCGTCTTTTTGTGCTTGCTTGCTTGTTCACCAAAGTCACAGTGCTCATTGCTCATGATGTGGTGGGAGCGAATGTTCGGATGGCGCCTTTGCGACCTGATTAAAGTAGATCACGCACAATGATAAAATATCAACCACAAGGTCTTTGTCCATTTGTTTGAACGATTCACTGATTGACACTGTTGCATAATTCTGTTCGCGACAGCCAGGTACTCACTTTGGTTAGCATGGGTATCCAAGCCAGACTGACCGATCATTCTTGACATTGACTTACCTCTAGTATTCTCTCGATGCAAACTCTCTTTAGTTGTGTGGCATTGTAGTTGGACGATGTTTGAAGTAGGAAACAGACATTATCATTGTCGATGGAGCTGGATAGGAATCGTTCGCAACAACTCTTGAGACATGACTCGTTGAAATAGTCGGCTATACGTAGGATGTCAACAATGTTGTCATTGTTGATTATGAACTCATCGCCACAATATAGATACTTCAAATATAACACAAAGTCATCCAACTCGAATGGTCCATGTATCTCTATCAACTCACTAAAAGTCTCTTTCATACCAGATGTAAAGAATGACTTGAAGAATGTTGATCTACACTCCAATATCACCTTGTGGCAAATGATCTTGGATCTAGTTTGTTTGATTGATTGAGTGAGTGAGTATTCGAGTGGGATGGTTCCAAAGTGGTGGATACATACCCTCCAGCTGATAGCGTGATGGTTGAGCCTGGAGGTGACTTTGGCTTGGTCAACAACTCGGATAGTTGGACTTGAAGTAGTTTCTTCTCATCGTCTCGTGATGCTTGGAGTTGGTTCTTCATGGTCATTGTGATGGGCACTCTCTCATCAGTCTCAACATCAACACCATTGTACAATGTGAGTAGGTCCTGACAGTACTGTGCCAACACATCAATACTTAGATATTTGGCAGCGTCCATTACTGCTGTGAGGTGTTCTCTACTTTGAACCAAGTCTTGTACCTTGAGTGTTTCCATTGGCATTGAGGCAGAGTAGATATACTCTAGAACACCAATCAATCCATTATACTTTAGTTCTGATGGTAGTTCAACAACCTTGAGTTCCTCCACTGTCTGGAAATACTTTGGTGTCCTCATCTGGAGGAACAATCTATGAGCATATATCTGTTTGTCATACAACAAGAATGTAAAGTCTGTACACAAGTCGCTATTTACAAGTTTGCCATATGACTGGAAGATATTATCGTTTGGAACATTGATCCTCAATGATTTGGCTGACATCATGATTTTTAGTCGACCAATCAATCGATCATAATCAATCTAAAGTACATACATCTTTGACTCATGAACTCTGCCCTTTGTAGTTCTTCATCAGTTGGGATGGTCAAGTCTGAGAATCGTACACTAAGTAGATTCTTCTTTGTGATGTTGCCATTGTTGTCCTTGGAGTAAACTCTCAACTCATCATCCACTGGTGCAATGAGCTTTCCACCAAGTGCCAATGATCTCAACAGTACCTTGACCATTTGTTTGGGACATGTCGATCCAACATTCTACAGTAATCAACGAATGAATGATTGAGTATGTGTTCCAGAACTTTGATAGATTGATTGATTGAGACTTACAATCCTATCATATATTGTCTCTTCTGGATCGGGAAGGAAACAATTCCTAAGTTTGAACTCGACGTTGGATAGGTCTATGCCAGACTTCTCCGAGAACTTGATGGCATTGTTCCTACCAAACTCCATGATCTCATCCACAATCTCCAGTCCATGACTGACACCATAAGGTCCGACCAAGTATCCTCCAAGCTATAATGTTCAAACAACCAACAATTAGTCAAGTGTTGTGAATTGGACCAAGGATATCAGACATGTACATACACATGTCATATGGCCACATCCACTACCAACATCCAAGAACTTCTGGCCAGGTTGTATGTCCAGCTCTGATAGACAAACGATATATATCTGATTGATAATGATGATTATGATGATGATGATTAGTTAAAGTGAGATGGATCACTAACATGGGACTCAAACAAACATACATGTGGAGCTGAGATGTTGAAGCCCATCCTGGAGCATCGTAACTACATATTGTACAGTTGATCGATTGATTCAGGTGTTAGTACAATATCATAATAATGAGTTTGGTTGAATGAGAAACATAACATACAGGAGTGTCAGCATAGGCACCATCAGCCAACTCATGAGGTATGAAATCACCTCTTGGTATCTTCATCAGAGCATCAATGGCTTTAGGTGTAGCATGAGACATTTCCCTCTCCTTTAAGTTATTGACCAACTCTTCATTGTTTGCGAATGTGTGTCCTAGATGATTGGGTAAGTCTATACATTTATAAATCGTCATTAATCTATTGTTACCAATTCATTCATTCAATCTTTCATTGATTGATTGATTGATTGATTGATGTTCAAAAACAACATACTCAATACAAACTGGAGGTAGTTATCCATTATTATATGCTATTTTAATGTCTATGTATTATCTCTAACTCTATCTCTAACTCTATCTCTATCTCTATCTCTATCTCTATCTATTTCTTAATATATACTTCTTGTTATGATGAGAAGTATTTTATTGTGTGGGTTGTTCAAATGTGTAATATCCAATTCAAACCATTTAAGGAAACTTTGCTTATTGGATGTTTTTGGATGTTGATAACTATATATTATTAATATTATTAATAATAAATAATTCTTTAAGGTCATTGTGTATTTTCTATTCAAAGTCTAAATATCACCAGGACATCATCAACAAACAACCCCCACTTTGCATATCAACATCGGACCAAAAGATATTATATTTCTTTGGACGTCGTCGGAGTTATTTTTAAAAACTCAGTACAAATAAAAGTATACAAATAATCATAATGAATAGTAGTAGAATATGGACTCATTCTCATTGAGTCCATTGAATGTACAGTTTGATCAAGTTAGAGCACTACTTGATCAGGTACACACTTTGATTGATAGTGCAACACAAGGTGATGCTACAAAGGCATCAGCCATACGTATGTCATTCATTCATTCATTGTTTGATTGATTGACTAATACCTACCCACTGTACAGTCAAGTCTATATTACCACTTTACAAAACTATAACAACTACACATGCAAAGGAATTGGCGATACCATCCAATCATGACCAACTCAAGGCCATAAAGATACGTCTTACAAATGAAACAAACAGAATACTATCAAGGCGTGATGAAGCAAAGAGGTCAAACATTGAGAGGCAACAACAAGCACAGTCTAATCAACAACAGACACCATCATCACCCCAACAACAACAACATCAGCAACAACAACATCAGCAACAACAACACAGACCCTCATCTCCACCACCAGTGTTTGATGATGATGATTATGATGCACAGCAACCAAGTGCTTTGCCAAAGACACCACTTCAAGGCTATCTTAGGAAGCAGGGGGAGAAGGGATTGATCAAGGCATATAAGAAGAGATGGTTCATACAGAAGGACTCAAAGCTGTTCTACTATGAGAAGGAGGGCGACACACAACCATATGGCTACATCAACTTGTTGGACATGCTAAGTGTTCGAACGATTGACTCTGGCTTTGAGCTGGCTACCACCGGTCGCATATACAATCTTCAAGTGCTGCGACCATCAGACCTCAGCTACTGGACAGATGGACTCAAAGAGCTCAAAAAGTGCTATGCATCTTCGTTACGTCACAGCAATGACAAGGTGCCCGCGGCAATCATCAACCCTCCACAGAGTAGTAGCAACAACAGCAGCAACAGCAGCGCCAATAGAGAGAGCATGGGATTGAAGCCATTCACATCAGACATGTCATATGAGAGCTTTGTCAATGCCAACAAGGGGCTGTCAGCATTGTCAGTGAATGATTACAAGAGATACTCTGTCGTGGTCAATCCACAATCCAATCGATCACGTGGCAGCAAACGATTCACTCCTACTCCTCCCACCTCCGCCCAAGACGACACTCCTCAATCATCATCCCCCATCAATCATGAGATGGTAGTGGCACAATCACCTGATGTTCAAGGCGTCACCACGGAGCCGCAACACGTCCAGACTGAAGCCCAACTCCAGGTCCAAGGCCAGGTCCAGACTGAGGACTTGGCAATCGATGCATTGGACGAGGAAAGATTGATGAGAGCCAAACTAGAGACAGAGATTGATCAACTAAAGTCATCACTGGCAAAGCATGAGGAGATGGAAAAGAAGAACAAAAGAGATATAATGACAAAGGATAGAGATATACAGAGATTGCTGAAGGACTTGGCAGAGAGAAATGTCAAGATCAAGGAGATGGATGGCAGATTGGAGGAGCTGACGACGGCCGTCGAGTCAATGCCCGTGGTGGACTCAACCTGGTCTCAAGAGATAGCGACACGAGATCGCACCATACTATCGATGAGGGAGAAGATTGGTGAGCTGAGCATGAGGCTCAAGCTTAGAGACAATTCTGTACTATTAGTCAAACGAGAGAATGAGATACTACGCGATGAGAATGAGAAGAAGGATAGATGTATCAATATGTTATACGACAACAATCACAATCATATCAACAACAACAGTAGTGGCAGGCCAAGCTCAATAGATATAATTAGGTTAAGAGAGTCTATTCTAGCACATCAATCACAGAATGGATACCTGATGACAGAGATGAGCAGATTGGAGACGGAGAATCAGTTGAAGCATGATGCAAAGGATGAGAAGATCAATCAGTTGGAGACATCACTCAATGAAATAGTCTATCAGTATCAGAACTTGAGAGAACTACTTCATGGCACGTCGACAACTGCCGACTATGTAAAGAGTATCGAGACAGAGTTGATGGAGCTCAAACGTGATTACTTTAGGTCGTTGGCAATATCATTCAAACTACAATGTGTTGGTGCTCATGACATTGATGACAACGCTGACAATGACGATAGACCAGCCATGGCTTCATCGACCATTACACAGTCTAACATGTTAGACATTACATCACTCTACGAAGAAGTGGTCAAGAACAGTATACCATTCAAACAATGGCCAGACTGGATATCGTCCAAGGTAGCTGTTGTGTCCAGCACGGATAGTCATTTGCCAAGTGTATAAATACAATACAACTTTATTGGTTGTTGGTTCGCGCTTACATAATCAATCAACTGGTCATGGATAGAGAGATCGAATCGCATTGAGGATATATATTTGACCAATAATAATAGACTATTTTTAACTTGTGAAACCAAAGGCAGGTCCAAAACTAGGGAGTTCCCAAAAAGACAAGAAGTGGTGAGTCATAATTAAATTGGGATATTCAATTTAAAATGAACATGTATTAATCTTTAATTTATTAGCAATATACTATACTTTCATATTTACATACATATAATTATATCTATATACATACAGATAGATAATAAGTAATATTATCAACTTTTATTGGATTGAAAATGGAGGACCATAATGAAAAAGAGGGAAAGAGAAAGTACAGTGAGGATGGATCAATTCACTCTTGTACAGAACTACAAGAGTTACATTCAATTGTTGCAGATGAAGAATATGTTAATAATATAGATCATCATCATCATTTGGAGACTGGTTATGATATTGACCCAGTGTTCAAACAGAGTATGATTGAGAGTCATCAAAGAAAGCTACAGAAAGAATATAATGAGACTCCTTGTGTAGATCATCTTGTATTCATTGTACATGGTATGGGCAATCAGACCAATGGATCAGTATTATCAACACTTGAACAGAATGGTACGTATATCTATCTATCACTTTGACTCGTTATTTAAATTATCTAATCATTCATTCATTCATTCAAAGTTGAACTGTTGAAAAAGAACTTTGTGGAGCACCAGAGATTGACAAAGGATACAATGAATGTAGAGTTCAAGATCATTGAATGGCATTCAAAGATACGAAAGGATAACCTTGATCGGTATGGCAATAACATCACATCATTCAGATATATACTATACTTACACTTTATCACATTTCAATATTAGTGACTTGGAGAAGATATCCCCGGACAATATTGAGAAGATCAGAGGATTCGTTAATGATACGTTGTTGGATGTTATGTTGTATATGACACCAGAGTATCATACCGAGATATTGAATGAGGTGTCCAGTCAGATAAATGCAACTTATAATATGTTTATCAATCATCATCCAAAGTTCAGAGGACTTGTATCAATATGGTGTCATTCACTTGGCAGTGTCATTGTCTGGGATATCCTACATTCAAAACACATTGGATTCCAAGTGGAGAATGTGTTTGCAATGGGCAGTCCCCTAGGCATCTTTCTCCGTCTGAAAGGTCATCCACTTGGCAATGTTGACTTCCGCCAACTCATTCCACAATGTTCCAATTGGTTCAATATATTCTCTCCAACCGATCCAGTTGTAAGTTGATGACGATGAAGTAGTAGTTCACTATTTGAGTGATCATTGACTAACAATCTATCAATCAATCATTCTGAAGGCCTATCGCATCGAACCATTCATTGATAATAAGTATCAAAAACTGAAACCTGTTGTAATTGAACTTGGCCAGCATGAGAGGCCATCTACTCTATTCGATATATACAAGAAGAAGTTCTCTGGATTGATTGGACAGATATCTTCTCCACCTCAACCTGGATCACTATCTCCAAACTCTAAACCAATGCACAATTTGATTGCCACTCAATCAATTCACCAACAGTTGTCCACACTGGACGGTACAATCACGCAGGACAGTACAGTATCAATTGGCTTCACCTCATCATATCCAGACAATGTAGGAGATATCGTGCCATCAATCGGAGGTGGATATGGAGTTGGTGGTGAGATTAAGGACAAAGAGGATGAATCACTCAAGGACCTGAAGAGATATGATTATGTGTTGGATGAAGGATCCACCATTTGGAACAATGGTATACCGAGCTACTTCATCTCAATCCTATCGCACATCACTTATTGGAACTCCAAAGTGATGGCCAGCTTCCTGGTCAAGTCACTGTCGATCAAGTGGACCAAAGTCACCGAGATTGCAAAGAAGAGGAACCGTACACTTGCCAAGGGTCTGGCCAACCTCCTCGATGACCCCGATGTCGATATGTTGTCAACACCAAACAATGACAATGACATTGAGCCATCCATTACATCGTTATGATCATAAACAAGCCTGTGTCTGTATTCTATTTTTGTACATTTAAAACTTGATCTTTCCACTTAGTATCTGTGACCATAACTTGAAGTCTCCTCTTAGACTGAACAATGGATACTTGAATGTGGCTGGCTTGTTCTTTTGGAAGAAGAAGTGTCCAACCTATAATTGATTGATCACGTGTTAGTTGTCAAGTGTTTGATTGATTGATTGTGTTTTGTTTGAAGGATACGTACCCATGCGAAACCATAACCAATCAAGAATGGAACATAGAGGTATCTGTAGTTGCCAGTTAGAGTGATAAGGATCAATGCAAGAACAGCCAATGATGTTCCGACAAAGTGAAGACGTCTACCATTCAATATGTTAGTTAATCATAGAGTCAAACATTTTATGAGTCAATGACCTCTTCTCTCTTGAACAACAACATACTTATTGGTACGATTTGAGTGCTCCTTCAAATAGAAAGGGTAGAACTGCTCGAAGCTCTGATAAACAATAAGTTCTTGTGACATTGTTATATGTATATGAATCAGAAGTATAGTATTAGCAATGAATGAATGAATGAATGGATGAGTAGAAGGGCAGAAGATATTGAGTGTCAAATGGACATGTCCAATCCTACAATTGTAAGGAATTGATTGGGTGGGGTGATATGACACTTGTGTTACAAAATATCTCTTTGGTTTGCGAGCCACAGAACAGACACAAGACGAGTCTACAAGGAACAAGATTGATCTTAAGGGATAGGGGTCAAGGTCAATCAAGGTCAATCAAAGAAGAAGATTGAACTTTAAATGTTTATAATAATAGAGTGACTCTAGAATACATGTTGTTGTAGTTGATATTAGGCAAATGACGAGGTGTGTCACGTCCTCATACAACTACTATCTTATCGGTTGCTTGCCAAGGTGAACAAACCAGAGCACAGAGCAAAGAAACATGCAACAAGTGTGGCCCACCTATAGTATGATGAAGAATGACATGTTAATGTTAATATTGATGTATGAGTGACAAAGAGAATCCATCCAATCAATGAATGAATATACATACCATCCACCACCTGGAATCCATTTGAAGTTGTCGTCAGAACCGTAAATGTTCTTGCACCAACGGTCTTTGCAGGAGTTGAATCCATTAGAGTCATCGTTAAAGGCCTTTGGCAGACCCAACAGGGTAAAGAAGGAAATAAACAAGATGGCAACGGCAGCACATGAGGTACCAATGCACAGAATCTTCCAGACTATTGAACGGCAGAGCTTGGGCGAGAGCAGGAGAATCAATTGGAGCAGACCGGCACCAAGTGACAGAGCGGCACCAATCACCAAAAAGGATAAACAAGTGTCGAATATTTGACCAGTCTTCTCCATCTTGTTCAAGATTGTGATTCCAGCGCAGCTCTCCAACTTATCATACTTCAAAGTATTGGACTATAATTGAGTGATTTAGTGAATGGGTTAGTGAATGAATAAGATACATGTATAGTGAATGTATTGTATTGTACATACATTATCACCAATCTCACACTTATAATCCTTCCATCTGAAGGTGGCAACGGCATCATTATTACTAAATGGTATATTATATGTGATCTGGTACCATGGCAGGATGAATCCAATCACGCAGCCAATCACCACAACGACAGACAAGGCAATTCCAATCTTTAATTTCATTCTTTATATATTTGTTAAGTATTATTTATATAGATATATATATAATATATTTGAATTGATAAGTAAACAATACTGACCAACAGATGTTGTTTAAAAAGTAAGTTGATTGGATGCATCATGACATGGTACCAAAGTGTACATTGTTGGTGATATCATAAGAGGGGCGAGGTTGGAGCAGAGGAGAAATAGCTTACCATTAATTAATTAAGACCAACAAACAACAGATTGGTGTTTGATATTTGCATCATGATCAAGTATGATTGATGGGCAAAGTCAACAATATATGAATGGAATCAATAATTCTCTTAAACTCCATCATTCAGGGCCATCTTTGCAAGTGAGACTTACGTCTTTAGACTTATTTTGATTATGAATGTATCCTGCATTCATTGAAAATCAGATGCTTATGTTGGAGTCTAGTGTGTCAGTATCACCCCTAACGGATTGACATTCACACCCCTCACGCCTCAAGCCTAAGTTATGTCTATCTGATGAATGGATGGACCGCCTTTCATTCATCCAGATCCCACCTGTTCAGTAACTTGTGCCGGCGTGTCTTTGTGACTGGTCCACACCGATTACATTTACACAAGATGAAGGCAAGTGCCGAGAATGAATGTTTGAACACATCTCGGCAGAGAGACTTGCCCAACACAAGTAGGTTGGTGACGACATTCACGGGCAACAACATTGTTATTGTATAAATATAACTTTAGGGTATTGGTATGAGTGATTGAAAGATTGAGTGAATGAATTGGATTGATGGAATAATGACAAGAAGATCAATGACACGATACTGTGTGATTGTGATTGTGTGCACGCCGCTGTTAACAACAGAGTTTTATTCCATATCCTGATGCTGACGACTCATTTTAATACATAATTAGTGATTATGTATTTAGAAGCTCTTCAAGAATCCCTTCTTCTGAGCGAGTCTGTTGAGAGCCTCGTCGGACTGAGCGTTGTTGCGGACGAAACCACAGAAAGCAACGGTGGTCTGCTTTCCGGTGTAGAGTCCCTCAGAGTTCACGTGACCAATGTTGATTTGGACAGAGGCGTGATCCTTGGCAGTGATCAAACGGTTGGTGGCAGAGCTATAATATGTTCATTGGTGGATGAGGTTTGGTAACTAGTTAGTCATATGTTACTACTGCGTGACAATCTTGTCTTTCGAACATAAGTGATCATCAATGATTGTTGTTGTTGTTGTTGTGTTGATTGTCTAACCAAAATGGTTTGTTCTGAACGATTCTTCAATGTTGATTGTTGTTGTTGTGTTGATGAAGATATCCTGCATTGTCGCACTGAGAATAGGTCGATCCGAATATTCGCGTAGAGCAACCTAACATTCTGTTTCTTGAATCAAAACGTAGTATTCTCTGTCCACAACAAAATGAATGAATGTACATTGAAACGAGTAATATTCATTCATTCGTTCGTTCGTTCATTCATTCATTCATTCATTCGTTCATTCATTCATTCATTCATATTCGTATTCATTGATCCTTGATAATCGCGACATGATAAATGGTTGAACCAACTAAGTGATATGTTGATAATGATCCTGTCGCATAATGTTGTTGACTGTGCTGTTTGATACATTGCATTGATAGATAGAGTTGGATGAAGAGACATACCACTTTCTTGGAGTGTACAACTCGATAGTCTTCTTCTCGTCGTTTTGCATTCTGTTATAGATAGATGGGGACTTGCTGTGCACGGTGATGAATGATAGAGGTGAAAGAGGAAATGAACAAGTCAAACGCGTTCCTCATCAGGCTCCATCCTTGGTGTGTGAAAATAAAAATTAAAAATAATACAAAAGAAAATCAAGCACCCTCTTACGTAATTGTGTAAAAGTTTTGTAAATGTGTGTGTCTCGCGAGACACTCCAGGTAAGTAGCAATATATATCTTTATGAACGGATTGCACACATTACGGCGATTGGACCGCAATGGACATTGTTGCGCTAATAATGTTGATTGATTGATTGATGTCCCAGTGTTTGAGTGAGTGAATGGATTGGTTGATTGAATGATAGAGTTGTTGTCGTTTTATGATGATGTGTACAGTTGGTAAAGGTGAATACATTATTGACAATCCATCATGTCCTTGTTGAACTTCTTGTAGATGGACATGAACTTGGCCAGGAATGCTTCCAGATGGAATATTGGTTTGGTTCCAATTTGAATCCTATGCTCCTGTATGATTGTGATTGATGTTGACGAATGACGAAGGAGTCAGTTGGGGATGTATCATTGAATGATTGAATGAATAGATCATACATAAAAGGCAGCCCATTGGATCACTTCACACTTGATCTGTGTATCAATCTTCTCGAGGATGTTCAGTGTCACATGCTTCATGATGAGGTCGGCTGGGATGCAATGACCTATCAGCTCATAGAGCTTGGCACGGATCTGTTGTAGCTTGGCTGGTGTCTGCTCCATGATGGCATCGTTGGCCACCTGCTGGATGGCATTCTCCCAATCCAATAGTGGCAGCTCGTTCGATGTGAATGGATATTGCTTGGCCTTCATCGACTCTAGCAGGAGAAGTGCGTAACGTAGGTTGCCATTTGATCGCTCGGCGCACGACTTTGACACGTCCTTGGGCAAGTCGAATCGCTCCTTCTTGGCCACCAGTTCCAACACGCGAGAGATGTCCTCAGACGTTGGTGCTGGGATGCGTACGCCCAGACATCTACTCCTAATTGGATCGATCACCTTTGAAGTACTATCGCAACACATGATCAATCTACAGAATGCTGCATACTTCTCCATTGTTCTTCTGAGTGCATGTTGTGCGTCCTTTGATAGTCTGTCAACCTCATTCAATACGACAACTAGAAGTTGAGCGAACGAGTGATTGATTGAATGAGTGAGTGAGAGGGCGAGTGATTGATTGATTGTGTTGACATACCTTTAAAGTTACCAAACTGTTGAGCATCGATTGGAGGTGATTGAGCGATCTCTTTGATGATGGTTTGAATGACGAGACGGTCGTTGTTGCCAGCCTCACCGGGGTTGACCTCGATGTGATAGGGTGATCCGACTGTGGTCACCTGGATACTCTTGCTAGTTGATGGATGTTTGAATGTACGATGCTCAATCTTTATCTTTAGACAGTTTGGACCATAGATCTCTTTCAATATTGCCATCACTCTTGTCTTCTTGCCTGCGCCCGATGGTCCATATACCAATAAGTGAGGAAAGTCACCTCCCTTAACCATATTGATAAGGTTTTGGGAGATGTCTTGATGGTAATCCATCTGCTCCAATGATGTTGGTCTATATTTATCAATCCACAGCATGTTTATCTACTCTTGTTGTATGTATATATATCTCTCTTCTTATTCAAACTTGAAGAATCATAAAGTCAAAGTTGAGAATGAATGAGGGTGGGAACCCAAAGAAAACGCGCCAACATTCAAATTTGATTAAATTCCAAGTAATAATCGATTGAGTTTGAATGAAAGTGAATGATTGGACATGGAAAGGAGGATTGCGTATTCGGTAATAAATATATTTATTATTGGTCGGCGGGGATGATAATGAGGAGAAGACATAAGGTGCTTTGGGCTGGACTGACTGGTTAGAAGAAACCAGATTCAGCAGAGCATACTTTGTTGGTGGGATTGAAATGGATGGATGCCAACTCGTTTGGAACATTGGTGATTGATTTGGAGAGGGGATAGGAGAGAGGGATAGAGAACTTACAGTAACATAGGGGTTGCTAATGCCTATGATGTTGTAAGAGTATGTGCTATTGTTGTTGATGTTGATGATATTGTTGACAAATGATACTGATCGATCGATTGATTGAATAATTGATTGAATGATTGAGGAGAATGATATTGACTATCCTGAAGCTGTTTCGACTGTAGTGACAGGAGAGAAAAAGACATCTCTTGGTAGGAGCTTGGTATGATCACTGGATTTCTTCTCGATTATTGAGAAGTTGGTACGGACGATCGAGGCGTTCTTCAATTCGAACTGGACCCATTTAAAATTCTGGCGCGACGACTGCTCAGACTGGGTGACATCCAAATTCTGGTTCTGGCAGAACAACAGCTGTTTGGCCTGTTGTCTCTTGCATAGTAGAAGACTGAGGATGACCTTGAGTGTGAGTGAGTGTGATACGACCAGAATGTGAAACTCTGTGTTCTTCGCAGTTGGTGTTGATTGTTGAGAAGATAGAGTGGATTTGTTGTTGGTGATGCTGCTGCTGCTACTGTTGATGATGTTGATGTCTTCTTTGGTAGATATTGCTGCCGCTGCTAGTGGGTTGTTGGTCGAGATTGTTGTTGAGTGTTCATCATGATGTAACACCTCGAATGATGATATCGATGATGTTGACGAGGCAGATGAGTGTGATTCGGATGAAGACGTGAGTGAGGATGTTGATCTCAAGTCCTCACTGTCAATGAAGGAGGATAGTGATGATGCCGACGTTGATATATATGCTGAAGCGGGTGGTAGTTGTGATTGTGTCATGAAAATGTTTGGTGTGGCGTGATTGATACCAGTGCCTACACTGTTGCTATTGTTGCTGCTACTGCTGTTGCTACTGATGCTACTACTGATGCTGCTACTGTTGATATTGATGCTATTGATACTGCTGATGATGTTGTTGCTGTGATTTGAAATGTGAGCAAATTCATTACTCTGTGAAATATGGTACTTGTATGGTATCTGTCGAAGGATGAATTGAAATGCTTCCTTTGCTCGCTTGATTAGCTTGCGCTTGGACTCGAGCTTCAACTCCTTCTGAGGCAGATGCTTGAGAAACTCGGATGTGAGTTTGACTGGAGGGGCAATGGCGTACGAGTCGGTCGTGGACGCGGATGGAGTGATCAGCGAGTTTAGATTGGACTTGTGCGAGAGAATGTTCTGCAGCTCGATCATCTTCTTTGCTTCAGGGAGCTCTTCCCAGTTCACAAATTGTCTGAGGTCCACTCCCTCGAGCTTGCCAAGATATCGTTCTCTTAGCAGTGGTGTCGTGATGATTGGTCTGCTGGGGCGCTCAGATAATTGATCCACAATCAAAGATGCTGTCTCTTGTGCACGATCCAAGTCTGATGATATGACCATGTCGATTGGGTTGTGCTCGCCATTCAGTCTTTGACCGGCCATTATAGCCTGACGTCGACCATTGTCATTGAGTGGTGTATTCAAATGTCCCTGTAATATGCCATGTCGATTAAAATCTGTCTCGCCATGCCTAAGGTATTATGTGTAATTATTAGTAATGTACATTACATAAACATATCGAGAATGTGCTACATACCTTATAAACGTTATAATGACCATTATTTATACACACATGTATGTAACTGAATCAAATGTAATGTTATATATATATCCAATAGCTATTAGAGCTCTCTTTGACTGTTTGATTGAATGATGATTATAAACTTGTCTCTATATATGTTGTTGTATTGTATATTTCTCTATTATGATCGATTGATTGATTGATTGTTGTTGTCTTTATGATATGATGATGTTTGCGTAATGGTAGCAGTATTTAATGTTGTTTGATTGTGTTGTTGTTGATGTCTTTGCTGTAATCTGTGAAGTTTAATCTGTCTTTGTCTTTCTTAAATATTATTATTTATTTATGTATATAGATATATAGTATAGATATATGTTTATTATCTGTATGTATTATTATTATTAATGTTGTTATTGGTTGGGTAGAAACTCGAAATGATTTACAAAGTTCATTTCCACGCATTAATATGCTGTGAGTGGTTGAATTTTCGCGAGAGTTGGCGGTTGACTCTCATCGCCATCTCGACATTATGTTCCCTCAACCTGGAATAGGTAGTGTTCATCTACCCCCAAAACACACTGTTACCCCCTTCCATTCCATTCTCCCACTTCCAACAACAACAACCACAACAAACACAAGATGAAGAGAGAGATGTAAAGTAAATGAATGTGTGTATCTGTGTCAATGTATAATAAGTAGTAGTATGCGTGTGAACGAACACTATTATTAATCCTTGAGAATCTCTCGTGAAGCAATGATGCGCATGACAGCATCACTTCCCTCGAGAATACGGTGAACTCTGGTGTCACGAAGGAATCGCTCGATGGGATAGTCCTTGAGATAGCCGTAGCCGCCCAACAGTTGGAGGGAATCGTCACAGAGCTCGAAGCAGGTGTCGCATGTGAACAGTTTGGCCATGGCAATGTACACGGATGCATCGGCGCTCTTGGCGTCCAGCATCTTGGCGCTGTTGCGCAACATGGTACGTGCGGCGTACAGTCGGGTGGCCATGTCGGCCAGCTTGAACTGGATCGACTGGAAGTTGGCCAGGTTCTGCGAGAACTGCTTCCTGACCTTGACGTGATCGCGGGCAGCCACCAGACATGCCTGGGCGCCGCCAAGACTGCAGGCGGCGATGTTCAGACGACCACCATTGAGGGCGTTCATGGCAATGTTGAAGCCCTGTCCCTCCTTTCCAATGAGGTTTGCCACTGGCACGCGGCAGTCCTCAAAGATGACAGCACGTGTTGGCTGGGTGTTCCAGCCGAGCTTCTCCTCCTTCTTGCCAAAGGAGAGGCCGGGTGTGCCCTTCTCGACGAGCACACATGAAATGCCCTTGGCACCCTTGTCTCCAGTGCGCACCATCACCATGTATACCTCGCTGTCGCCTCCACCACTGATGAATGCCTTTGAACCGTTCAGAATGTAGTGATCGCCATCCCTAACAGCCTTTGTCGATAGTGAAGCAGCATCACTTCCACTGCCTGGCTCAGTTAAACAATATGATGCAATTGTGTCCATCTTTGTCAATGATGGCAAGTACTTGTGTCTCTGTTCATTGTTACCATAGATATCAATGAGTCCTGCGCACATACTATTGTGATTGAGTTGTTAGCCTCATTCATTCATTTCATTCATACATCTCCAATACCCATACTACACATACTTGTGAATGCTTATGAATGCTGTTGTGCTGACATCGGCAGAGGACAATGCCTCGAATATAATAGTTGCATCCTCACGTGACAGTCCTGATCCTCCAACCTCTGGGTCTACATAGACACCTCCGAATCCAAGTTGAGCTGCTTCCTTCATGACATCCCCTAGTTGTTGTAAGTATGTCGAGTAAGTATGAGTGTTGCCATTCATCCATTCATCCAATCATTCCAACTAACTCCAAACACACATACTTGGGAAGAACTCATCTTGGTCCCACTTTGGAGCGAATGGTAACATCTTCTCCTGTGCAAAAGTCAAAGCCATTGATTGGAACTCCTTCTGTTCATCTGTCAGTCCAATAGATGCTGAGTAGTAGTATAGTGGTCAGTATGGTAATGAGATGAGCTTGTAGTTGAGTGAGTCATTGATCATGATGTGGACACCTACGATCTGGAACGATGTTCATGAATCCTCTGGTGACACCAACAACACCAGAGTTGGAGAACAATGAGTTGACGCTGTTTCCCTTTCTGAAGAGGGATGCTGACAATAGTGATCTAGCTGTGAACATTGTATCTGTGTATGTGTATGTATTTTATAATGTAGTTGTAAGAATGAATGAACAATGCGTTATCATTCTTCCTGAAGAACACTTTGGAGCCGACATTGAAATTTCCCAAAAGATATCTTTTGTGGGGGGGATTTGTTCGTTTTTGATTAAAGTTTTGCATGTTATAACTTCAAACATACACATTACTATTAAAATGTTATTACAATACATAAGTCGACGTCGTTGTTTGTTTATTATCATATAACTTTAAACATACATATATATATACATGCGCGCAAGTGTTGACCATTCACTTACAGTCAACACTGGGAAGGGATAAGCTCGCTTGCTTTGATCCTCTGCCCTCTCTACATAATTGAACAATAGCTGCTGTACTTGTAGGGCTTGGACTGCGTTCCATCACTATTGTTGCTGTTGTTGTTGTCAATCACCTGATCGCCGCTGGCTTGTTCGATAGTGGCGGTGATATCAAGAAGGTCCTCAGTTTGAAGAGAACACATCATGTGTGTTGAGGTTGGAGAGGTGGTCGGTGTCTTGTCCAACTGGTCCTCGACTGGCTTGGCATTGAACCAGAACTTCTCGATCCATGAGACCGTGTCTGTAAGATCGACATTGTTGGCAACGCTCTCTAGCATTGGGATGTACTTGGGCTGGTCGAGATCGATGGCGCGCGGCAGCAATGGGTCGATGCGGTGGTACTTGATACCGAGCAACTGGTGGCATTGGTAGTCGGTGATCTCAACGTTGGAGTCCAACAGCATGTCGATGAGTGTTGGGGCCCATTGCGCCAGTCCCCAATCACCGCCTCCATATTTCTCTGGTGAGACGTATTTGCCATCGCGACCTGTAGACAGTGACAGCACAACGATGTTCTCTAATGGTACGCCTGAGGACATTGCACTGGTGATTGCGCAAAGTGCTGGGTTATTGGCAAAGACTCCACCGTCTACGAATCCTTGGTAGATTGGGAAGTAGGTGGGGGCAGCACTTGTCCTGAGTGCCACGTCCACAGCTGGATGTGAGTTGGTCTTTGAATGCTTCATGTTGTGGAAGAAACGTGGCACCCATCTTCTGTGATGCACCTGTGGACTGTTACGAGGTACCATTTCAAAGTCCTCAAACTTGTCAGACTCATGGTGATGTTTGTTGTTCTCATCCTGCTGTTGTGGTGTTGGGAGGTGTGCTGTGGACTCGTTGTCCAGTTGGAAGCTGGGAATGAGTACCTTCTTCTTGAGTTGGCCCAGTGTGATGTCTCCGAGCTCGTCTTGCAGGCCCTGTCTCAACTTTGAATTGGTGTAGGCAGGTGCTATAGCGCTGTCCAATGAAGTGATCTCATGAATCCATGACTTGTGAAATATCTCTGGGGCGATCTTCTTAAAGAAGGTCTGTGTCTCGCCAGTTGTCTTGCCAGAGGCCAGCACCAATGCCAAAATACCACCTGCAGAGGCGCCTGTGATCAAATCGACATTATCCAAGAAGTTTGGATATGCATCCAATATCCTCTTTAATATTGTCGTCTCTAAAATTGATCTAACACCTCCACCATCAAGAGACAATATACAATATGTTCCTATAAGTAATTGTAAGTAATTGTTAGTATTATAATACATCTCTGTGTTATTATGACTATTGTACAATAAGTCCTAGCTTACCTTTATCCTTGGTCATATCGGAGGATATATATATATATTCTATATAATATTAATAATTTAGTATATGCTTATATCAGTTGTAGTTGATGATGTAAATGTTAATGCTGATGTTGATGTTGATGTTGTTGTAGAATAAGTAAGTATGTAAGTTGTAATATTATATTAATTATCTATACAATGTAAATGAAAAGAAAGCAATTAATTGGTTGGTTTGAATTGGATTTAGTATTTGAATGAAAGTTCTAGAGAGAGATAGAAATAGAGAGAGAGAGAGAAGAGTTGAGTGTGTGTTAGTCAATTATATTACTATATATATCCAAGTTGTTGACCACACACCACTATACTAGTAACACCAACACACAAGCACTACTTGACTTTGTTCGCACACACTCGCACACACATATTCGTACACACACTTCTTTCTCTCTTGACAATCTAGTTTCCCTTCCTTACTTGTCGAGGTTGGTCTTCTCGAGAATAGAAGGAAAGTTTGAAATTTCCAACCTTGTGTGTGTTTTATCTGAACAAATATAGATATGCGTATTACTTACGATGATGGATGAGATGTTAACAAATAATGTAATTGATTGTTATTGTTGTTGTAATGGTTGATATAATGATGAGTGTTAGGGTGTTGTGATTGATTTATTGAGTTAGTGAGTGAATGATTGATAGATTGAGTGGGTGGTGAATATGTACGTGTTAGGGGGGGTATATATAAAATATTGTATCTATGTTCGTGTATTTGTATATTTGTGAGTGAATCATCAATTATGTTTAAAATTGGGGGTGCTTGCCACCTCCCAGTTCCCATTTTTTTGGGAAGGCAACTGATGAGTCTTCGTGGGGACAACGCCGTGCACCAGGTTCAATCCTGGGGGTGAGGGAGTTGAAGGTGTGTTAACACCTTCACAACAAACATCTTAACTAGATCACGTGATCTTGGAGGTTGAACAAAACTAGATGTGAGATGGAGATGCATGTAATACTGTTCGTTCCATTTCAGTTTGTTGTTATTGTTGTTGTTCCATCAGTTTGGAAAGTACTCCCAGCGACATTATTCGACAATCCTTGTCAGAGTCCTCGTTTGATATTCCAAAGAGCCATTGTTGTAGCTCTTCTTGTTCGTCTTGGTAGTCGCTTTTGATCTGGTCGTCAGGCAATGTATAGAATACACGTGATAATGTGAATAATGTTGAACGGCGTACACTCACATCAGAATGGAATCTGATTGGCCAGACAAAACTGACAAGTTCACGAGCCATTCCTCTTGTATGAGTTGAATTACCAGCACATTCAACAATCACTCCCAACGTATACACCAGTCTTGATAACAGGAAACAATCATATCCAATCATGTTAACATTGGCATAACTAGTGATGTGATTGATCAGTGTGTTTGTTAGGTTGATTGATTGGAATGATTCCAGGAGTTGGTAATATTACATACCTTTGTGTAACCTTGTTAAAGTTGGTCATGAATGGATAGAAGAATGATGGAGCTAGTTGATGGTACTTGTTGGACTTGATGTCGGCCTTGGGCCTCGTTGAAACTCCCCATCTTCGTGTAACACCAACAAACTGGATCGGTACATTCTCGTTGTGATCCTTGATTGAGTTTGATGCAGTGTTGGTATCAATAATCAATGGATTGTGTTTGGCCATCGACTTGATTGTTGATTGCTGTTGTTCTTTAAGCTGCTTGGCCTTCTCCTCTTTATAGCCTGACAACTCCATTGCAGTTTCAACCAACACGGACAATATCTCAAGTCGTTGTCCCAAACTAAAGGTCATTTGAAAGAATGCATCAGTGAGGTAGTTGATCACCAACACTGTAGAGTTGACTGCCAGTGCCACCAATGCTTCATGTCTAATTGGTTCAAAGTTATCAATCTCATATTCATTCGTCAAATGTAGTAATGATCTGGTCATTGACACACTTAGCTCGTCTAATGTATGATTGATTGATTGAGTGAGTGGTGGAATAGTCCCAGTTTGAGTGGTGAGTGAACTTACCCAAGTCATCAGGCCTTGACCAAACGATTGATGCGATCGATATGAGTGCACTCTCCCATGAGTCAGCTGTATGTTTGTTGGATTGGAACTCGACTATGCAGTCTCTTAGATACAACTTCTTACGAACGCCCTTCAGATCAGACTCGTCATCATCCAGGTTATATGGTTTGAGGTCATCGTCGTCAATGTCCTCATCAGGCTGTACATCGTCATCATCCACATCATCATCATCATTGTCATCTCTAACGACCAACATATCTGGATCATCATACTTGCTAAACTCCTTCTCCAGTCTCTGTTCAATCTCCTTCTTTCGGTCCATCTTTGGTGCTACTGCAGCAGTATCGTCTGTACCTTTGATGAATGTTTGGACGCCTTCGTCATCCTTCTGATCACCCGATGATGATGGACGATAAGTTGGTGTGAAATCCAGATGTAGACACTGTTTGTCCTCGATGGTCAGATGATCAAACTTGAGTGGATTGTCTGGTTGGAGAAACGTGGAGAATATCTCTGCCAGTATCATGCCATGTACATTGATATGTCGTGTAGTCGATTGAATATGCACATCAATACCCTTGAGAAATAGTCCCTTGCACTGATACTTGTCCATCAACTTATCATTAATCCTTTGTGTAAAGTATACCAATGACCTTGTGACGCCTAAATACATGGTTAATCAATCAATCAATCATTGTTCGACTTGATTGGAGTGTACATACTCATGTGATGCTCCACTGTGCAGTGCCTGGTGAAGTAGGTATCTGACCATGACTTTAGAAGGTTGATTAGACAGGTCTTGATAATTGGATGATCTTGGTCGCTGTCCTGATCATGAAGGGAGTATAGTAGATGGAGAAGATGGTTCTGTACATCAATGTTATAACTCTTGTTAACCAGAAGTTTGGATGTCAATATTGACATCACCATCGATGTAGGTTGACTCTTATATATCAATCTGATCGCTGACCCAACATGATTGCATTGTGTCTCGGTATCTGTATCATGATTGATTGATTGATTAGTGGATGGATTATCATGATGATGAAGGGATGGTATTCACTAACGTACATTCTGGAAGATGCTGTATCAATGAGTCCAACAACTTGTCCAAGGCATTGCCACGTGTTTCCAGGACGGTGTTGGAGAGTAGACGTATCTTCATGTCTATATTCTTATTACTTTGAAGTAGATGGGGAATGAATGTATCGAGTATATGTCGTTGATATCCAATCTTGATGATCTTTGTGTTGAGCTCACCGATGAGTGTACCAAGAGTTGCCTCCACCCTTGATAGTTGAGCTGATGTATGTCTTGTTGTTATAGTATCAATGTATCCACATAGTTCATTGTAGAGATTGTTATAGTAGATGTCTGCAATAAAGCATTCGGGCATTGTAATCTTGTACTTGTGTTGTACATTCATTGCCCTATCTGGCAGTGTTGCCAACGCATTGATCAATGCAGATATCATCGTTGTTGATGATATCGTTGCACCAACCTGCATGATTGATGTGATACTGATGCTTGACAAAGTCTTTACAATGTACTGATATGTTGCAACTTGATCCTTTGAGAGTGTAAAGGAGGTATCACCATCTCCATCGCCATTGTCATTGATGACAGTGAGCTTTGAGCAAAGGAATAGGTAGGAATCAATGAGCAATGGTCCATTGTTGTTGCGAGGAACAATTATTGATTCAAAGAGATGTTTGTCAGTGTCGCGAAAGGCCATGTACCAGTTGATGTAGACATCATTGATGAGTAACTCCAATAGTGATGTGAACAATGTTGTTGAAGTTGATGATGAACCGCGTGATGTACCATCATGAGTCGTATTGGTAGATGAAGATGAGTCCAGTGTGATTGAGAATAGTCTTGCAACATTCTTCAATGCTGCCACAACATCATTGACATCATTACTATGTTTCAGAAGGTCAATACAACTCTCCAATGATGATGTCATCTTATATTAGTCACTCTATCTCTTCAATGTTTGATTGAATGAATGATGTGTGAGTGAACATCAAAGTTAGTTTGTGAGGCCTGGTGGGACCATGACAAGGTCCTTGGCCAAAGTTATTCATAACTAGTTAATTGGATGATGAGTTTATTGTACCGGATACATCCTGTTCGTATTGTACCTCCTTCTGGAAGTGATCACAAAAGTCATTCAACATCCACTTGTACTGATTGCTGTGTTTCCTGTGGTTGGTCTGCTTGGACTCCTTCATCGATGTCTCATAAATTGCAAATGTCTGTTTGATTGTCTCATTGGCAGTGGCTGTCTCTTCTGGTGCTCTAAACGTGTACATCCTTCTAACAATCTTTGAACCTGGACAATCAGTGACATCGACCTGCTCCAACATGACCATTCCATGATTGTTCGCCGCAATAATTAGATCATCGTCCGGTTGTGGCAATGAGACGATGGTTGTGAAGCGTCCAGTGCCTGGCCTGAGCAGTCGGAGCACATTGACAACCAACTCCTCCATCGTTAATGTGTGGGTATGTCTGGCAATACGTCTGTTGTCTGGCATGGCCGAGACAAACTGGTCCAGCTTGACATCGGATGGGAAGTAGGGTGGTGCGCTGATGATCAGGTCGTAGAGACCATCGCTCGGTCGCATATGAGATTCAACAAGCTCCCTATTACAATCCATCGAGTTCTTCTCCAGTGTGGCAGTCACTTGTGTTGCCGGTGCAAACAATTGAATGGGCGTGTGGAAGACGAATATGTTCCTGGCCCAAGCCTGTCCACTATTATAAATTGAATCAATATTAATGCTCGCTTGCTTAATCGCTGTCTCATCAATATCAATTGAGTGCACAACAGATCGATTGAATCTCTGTGCCAACATAATGCTTAACACTCCACTTCCTGTTCCAATGTCTAAAGATTGTTTGATTGATTAAGTATGAGTATTGACTCGCGGCATCAATCATTCAATCTATCATATGATCAAACAATCAAACATACCTAATATATAAGATGGCCATCCATTGATTGGTTGGTTGACTGTTTGATTGGTTGCGCCGAATGTGTAAGAGTACTGTGTATTGTTCCAAACCATATCATTTAGTTGGATGTGAGAGATGTCTTGAGTGGGACCAGGTTGGAACCTGGCAATAGAAGTATAGCCAGCAATCAATAAAGCATCAGTGCCAACCTTTTGTCCACAATGTTCCTGATATATAGGATAATGCTTAAAGTGGAATACTCCCCTATTCCTTATTCTCTTTGTCTTTGAAGTTGTTTGTTCTTGTTGTTGAACCTGTCCTTCAAGTTGTTGTTGAAGAGTATTGTCAATGGCAACAGCCACTGATGTTGTAGTAGTAGTTGATGTTGTTGTAGTATTGTTGTTCTCCATTGTTGTGGGGAGTTAGTTCAATTTAGAAAGAGATAGAGTGGAGGTGGTGTGTTTGTTAGTCATGTGACTTGTAAACAATGAATGTGGAAGCGGAAGGGGCACATCTCACACTCGTTCTCACTCCCTCTCTCTCGACCAAAATGAATGAATGGAATGGGGTTCTGGTTGTTTGCCAAACAAATTTAAACAAGGTTGTTGTTGGAGTTGGAGTGTGAACACCACCATCATCTTCTTTGATCACACCTCCTCCTTATTCATTCATCACCTTTATCCACAACCATCCATTCATTCAATGTTCAATTACACAACTACTACTACTATTACTATAACTATACAAATACAAACATTATATGTGATCACTAGGATCCTTACCAACAGCTCTATTTAAAACAAACAAACAATCAATCAAACATTCAATCATTCAGTCAATCAAATAATCAAACAAACAGGATAGATAGATAGATGGCTATGATTGATAATATCAATCAATTACCATATATTATATTAGTTAGAATATTGTCATTCTGTAATAACAATGTATTCTCATCAAACTTCTTTCAGATATCAATGGTGTGCACATTGTGGAAGAAGAAAGCGGCACAGACTGTAAAGACTATAGAGTTGAATGATATAGAGATACATAATACGCCATGGGTCGATAGGTTCTTTCAATCATTCTCTCAGCTATCGGTACTCCGATTGAAACAATGCTCGTTGGCACTCAGCCAACTATCTGCACTGCTCGACTACTTTCAACATCTTTCCGAGGTCGACATATCATTCTGTCGACTACATTGTGTTGTAGACAATCATAATATAGTTCCATCTTCAACAACAACAACAACAACACCATCATCATCAACATTACAATCAACAAACAATGGATCAATCATCACAACTACAACATCATCATCATCAATATCAACAACAACAATACAAGATACAGGTTTATCATCATTTCTTGAGAAACTGGAGAAACATCCAACATTGGAGAATATAATGTTTAGCTTCAATCACTTGGACACTAAACTGACACAGGACTTGTTGGGATTGGTTAGAATACCGGACCATTACAAGATCAGTTTGACCATCAACTTGATGTGCACCAATGGCATCAATGTGATTTGCGAGATAATGAAGTCGAATCAATCGATCATCAAAGCACTCAACCTCAACCGCTCAAAGATTGGTCGCGAGATGTCCTCCCTGAGCGTCTTCTCCGACGTGCTCAAGTTCAACCACAGCCTCACGTCGCTCGACCTCTCGTCCAACCAGATCACTGACACCTCTGCCAAGATACTCGCCGACTCACTGGCCAGCAACGACACGCTGCTCATCCTCAACCTGGCCACCAACGAGATCAAGAAGGACGGCTCTGTGGCGCTGGCCACCGCGCTGCTCACCAACCGATCAATCACAACACTCAACTTTAGCTACAACAATCTGGGCGAGGAGGGCACGCGAGCATTCTCCGAGCTGATCGAGCGGAACACGTCTCTCACAGACCTCAACCTGTCCGCCAACAAGATCACATTCTTTAAGGCGCCCCAGATCACCAATGCCCTGCGCAACAACAAGACGCTCAAATCACTCAATCTCCTGCGCAACATGATTGATCACGTCGGTGCCGAGTACATTGCCGACGGCCTGCTATTCAACGAGGCGCTCACATCGATCAATCTATCATCCAACAAGTTTGGCAACAACGGGGCGATACTCATCGCCAATGCACTGAGCTACAATCGAAACACAAGGATCACCGAGGTCAACCTGAGCAGCAACTGTATCGAGGATGATGGAGCGGCATCATTCTCCTCGGTAATCCTTTACAACAACACGGTGAGCAGTCTGGACCTCTCTGTGAACTGGATCAACAGCAATGGCGTTGTGGCGCTCGCCGGTGCCTTTGTCAAGAACCCCCTGTCCTCCATCACCTCAATCGATCTGAGTTGCAACACAATCAGTCCACTTGGTGCGCGGTCAATCTCAGCGGCGTTGGCCGCCAACTGTTCGCTGCGCCACATCAACTTCTTCAGTAACAACATCGAGACAGAGGGCGCACTCGAGCTGTCCAAAGCCATCACACAGAATCAAACACTCACGTCACTGGAGCTGTCGACCAACCTCATTGGCAACGAGGGCACCAAGTACATCTGTGAGTCACTGCTGCAGAACACGACCATCGTGTCACTGTCGCTCTCACAGTCTCTGATCGCCTACGAAGGCATCAAGTACCTGGTGGAGCTCATCAACACCAATCAAACAATAACTTTTCTCGATCTCTCCTACAACTTTATCGGTCCCAAGGGTGCCGAGGAGTTGAGTCTGGCGCTGGTCAACAACAGCACGATAACCTCACTCGATCTATCTTCAAACTCGATTGGCGACGATGGTGCGGCCGCCATCTCCAACATATTCCCCAAGAACAACACATTACAGCGACTATCATTATACAACAACAAGATCGGACCCAAAGGTGCCAAGCCAATCGTTGAGAACCTGTTAAAGAACCATTCACTCTACTCAATCAATCTGTTAGCCAACCGAATCGATGCATATATACTCAAACCAATTGTCAAAAGACTGGAACATCTATTACCAGCTCCATCCTAGTAGTTAGTTAGTTAGTAATGAACACAAACAACTTTAGCCAATCATTATTAATACTCCTTCGTTCTCTTTTTTAATTGATTTGGATTACTATTCTGGAAGTATGTTCGAGTCTACAAGTTACAACTCCTTTGGATTGATTGAGTTGGACCAGGTCCAAACAATCATTCAAGTGTAAAGTTGAGGGAAAGATGTAGTTCATCAAAAATTATTAATAGAATCCTAGGGTTGGTCTGAAACTTATGTTGTCACGATCTTCGTTTTGATGGGTCGTGTTGATCGGAAGGTCCTTTGGTGTGGTTTGGTTTTTCGTTGTTTGGGCCACTGACAGTGTGGTAGTATGTTCTTTCGGGTTAAGGTACTGCAAATATGATCAAAGGGTGTGGCCTACAAGGCTCATTTGGTTGGCAATATCTAGAGTGAGGAAGAAGATAGCCACTACTTAATGTTAACACACCACACCCCACCATATCCTTTGATACCTGCGACCACAAACTACTCTGGCACCTTGCTGCCACGGTAGCAAGTCGTTTCAAAAGAGAGGAGGCATCTGAGGTGGGTGGGCGCCAAACCGGGATCTTACTTAATGACAGTCAGACGGACGAGTGTGTGTTCCCCCCTCATCTCATCTTCCCGAAGTGATAGTGCTAGTTGGCTTGTTTGCTTACTTTTGGTGTTCTGATTTGAACTGTCTATTCAAAGTAAGCACAATACTTCAGTGTAGAGTGCACATACAATATATAAATAACATCAAATCCTCAATTCTAGATTATACAAGTGTCATCATCTCTTCCACACACGAACCAGACTCTTTCACCGATTCATTCACTCATAATTCATTCATTCATTCTCTCAACTATCTACAACCCAGAACCTACAAACAATCATTTAAACAAATACCTTCCTTCATCTAATATATATATAATCACACATAGTTATGGCAATCTGGACAATCAATCATAATTACCCAGCTCAAACACTGGGGCAAGAGTCCATCACAATAGAATTACAAGATGAAGTTGTACTGGTAAACAACAAAGAGGTACAATACCAACAACAACTACAGAAGAGAGTAGAGTCCACCCCAACACGGTCAAACGACCAGATGGAGTTGGTGGCCAAGTTCCAATACGGTAGACATAGATATACCATTGCCAGAGGTCCAATGTTTCCATTCTTTGGTACCAACACCCAACTATTATGTGATGGTATCAATGTATTGAATTGGAACAGTCAGGATGCTGTGGTGGAGGAAGAGGAATCCTCAGACATGTCCAAGAGAAGGTCAAAGATCACATTTGGCACCTGTATATTCTTCATAATGTTACTGATATCCCTTGTGACTATTAGAACATATACATTACTGGCCTTAGGTGCCTATGTCCTATTAGTATCAGCCTACTTCCAGAGAAAGCATTATAATATCACATTGGATCATTTTCCATTCCGTCAACATTTACAACAACCTTTATTAATACATTCATTTCGAGGAGACCAACAACAACAACATACCTCAACAACATCCTCCTCTACTATTTCACAACAACAACATCAACAACATCAAGAGGAAATCACTGTTGTAACAATCAATCAATCATATGTATTATCAGATAGTCATTATGAGATTGGTAGTCGATTGGAGTCCACAACAAATCAAGGACATGGAAATAGAACAACTGCCAATGATGACAGTTGTAGAGGTATAAGATACTCACATCATGGAGTTGGAGGTATTCAATCATTTCAATAATAATAAAGTGTAATATTAATAATACTAGTATGGTCTACTTTGTCGTGTTCCACTGTGATGAAATTGACCGCAAAGATCATGAAGGACCCTTGTAACCCCTTGAAAAATATCGTTTGGGATCAAAGGAAGTGGACCCTTTTTTGGTCCTCTGAGTGGGGCTTCCCAAAGATCATTAGATCTCAATCTTGTAATAATAATAATAACTAACATACAGATAATAATAATAATATATATTGTAAATAAGTAATAATAATAATGTGTAGATTCATATTTTATTTGGGACTGCCTATAAAGATTTCACAGATTGTTACAGAGCCATCACATGGTCTTGTACAACAATCATTGCATGCAGATAGCCCTGGTGTACATTTGAATGCCGATGGATTCGGTATTGCATGGTTCGTGCCAGAGATATCACCCAATCCAGGTGTGTTTAAGGATATCACACCGGCATGGTCCAATGTCAACCTGCGTCAATTGGCACGCGTCACCAAGTCTGGCTGCATCATGTCGCACGTGCGTGCTGCCAGTGCTGGCGCCATCACCAACAACAACTGTCATCCCTTCACCTACAAGAACTTCAGTTGGATGCACAATGGCACCGTATCCTACTTCCCCAAGATCAAGAGGCAGTTGATCAACATGCTCTCTCAAACAGTATGTGTACTTGATTGATTGAGGTTTCGACTGATAACTGACTTACCCTACCCTCACCCTTACCCTTACCCACAAGGCCTTTGAATCAATCAAGGGTACGACTGATACAGAGGTATTGTTTGCATTGTTTATAACAAACTATGAGATGGAGATTGGATACAAGACGGCAAGGATTGAACAACAACACTTGACGACACCAGTGTACTCGACACATTGTATCACTGAGCCGGAGGAGGAACCCTTCCCTCTGACAGCAGACAACGCTCAGCTCTTCCCAAGAATAATGAGAAAGACAATTCACCAAATCCACGAACTGATTCTGCAGTACGAGATTGAACATGGTATCATCGGCGCACGACCCACGCCCGGCAACTTGCAGCCGACACTCACACACTCCMAAGCTCAACCTCTGTGTGTCGGATGGCTGCGCAGTCGTCTCCACGCGCTACATCACCAGCGGGCAATCCAGTGACGATGCCCACACACTCTACTGGTCACGTGCCAAGGCGATGGTCTGTGACATGGGCCACACCCGCCTCACCTCATCAGTGGGTGGCGATGCATACTCTCTAGTTATCAGCTCGGAACCACTGGCCAATGATCTCCAGTGTGAGGCTGTCCCGGTCAATCACATGGTTGTTGCTAACTCTACTGGTGTCTTTGCCGTCGTATCACTGAACTAAAGTGATGTGATGTAGAGTGAGGTGGTGGTTGCGTGAGCAGGAAGGATGGAGGATGAAGAAGAAGGTGATGAAAGAAGCAAATCAAACAACAAATGGGCATGCATCAGAACTTAAACATTCAAGCAATCAATCAATCGACCAGTCAACCAGTCAATCAAACAAATCAATCAATCTTTCAATAGACACCAAACAAACAAATTAGCTAACTACAGCGTACTTCCGTCGAGCTCCCATCTTCGATCCGACCAATCATCCACCCAATATCACTCTGATGTATCAACAACAACAACCAATAATACATAAATAATACTATAACATGTACAAGCCAAGCGATAGCGTGGTGAAGGATTGTGAAGTGCGTGATGGACACGATGAGTGGGTGAAGTCCAGACCACACCTAAGTCCTTCTCCTCTTCATTCATTCATTCATTCATTTGCATGATGTCAACATTAATCGATGTGCTTGTCGCTGACTGATTGATGTCTCGCCACACACTCGTCCGCCACACAATCACACACCACACATACCACCCTGGTCGTGATAATCAATAAATCAATCAGTCGAAGAGACACACATACACTACACTCAAAGACACACATAATCACACAATCACACATTCATACATCACACATTATTATTATTACTATTAACACAACAAGTTCATTGGTGATGTGTTAAACAACAACAACCACTTCACACCATCAATCATTCAAACTATTTGACACAACTTCGTCCAACCACTTCAATGGATTGATGGTGGCAACTCTTCAGGCAAGCTGCCTGCCCGCCAGCCTGCCTGGCGAGCATTAATGGTTGGGTGGTCATGACACTTGATCAATCACTAACTCACTCACTCCACCTCTCATAATCATATGACTAAGAGAATTCTCTAATTATTATTATTGTCTCGTGACAACAACATCCTACTTCCTCCATCCCTCTCCACCTACATCCGCACCCTTTTCCTGTAGTATTACTTTACTACCACCTTATTCTCATACCCTCACCCGCACTCCCCCATCGCCATCACTTTACATTAACATATTATATTATAATATTTAATATTCATACCATTTCATTGTACTCATTGCTACTCACTGCAATACCAAGCGTAGGAATTCCATCCAACCCATACCATACACAATATACACAACATACACAATCAAACATACATCATTATATCACTATTGCATCTCAATCACAAATCCATCAATCATTATTCATAGCATCATCATAGTTATACCAAATACAGAGTTCTCAATTTACCAAGCTTCGTAGCCAGCCCCACTATTTGAAACCAACAACATCTTCTTTGAGTTGCTTCGATCAAAAGAAGGTCTTCCCCCATTCAGCACCACATCATCCTTGAATTCAAATTTATTCATTAATTATTAATATAATCGACGACGCCAACAAACACATTTCTATTCTTATACACGCGAGTTGTAATAATAGTTTACAACATCAACATCAACATCAACTTATTAGTACTAATATATAATATAATATAATATAATTAATATTTATATAGATATATATATATTATTATACAACAACAAAATATAAAATATAACCTTCCTATTTTTGAATGGCACCTATTCATCAAAGTCATATAATGTCATTGCCCATGACTCCAGATACAACAGTTGTTGCATCATCAGACGCCATTGAATCAATTCAAAAGATGCCTATACTCTCTGTTATCCATGATGACGACGATATTGAACTGCCTGCGTCATCAAGGCCATCAACAACTACACCAAAGATATTAAATAATATGACATTGAAAGAAAGAGACTGTTTACAACAATTCAAACTTAGACCTGTTGCAAAGGATATACCCGATCACTATTTGATGGTGTTCTTGATGGCAAAGAAATTGGACATGGACAAGGCCGCAATGCTGCTGGCCAACAATATATCACTGCGCAAGAAGTTGGACATACCATTCCCCATGACCAAAGAGTTTGTCAATCAAGATATCCTTCAATGTCAATTCTCACTCTCTGTCGAAGGCATCAGCAACGACGATGGCACATCCATAGGCTACATGAAACCATCAAACATTGTACCAAGCAACTACTCACTGAAAGATTATATAGCATACATGATGTGGATTACCGATCAAACATGTCACTATGAGTATGTATACACCTTAATTGATTGAATGATTGAATGATTGATCAGTGACTAACTTATAGTTATAGCATCCAGGCACATAGGAGTGGACTGGTGTTGATAGTGGATCTGAAACACTTCTCGCTGTGGCATCACTTTGATAAGAGACTGACGACTCAGTTGGAGGGCAAGTCACTGCAGAATATATTCCCTGGTCGCATTCAATCTGTTTACTTGCTCAATCCACCATTCTATTTGAAGGCACTGATAACACTGGCGCGTAACTTTGTAAAGTCCAAGATTATAAGTCGTATACAAATCATTTCCAACAGCGCTGATATTGGTGAATATCTGGATGCCGAACGTATCCTCTGCGAATATGGTGGACACTTAGAGTATGATTATCCATCATGGTTTGAATCATTGCCCAAGGACTACTGAGTCTGATCAGTCCATCATCAGTATCATTAATCTTGTACATATTATTAAAATATATAATTTATATATTATTATTACTTTAATATTACTAAGCATGTTGTATTATTATCTGTATCATTATCTTTCATTCAAGTTCATTTATTCAATAAAGTGTGAACTTACTTGAATTGAGCGCGTTTTATTCAAACCATTCACACTCGCTTACTCACTCTCGTTTGATCCAGAGAGATAATAATAATAACTTAGTATTACATAAACTATGAACAACAGCTATGACAACAACTATGTAGATGTTGTTGATTTAGATGATGATGAAGATGATGTTCCTATCACACCCCCGCCACCTCCAGTAGACACCATCATTGTTGACACTCCTCCTGATCCAGCAACTCCACCATCAAGTTCTCAACGCTCTGCCTCATCAACTCCAACAACAAGTACAAGTGCAACGACAACGACGACAACAACAAACTATAGTCTTCAACCTAGACAGATGTCATTGTCACAACCAACATTGAGGATGAAGAGCGAAACAGAGCAACAACAAACAAAGCTTCCTACATTGACATTACCAAAATCACTTAACAAGCCAATGTCATTATCACAACCATCATCATCATCAACAATGCCATCTCTGAAGAACTTCAAAATAACTCTAAGAAACCCGTTACAACCAAACACGCTGTTGCTCCAGCCATCTGGTGGCTGGCTCAACACATCATCCACATCATCAACATCCACTCCCAAGCTTACATTATCGACTACACCTCTTAAGTCCCTACAGGCAACGAGTACGACACACACTCTTACACCAACAAAGACCTTCAACACATCTTGGTCTGGTGGCGGTGCATCAAGGTTAAAGACTGAGCTCAAGACTGAACCATCCACTGCCACTGCTGATATCAAAGTGGATTGGAAGGCATTGGGCAACAACACATATGAGATCAATGGGTACAATGTACAGTTCCCCTTCCCTCCCTATGAGACGCAGGCATCAATGATACATCAGATATTGGAGGCACTGAAACGTGGAGAAAATGCATTGCTTGAGTCGGCCACTGGCACGGGCAAGACTCTGTCACTACTTTGCGCATCGTTGGAGTGGCAGGCAACGCGTCAGAAGGAGATATATGGACGACAACTTTTGCATCAACAACAGAAACAACAGGGCGACGCAGTAAAGGCGAGGAAGAAGGCGAGGAAGGAAAACAATGGTAATGGTGTCAAGGTCACTTCAACAACAACATTTGGAAACGGCGATGATGATCGCGACCTTCAATCAGACATTTACATGCCCAAGACCCCAGTCAATGCCAATGGCAAGCGACCATCTAACCGATCACCTCCAGGCTTTGACCCGGAGGACGACGACGATGAGGACCCCAACGCCTGCTTCGAGGAGGAGCCTCCAACGATATTCTTTTGCTCCAGGACTCACTCACAGGTGAAGCAGCTCACTGGCGAACTCCAAAAGACTGCGTATCGACCCAACATGGTGGTGTTGGGCAGTCGCGATCACTACTGCATCAATCCAGCACTGGCCGATCAGTTCAGCAAGCGTGAAAAGTGTAACAATCTGCTCAAGAAGAAACAGTGCGGCTTTCACAAGGAGCGAGAGAATGCCTATCACCTGGTCACCAGTGGCATGTTCAAGAAGGGTGGCGAGCACCAAGTCTGGGACATGGAGGACCTGATGAAGGCCGGTCGCGAGCATCACGAATGTCCATACTTTGCCAGTCGACAGATGATCGCCAAGGCAAACCTTGTCTTTTGTCCCTACAACTACATCATCGACCCTTCCATCAGATCTCACTTCAAGGACAAGTTTGAGAAGAGTGTAGTCATATTCGATGAGGCACAGTAAGTAGTATTACTTGGCGAATGAATGTTACGCGTGTGCACATATTGACTCATTACCTCTTCTAGCAACATTGAAGACGCCTTGATGGATGCATCCAGCTTTGATATAAAGAAGGAGGACTTGGAGGAAGGTATGTCCACATCACGCGCTGCCTAGGCAGCACCAAGTCATCTTTTCACTCACACTCTCCCTCCCTCTCTGTCCCCCGCCCTACTAGTTGTGTACCAGAGCTTGAAGCCTGTACTAATGCAATCTCTACTCCCAGACGAAATTGTCAAGAGCGTTCGTGTGCTGTTTGACATGGGAGAGAGTATACTAAAGTGGCTCAATGACAAGGCGAGTACACTCACTGACATTGACTTTGAGAAGCAAGCCAATGTGTGGCCTGGATCACAGATTATTGGAGTGTTGGAATCGATGGGAATCACCAGACGCAATTACAAAGAGATCAATGCAGCACTGGACAAACTGAGTGAACAATCTGATTCGGACAAGAAGGATAACTCGGGTGGAGGAGGTGGTGGCGGCGGAGGTGGCTCTAGGATGGCCAGCGGTCATTTGATGAACCAGGTTCGTAAGGAAATGGGAATGCCGCCATCTAGACAAAGTAACGGCAACAAGCGATCACTTGTGGAGGACATCATCTCGCCCAAGACATTCTCAATCTTTGAAACGATGGCCAACACATTCTGGTTCCTCTTTGAGAACTTCCAGTATCTGAGCGACTTCAAACTGGTGGTCCAGAAGCAATCAGAGTTTGGTACGTTCTCAATGAGCGCTCGAACGCCCATCCAACATATGTCACTGACACTCTTCATGATCGATCATTCCAAACAGCTCCTCGCGATGGAATGAAGTGGACACATAGCTTTGGCATTTGGGCATTGAATCCAAGAGTGGCATTCAAGTCAATAGCAGAACATACTCATTGTATCATATTGACATCTGGTACATTGTCACCTTTGAGCTCATTCTCGAGTGAGTTGTCCGTATCATTCCCCGTCACAGCAGAGTTGGGTAACTTGAACGACATCCAAAAGAGAGTATGGATAGGCACGCTTGGCTATGGTAAGAACAATATAAGGATGGACGCTACCTTCAAAGGATCAGAGTACCTCGAGTTCCAGGATGCCCTTGGCGACGCCATACTCAAACACATCCAGCTCATACCCGATGGAGTGCTGGTCTTCTTCCCCTCATACTTCTTCCAAGAGAAGCTCCATGATCGTTGGAAGACCACTGGTCTGATACAAAGGTTACATCAAACCAAACCATTATATGTTGGTAAGTTGAGTGAAATGGAGTGGAGAGGAGTGGACTGTGGACGGGCTGTATTCTAACCTATATCCCTCATCATAGAACCAAGATCAGTAAAGACCTTCCCAACAGTGCTCAATGGTTATAATAACTCGGTGAAGGCCGGTAAGGGAGCATTGTTATTCTCTGTGTTCAGAGGCAAGGTCAGCGAGGGCATCAACTTCTCTGACGAGTATGCCAGAGGAGTAATAATCATTGGTATTCCATTTCCAAACATGTAAGTATGAATGAATATAAACCAATAATGCGCTCACTCATTAACAAGGTGTACCCTACCCTACAATGTAGCAAGGACCTCAGAGTCGACTTGAAGAAGAAATACAATGAACAGAACCAAAGCAAAGGTTTGATCAGTGGAAGCGCGTATGTATACAAATATCTCATCATATACTTTGGACCTACTGACATGCTCCACCATTCATCGACGTAGTTGGTACAACCTTCAAGGATACCGTGCAATGAACCAGGCAGTTGGAAGATGTATAAGACATAGAGAGGACTATGGCTCAATCCTTCTGATAGACGATAGATTCACCAATACGAACCTGTGGTCCAATCTCTCCAAATGGGCAAGAGTGTGTATCAAGAACAACAAGACTATAGACAAGTCATTGGAGTCTCTGCAGCAATTCTTTGAGGACAGAAAGAAGATCAAACCAACCAAATGAACGAACGGAACGATATCTGGTGCACAATCGACTAGTCTCGCAATTGCCAACAGATGACCAATATAATCAATACTTTGTATGTTCGTGTATTCATTCATTCTTTAATGATCGTGACCATCATGATCTCCATGTCCACCACCACCATTGCCATCTTCATCGTCGTCCTCTTCGTCAAAAAGTCCATCCTTTGGATCGATTGGTTCAACATCCTCTCCATACTGGATCGAGTTATCAATCTGAGCCAACAAGAAACTGATACTGTCTTGATCTGTAATGTCCAAAGGTATATAACCAACTAAACTATAATCCTCCAACTAACAATGAATGAGCAGGTGTCAGTATGATTGGAGTGAGTGAAGTGAATGAATGCCAGGTCATCATCATCACATACCAATTGTCCAATCGCTCTATTTAACTTGTGATATCTGTTGCTTGTCTCTGTGTCTAGCTTCTCAACCAGCTCGTTCACCTCTAGCTCCAAGAAGCTATGTTATGTTCATCGTCAATGTTAGTATCTGGCGTCTCATGTGTAACCTAGAGAGACAACACATACCCTTCAATATCCTTTAGTCTATGAGTCTTCTTGATGACATCTAACTTGGTGAGTACATTGATGTGAGGCACCTCCAGACGTATCATGGCGGAAAGACAGACCAATGAACCACTGATGAATTTACAGCTGTCTAGGATGAACTGAGAGTCCACCAAGAAGACGGCACAAACACGATATCCATTCTGTTGCAATGAGTCTACGAGTGTACGCATCACAGGGATATGACTGTATAACTCTATCTGACCGGGACAATCAATGATTAGGTAGTCGTCCTCAAAGTCGCCAATCTCGTCAATGAACCAATCGATGTTCTCGATCAAGTACTCCATGGCGTAGACCAGCCCTCCGTTGGGACCATATTGTAGCTCCTCCATAACTTCATCGACAGTGATCAGATTCTTGATATCTATTGATACAGGGTATTCAAACACCTCTGCTGCCGGATCTAGATTGGCTACATGTACACTTCTCTTTATCTCTTCACAATGTTTCCTGATGGCATCGCAATAAGTAGACTTGATGTTATGTGATTGAGTGATTGAGCGAGTTAGTGAATGTGATTGGAGCATTGAATGATTGAATACTAGCATTGTATATACCTTTCCACTTCCTGCTGGACCCATAACCAATTGTGCATGCTTTCCCATTCTTTGTTATATATAAGTATGTTAGTTTATCTGTTTTGTTAATTAAAGTATTCGTTTTGTGTAAATGTTTCAAAAACCGACAAAGTGTTCATCTTTGTTGAAAACGGAATCAATGAACATCTCAGTTGTCAATTCATTTAAACATTGTTTGATCGTTTAGAGATACTAGTATCAATGATGAACAGTATATATAGAATAGCAAGAGTTGGCAAGGTTGCCTCCACCACATGCACAACAGAGTTGTTGATTGGAAGGAGCATGTTGAATAGCTGCCTCAACACTAAAGTTAACTTCTCGAAGAGCTACTACTTTACACGCAGTTCACCAACATTGAACATCAACAACAACAACAACAATAACAATAACAACACAAACAATGAACCACTGTTCAATGAACAAAAAAGACAGACTAAGCCAACAACGACCGCACCAAACCCAGCACCAGAGGCCTTGATATACGAGCTTGATTCATCCAACTTTGCCGACATCTGTCTCAAGTCGAAGCCTCCAGTTGTACTACTATGTTATACAGAGTAGGTGTATACCAAGAGTATCTCGAGAATGTAGTCTAGAGTTCAATCACTCACTCACTCACCCACCCATCCACCCATCATTGGAATCATCCCACCCCACCACCCACACAATCAAGATGGAGCACTCATTGTAAACAGTTGATTACTACTTTGGAACAACAGGCAAGAAATAACCCGGGATCATTGGTGATTGCCAAGTTGAATGTGGAGACACAGCAGGAGTTGGCCCAGAACCTTAGGGTACAGGATGTGCCAACGGTGTTCTCACTGCATGGTGGCAAGGTGTTGAGACAGTTCTCTGGCGCACCTACAAAGGAGGTGTTGGATCAATTCATCGATGACTTGCTGGCATTGGACGACACAAATGTATCGAGGAAGTTGGTGACCAAGGCCGACGGCCTGTACAATGCCGGCGACGTCAAGGCTGCCGCAGAGCTCTACCACAACATGTTGACGGAAGATGGATTGGAGCTGACTGGCCTGAAGGGTCTGCTAAAGTGTGGCATCAAGGACAACAACAAGGACATGCTCACACAACTCATCTCCATCGTCAAGGACAAGTATCCCGAAGAGAGCAGCTCAGTGCTGGTCAAGCAGGCCGAGAAGATACTGGAGCTCACAAAGATCGTTGAGGAGTGTGTGGCGTCGGACGCCGGTGGACTGGCGGGCCAGACCGTGGAGACGTTGCAGGAGGCGGTGCGTGGCGAGCCCAGAAACCTGGGACTGAAGTACCTGCTGGCCATCAAACATCTCCAGGCGGGCCAGGCTGAGCAAGCAATGCAGCAGTTATTGGACAGCATCAAGATTGACAAGCACCACAACAATGATGAGGCCAAACTCCTGCTCTTCAAGTTATTCGAATCAATGCCAACCGACCCCCTCGTGCTAAAGTACCGCCAGCGATTCTCCAACATTTGGTTCCTGTGATTTGACCAATTCGTTGATCAACATCAAGATTGATTGGTCATGTCTCTTCATTCATGGATCATCATCTACATGCATGCGCGCCAATATTCGCGCTCACTCGGTCTCGTTCACTCACTCGCTCACTCATTCATTCGCACATCTGGTAATCCTGACTCACTGCTGTCATTGCCGCTGCAGCATTACATTATATTACATTACAACATATCACATCACATCACACTCAACACAATCAATCAATCATAGATTCATCAGGTGACCTCACTCACATCACTTCACCGACTCACACACACACAAACACAACGTTGTTGGCGACCAACTCAACATCAAACTCAACACTTCCCCATTTGGAAAAAGAACTAATAACCAATCGTCCTATTATCTCTCGTCGCCATTATCAACCATTATCATCATGATCACTACCACAACAATAACTCCTACAGTGGTGTGTGCGATGGAGTGAAGAAACTGACCATTAATGGAATGTTGTATTAAGCTGGGCGAACTTGATCATGGAGGGCTGGCCAGCAGCCACAAACACAATCAAACAAACACCATCATACACATATATTATGCGATCTAGACACCAACAGCCAATAACACATCAGCTGATCAGGCACCAGCCTCTATCTCAAAGTGTGTGGCTCACTTTATTTATGTGCTATAGAATAGACATATAAGTACATCTATCAACCACAGATCAATCACAATCGCGGGGCTACTCACCCCCGATCATAAATCTTACCCCTTCGCTCCCCAACAACGCGTTGACAATTCCAGATGGGTGGCATGGAGTGCATTGAATTGATCAATGTGTCTAGTGTTAAGTGGTAGTGGTAGTGGTAGTGTTAGATTGTGTGTTTGGGCCAACACCCCCCTTTTGTGACTCAATCAATCAATCAATCAATCTAGTCAGAAGACCCGCCAAACATTAAAGGAGCACCGTTGGTACAAGTATTATACTAGTATAATATATATATTTGATTTGTCAAACTTACATTTAAAAGTGACAAGCACTCTTTATAGCAAGCCAGCATTTATAGAGAGTCCATCCACTGAATCAATCAATCAGTCCTCCATCCAAATTATGTCCACAACACCAACAACAACAACTACACTTTTAATCTTCCTACTCTTTATAATATTCACTTTAAAGGCCAATGGTATGACCACATCCACTCAGTAATTCCACATGAATCCTGGAACTAATCCACTCCCACCCTCAACCCATCAATCCATCAATCCAACAATCAAGCTTTTAGCGATAGTTTATCATGTGTATTTGATTCAGAATGTTATACATTTGACATGTGCCAGTCTGGCAAATGTATAAATAACTGTTGCAGGTTTAATGAGACTTTGTGTCCAGACATTGAGTGTGGCGTCAAGGGAAAGTGCTTCCCATTCACAGGTAAATGCCAATATACACTAAAGTCTCCATATTGTTGCAATGACAATAATATCTGTACGAGAGATTGCTTTGATGAGGCGACTGGATGCACTCATGAACCAATCAATGGATGTTGTACCAGCGATTCCCAGTGCAAGTCGAATGATCCCTGCATCCTGACCGCATGTACCAACAATCAGTGCACAATGTGGCGCAACCCCTGCTGTAAATGCTCAATATCCCTTCTCGGACCATCTAGTTGCACCCTGGATCCAACATGTTGTAACAAACCAGACGATTGCAAGAATGTTCCAGCATGCCAAGCCGCATCATGCACGCGAAACAAATGTCAACTCAGTCCAGTCAACTGTGATGATGGCAATGTGTGCACCACAGACAGTTGCGCCAATTCCACCAATAGTTGTGTGCACGCACCGATTCCAAACTGCTGCAGGTCAGTGTCCGAGTGTCCGCCACAGGCCTGTGCCACAGCCAGCTGTGATCTGAACAATAGATGTGTGTACACACCTGTCAACTGTGATGATGGCAATCTATGTACCATTGACAGCTGTGTGATTGCCACCAACAGTTGCTCACACTATCCAATTTCCAATTGTTGCCGAGACAATAATGCTACCTTGGACTGTCCCCCGCAGTCATGTAAGACTGCCAGTTGCCAACAGAATCAATGCCAGTTCACACCAATCAACTGTGATGATGGTAATATATGTACTACAGACTCCTGCAGTTTGGATAGGAATGCATGCCAACACAACAAGGTAGACAACTGTTGTCGAGATGTATCAGAGTGTCCATCATCCACTTGCCACAATGTGACATGTTCATCGACCAATCAATGCCAATATACACCATTCAACTGTGATGATGGTGATGTGTGCACCTCAGACTCGTGCTCAGATTCTGCCAACTCATGCCAACATACCAAGGTTGACAACTGCTGCCACAGTGCAACGGACTGTCCATCTCGCAACTGTTCCACCGCCACATGCCAAGCCAATCAATGTACCTACACACAAGTCAACTGTGATGATGGAGATGTATGCACTTCCGACTCGTGCTCCATCTCTACCAACTCATGCCAACACACCAAGGTGGACAATTGTTGCCACAATGCAGTGGACTGTCCATCGCGCAACTGCTCCACGTCCACATGCCAAACTAACCAATGCAACTACTCACCAGTGAATTGTGATGATGGAAATGTTTGCACAAATGATCGTTGTGATGTAGGATCCAATCAATGTATCCGCGCGCCTATTGATGGCTGTTGCCAAACTGCCACTGACTGCCAACCATCGACCAAGTGTTCAACATCAAGTTGTTCCACCACGGACAACAAGTGTGTCTACACGCCAGTGACTTGCCAGGCACCAAACAAATGTTCGACAGCATCCTGTTCACTCGACTCGGGATGCCAGGTATCTTCTATACCAGGATGTTGCCTTCAAGACTCGGACTGCCAACCATCCAACCCATGTTCAATCGCCAAGTGTAGTGCAGACACCAACAAATGCCAAGAGACACCAAAGTCATGTGATGATGGCGATGTCTGTACAACAGACTCGTGTAGTATGTCTGATGGACAATGCATCCATACCAAAATTCCAGGATGCTGTCACACTGCGAGCGAATGCCCACCACCTGCCCTAGACTGTACACGAGCATTCTGTGTACTCAACAAATGTTACATACCTGACTGTGTAGTCATGACATCAACTGGATGGTAGAAGCACAGGACAGCTTACTACCAATCCTCCCCTATAAATATATATTATCATACTATACTTTGATTGTCGATTTATTGAGTACAATTACTTTGGCTGACTCCATTAGGAAATTAGAACATGCTTGCAGCGGATAGCTTGCCATGGACCTTGGTGATTGATGGGATGAAGCTACCATCAAACTAACCAAGACAAACTTACAGATAGATCCTTGGAGGGAGTTGGTGATGAAGTTTAAAGTATTTAAGTAAGAATGAATGAATGAATGAATGTTATGTTGGATGTTGCCATCTTGATGGCAAGAGTGTGAAGTTGGTTTATATATTATAATATTAAATGATCATATTGATGATGAATGGATGGCCAGAAGTACAAGCAGGATGACTGGCAGGATGAAGGATGCCCAGCTACGTGCCGGGTGGAGTTGAGATGAGTGTCCAACAAAGTAGGCCATCTGCTGATCGACCACTTCAGTCGGTCGCTCGAATGGACTCTTCCACTCTTTGTTGACCAGATAGACACATTCAGGCTCCTGGTACACTGGCAGTGGCCTCGTGTAACAGTTGCGATCAGACGTCAACAGATAATCAAAGCCGTCCGATGAGGGACGTGATCTTATCGTTTCGTTGCGTGGTATTGATGGGCCAGTGCTGATCAGACCAAATGGAATGTCGGTGAAGTAATCGGCCGACATACTATCGGTGATGGTCTCGCCACGAATCGTCAAGTGATGGCAGAACTTGATCAACTGATCAAAGTACGTCTGACATAGTACCATTGGCTCGCCCGAGCTTCCGCCGGGCACGGGCTCCGCGTACTCCATGAAGAATATGGTCTGAGGTCTCTTCTCAGCTGCCAGTGACTTGTTGTACCATTTGTCGGGCTGCACTCTATATCCCTTGCGTCCAACGATTGTCGATTGATCGACTGAACATCGCACACATTGCAATGCCATCAAGTGTTCTTGACAGATCTGTGTGTTGGCACGTGTATCGCGTGTCTTTATGACGGGCATGTCGTCTCTGGTGACCAAGTCTGGAGTGTCACCATTGTCCAACACGACCCTATATCCAGCGTGAGGCAGATACATCTCCTTTTCACAATCCCAAAGATTGGCATAAGTCTGATTCAATATATTATCCAGTCGTGTTTGGAACTTTGCAGCATCACTTCTCAAACAACAACTATGTTTATCATCATTCCTCTCTACATCACTAAATATAAATCCACATTGATCTGGTACAAATGTCTATAAATCATAATCATGTATTAAGTTAATATTGATCACTGATTCAATCAATCAATCAAATTAAACATACCTCTGTTTGTTGTACTTCACCTAACTTCTTTCCGAAACAACGACTTTGGAAATGATTATTATCTGAATGTACTACACATATTATTAACTGTGTAATAACTACAAACAAGTAAATATATAATGTCTTCATTATTATTACTACTTTGAATTAATATTTATGATTGATCATTGATCATTGTCTGTCAAGATCTAAAGTTAAGATAAATAAATAATATGTATATATATGTAAGTATAGAATGAAGTAGGGGAAATAAGATAAAGGAGAGTGGTTGTGTCCGATGTTGGTGATAGGAATCAAATCAAAACACCTTTAGCCTGACGGTCACCTCTTGATTGATGGTGTTCGCCGGCGTGTCGATCACCACGGAAAGCGTTGAAACCACTCAATCAATATTTTTTTCAAATTAATTAGTGTGTGTTGTTGTTTATGCTCCAAGTTTTGACAAAGTTTGAAAAAACAGAACTTAGAACTTGGACTTGTTTGGTTCTTTCCCAAGCCATTGACGTCTGTTGTGTGGATGGATGATGCATGGAATGAAACATTCAATTTCCCACTTTCGTTATTTACCAACTAAACAAACATACAAATATATACATACATAAACATAAACATAATATATAAATATAAAGGAGGTAGATGTTTATAATAAAACAGTGATAATGATTGGCTGTAGTCTATTACGTTCGACTAGATCACTTTGTTTAAAAACACAACAACATAAACACGCATTGATTACGTCAACTTCAAATTCATACCTGATCGGAGTACAAAGATATAACTATTCAAGTAGCAGTAGTAGTAACAATAGACAACAGATGAGTAGTGTCAGCGGTACCAGCACGAGCAATGATACTAGTATATCATTACCATTCTCAACATCAGCATGTTGCTCTGCACCTCACTTAAAGGATCAACAAGAGCAACTTCATAAACTACAACATAAACTAGAACAACAACAACAAAAGAAGAAACAACAAGAACAAGAGTTCTGTAATCTTGACAATAACAACAACTTAACACATCAATGTACAAATAATACAACATCTACATCTACTTCTACGACAACAACATCAACAACATCGACAATATCAAATACACAAGCGACTACCAACCCTTTGTCGACTACAACTCCAACATCAACATCTCCTCCAAGATCACCAAAGTCTTCAAAGCCAAGTTTCTATCAAAGACCTCTACCTCCACATTTGGTAGCCTTCTCCTCTGACGATGGAAGGAAGTTATTCAGAGAGTCCTTGCAAGATGGTCACATGGAAGGCTATTTCGCCTTGTCCGAACAGTTTGTTTCACAGAGTGAGCCAGCGTGTAATGTGTCAACCTCTTCATTCTACTCATCATCGTCTACATGCGCATGACTCACTCACTCACTCATTGTCCTCCCCTCATACTTCCTCCTCACATCCTCCTCAATACTTCCTCCCTCAATAATAGTCTGTGGATTGGCAACACTTGCAATGGTACTCAATGCACTAAAGATTGACCCAAAGCGTCTTTGGAAGGGACCATGGAGATGGTTCGCTGAGGACATGCTAGACTGCTGCGCACCAATAGAGTCTGTAAAGAAGAGAGGTATCACATTCACAGAGTTTGCCTGTCTGTCCAAGTGCAATGGCGCTACAGTCGCCTCACATCGCGGTGACGAGGTCAACCTTGAGCAGTTCAGACGCGACCTGGTCGAAGCGTGCTCCAAGCCCAGCCAGCATATGGTGTTGTCCTACGATCGCAAGACCCTCGGTCAAACCGGATCGGGCCACTTCAGTCCCATTGGAGGCTACCACCAGGCCTCGGACAAGGCGTTGATCATGGACGTTGCCCGCTTCAAATACTCGCCTCATTGGGTGCCAGTCCAGGTGCTCTTTGACTCGATGCAGGTGCTTGACCCTGAGACCCAGAAGCCACGAGGCTACTTCATCATCACCTCTGATCCCACCTATCAGCCCTCCTTTTGCCACGTCAAGAACACCCTCTCCTGGGCCTCCATCGCCGACGCCTTTATCAAGAGTCTTCCAGAGACACTACACAGCAGCCATCACAACAATGTCCAAGATGTAAGTAATTCCCTCAATCAATCAATCAATCAATCAATCGATCGATCAATCACTCACATCAATCAATTACAGGTCATCATCGATATATTTAGACATCTTCCATCAGAGACATTGTATGTCTTGTGTGCTTATTCACATGAGCTACATAATAGACTGAATAGGGATGACTCAAAGATAACTTGGATCAACTTTTGGGAGGAGATTGCAAAGACAAAGACACATGCTACATTGGATGAACTGATTAGGAGTGGCCGAATCGATTGGAGTGTCTCACATCAACACGACTCTAGTCAACAACTGCGTGAGGTGTGCCACGAGAACCCTATTGGACTGGCATCGATCCTGTTCCTCTCATTCCCCGCACATGTGTTTGGTGGACTGTCCAACGAACTACGTGAGGAGATTGCCAACATGCGCAATCTAGACTGGATGAAGAAGGACATCATCGATGAAGTGATGAGAATACGTCAAGAGATGTTCCAAGTTAGACATAGTCCATGTCAATGTCCAGAGGACTCTATGCAATGCAATGTGAACAACTAGATTAATTTAAATAGTTTGTTCAATCACTCACTCGCATTGTCGTTCGTTCGTCCATCAGTCCGCCCATTATACCACCATAGATATCTCATTTTGATGTGATTGGTGGTGATTTGTGGAGGTCGACCAGGCAGGTGCCCTCTTCATCATTCAACCCATGTGTGTTTGATTGATCACACCCACCTTCTCCATCAACAACGCAATAAACATTCTTTGCAGCTGACACAAAACATCAAACAACAAAACAAAAACAATGATCTCCATTTTCCAAACCAACAACCTCTACAACAACAACACAATCCAATCAATCATTTCATTCCCGCGCCTTTATAAACTACACCGTCAAACACATATATAATATATATCATTACAAACAAGTATTAGTATCGATTCAAGAATAGATCTTAATATTAGTTGGTTGGAAAAGTGCGAAGAAGACAAAAGACAAAGACAAAAGGCCAAAAGGTCGAAGAAAGACACAACCCCAAGTCCCATCACATCATTATCCACAAGTCAATCTCAAACACACACAACACAAACGAATGAGCTTCAACAATGCGGACCTATCCGCATTAATGTCCAATCAGAGACCTTCATCACCAAACGTCACAATCGGTCAGCGCAATGGCACAACACCTCCACTGCCAAGGCGTCTGACTGATCTACTCATTGCAACTTCATTGGCCAATAGTACAAGTGGTGGCAGTGAGGACAACAACAATACAACCACGAACATGAACATGAACATGAACAACACAACAACTACTACAACAACAACAAGTAATAGCAGTATACCAAACATACTTGTTGATACATATCGTAGTAATAGTAGTAGTAATGATGAGACATCGGATGAGTTCAACAGTGATACACTCAGTGGAGGTGGAAACAGTAATCAAGGATCATTAGTATCGATACCAACTATTGCCATTAGTAACAGTGGTAGTGATCTCAACCTAAACAGTAACAATAACATCAATATCAACTTAAACATCATCAACAATAACAACAATAACAACAATAACTTGATGGATGATACTCCAATCATATTCCAATTCGATAATCAATCAACAAACAACAACAACCTTATTATTAGAGATGATTATATACAGTTCCCAATGAACACTGGTCGAACAAGTAATGATAGAATCAACAACGATCTAAAGTTCAATGGTCGTCTAGTGGATATTGATGACGATGACTACAACATAAATGATAGCATCAACAACAACAACAATGACATCAATAATAACAACAACAATACAAAATACATTGACAGTGACAGCGATGATGATGACGATGATGAAGATGACGATGATGATGAAGATGATGGAAACAACAGTAGATCAAAGAGAAAGGTGTATACAGAGTCACTATCATCACTCTCATTGGAGTCACCGATCTATCACTTCCTCGAGATGTCTGACTCGTCATCCAATCACTCCAACCGAGGCTCCAGAGCAAACTCCGAAGTCAACTCCACTGTCAATCAGTTGTACCAAGGTAAGCCATGATCGATCGATCAATCAACTGAATGGCGGACATGACTGACACACATATACCAAACACAGACCTTCACAAAGAGTTCAATGTTGTAATATATAGAGATAGGATAGTATTATCCCCAACGAGGATACCTGACAAGACTGATCAGAATATGGAATGCTTGGTCATTGATAGACAGACATGTACTATTTCCACACAGCCATCATTCGATCAAATGTCCAGCTTGAGCAGCACCGAGCTGCCCAGCTTCATCAACAGCAACAACAACAACAACAACAGTGGCCCCGCCACAAACAGCTCGTCAGGATCCATCCCTTCACCAATCAATGTATCACCATCAATGTCAAAGATCACAGCGCACGGTATCGTGGGCTTTATCAATCTGCTCAGTGGACCATATCTGGTGTTGATCACCGCGCGCACACCAAGAGGCGAGCATCGTGGCAAGATGGTCTATGAGATTGAGTCCACTCACCTGTTGGCCATCGCCAACACATCAGAGTTGGGCGAGCATGAGAAGCGATTGGAGGCCACACACAAGCGATCACTCACCAGTCTCTTGCGCAACAACTTCTACTTCTCCTACGAGGCTGACATCTCCAACTCCTGTCAGCGTCTTTCCAAGCCACTCTATTACAAGCAAGACCGTCCCAACCATCTGTATGAGGTGGTAAGTATCCTTTGGAATGGATTGGACTGGATTGGAATAACGACTAATCAATCAATCATTTGTCACGCCACACTATAGTTTGATGAGCGATTCTATTGGAACAGGTTCATGCAACAACAACTGATCGATAAGAAGTTAACTAATTGGATATTGCCACTCATTAGAGGATGTATGTTATCGATTAATTGATTGAATGAATGATTGATCTGCATCCAAACACTGACACGCACAACACATCTCCCATGTGTTCCAACCCAAAGACTTTGAGTCTTACCAGTTCTTCTTGAATGGTGACCCATGCTTCTATACGTTGGTATCAAGGAGAAGCAAGTTCAGAGCTGGTACGAGATATAATACACGTGGATCAGATCAGTTTGGAAATGTAGCCAACTATGTGGAGACTGAGCAGATACTCAACATCACCAATCCCATGCGTCCAAGGACACTGGCATTCACACAGACCAGAGGCTCCATCCCCCTGGTTTGGGAGCAATCTGGTATAAGAATCAAGCCAGTGATCAAGATACATCCTGATCAATCAGTCAATGTATGTATCACAATCAACAGTCACTCAATCAATCACTAACTGCAATCAATTACACACTATGTAGCAATCATCATTCAATCTTCATTTCAAGGATCAGATCGATCTTTATGGACCTCAAACCATTGTAACACTACTAGACCAGAAGGGATCAGAGGCATATCTTGGCGACTCATACCTCCAGACATTGCAAGCTAGCGAGGAACATGCTCAGAATATTGAGTAAGTCCATCCTCTCATTCCTGGCTCAATCCATTCTAATCAATCAATCAATCATAGATACATTGCATTTGACTTCCATCACTTCTGCCAAGGCAACAGATTCGATAGAGTGGATATACTGGTGGACAACCTTGAGGAGAAGATAGAGAAGATTGGATACCTGGACAAGGACGCCACGGGATATAAGACCCAACAGCATGGTGGCATTCGTACCAATTGTTTGGACTGTCTGGACAGGACCAATTTGGTGCAGTGCATGATTGGAATCAAGGTGCTGAGCAACCAACTCAAACATCTTGGCTTTGACCTCAGCAGCAAGGAGTCACTGCCGCTGTTGAAGCAGGTCAAGTTGGCGTGGGCCGACAATGGCGATGCCGTCAGCTTCCAGTACGCCGGAACAAACGCGCTCAAGGGCGACTTCACCAGGACGGGCAAGCGCAACACCAAGGGCGTCTTTAAGGATGGCGTCAACTCACTGTCGCGCTACTACATCAACACATTCCTCGATCGGCTGCGACAAATATCGATTGACCTCTTCCTTGGCAACATCTCCGTGGAGTCCAATGCCAGCAACATCCTCGAGAACCAAAAGGAGTCCGATTGGGGTGAGTCCAGAATGAATGCCATCAACAACTGTGTCGATCACTTCCTCCACTGTGAGAAGGATGGTCAGCAAGGATTCGTCAATGCCTGGATAGTGATCAGTATCAACAAGTATGTTCAAACCAATCCAATCCAATCAATCAACCGCGCACCTCATAACTGACCAATGCAATCAACAACCATTATAGGAGGAATCAAGAGCAAGAGAGGATATTGCTGTTGACATTGACACACTTTGTGAGATGCAAGTACAACTTTAATGAGAACAAGATTGTGCATTACAAACAGATACCTGTTAGTTCGATTCGAAGGATACAGAGAGGCTCAATATTGACTGATGGTGGAAGGAAGGTGTCATATGGAATGAGAGTCTACTATGATAAGTCGGCATACAGGAAGTCCAAGAAGTCGGCGTCATCATCCTCGTCATCATCAATGAGCATGTCCACCACGACCACCACAGCCGATCCAAGTATCATCGATCAATCCATCAATCCATCTTCATCATCATCGTCATCATCCAACACCACTGCCAGCAGACCAATATCAATGAGCATCCCACTTCACCAACAACAACATGCCAATAGTATTGGCGACAGCCTTTCGCCAAACTCGCCACAGTTTGACAGTGGCAGCCCGACCAACAGCGGACTGGCCAGCGGCATGCTCAATCCAAGCGACGTGAAGGACTTCTTGTACCAGACGTACATCGTGCCCATACCCGAGGGCGAGACGATCGAGTTCTCCAAGGACGTCATTGCCGACATGGCCGAGGTCATCCGCGACACCGTCTTCACAGGAACGGGTTTTGCCAACTCGCAGCTGAGTCAATCGTTCATCGTGGAGGCGGACTTCAAGAGGAAGTCCACAACATTTGGTGCGGCATACAATGGTTTGAAGCTGGGCTTCTATTCAAAGTCCCCTACCGTGAGCAGCAAGGGATCACTCAGCCAGACAATCAGCATTGGCAACAAGCGACTGAACAGCAGTACGGACAGCACTGCGTCGCCACGCTTGGAAAGTGACAGTCCTGTAGCACCGAGCTCACTGTCCACGCCACTGGACATTCAACAGCAAGACTACACCAGAAGGTAAAGAGTTCTGGCTGGGTGGGCCTGGGCTGGCCCAATTTACAAGTTTGGCATTCCAAATAAACATCATCAATTAATTAATCAATCATTCAATCAAGCAATCAATCAACCAGAATCATTCAAACACTTAATTATTACTATCTATGGTTGTCATATGTGTGACAATGTATCAGTCCATCCATCCATCCATCCATCCAAAGCCAGCAAACCAGCCAAACAGTTAATTAAGTTACAGCATGGTCCATCACTTCTTGCTCTAACAGGATATCGTTAACGCCAGACATAGGCCTCACTCACTAAATCACATCACACTCCACTAACTCACACAAAATTGGAGTGGACAATCTGTCAATCGACTATTCCTATCCCAGCGTGCTCCCATAGGTTTTAATTTTATTCGTATGTGGGCTTTGTCTTTTGCGTGATCAACTTGGGTGATGGCGAACAATTTAAACAAATAAAAACTTATAAAAATGAAATAAAAACATCCATCCAACATTTTAAAAATACGTGATTGTATTTGCTGTGTCTGAGGTCACTCTTCCCCTCTCTCGGTGTGTGAGTGATGAGTGAGTGAGAAAGGTGAGAGGTGGTGAAGGACTGTATGTCTGCCTGTCTCTTTCCTAACTAATAGGCGGTACACTCATTCTCACTTCACTCTTTATTTACACTCATCCAATCAATCAATACATACATAATATAGATAAAAATACATTAAATACCATCTAGCCAGATATCTGGCCCATCATCATCTATAACTACTGCTGCTGCTATAGGTAGGTCTAAATTATACACACTTTTATAGTGCTTATATATATTATATTATATTATATATATAGTCAGTAACATAAGCACCCTTTGGGTCCTTGATGTACCCAACACCATCATCATTTAAACAAACACACATCATCTCATCGCTCGCTTACTAAATAAGCCTGGCGTGTGATCACCTTTGCAAACCCCACAACAACAACAACAACAACCCACTCGCCACAACAACAACAATAACACAACTTCTGGAATTTCCTGATCATAATCATATGACTGGCTTATTCATCAATCAGCAATTAATTAACATTAATATTTATTTAATCAATATAGTGATATAATATATAATTATAATTATTAATAGCCACTGATGCTCATGGAGGACAACATCATCTCCGGTGGCGGCGGCGTCGCCACCAGTGGCCCATCATCAACATCATCAACAACAACAACAACTACCACAACGCCACAATCACAATCACCAACAACAACGACAACAAAAAAGATAAGGATCATTGTAAGATATCAACAAGTGGAACAGTTCATCAGTTGGTATGGTACATCAATCCCAGCACAGACAATAGAGAATGCCATACGCACCGTATTCAATCTATCGGCCAACGCCAGACTGTTCCTCAAGGATGAGGACGATGATGTCGTGGCAATCGCGCCAACACTTCCACCTGGTGTAACATTCAATCTCTACGTAGTCAGTGAAGACATGAACAACTTTAACAACAACAATGGTCCCGCGCTGGGGTCTCAAGTTGTCCAGGCATCATCATCATTATCAACCAATAATGATCAATCAATCAAACAATCATTGATTGAGAATGATGTGACATCTGATGTTGCCGAACAAGTTGGAACAATATCAAACATTGTTGTGGCACAATCGGATAATGGAGCGTCCAGCGAGTCACGTCCAAGCTCAAACAAACGTGATCTTGAGACGGCCGATCAGTCTGTCGCCTCGACAGAGGACGACGACGAGGAGGCACGCAAGAAGAGGAGGAGAAGAAAGGCAATCGAGATTGATAGGAGCTTCAAGTGCTCGATGGCCAACTGCCAAAAGGTGTATGGCTCTGAGAATGCTCTCAAGATGCACATTAAATTGAAGCATCCAGAGTACCAGTACCTCATCCTGCAGCAACCCATCCCACTCCATCAGAAGCCTCCCTCAATAGTTGTCAACAACAAGATGTTGTCCAACAGCAACAACACTGCCTCTTCATCGACCTCTACATCCGGCAGCCCTTCTTCGTCCTCACCCAACTCGACCCCCACGTACCAAGTCCACTCATTCTCGGCCGCGGCGTCGACCAATCAGTCATCCACCCAGCAGCAGAATGGATATGCACCACGCATTGCCACCTCTCTGTTGGTCACTCCAAGGGTTGGAAGCACATCCTCGAACAATGAAGCGCATCATCATCAGCATCAATACTCGAGCCAGAGCCAGCCAACGTTCCACTCGTCCACCAACAAGGACATCTTCCTGGTGTCCAAGCAATCGACCACGCCCTCCCAAGCATTCGCTGGCAGCATCATCAAGCAGCAGCTGCTGAACAAGCAACACCAACACCAGCTTCATGAGCAATTCTTTGATATGCTCGGTAGCAGTGGAAGCAGCAGCGGTGGCAGCAGCAATGGAGGCAGCAAGACGCCATCACCAAAGGGTAGATCACCAGCGTCCTCGCCACCACCATCCTATTCATCTCCTTCGCCATCACCATCTGGCGTGATGGATCACCAAGAGAAGATGAACAAGGAGTATCTGTCATCTCTGTCGCGCCTCGGAGGTAGTCAGCAACAACAATTCTCAAACAACAACAGTAGCGGCAATAGTAGGAGGACAACCTTGCCACCTCCACATTACTACATGGACGGAGAGAAGGGAGAGCTGAGTAGTGGCATGCACAACAACAACAGTTTGCACAACATCAACCAACACTATGCCAGACTTCACCAGCTACCATCTTCCAACATTATCAACAACAACAACATGATGATGATGGGCAGCAGCAACAACAGTAGTCAGTATAGCAACAACGTTGGTAGCAATGCCAAGGGCCATCTCTCTTTTCTAGTGTCGGATACCAACGACACTCTTCTCTCCTCTTCTTCCAACAACTGTATCAAATCCAACCAGATGTCGTCGTCGTCGTCGCACTCTAACACTGCACAGCGCTAAGCAGACAACAAGTACTACACATGCACGCACTCTCTCTGGTTCAACCTAATAGTCGCTGATGATGAACAAGTTCATCTCACCTCCCAACCCTCCCTACTTCATCATCATTATTCACTGCCAACAAGGCCATCCTTCCTTCCCTATCTTTCCGTCAATATATAAATATTTATATTATCCGACAACATTCGTTTGTTATCTCTATCTTTATCTCTTTCTTGATTGAGTGACCTACTTTGAATGAAGTTGAATGAATGAACTTGTTTCGAAATGAATCCTTAGAATGAGGGTGGGTCAGGTGATGAAGCTCAAACACTCATTCATTTCAAAGACTATCTTTAGATTGAGTGATATGAATAATTGAAGAGATAGAGATATAGATAACATTATAAATACAACATGACAGATAAGAGAGTTGAAGTAGTAGATGACGATGAGGAAGAATATCAATTCATTCCATTCTCAAAGAGAGTTGATTGGAAAGATGTACAGCCTATCGAACAAGATGATGGTCCCAATCCAATCTGTCCCATAGCCTATAAGGAGGAATGTAGGTGTCACTACACTTGACGTTGATGATAATGATGAAGTGGATTACTCATACATACAAATATTAGTTAAGGAGAAGATGAACTACTTTAGAGCGATCATTAGATCACAGGAGAAGACAAAGCGCGTACTTGATTTGATTGAGGCAATCATTGAGGACAATCCTTCAAACTATACTGTTTGGTATTATCGTCGAGAGGTACTCGCCAAGATAGAGTTCGATATAGATGAGGAGTTTGACTTTGTAGGAACGATGGGAGAGGCCGATCCCAAGAACTATCAGATTTGGAATCACAGACGTTACTTGGTCGAGACGTACCACGACTGCACAAGAGAGCTGGAGTTTGTTGCCGAGCGTCTACACGACGACGCTAAGAACTACCACGCGTGGGCACACCGCCAATGGGTCATCCAGACGTTCAACCTGTGGGAGCAGGAGCTGCCCTTTGTCGAGTCGCTGCTCAAGCTTGACCATCGCAACAACTCAGCGTGGAACCAGAGATTCTTTGTCATTGAGCATCAGCACAAGCTGCCACTGCCAGCCGCCGTCATCGCCAAGGAGACGCAGTACGCACTCAGCTTCATCCGCATGAGTCCAAACAATGAGAGTCCCTGGAGCTACCTGCGAGGCCTGTTCAAAGGTCAATCATTGCTACAGAGTCCAGAGTTGATGGAGACACTGCTCGAGCTCAAGGGCAAATATATCGGATGTCCACACGTACTCTCGTTGCTGATCGATATGTACGAGGAGCAGAACACACGAGACAGTCTTACAGCGGCACTTGCCCTGTGCACATCGCTTCAGAATACCGTCGACCAAATTCATCACAACTACTGGCAGTATAAGCATGGCAAGCTAATGTCCAAGCAGTCCTCACTGGACATTAAGGTGTAAGAATAGTTAGTTAGGTTAGGTAGTTGATGTGTCACTCATCAATGAGTCGTCCATTCGTCCATCCAATCACTCGTCAATTATAATAAATATGTGTGCTTCGCGCACAAGGAACTGAGATGGCAACAACACTTATCTTGTTTGTTTATTCCATTCAATCATTCATTATATGCATAAGTATACGAATACTTGTTCATTCGTCATATTGTTTCAACAACCTCAACAACATCAACAACTACAAGTACTTGATGGTCAACCAAATAGTTAGATATCAATGCGAGTTGATGACCAACATCAAGGTTATAAACATTGTAGTTGAGTTACCTTTGACTCCATCAACATCAACTACGACTGCTGCTGGTCCTACTACACCTGGGTGGCTAAAGAATGACTTCACTTGTCAACCATATAGTCGTGCAAGGTCAAACGTTGGCCTACGCATGATGTTCAAACAGCCATTGTCAACAAAGACTAAGACAACAACAGTTGATATTGATATCAACTTGCCAATCAAACATGTATTGCCAGACATTCGTAATAACTATACATGCTTCTATCCGAATGATAAACGACCTCAATCAATATCAATAAGGATACCCTATTCATTCGCCATTGTTGATGATGACAATGAGAAAGACCCGTCCCATATGGACGACGACGAGTCTCGTCTTGCAAAGTTGGCCGAAGACCAAGCATCAATCATTCGAGATCATTTGGAAACTACTACAAGGACTGAAGCGTTTGCATCGTGCGTCCTTTGCAGACATCCCCTCGTTGCCAATATAAACAATGTCAAGTGTCTACCTTCGTCCAGTTGGACCGAGTTGGCCGATGTCTGGCTATGTGGATGCACTGGTGTCGCACAATTCAATGGATTGCCACATGACATTGGATCAATGCAAGATCAATGTCTTGTAGGTGACACCTTTATGTTGTTCAATATCAATAACATTGTCAATGGATCATTGCAGACCGATGAGATCAGTCATCCCCTGGTGGGTTCAACAACACCTATGCATCATCAACATATTGTACAATGCTCATGTTGTCAACATGAACTTGGAGTCAAGTATGTGGATCATATCAAGTTGGACAAACATCGAATTATCATTGATCCCATTCCAAATGCACTGGTAATGCATACCTTGGAGACGGCATTATCATCTCTACTTCTTTCAGAGTCACAATCAAACACAACATATCGATTCATACTTCAATCTCGAGAGACCCAACAATCAATGGCATGTCTAACACTTCAAACATGGGACTCTATGTTACTACAAGGTACCACCAGCAGTATCCACAGTGATATCAACAATAAGAATAATAATAATAATAACAAAGGTGAATGTAAGTAGTGAACTGGATTGGATAAATCATCATCCTCAAATTCCCATACTGATCAATCAAACAATTAATTAATCCAATCACATTGATAGTTATACCAATCAATAATGTAAAGTTTGGCCTTATTGTTGATAATGATATATCATCATTAGGAGATGTCACCAATTACATTAGACTGAATACAAATGATTGTCTTCAGGTCATCAATATCTTGAAAAGATCCAGCAGTAGTGCTCTATCCAGTATTCACAGACAAGATATATTTAAATCCCAAGTTGGATATCTACGGCGACTCTAAGTAGGAGAAGAGATTACAATATAACAAACTATCCAAGTTGGACATTGACATTGTGATCAATATGATTGATGCTTGCCAGAGCGTCACTTCTTTAATTTGATTCGATTAACCCAATTCAAGGATTGTGAAGGGGCAACACAAAACACAAGTTTGTATTTTTGGAGCCATCATAACTAGTTTATTATCTCTCGTCAACATACACATAACATATATTGATATAGATTTATATTTATAGAGAGATAGATATGGAAGATGAGGATGTTATAGTGTGCCCCGTGTGCTTACTCGGGTTTGATGTACACAATAAAACATTGCCTAGAGAACAATTGCCCCATCGATTAAAGTGCTCACATTGCTTCCATAAAGATTGTATCGAGATTTGGATAAGAACAAAGGGAACATGTCCAACATGTCAACAGCGATGTACGATTGATGATCTTCAATATGATCATCTAGTCACTGAGTTACTAAAGAAGTTGACAAAGTTATCTGTACAATCTACAACACCAACTACAACAACTACTACACCTACACCTACACCAACAACGACGACACAACAACAACATATAGTATTACCGACAACACATCAACAATCAATACCAAACATTCCAAGTACATTATACAGACCTCCACAACAATATATACCTCCAACATATCAACATCCACCTTTACAACATCAAAACCCTACATCAAGGATCAATGGCAGCGTTAACAACATGGTCAGCAACAGCAGCAGCTCGGTTGATCCACAGACACGAGTTTCAAAGCTCAATCAATCAATTGCACTCTACAGCAGCACTGTACCTCAATCAACCGCGGTCAATAGCAACAACAACAATGCAAGAGCGACAACAACAACCACGACGCCAACGACTACGGCATCTAAACAACCTCATATTCATGTGTTGAATAGGACCAACCCAGGCCAGGCGTATCCTGGCCACAAGGACTGGCGCTGCGACTACAGCATGAAGGGAACGGGCGCCAGCTACATGTACCATTGCGTCAAGTGCGGTAACTTTGACCTGTGCTCAGACTGCTGCCAGCGCAGTGGCACAGAGACCAACCCCCCAATCAATCCATTCGGACAGCTGGTCAAGCTGCCTCGTCTGCACTCGCACGAGCTCACTCTTATGCTGCCTCGCGACGTCTATGGCAACAATGCCGGATGTGACGTATGCAAGGCACAGATATCCAACTACGCCTATCACTGCACCACCTGTCGCAACTATGACATCTGTTCCAAGTGTTACAACAAGCAGTCCGATGTACAGACAATAATGCAGCCATTCATCTATCCTGATCAGATCACATGGGATCGCACAGGTCATGCCATCTACAAAAGATATTCAAGTCCTGTCGAAGTATACGTAAGTCCTTCATGCACTCAATCAATGAGACAACTCTAACATATTCATTCAATTTCAATGTAGGCTTCTCCGGCCTGGACTTGCGACGCTTGCCACAAGACCAAGGGCGTTGCGGATGGAATCTATCACTCTGAGCTCAACTTGGATGTTTGTCTTACATGTTACAAGGATAAGATGTCCTTGTTGTTTCCACATTAAATACTAAGTTAGTTCGTAAATAGCAGACAGACAGATAGACAGACAGGTAGACGATGTAGTATTTGTAGGTGTATGAACATATAATATATTATTCGCTTGTTATTATAATTTATTGACAGTAGCGTTGTTATCACTGGACGATCCAAGTCTTCTTCCACTGTTTGGTGACTGATGATTGATTGAGTACATGTTAGTGTCAACGTCCAATCATTCAATCAATCCATGTTACTTTGGTACTTACAAAACAGTTAACGTTTGGGGATGACCTTCTAAGGGTTGGCGAGCTGTAAACATGGTATGCTGGTGGACTGTACTCGGACTCCTTTGGTGAGGCGGGCTCTGGGATGGTAGGGATTGCCCTCTTCTCGGATATTGGAGAGGATTGATCTTTATCGGTAATGTTGGACGACGACATGGTGCTGTTGCCTCCATTGTACAGCGTGCCAATGTAGACAAGCAGTAAGAAGGACAACAGACCCATGGAGCCAAAGAGGATGGAGGCGGCCAGACTGACTGCCAGCACATACTTCAACTTGACATTGAATGAATATATAAAAGTGGAGGTCTCCAATGCATCCACGAGCAATCTGAGCGTGGGCACATCGGACTGGGAATTGGTGTTGTTGGTGTTGGTGGTGGTTGCGGGGTCGGACTGTGGCTGCATCAGTAGTTGTTGCTGCTGTTGCTGCGGTTGATTGTTATTATTGATCATATATGAAGTGCCATTGAATTGTTTGGTAACAATATCATTGACAATTGATCCATCAATTATTTTAACCATTCTTTTATATATATTTAATTACAAGATAATAATATTACAAGCAAACTGGAAACTATCGTTGGTGATTAGATATTGATGATGAAGATGGTGAGGTGTAATAGGTGTAATGTTACAGAGTTGTTACAAAGTTGACAACAAACAAACACGATAAATGTTATATAAATAATATATATATATATGTTATAGAATGTATCTAAGTGATTGTTTGTTTGTATGTATATTTGTAGTGATTGATTGATTGATGGATGAGTATAATCAATGATTGATTATAAAAGGTTTGGTGGTGGCTGACTGGTTGGCAGCAAGGAAGGAAGCAAGCAAGCACGCACACAGCTGAGAGTCTGATGGAACGAATGGATAGTGATTTAAGAACACACGAATGGCTGTTTTAATTACTTACTTTCGTTAAAGATAGACCCACGTATACCACTAATATATGATCGACCCCATCAGGCCCCATTACCCTCGTCCTACATATAAAGAGACAACACACTCACACCAACACTCACCACCAACACACACAAGATCGAGAGATCTCAACTTCGTTTGTCCAATAAAAAATCAACGACAACCATCATGATTGGGGGGTGGTATCCCACGAGGATTCCTCCGTGTTTAAAATGAAAGCCCCAACACTCTTACCCACAGACCTTGTCCAAGCATAATGGGTGGACCTTGGTGCACCATTGTAATAATGGGGGTGTCGTTTTTTCCAATGAATTGTCATACACCATTAAACGAGTCACCTCGTTGATTTCAAATAATGGTTGGTCCTTATTCTGGTACCCTCCCTCTCATGATGAGTGTGTGTGAGGCTAAAATACCTCAATTATGCTTGGTCGACACGACGATGCAAATCTTTTTGCAGCAAAGAAGAGAGAGAGAGGAGAGTTGACAAGTAATCCATTGTACTTTCCAAAGTATCCAAGACAATAACATCATTTCTTATAACGAACATTAAATGTTGATGCCATGCCATCCCATTCACTATTCTATATTAGTAAACTTGATCAGTTTGTGACTCGAATCTCTCTATCTGATGGACAGTTGGATATTTATATCGATGACTCAAGGTCAGAGTAAGAAAGACTGTTTGTTGTTGAGTTCCGACCGTTGGATCTACGATCTGAACAGATATTTGTTGTTGTTGTTGTAGTTGTAGTAGTTGTAGTGTTCATTCTTGAAAATGAATGAATGGATTAGTAAGAGTCATGGTTTTGTCAGTTGAAGTGTGCACTTCATTCGACTTCTTGTTCTTTCATTCATTCACCTCTCACACACTCACATTACGTGACACGACCAAATGGATGATAACGATGAATGGGTAGAGGCACCTGTTGGTGACAAGGAAGAGAAGCATAAGAAACATCGTCATCACAAGGATAAGAAGGACAAGAAAGACAAGAAGGACAAGAAGGACAAGAAGGACAAAAAGAAGAAATATGATGACAATGACCATTCAGACAATGATGATCATGAACAGAAGAAGAAGAAGAAACTAAGGACTGATGATACACCAACAACATCATCATCGACGACAACATCAGATGTAAAGCCAGTTGTTCAAAGGGAGGAATGGATGAGTATAGAGACTGAATCATGGTTGGCTGGATCAATGTCAAACAAGGATACGAGGAAACTGCAACAACAGAAGGAGAGAGAGGAACGTGATCAATTGGCTGATAAGTTGGCAAAGTCTGCTGGTCTACTGGATCCAAAGACTTATGATTCAGTACCATCGTCATTATCGTCGTCTACAAGCACATCAACTTCAACGTCGACATCAACTTCTTCAAGCTCCGCAACATCGTCGTCGTCTTCATACTTGGTTGGAGATGGAGGTGCCAGTTGGAGAGCAAGGAAGATACAAAGAGCACAGCAACAATCAGGTGACTCATCATCGTCATCACCTGTACTCACATCAATGAAGGAACGTGTTCAGGATATGGAGCAGCAACGAAAGACACATCATCATGGAGGTGGCAGTGGAGGTGGTCATCGTCAATCATCAGACAATCACTACTCCAGCAGGGATAGCAAGGATACTGCATCACCATCTTTCCAAATGAAGAAGCCAAGAGATGACTCAAACCTATTCTGGAGTCCAGGATCAACCAGAGAGAAGCTCAAGGACAAGCTGAGAGAGGATGATCGAAACAGAGATAGAGACAGAGGCAGAGATAGAGATGGCGAGCGAGATAGAGGTAGAGATGGTGATAAAGATAGAGATAGAGGTAGAGACGGTGATAGAGACAGAGACAGAGGCAGAGATGGTGACCGAGACAGAGACAGAGACAGAGATAGAGATAGAGATAGAGATAGAGATAGTAGAGATAGAGATAGAGATGATTCAAGATCACATCAAAAAGAGGACAAACCATCAATATCAGTTGTTAGAACTGAGCAGCCATCACTTAGCGAGCTATTCCCTCACTTGAAGTCAAACTCAAGCAATGATCAATCAAAGACAACATCTACATCATCCTCTTCATCATCGACAACGACATTATCAACGAACAACAACAACAGGTCCAATGAACAAAAGTCATCAGCACCAACAACGACAGCTAATGCCCATGCTGTGACAAATACAGGTGGTGGCGCAATGAGCCTTAACAAACTATCAGCAGAGTTAATGAAGGCCAAGCTAATGGGTGATAAGGCAAAGGTTGAGAGATTGCAGACTCAAATTGATGAGGTGAAGCGTACAGAGTCCAACAACAATCAGCAACCACCAGCACAACAGCCACAAGGACAACAACAACATACTTCAAATGATGACGGCCCTGTCAAGATATCAGGAATGGACCAATATGGACGAAAGATATTCATGAAGCATAACACAACATCATTGTCACAGCATAAGCAGGAACACTTTGAAAAGAATGGCGAGAGGACCAAGTACTATGACGACGATGATCAGGTGGACTTGGACACGATGGTGGCCAACGAGAGACGTGGCACCACCCAGAACATGGACTACGAGTTCCTCGACACCATATCCAAATCGACCAGATGGGCGACAGACGACCGCGATGACTTTGGACCAGAGATGCACGCCGGGCGAAACACATCCAAGAAGAGACAGGGCGAGCGTGATCAAAAGGACGTCGAGAAGTTCAAACAGCAGCTGGTCAGCGCAGACAAGAAGGTTAACTCGATCATGGATCGCTGCTGGCACTGTCCCAACTCTGCACAGTATCAGAAGCACATGACCATTGCCACAGGCCATCACATGTATCTGTCACTGCCCACCAGGAACATATTGGTCAATGGACACTGTCAGATCGTCCCCATCCAACACTCGCTGGCATGCTCATCAATCGACGAGGACGCCTGGACTGAGGTAAACAACTTCCGAAAGTGCCTCATACAGATGTACGCAGAGCAGGACAAGTTTGTCGTGTTCATGGAGACGGCAATGAAGTTCAAGCATCAGAATCATACGATAATCGAGTGCATACCGCTGTCAAGCAAGGACTTCTCGACGGCACCCGGATTCTTTAGGCAGTCTTTGATGGAGGCCGAGTCTGAGTGGTCCAATAACAGAATGATCGACCCCGTTGCCAAGGGCGGCCTGTCCAGCTGCGTGCCCGCCAACTTCCCCTACTTCTGGGTAGAGTATGGTTACAAACAGAGTGGCTGCGTGCATCCAATCGAGAAGGAGACAGCATTCCAGCGAGACTTTGGAAGGAGTGTGATTGCCGGTATGCTCGACCTGGACCTGGATGAAGTCCAATCAAGGAGGAAGAGCAGGTCCGATGAAGAGAGATACGCCAAGCAGTTCAAGACAATGTTTGATCCATATGACTGGACCAAACAGTTGGACGAGGAATGATTGAATAAACACTTATGCGCATATCAATATATATCTATCTATCTATACTTAGTTTATTAGTTGTGTCCTCTTCCACGCGATACCTTAGACGCTTCTCTTGTAAATCCTTCCAAGGAAGGTGGTGAACACTGCTTGAGGCAGGTCGTGCGACTGCTTGATGGCTTGGGTGAGCTCAGCGAACGACTTGTCCTCATACTGCTTGAATATCTTGGGGATTTCGATGTCGTTGAATATCTTCTTGACGACGGCTACGTCCTCGGGGTTGTCGCGACCATACACGGTCTTGAGCTGGGCAATCTGCTCGGGCGTACCATTCAGGATGGCCTGGCAAATGAGCCATGAGCATTTGTTCTCCTCAATGTCACGACCCACCTTGCCAATGACCTCGGGTGCGCCGTAGCAGTCCAAGTAGTCGTCCTGGATCTGGAAGTACTCGCCCATTGGCAACAAGATGTCCAAGGCTGACTCGAACGACTTCTTGTTGGTGATGCCCGCCAAGATCATGGCCAATGCGACTGGCAGGTAGAATGAGTAGTAGGCGGTCTTGTACTTGACGATCCTGTTGTAGGTGTCGAGCGTGAATGGGGTGAAGTCACCGCGGTTGGGCTGTGTGGTGAGGTCGAGCAGCTGGCCCAACTCGGTCTGCCATGTGGTGTCGTGAAAGAGATCCAAGAGATCGGCGTAGTATGGCTGCGACCTGAAGTACTTCCTGACAAAGATATAGATGCACGACTCGAGAATGAGCGAGTCGTTGATTGCAATGTTGCCAACGAGTGCGTTGGGGTCGCCGGACAGATGGTTCTTGGTGCGGTACCAGCATGGCTGGCCACGACGTGTAAGCGATTGGTCCATAATATCGTCGGCCACCAAGAAGAATGCCTGAAGCCACTCGACGCCCCATCCAAGAACGATAGCATTCTGAGTCTCTGTCTTTGTCAATGGTCTATTGAGCAACAACTGCAATGTGCTTGGTACGGTCAAACCACGGTTCATCTTTCCACCTGCGACCGAAGCATCAATCAAACGACTGATCCAATCTCTTGCCTGAGGTGGCATCTTCATTGTCGATGGATCCGACAGCACATCCTCCTTCAACATTGGAAGTGCATCCAAGAACTCTTGAGCTAAACGTACATAATCAATCAATCAATGATTAGTTAGTGATGTTTGTTGATGAGTGAGTGATTGTGATTGATCACTTACCAGACATGATTTATAGTACTAATTAGTTAGTTTGTATGTGTATATACTTTGTTGCAATAACAAATGACTTGGTTGTTTGTGCTGCTCTAACATAGTTGATCAGACACACTCACCTTTATTCACACCTATTAATACTTGTCTGATGAAGTGACCCCCTTTCGTCTTCACCCTAACACCACCCAACCCCACTTCTGATCAAACAGACAGTCTGACTGATCCCCAATAACTTATTAAAACGACAAATTGTGATCTCACCCATCTCTCGAACTTTTTATTGTCGTTTGACCAGTAGCGAGTCACTGTGAATAATGATTGAATGATTGAACGAATAGTGATGCCTAGGGATGTCTATTAATAAACATTAATATATTTTATTTAATGTTCTTCAGATTACTCTTGCATTCCATTAGGTTCTCCACTATTCTCTTGATGGTCTCCTTCTGTGCTTTGCAATCATTCACATTACTGTACAGGTGCTCGACCAAGCCAAGTGCCTCGGTCAGTTTCTTCTTGGACATATCTATCGCTACAAGTTGTTTGGTGTTGTTGCTCATCATATTGTTGATATTATTACTGCTGCCACCACTGCTACTACTGTTGCTGCTGCTATGACTATGATTATGATGATTGGACACACCACCACTCTGTGATCGACCTGCTCTACTTATGAATCCCATCAAATTATTGGTACTACTACTGCTACTGCTGCCATAACTACTACTTGTGCCTGCGCCTCCGCCTCCACCACCAATGTTGAATGAGGGTGGGCTTGATGTGGCGGCCGGACGTGCTGATGGAGGCGAAGTTGGTGATTCAAACACAGTAGTGCTGCTCGAGTGTCTGATTGGAGTGGCTCCACCGCCTCCCTTGATCGGTGATGTGGCACCTGGTGATGTCACTCGTGGCGAGGTGATCCCGGGCGAGACCACCGATGGGGTCTCAGGTGGAGTCGGTGAAAGAGATCGCGACGAATCGGCTGGTGATCCAGACGATGGACGCTTGGGCAATGGTGGTGGTGGCTTCCTGTATGCTTCATCCGGTGATCTGTATGCTCGTAGTATCCTCAATATTTCACTGTCTGTCGCGGCCATATCCTCGCAGGTCTCATTCGATATTGTGTTGGACTGATTCTGATCGGAACCATACCGCAGTAGATGCTCAATGGTCTCCCTCTGTCGCCTTTGAATCGCAATGTGCAAGGCTGTCTCACCCTTCTTGTTGACCACATTTGGATTGGCACCATATGCCAACAACATCTTGATGTTCTCCTCCAAGTCCTTGGCGATGGCAATGTGCAGTGGCGTGTCCATCGTGTCGCCCGTCCGGCCATCAATGTCCGCACCCTTGTCCAGCAGATTACGAAGTATCCTGTTAAAGTCGTCTGTTGTCCACTTGCGCGAGCTGAAGCTGTGGATAGGCATCGCGCCATTGGTCGACTGGATGTTGACATTGACGCTGGGACACGTCAGTATCAGATCGATCATCTTTGATGTCGAGCACTGGCATGCCAGATTGAGTGGTGTCATTCCATTGCTGTTGAGTAGATTGTTCATTGACTGCTGTGAAAGGAATTGGCTGGCAAGGGCATAGGACAGGTTGGTGATGGCCACATGTAGTGCACTGTTGCCATCAGCTGTCCGTGACTCTGCCAATATATCATGACAATCATCCAATGAGTATGATTTGGATAATAACTCGTCGGCCTGTCGACATGATGCTGTGATGTAATCGTTGGATGTTGGTGCGGCTGTCTTCTTGTCGTCGAGGAATGACTTTGAATGTCTTGGATTGCCACGCTCCCTTTGGTTCATCGATGTTGAGGTTGTTTTGTTCGATTCGAATATCCTCTTGTAGTCCACCAATCGCTTCATTACAAAGTTGTTGGTTCTGAACTCCTGGAGTGATGATGCTTTGGACAATGTCTCGGCAATCTGAGTCTTTAGGTAGCTTATCACTCTTGAAAAGTCCATATACCTTGCACCGCCCTCATCCCAGACCATCGCAAACACCTCTAAAGTAATACAATATATCTCCCCAATCGAGTTCTTTCCATCAAACAATATTGGCAATATGTTAAAGTCAATTGTGTTTGAGTCCATGTCTAAGTCAAGGGATATTGATGTATGTTAGTTCCAGTCATTGAGTGTTTGGAATAGTTCCATAGTGAGGATACTTACAACTGTGAGGTGGCTTGATCAACTCTAATAACATGCTGGTGATGTGGATACCACAAGCTGCTACTGGATAATATCGATCATTGTTGGAACTTTGTAACATGCATTGATGTGAGGTCATTGTTCGAAGTGACTCGAGATGATGTGTTGAGAAGTAGACGAGATGTTTCAGACCGGCAATGCCCATTCCTCTAAAGTCGGTCGAAGGATCTTTGCCCTGGAATCCAATGGTCTTCCAATTCTCATCGACCTTTTGGAAGTCAGAGTCGGTGAACATCGAGTTCCACAGCGTCTCCAACATCTTCTCGTGTGCCGGATCGTCCTTGCTGTACTGTGTGGAGCAGTCCTTGACAAACTCCTGTAGCTTCAGATTCTGTAGTCGGTAGATCTGACGCCTGAACATCGTGTCGGACGAGGCCAGCTGTTTCTTGAGCAATGTTGACAGATTGCGCTGTTCCATCTGATCCAATGTGGCACTACTACTTTCCGAGTTGGCAATCAGATTGTTTATCAACCACAATGAATATGTTTGAGTGTTTACATCCGAACTACCTAGATTGGCTATTATCCTTCCATATATACTCTCTTGGCTAATTTCCAAAGATGATGTCGTCGCTGCAATAGTATTAACCAACATCTTATATCCATCAGATGAGCCTGTGAGTGTGATCTAATTGTGGTTGTGAGTGGGTGATCAATCAATCAATTAATCTGGAAATTAATAACTTACTGCAATCTTTAAAGATGGATTACTGATATTGATTGAATGATGATCGAGTTGTGAGACAATCTTTTGGATTGTACCTGAGGTGAACATGTTGATATTGAAGAATGCACTATGTATGATCAATTCAAATGCTGACAAAGCCAATGATAATGTATTTCCACTTGTCTCCATTATTATACTCTGTAGCAATATGATACCATCCTTCTTTATAAACTCTGGTATAAAGTTGGATTGTTGCTATATTATATAAAAATATTAGTTAGTTGATCCAAAGTAGTCGGTGACCATTCAATCTTTCAATCAACAACATACATATACTTGTAAATGTGTCTTTAGATCGAATAATCCTTTCTTGATTGTTGGTTCATGGTTCAATGCTTCGACAACAGTGTCCACTTGATACTCTGGAGCCAATATCAGCTCAATCCTTTGATTATCATGTATCAATCTATTCTGTGTATCGCTAAGACTTAATAACTATTGATATTGATGAATGATTGATCAGTATTAATTGATTGGGAATATTGGAAAATGATCTGGAAACATACATCATCAGTTAGACACACTTTCATATCCTTGACAAACAGGGCATATTTGTCTGGACTGTCATCTATCTTTAACATCTGACATATGACATCGAGTTGTGTTCGCAACTTTACACCCTGTAGCAAGGAGTACTCTATCGATGACTCATTGTTCCACCTGATGTTGACCTTCATATCTATATCTCTCTATCTCTCTCTGTCTTTCCTTATTTTTAAAAGTATCACGTGATTGGTAAATGTCACGTGATAGGCTGTCACGTGATAGGTCAAAGTCACGTGATTCGAATATTATTAATCCTGAGTAAAGTCCTATATCGGAAAGGTACTTGTGTTGAGTTGGTTGGTGATGGTGAGGAGGAAGTGGAAGTGGAAGTGGAAGAGGAGGAGGAAGAAGGAATGAGGAGAATGGGATTTAGGAAATGGGAAATGGGTACGTTATGGATGGAAGAGTGACCAAATTATCTGTAACTGCCCTCCCTAAGTGTGGACATTAAAATTTAAACAAAAGGTCACCTATCATATCATCCATCCATCAATCAAACCAACTGCAACTGCAATCATTACTACTTTTAACTTTAATAGCGCAGGCATCAGCAACATCAGCATCATCAGCAATAGCAACAACAACAACAACAAAAGTAATTGATCAAACAGGACAGGCTGATGTAGGTGTATCGATGGAGTCAATCAATCATATAACCATTATTATTTCCAGTCAGGTTGGTGGTGGCAACAACATCAATAACAACAACAACAACAACAACAGCGCATTATACAAGGTACTAAACTTTACTTACTTACCCATCATGGTATGGTATAGAATTAATACTCTCAGTCCATCCAGCCAGTCTGGCTGTTGGTTGTGGTGTGTTGAGTTGAGATGTTGTTCGGTTGGACCCCTCCCCTTCTCCATCACCAGGGTCACATGATCATTGGGTTGGACTAGACTACTTTGAGTGGAGAGAGCAGGAGTGGGGAGTGGTAGTGAGTGGGTGGTAGTGAGTGAGCGTGTGAGTGTATGTGTGATGTTGATGGTTGAGTGAGCGAATGAGATGATGTGTATGTGGACCTCACCACACAAGGAGTGAGCTTCTTTGGGTAAGCGCCAAACCTACCTCAAATCATAATGAGCTAGGGAAAGTGTAAGAGATAGAGTGAGTCAGTTAGACATGTATTGCATCATGATACAACATGAGTGAGTAGTGCTCTCATCCCATCCATCCATTCATCTATCATCCAAACAAGTCAAGTCCTCTTTCTCCTCCAATGGGATTAGATAGCTTAGATATGGTCTATGTTGTTGTTGTTGTGATGTTTGGTAGAGTAGTAATACTCCGGTCACGTGGGGATCTGAATCGTCGATACCTGGGTTTGGTAGTGGGGGGATGCATTGAACCAAAGTTGGTGTTGGGCATTGATTAGTCCCCGGTCGGGGACCTCTTTTGATCAGATCCATCTTCGTGTAAGTCCACCTGTTGTAACATATCCCATCAAGTTGATGGGTGACTTTGATTAAATAAAGATTTGATGTTATTGTTGATGTTGATGTACATTTACTAATCAGCTGATCAATCAATCTACAAACAAGTCCCACCAATCAATCATTCTCCAACCTTCTTTTTTTTTTTGAACAAAGAAGGTAACATCACATCTTTCGCAATTACAACATCAACAACAAAAACAAGTATTAATTAATTATAATTTTTTTGATCTATTTTTGGACACACACAACCAAAGAGGCTTGGTCAATCAACTACAACAAAAATAGAACACTTACAGACCATTTCCCTTTGCCTCGGCAAATACATCTATAACATCACATACAAATAATAATCATACATCATCAAAATCATCAAGACCTTTCATATTATTATTGATTGAGCAAGACGAACAGACAAACACAGAGATATTCACAAACACACACATTTTAGTAAAGTACAGTAGTTACTTTTTGTTTGTGTTCCTTCACTCATTCATTCAAAAACAACCACCATTAAGGGTCTAAAAAGCTTCAACAACACCAACAACATTAAAAAAAAAACAACACAACACACTAAAAGACAGACAAGCGAATCTACTGTCTGTCTGTCTCTCTGTCTCACACAAGTGAGTGCAAGTAAACACAACACTAAACAGACATCCAATCCACATTCAAACAAACAAACATACACACACATCTCACATTTTCAAACACACACATTACTCTCTCTCTCTCTCTTTTCTCGCACAAGATAATCTATCTTCTATCTCTATTATTTATTATATTAATACACACTCTCTCTCTATTTCACATCAATCGATAGTTGGTTTGTCAGTCAGGAGTCACAACAACAACAAGGACCCATCGTCGACAGCAACAGCAGCAACAACAGCATTAGCAGTATCAGAGGTTGTCATTCATTCATTCATTCATCTACAACATATATATATATATCAATGCTGATTAGATAAACAGTTACATTCATATATAATAACCTCAAAGAGGGCACACCAAACAAACAACGATAATAACAATAATAGTAAACAATAGCAGTAATCAATATCAATAATATATATATAGATAAAGGCCAACAGAGAGAAGGTTTATTAATAACCTACCCTTTTTGACCTCCATTGGACCAATGGAGGACCGCCAATATCTCCTATCTCATCCGTTGCCAGAGCTGGAAAGGATCGAACCAAATGTAGTGCACTGGAGCGATGCCCATCTCAATGAGTTGCGATCGATCTACAGCAACTCTGCGCAGTCCTTGGTCAAGAAGTTCGAGCAGGAGGTGGCGCGACCCGAGTGGACATATCACACCGACAAGAAGGAGATCTCGATGTGCGTGCGGCCCAGCTCCACGGCCGGCTCGCACTACTCGCTGTCCACCACCACCATCCACTGTCCACCGACCGTCTGCAACTCATACATCAACGACTGGGAGTGTCGCAATCAATACGACAAGTTCTTTGGCGATGCCGTCACCCTGCACCACTTCCTCACACACGATGCTTCATTGGCAGCCAAGTACAACATCCCCTATTCCAAGCAATATGATTGTATGCTACAAACTGTTACAACAAGCAAGAGACTATGGTTAAAGCCTCGTGAGTTCATTGTACTTTCGTAAGTATAATCGGTCATCATCTAGTTTGAGCGACGACCATACTCACTCACATCAAATTGTTCAATCAATCAAACAACCATAGACTGTCAGGTCCTCACCCTTCAAGACCAAGAGCAATGATAACAGTTGGTACAACGATTGCATTCAGTGGTGCACCACCAACCAATGAATGTATTAGAGCAACTTGCGATCTGATGGCATGGCTGTTTGAACCAATCAATGATGGACGAACATCAAAGCTGACACATATACTGAACTTTGAGTTTGGTCGCGACTCAAACTCATTGACAGAGACACTGATGATACCACTGTTTCCCAAGATGCCCGTCACCAACTGCTTCACAAAGCTTACATATATACGATCGAAGCTCAACGAGTTGTTTCGCAGCTATCCCGATCCAGACGTCGCAGTGCTGCACATCAGCAAGTCGAGTGGCAATCTTGGCGCGAGCAGCAGCAGCAGCAACAATCTTGGCATCAGTACCAATCAATTGGCACCAAGCACAAGCAGTAGCAAGAAGAATACATCACCATCAACATCGGCTGGATCACTGAGTCACAGTCACAGCTATGAAATATCATCACCAACAAACAATCATTTGTCGCCGAGTAGCAGCTCCAATCTCCTGTCGCTGGCATCGTCCACCACGTCAACGTCGTCGTCGTCGTCTGGATCGAGCCTGGCGCCGCTGCTCTCGAGCAACTCGCACTCGCCTCACTACAAGACACCCAGCTCCAAGAAGAAGCACTACATTCTCACCAACAATTTCACAATGCATCCAAACGATTGGGCGCAATCGATACTAAACTACGAGAAGGAAAGTCTGTGGATGCCCGTCATCATTGGAAACAACAAGAACCTGGACAGGAGCGTGACCGTGCTGTACAAGCGCGTCAAGGGCACGCGTTCGGGCAAGAAGGTGCGCAAGCTCATGATCAAGACCATGTTCGAGGTGCCCCATCCCGTCGAGCGCATGAACGAGCTGATGCTGGAGAAGGATCTCACTCACTTCCACTGGGACCCCTTTGCGCACACGATCAAGGTGGCTGACAAAGGCGCCATCGTCAGTGGCGGCGGACACACCGTCACCAAGAAGCTGCGACTCAACCACCACATCCCCAGCTACAAGGTGCAATGTCTGCACTATCATGGCTACGTGGGCAACCGATCATACTCAATCGAGGAGCGAGACAATGGCGACGTTGTACTACTCACGATGAGCAAGTCGCCCTCGGACCCAAAGGCCGAGCGAACACTGGTCGAGTGGTACTTCTTCATTTTTAGCGAGAACTGGGTCGACAAGGTCGAGCCATCCGCCGACTTCTTTGTCACACAAGTTCAAAGATCAATCGGTTCCTTCTATGGTGCATCCTCCAACTCAACAGGTGGTGTGAGCAGCAGTGGTAGCAGTAGTAGCAGCAATAGTATCATCAAGTCTCAACACAACAATCATATCAGCAACAACAACAATAACAATAACCTACGCAACAACAATAGTAACAACAGCAACAACAATAACCTCCGCAATCACACATCAGATACGATGAAGATAATAGATATCTTTATAGACGTTGTCAATATTATATATCCAAAGTTCTCGACTGAACAAACGATCGATGTTCTCAAGTTGCTGACGATCGAGACGTCTCAGCAACAGATCAAACTGGCACCAATTGTCAACAACACCACGCCAACTGCCACCAACTCCACATCCACATCCCCAACATCCACTTTCACATCAACAACTACGACCACCACCAACAACAAGCGCGAGCTGCAACACGATGACGAGATCACCGACTCGTACTCGATGGGCAGCGACGACAACTACGACTCGAGCGTGTCTGTACAGAGAAGCAAGCGGTCCAAGGAGCACCACTACCACAACCATCATCTGGCCACAAGCATCGACATGCACCTCGACTCGTCCTCCACGTTTTCCTCTTCCTCTTACTCCTCGACGATGCACAACAGCATCGATATCCTACTGCCTCATTTCATCCCAACTACCAACAAACCGATCTTTTCCAACAATTTTCAAAGTACCTTGGCTGCTCCGCCAGCAGTCACGCCTTCCACTCCACCAACCAGCAGCGCCGGAAGCAGCACCAGCACTATCTCACCACCCCAGCCCCTGCCCACTTCTCCAATGCAATCAGACTTTCCATCAGCAGCAGCGGCGACACAGACCAAGAGCAGCATGCACTCGATCCTGCTCATGCCTGGCGAGATACTCAATCACATCTTTTCCTACTTTGGCGACGAGGACCTTTGTCGATGCTCGCGCACATGTCATGTATTCAAACGTATATCAGAGGGCGACGCGCTATGGTACTGCCAATATGTGCGTAGATTTGGCAAGTGCTGCTTCAAAAAGAACCCTCTCGACACACTTCTGCCGCCCAACCCAGCCATGTGGGACATCTATCGCAAGACGACCTTCCCGAGCGAGGTGCTCGAGCCGCCCTTCAAAGACCCGCGCCTCATCTATTTCCTTTCCAAGGAGACACAGTACGAGTCGATCGAGCAGAGCTGGAAGAAGAAGTTCTTCTACAAGATCAGGATGGAGGCGCTGTGGTGCCTGTGCACGGGAGAGCAGCCTCTGAACACTGGAGGTGACTTTGCCCCGTCGTCTGAAGACGAAGCCTTCACGCTCATGTCCATTTGCAGCTACAAGATCTCCCCGTCGCTCTATGCCATCATCCCCAACTCCAAGGACGAGTCGATCTCAGCCATACTGCTCAATCACAACAATGCCTTCTTTGCCACCAACACTGGCGACTACTACAAGGTCAACCTGCTCGAGGTGATGGAGAACTATGACAACCTTTTCACAAAGCTCGACGTTCGCGGCGTCATCAAGTCGCAGCCGGCTGCGCTGTCGCCCCCGCTCTCTCTGGATGCATCGATCGACAGCAACACTGACACGGCAATGACCTCGACCGTGTCGAGTCACGACACATCCGATGACGACAGCAACTCTGCCGACAACAACACGCCTCACACAGTTGCAATGTGGCTGAACCAGCAGAACGACCTGCACTCAGTCATGTCAAATAGGGTCCTGTACAGCTACAATCTCGACACAAGCCTGGACAAGGGCTCGGTCACTCTTGGAAACTCAAGGGTGCCGTCCACGTGGGACATCACTGGCGCGTGGCAGAACTATCAAGGCGACCACCTGGCCGTCCACTACAACAGCCACTCGGACGACTCGATCAACGACGACTTTGACACCATCCTCGACATTTTCAACGTGGAGACGGGCCGCTTGGTCACAACACTGGACAAGCGCGAGCAGATCACATGCGCCAGCTACAACTGCAATAGAGTGGCCGTCGGTGGCCAGTCCGGCCCCATCGATCTCTTTGACTGCTACACGGGCAACTCTGTCATCTCCCTGTTGGGCCACAACGACCATGTGCTCGCCTGTCGACTGCTTGACGACGAGAACTGCGTCGTCAGTGCTGGTGTCGACAATACGGTCAAGTTCTACGACGAACGTGCTGGTCCCTACTACCTGAAGCGTCTGCAGTCCCAGTATCCTGTCAAGACATTCGATGTGACGCCCACGCGATTGATCTGTGCCACATCGACCAAGATCTCTTACTGGGATCCGAGAAACCTACAGAGACCTATCGGCGAGCTCTGGAGTCCACTGACAACGGACGTTGTAAATATCCAGCTGTCTCAATTCAATGTGATGGTACTCTATTCGAATGGAATATCACATTGTTGGGACTTCCGATAAGTCATCCTCTCCTTCTTCTCCTCATCCTTCTTCATCCTCCTCCCCTTCCTCCTCTTCCTCCCTTTCCTCAAACAATATATTACATTAAAGTACATTGTAACTAGTTACAACCATCCATGTTTGGACATGGATGGATAACAAACCAAACTCAACTAAAGTGTGATCAATCTTGGAACATGGGATGAAAATATATTCGTAAATAAATAAATAACTTAATTTATTTATTAATAATAATTATAATAACAACAGGTCAATCGGTTTAGATCTGGGTGGCGGTAACAAAGGTGTTGAGGCCACAGAGACCCTTTCCACGGATGATACGCATATATCCAGACTCACCCCAGTCAGCACCCCAGGAGTTCTTGACAATCCAGTATGGCTCATTGTTGGTTGTGTCAACACCGAATCCAGTGATGAGGATGCCGTGGTCGAGGACGGAACCGCACTCCTTGAAGTCAAACACACCACCGCTGTAGTATTGCCAGGTGAGGGCGTCGGCGGCGATGGCCAATGGGCCGTTGGCATACAGGTACGAGGCCATGGTGGTCTCGTTGGACGAGACGTAGGTCCATGAGCTGATCTTGGCGCCAATGTTGGAGGCGTCAAAGTTGCAGGTGGTGCCAGTGACACCGGTGTATGGGTAGCTCTCCTCGGTGTCGATGCCACCGTTCTTGAGGATGTACTCGTAGGCGTTTGGCTGGAGACCTCCGTTGCAGCCCTGGTCGCAGACGTGGTCGCCGAGGTACTGCATGCACTCGTGGTCACAGTCGACGAGGTTCTGCTCAGAGAGTCCGGTGAGGTTGTTACCGGCGAGGAACCAGGCGCCCTCAATGTTGCCGGTGGCAGAGAATGACCAGCAGGAACCGCATTGGCCTTGGTTCTTGACGGGGGTGACGGCGCCGAGGGTGGCCCAGTCGTAGTTGGTTGGCATGGCGTCGACGTGGACGTCGGCGGCAACTGGGGCGTTCATATCGCGCTCAGCAACAACGCTGTTCAAGTAGTACTTCTTGAACTCGTCGACGGTCAGATCGGCAAAAGCGTTCACGTCAAAAGTGGCGGTGGACTTTTGCGCCTTGGACTTCAAGTTCATGTTTCTAATCACCTTCAAGTTGTTCTTAAACACGCCGAAACGGTAAGTGAACTCCTCATTGGTGTATTGCTTGTTGTACTTTGTTTGGAAAGCACGGAATTGGCTTTGCTCTGTGAGGAGGGAGTTGATCAAAGGGGAGGGGATTGGAGGGGAGGAGGGGAAGTAGGAGAGGAGGGAAGGGAGGAAGGGAGGATCATAAGGGAAGTGAAAAGTTAGGATCATTCATTCGATCAATCAATTAATGAATCTCAAAACATACCAGTGGAGATGGACTTGGCAGCAACCAAGGCGACGCACAAGAGTGCAAATGCAACGATGTACTTCATTGTTATATGTATATGAATGAATGAATGTGTATCTGTAGTTGTGAAGTAAGTAAGTAGAAATGAAATTGAATGTAAAACAAGTAAGTCAGGATGGAGAGGCATGGAGTACTCTTTGCATCTTGTTGGTCTTTTGAATGGAATCATCCAAATCCAACACACACAAGTAATCAAGAAAATGAAAAAAAAAAGAATCTGCCTTCCCGTTTTCCTTTGTACTCCTGTTGTTTGATCAAACCCCATGCATTGTGGGTGTGGTGGGTACTACGCAATCGTGTGTGTTTGGGTGTCCTGCTGACAACCTTCTCTCTTACTTTCGAGTCACGCAACCCTCAAAGATCTTTGTAGGTTCATCATCGGGCTTGTGAATTCATAATATCACCCTCAAGGGGCGCCAACATTCGTCATTCATGGGTATCATTCTGAATAGTTGAAGCTCTATTCTCTGTCACCGTTGTGTTTTGTGTTTGTCAGTAGATCATATTTGTTCCAACAACATTGGTTATTATAATTATTATTGTTGTGATAAACAAACACATATTAAGGATTCTTTTTATTCATATATATATAACCATGTTGCATATATATATTATAAGTGTAATAGCGTGATTATCTTTGTTTTGATTGATAGTAATGGAGGTCACACTTTGTTTGGGAAAAGGAAGAAGGAGCTCGGAGCCAGACAGACGACAGCTTTCATTCAATGAATAGCTTTGCATATCCATAGGACCCACACATCCACATCGACAGGGGTTGTCCTGATGTGTGAGTGGAGTGAATTTTAATTTAATTTAAAATGATTTGTCTGTGTGAGGAGTGAAAGAAAGAGAGAGAATCAGAGTGATCGATTGTTTGTTTGTAGGTGTGTTTGGTGGATAGTGGTGAGTTTAGTGTGTGAGTTTAGTGAGTTTGTTTGTTTGAATCTTTCTTTCTTTATTTCTTTGTGTTAGAGTCAGTCAGTCAGTCAATCAGTCCAATCAAACATATTTATTAGATATATATATATATATAGCTTATACTCATTGAGTATCAAGAAATACCAAGGTTCATTTGACAACAACAACATCATCATCAGCCAAAGCAGAAGCAGTAGCGACTCGTACAACAACCAACTACCTACTCTAGCAACAACAAACAATGTCGTCCATTCGTGTGGTCTGTAGGTTCAGACCGCAGAATAAGATTGAGTTGGCACAAGGTGGATGCTCAATCATCGACGTTAGCGATAATCAAACAGTCAATATCAAAGTATGTCGTCTGTCTTTGATCGTGGACTGGGAATAGGATATGAGATTGCGAGTGGATGTACTAACAATCATGCTCCAAAGGGAAGTGAATCGAATCATACATTTACATTTGATAGGATATATGATGAACGCAACTCACAGAAGGATGTATATGATGATGCTGCCAAGCCAGTGATCGAGGATATCATGTTGGGTTACAACGGTACCATCTTTGTATATGGTCAGACATCATCTGGAAAGACACATACAATGCAGGGACCATCAATCGACGATGCAGAACTAAAGGGTGTGATACCGCGAATGATAAACACAGTGTTTGAGTGCATTAACAAGGCCGATCAGAATGTGGAGTTCATCGTCAAGGCATCCTATATAGAGATTTACATGGAGAAGATCCGTGATCTACTCGACGTCAGGAAGGACAACCTCAGAGTGCGTGAGGAGAAGGGCAAAGGTGTCTGGGTCGAGGGCACCACCGAGGTCTACATCTACCGCGAGGAGGACATCCTCGAGGTCATGCGAACAGGTCAAGCCAATCGTGCCATTGCAGAGACAAGTAAGTGGACCAACTTTGATTGATTGATTGATTGATTGGACACGAACTGACACACATATTCATCACAATCAGAGATGAACGCCGAGTCGTCAAGAAGTCACAGCATATTCATCTTGTCGATACAACAGAAGAACTTGAAGGAGGGATCTAATAAGCATGGCAAGTTGTACTTGGTGGATCTGGCAGGCTCTGAGAAGGTGGCAAAGACAGGCGCACAGGGCTTGACATTGGACGAAGCCAAGATGATCAACAAGTCATTGTCATCACTGGGCAATGTGATCAACTCCCTCACAGATGGCAAGTCGGCACACATACCTTACAGAGACTCAAAGCTCACAAGAGTGTTGCAAGAGTCACTTGGAGGTAACTCGCGTACTACACTCATAATCAACTGTTCGCCAAGTAGCTACAATGAGGTCGAGACCGTATCAACACTGCGCTTTGGTAATCGTGCCAAGAACATCAAGAACAAGGCCAAGATCAACCAGGAGCGTAGTGCTGCCGAGCTCAAGATCCTGCTCGCCAAGGCCGAGAAAGAGATTGAGAGTCTAAAGGAGTACACCAAGGAGCTAGAGTCGCTGACAGGCGTGCCATCGAGTAAGTCAATCCTTGTCACTAGCTCATTCACACACCCACTCACCAATCAATCAATCATAGAGTTTGGTAACAATAACGATAGCAATACATCAGCTGATATGCAACAGCTAAAGGAGAAGTGTATATCATTGGAGAAGTTGTTGTTCCAGAAGGAGGAGGAGAGGAAGGAACTGTTGGACCAGATGGACTCTAGCTTGATCCAACTGCACGACAAGGAGCAAGAGTTGGAGGTACAGGCACACCTTTACATAGCAATGCAGCATGAGACAACCAAGCTCTCATCGATCAGTCAGGAGAACGAAACATTGACGTCACAGGTGACAGAGTTGAAGCTGTCATTAGAGAAGAAGAAGTACGAGGCCATGGAACAGTCCCTTTTAATCGAGGAGCTGAATGGAGAGATCGCCATACTCAAGAGTGACGCGCCCAAGACTGTGTCGGCAAAGGGCAGTGGTGTCACATCGCCGATTGGTATTGCAGGCAAGCCTACCATAGCCATCGAGATTGACCCAGCCTCATCCTACAACAAGGAGTGGGCAGAGAAGGAGGAGCAGCTCAAGCTGCTACAACGAACCCCGTCCAAGCCCAAGCACATGTCACTGTCCTTGTCGCCCCTGGAGGTGGAGAACAACGAGCTGAAGAACAAGCTGGTCTCACTGGAGCTCATCATCGAGGAGATGAAGATGTCCAACAACAACAACAAGGAGGATCATGATCAAGATCCCTCGGTGGCTGATGATGATGATGACGAGACAGCCAGCAGCATGGATGAGAAGAGCGAGGACTTGCTTCAGGCACTGGAGGAGGGACCATCAGAGATGATCCTTCAGGCCGAGCAGCTGAAGAAGCTGCTGAACGAGAACAGCGACCAGAAGAACTCATTGGACCAGGTGCGTGCAGAGAACAAGCGATTGTTGGCCAAGCTGAGCAGCACAGAGGAGGAGATGCGACTGAGGATGGAGGAGGAGCTCAACATGCTTCGCGAGCAGACCAACGAGAAGCTGCAGGAGTTCTACTCGCTCAAGGAGCATCTGTTGCGCGACCTCGAGAACAGATGTCAAAAGGTCATTGACCTGGAGTTGATGCTGGACGAATCGCAGGACAAGAACGTGCAGTTGGTCGAGCGTCTGAAGCGCACAGGTGGCAAGTCAAGCGACCAGGAGCTATCATTCATCCAGATGAAGCTCGACGAGATGACCTCCAAGAAGCATCAACTATCGATGGACAACAACAAACTAAAGTTGGAGATTCAGCGCAGTACCAAACAGTTGGCCTTCAAGAACGAACATATATCCAACCTCGAGGTTGCCATCAAGGAGTCGCAGGACAGGCAGAACAAATTGAATCAAACGTATATATCGTGGAGGAGGAGGATGCGCAGAGGATGATGCACTTACTAACTTGATCCATAATACTCTAGTTTGGAGTCTACAAAGGGGGAGCTGATCAAGTACAAGTCAGGAAGCGAGCCTTTGGCACAACAGGACACTGCCGCGAGGATTGTTAGACCACTGAGGGGAGGTGGAGGCGGTGCAGGAGGCGGCGCAGCAGCACCTACACAGCATGGATCAGAGGGAGCGACACCCAACATTAGCGTCAGCTCCAGCTCACCAAAGTTATCAACCAGTTCACCGCAGACACCTAATGGTGCCTCGGCGGCCAGCACCACCACTCCCGCCGCCACCAATGGAAAGCTGACGAGTGAGGGCAGCTCATCATTCCTCTTGAACCTGTTTAAGAAGAAACCAACATCACCCACACAGTCCAGTCCTAATCTGACGGCGACCCCAACTGCCGTGCCGATCCCAATCTCACTCAGCAGCAGCAGTCCACTGCCATCTGCCAACAGCTCTCCTAGTCTTTCCTCGTCGTCCATTTCACCACCACCACCGTCTTGATCCTCGATCGATCAGAGATCATAAGAGTGTAATAACATTATCAACATCAGCTGCTGCATCATTCAGTGCAGTCCAGTACATTATTATTATTTACAACAACTATTACTTCTTAGACTACTACTCATGGAACTTCATGTTCATGGCTGTGAAGGAGGAAGGAGTATTTGGGGAGCACATCATTGAGTCTGCCTTTTGTGTCTGTGAGTCATGTACATGAAGTTGTTAGTTGATGCATCCAATACAAACAAGGAATGTACTTACATTGGCGACAGTGTTTGGTCTGGCCCATATGCATATCTTCTTGTTTGTGGCGGTGACTATCCACTCCTTGGTGAGCATAATGTCGGTGACTGGATCGGGATGGACACGATGCGAGACGACTGGCAACAGGATGGGTGCATGTAGTCGTGAGGGCGCATTGACAATGAGTGGGTTTGACGCATCCATAGAGGGAGCGGGCACCGCGTTGGTGGTAGATTGATCCAAGCCATCGACTGGCTTGGACGTCTGGAGGTTTCTGGGCTTCCTCAAAGAGTCGCGGGTAAAGTCCCACAACAACAGTCTGGTGTCTTCGCCTCCAGTGACAATACGGTAGAATAATGAAGCTGCTGGCTGCTTGTTGATTGGTTGTAATAGAGGAGAGTTTGTCTGTGTCTTGAGACCCTCCTCATCCAGTATGACATCGGGATCAAAGCGTACACTGCTCACCCATGATTGATGTCCTTGTCCTCGCGCCACCAAGCAACGTTCTTCGAAAGACCATATGCTGAGAAAGTCGTCCTCGCCTCCGCTCGCCAAGTACTTTCCATCAGGGCTCCAGTCCACACAGAGGAAGCCACCAAAGTAACTCTTGAATGCCACTACCAACTGTTTGGCATCAAAGTCAAACACAGATAGTAGACCATCCAGTGCGGCCACAGCTAGATATCTTCCGTTGGGCGAGAAGGCCACACCATTGATCGACTTCTTTGAAACGAACAGCTCGCCAACAGGGTTCATTTTGCTCCTCTGTGATGCATATTCGTTGGTCATTGCGACGCCGGGCGTCATCTCGGGACGTGTAATGTCAAAGACGAGGATGGTGCCATTGGCAAAGCATGCGATGAACTGTGTGCAGCTGCCTGGTACCCATTCGACGGCTGTGACGCAGTGCGCTACAAGACGACCACCGCGGTTGAACACTATTGAGGGTGGCTCGCCCTGCTCAATGTAATGGAGCTCGCCACAGTCGGTACCAATGATCAGATGCATCTTGTGATTGGTGCTCTTGACGCGGTTGAACCTGACGCAGGTGAGGTTGCGATCGATCGAGCTGACGACCCTCTCCTCATGCTCTGTCTTATCGACGTTGACAAAGTGATACAAGAAGTAGGTGACACCAGTGATCAGAGCAAAGTATATCTCGTTGTTGCTATTATATGATGGTGGATGAATGATATTCTTTTGTTTGGCTTTGCCACTGCCACTGCCGCTGCCACCTGCAGGTGTAGTAGCACTTTGATGCGATGATACACTGTTTGAGAACATGGACAACTTAACGAATGAGCGAGTGAGCAATCGTTTAGAGTACTTCTGTGCCTGTGGTGAGATCTCCTTGATCAACTTATAGTGACCCTCTGATGTTTTGAATGAAGGTCTAATCGGTTTGATTGTTGATAGTCCTTGTAGACTTGTATTGTTGACTGAGCCACCATAGCCACCTCCATAGCCACCTCCCATTCCACCCCCAAGGCTTGAACCAGTACTATAAAAGCCTGATGAGTAGCTCATTACTAGATATCTTCTTATATATATATTTATATTATATTGATGATGATGTTTGATTGATTGAAAGAATGATAAAGTTCATTAAAGTGTGTGAGAGAGGGTCGAGGGTTTATTCAGCAAGACTCAATGATGACAGAGATAGAGGTGCAGTGTTGATGAGGTAGAAGGTTCTGAATTGTATTGGTCCTTGTGCGGCAGCTTCGGGATGTTTACAGAAGCATATGGTCCAATCTTTGGTAACCCTTCTATACTTGTTCCACAATCCATGCTCTGTTGTATAGAGGTCAAAACTCTTTACATTTGGTATTACTGGTAGTAGTTCCAATTTATAGAATGACAAAGCGAATAGATCTTTCTCTTTTACAACATCAGGACCTAATGTTAAGTATATTGAATCTAATATACAATGTAAAGGTAATGGTCCAAATTGATTATCTTTAGAGTTGATTATATTGTTAACTTTAAGATGTTTGATTGATTTGTTGTTGAGATACTTTGTTTGATTGAAATTGGCTACATGTAAAGTTGTTAGATTATTGGGGAATATTATATTATTTGGAGATTGATTGAATGATTCACCAATGGTTAATGATATTAATGATTTAGGTAGTATCCCTTTTGTCAAAGGTTGATTGAATGAGTTTCCCAATGTCAAAGAAGTTAAGTTGTTTGGTAAACTACCGGGAGACAATATCAAATTAAAGGTGGACGCCAATGTCATTGTTGACAAGTCGAATGATATTGAGTTAGCTTTTGTTTCCAATAGGGCTGTTGTAGTTGGAGTCATAGTTGGAGATGTGATTGAAGGTGGCTGTATTCTTGGATCCTCCCAAACCATGTATGATTTTCCAAGGTAGAATTGATATATCTTATATACAACAGATAGGAATCTTCTACATGTTATTCCTACACAGACTATATCCATCTCATCATTCTCCAACATCTTAAATATATATTTAAATATATCATCATCTAATAATTTAATTATTATAGATTGTTGTGATTGATCCATTATTAATATTATTATTTCTTTCTATTTTTGTTTATAAACAGTTATTTATATTAAGAATGGGGAATGAATGTTACATTCATTCTTTCATTCATTCATTTGTTAACACAACATCTCATAACAATACGTATTAAGTTCATTACATTCAGTGTTTGTGTGTTTATGTTCCCCACCCATTCATAAAAGTCAATTGGTTGGTTGGAGCAATTCCGATGAATGACAAACCAAACTTGAGATATTTGATTCGAAATAAAAAAATCAAAACGATTCAAAGGTGAATCCTCCACCTACTTTGACAAACAAGTGACTAGGCAACCGATTCACAATTGTGTGCCTAACCGACCCGAACTTGCTTGCTTCCAATCTACCATTCTTCCACCATACATTACTTATAATACTATATCAAATATTTATATATATTATTACATTACATTTGTGTATTCTACAATCAATCAATCTTTTAAAAGATGATGAGAATGCCAAATAGCTCGAGACAGATAGTCTCTAGGTATAGGATACAGTTCTTAATCTTATTCGTATTGTTCTTGTACTTGACATCATTCTTTACCTACAACTCAAACAATGCTAAACAAGATACAGTCATCAATACTTCAACAACAACATCAACATCGACCAAAGATAAAGATAATCACAATCATAACAATCATAACAATAACAACAATAACAACAACAATAACAACAATCATAATATAAAGGATAGAACTAATGATGATGAAGATGATGATAAAGCTAGAAATAGACAACAACAACATAGAACAAAGAATGAGAAGTTCGATAGTACGATCGTTACATTGGGCTACACGCTGCACAGTGATGGTATGCCATCGAGAATCTTGAAGGACCGTGTTGACACCGCCGTCGATCTCTACCAACAGTTGCAGGCCGAGGGCAGCAACCCATTGCTAGTATTCTCCGGCAAGGGCAAGGGCGACACCACCACGGACGAGTTTGAGTACAAGTCCGAGGCCGATGCCATGCGCGACATGGCCATCAACTCTGACGCTAACATCGACGAGTCGGCAATCTACATGGATCTCGAATCGACCAACACGGCCGAGAACGCCAAGAACACCCTGACCCGACTGATCGCCGAGGGCATCAACCGCGTGTTTGTCGTCACGTCCGACTTCCACATGCTGCGCGCACAGTACATCTTCAACACGATCTTCCCGCCCAAGTATGAGCTCAACTTTGTCGTGACTCTCACCACGGAGAAGACTCAAAAGTCTATGCTGGCCCAGGAGAAGCAGCTCTACCTGTCATCACAGAAGGATCTGGAGGGACTTGGCATGCTGGGCACCGACTCGGCACTCGGCTACCACCCCTTCCGTAACCTTCCCAGATGGAACATGATTGAGCGCGAGATTGAGGTCGACATTAGGAATGATCGAGTGTTGGACACCGATGCCAAGTGCGCAGACTATGGCTCCAACCACGGATATTTCTCACTCAAGCTTGCACAGAAGCTCCCCAACGCCAAGATTGTGTCACTTGAGGGTGAGGCGATGAACGAGTACAAGAACGCACAGGAGACCCACGAGGGCAAGATCCTTGAGCTTGGTCTCGACAACAACTACCTCTGCAAGACCAGAGTCAAGTATGATATGTTTGCTGTATGTATATTAAGTTAGCGATCCCCTAGCAAGTGAGTGAAAGAGTACTAATCAATCAATCCAATCAATTACAACAGCAATTGGTATCAAAGAAGCATGTATATGAGTATCAACTGTGCCTCAGTGTATTCCATTGGTTCGGAATGGAGAACAGAGAGGTGTTTGAGACTGTGCTGTTCAATCACTTGATGAATGCCAAGACGACATTCATCGAGTTGCCAGAGCCAATGATCTACACTGGCAAGGAGGGTCAACACGAGTGGAACAAGGTCAACAAGTGGTACGATGGCAGAAACGAGGATAAAGTATTCGAAGACCTCCAGAAACGTTATAACATGGATATGACTTGGAAGATCTTGGGTGCACTGTCCCACGAGAACAAGACTGTGCGCAAGGTGATCAGAGTCGATGTCAAGCATGCCGACAGACAGCCACTGCCACTTAGCGAACTGAAGAACATTTATGGCTGTTCCGCAAAGTAAATCTGGCGCGAGCGATTGTTACACTACACAACCCAGAGTCTCCAGTTAATTAAATAGGTGTCCACATGTGAGTACATATGATCACCTGATTGATTGATTGATATTGCATGATTGATTGAATCATTCGGTAGTATTATTATTATTATTATTTGTTTGAAACAAAGTGTTACAGTCTTCCTTGTCTTTTCTTTCGCATCTCTTTCTCTCGACGATGTCTACGTTCCTCTTCTTCGGCCAAACGATCCTCGCTGGCAGCATAGCGACTTGAACGCTCCTCCTCTTCTACAATCTCATCGTAGCGAGCCTCCATTGATCTGTCGTCAAAGTCGTCGTCATCATAATCTCTTCTGGTGCTAAATCCACGCATTCCAGACAATACCTTTTGGAGCTCGGATGAGTATCCCCTGCTGGGCTCTTCGTCATCGTCTTCATCTCCACTGCCATCCACAACAAAGTCATCAGAGTACTCATCGTCATACTCATCCTCTGAGTCGTCTTCCTCATCAGAGTAGTCGCGTCTTCTGGAGGAAGAAGAGGAAGAGGAACCATGTGATTGCTTCTTGACATTGTTTTGGCTTGATTGAGATGGCCTGCTTTGGTTTGGCCTTGATGATGACGATGTATTGTGTGAAGAGTAATGTCCACGATCTGAGCTCTTAGATGTCGAGGACATTGGACGTCTGTCATCGGACGTCTTGCTGATTGGACGATTTGATGAAGACGAAGATGAAGAGGAGTAGTTGTCTCTGTTGTTTGATGATGAATTGTTCGACATCTGACTCCTTGGAGGTGCACCGTTTGATTGTTTGGAAGAAGGTGGTGGCATGTTTGATTGTTGTTGCTTGGGTTGGACGGTTGGGCTGTGCAGAGTCTTTGGTGCAACTCCTTTAGTGGACCATTGAGAGGCTGGGAATTGATCCTTTGGAGTCACCTTTACAATGGTTGGGTTCGACTTGATTGGTGGAGGTGATGGTGCAGAATGTGAAAGTGATGTTGATGATGGTTTGATAGGTGGATTGGACTGACTTGACTTGGGTCTCATGTTTGTGTTTGTATGCGAGTCCTTTGATGATCTGAGTGAATCACTTCTTCTTCCATTGTCATGATTGTTGTTCGAATGTCCATTACTCATTGACTTTGATGACGATGACGATGATGAAGAAGATGATGAATATGATGACGATGATGGTCGGGTACTTTGTGTCATTGATGATGACGATGATGATGAATATGATGATGGTCGAGTGTTCTGTGTCTTGCTCTGTGTACTATTACCACTGCTACTGCTACTGCCACTAATTGATTTCATTGAGTCTGAATGATGATGACTGCCGCTGCCGTTACTATATCCAGAGCTACTCTTTGAGTGATTATTGTTTATGCTGCCATTGCTGTTGTTCAGTTTGACTGGGAGTGATTCACCTGCATTGCCCTTCTTGATAGATACTCCCCACATAAAGTCATTCTTTGATTCCAACAGCTGTTTGTTTGGCTGTGATGGTGTTTTGTGTCTGCGTCGTTCATCTTCACTACTGCTATCATCATCCTTGCGACGAGCAGGTTGTCTTGGTTTGGCTGGACTCTTCTTTGTCGCCGTCGATGATGGCTTCTTTGTGGTTACAGGTGTCTTTCTCGCTACCTTTTTCTCTCTATCATGGTCATCATTCTCATCGATTGATGCTCTTGTTCTCTTTACAGTTGACTTTGTCGGTCTCTTTACATCATCATCTTCAACTAAGTTTGTTTGTTTGTTTGTTTGTTTGTTGTTGACATATAATGAGTGACTGGTCATTCAATTCAATCAATCAAACACTTACTGATACCCAACAAACTTGCAGATGTTCTTTTCTTTAGTAATGCATCTGGTGCTCTGTATCTTTGATCAACTGTATATGTATGTATGCATGCATGTTGTATGTTTGATCAGTCATGTGATCTTATCCCCGACATGAGCGTCACCTGACATACCTTCAATCTTTGGTCTATACTTATCCAATATAGAAGGATCAATCTTTGGTTGTAATACAGAGCTCATCTAGTTATATATATATAAATAATAAATAGTAATAGTAATTGTAATAATGAATGAAGATAAATGTAAATGATCAAGTGATAATTAATGTCTCAGAGACATGAAACCCACACTTGTGGTTATTTGTTTGGATTTGTATTCTTTTATGGGTCATTTCATTCTTGTAAATCGGCGATTCGGAAATGAACTGGTTGGTCGATCATCTTAGATTGATTGTAGTTCTGACACTTCCTTGTTAAGTTGGAATATCTCTTTCTTATGTCTGGTGGATACTTGTTGGTAGTGCTCCACAATATAGTCTATTGACCTATTGCTCCACTCTCCCTTCCATTGACTCTTGTTGTCAACATTGCAAAGATCTGGACGAATACCTATCGTCGATGTTGATGAAGCCATTGACTTTAGATGATTGACATTTCCAAGATATATAGATGTAAGATTGCGCATGATATACTCGATCACTACCTTTTGCAACTGGTTGGCCGAGCTGCTGAGCGCCAGCTCAAGGTACTCGCCTGCATTGTCAACGTCAAGATGGTGCCATAGATAGAACTCGCAGTGTTGCTTCAATTCGATGAGATCAAGACGATTGGCATAATGAAGTAGACGTCTACCACGCTCCGGTGTCAACTGTGGAAGGAATCCATAAAGGCTACTAACAACATCTCGCAAACATTCGAATGTATCCTCGTCATCTACCTTGATAACATCGATCAATATACCATTCTCAGACATCTCCCTAAGTATGTTGTTATCCTCTATCTTGATCACATCACGCAACTTTGGACATCTTGTCAAACATATTGACTTATGTATCTTGACATCACCATGTACAGGACTCCTAATAATAAACTTTAGATGTATGGCAATGTAAGTATCATTGATTGATTGAAGGGAATTGACCAAACTTACATCTGTGAATAGTCCTTGTTGATAGAGATTCATCAAGTTCCTCCTCATCTCATCCTCATCATCCTCAACTACAATGGATTGCACTTCTTTGATTGAATATTTTTTTTTGTCAGTATGATTGATTGATTGATCATGGATGCAAATGTTGATGGACATACCTCCAATATTAAGTTGTTGTGCAATGTTTACGGCATAGTTTCGGACCAACTCATCCTTTGATTTACAATGTCTGAGCAATGACTGTACACCCTTGTTCTCCATCATTGACTTCCATAATGACCTATCATACCTCGCTACATGTGACACATGTTAGTGATCGATCGAAGGGGACTATGATTGATCGATTTATACATACATCCAGTGGCAAAGCTATAAATACAATATAATACAAATCGTTGAACTAAGATATCTTTGCTATCTAGTAGTGGAACGTGTGGCTGTAGAGTTACCCAGTTGAATGTACCTGGGAATTGTGTATCTTCGATGTAGGCCTCGAGGAACTCTTCGATAGGTTTGAAGTAGTCTTCTTGAATGAATATATTGCGGATCTCATCATGCATCGATAGGTTGCAAATGGTCAAACATGTGAGGAACTTAATCTTCTTATCATTGGACCTTGATCTATTGATCAACAAGTTCATCAAAGTCTTGTTGCGTACAATCTTCAATTGATTTGGATTAATAATACCTCTCTCGAATCTAAACTCTGACAAGTTCTGTATAATTGCCGATGAAGACAATGTCTGTTCCTCTCCCAATTTGTCCAATCCATCCAACAAATAGTCCAATATTCCTTCATCAAATAATTTGATCTTTAGGCTCTCTTTGGAAGTTGTTCACGTATCAGTATATTTGATTGATTGAATGAGGTGAACTTAACATACCCTCGGCTGAGAAGTTCCATAATAGGGACATAACATGATCTCTTGTCTTCTTCTCTTTGGACTTTAGTAGTTTGAGTATTGGTGTGAATGATCGATAGTTGGCAAATACAACTACCATCTGTTTGAATCTTTGGAATGTCAATTCACTCAAAGAGAATACTCCAGAATATTGAAGTTGTGGAAATTGTGATGATGTAAGGTTCAACATCCTATTATTATTATTTATTAGTAAATGGTATTATCCCTATATCCAACCTTGACAAAGACTCAACATACCTGTCTATGTTATCTACAAAGCTTAAAACTATGGTATCATTCCTTTGATTGGGAGCAAAGGATGACTCCATATGATTAATGGTACCATTCATTCCTGACTAACTAAATGACAATTAAATGAATGAATAACCTGTGAATATATATATATATATATATTTTTTATATTAAATCTGTCTAATCCTGATGCTGATTCTCTGTTCTCTTGTTATTTGGATGATTAATTATTTGATTGATCTGTTATATTATATGATATTTAAATATGTATTGTATTATTATATTATTTGAATGAATGTCTACATATGTGTCATTGGATTGGTATTGTATGTCTTGAGAACACATGAGAGTCGAGACTTGAGTCGTTGGCTTTGGTGTTTGTTTGGGTCTGTCGTTGGCTCGTCCCTGGTGTCATTCGTTTGAAGGAAGGCAAGAATGACGGTTGCTCTCGGAAGTCTTAGTAAGTGTGTGTTTGTGTTTGTGTGTGTATTAGATAAAGTGTGTGTGTGTATCTATGTATGTGTATGTGTGTATTGTTGTAAGTGTGAGTGTGGTGCATGGTCTACACCATTATTGTTATCACTACAAACAGCAAGTGTGGCTCAACAACGCTACATTAGTGTCTTTCGCAAAAACTTCAAACCTTTGAAACCACACCGTTGCCAAAAACGACAAAAGATCTATATTGACCCAATATAGAACTCAATTCATCGCCCGAAACATGTAGATTCTTACTTTGGTATTTAATCTATGAATTGTCGATTCCCTATTCATTCAATTGATCTATTGGTCCAACGCGAATGAATGCAATACTAGCTTGGTTTACACTATTTGCCAGATGACAGCGCGAGCATGTTTGTGTGAGTGTGTCAAAGTCGACTGACACATTTACTAACAAACTGACTAACTCGACTAGACCTGCCCCGCCTGTCGCCCCTTCCGACGTCCGCCTATTATTTATTGCCTCGCTCTTCAAAGTACTTGCTGATCAGTTGTGGACAGTGACAGTCAGCCTCGTTGACCCAGCTTGATTGGCTAATGTCGTAGCCCTCCCACTTCAATCGGAACTCTCTGCCTTCTGGCGTCTGTCGATGAGCCAGAATACACTCCACGATGTACTCATTGTCGTCCGAGTCATCCTGCATCACTTCGTTGTCCTTGTCCGGCACCTTTCGCTCGACCTCCACCGATCGCCTCTTCTTCTCCTTCCTCAGCTGTCTTTTCCTCTTCTTCCTCTCCTCCCTCTTTAGTCGCTTTCGCTCCGCCTTGTCCTTCTTCTCGACCTTTGTCTTCTTTTTATCCGCTTGTGTCTCTGTCACGATTGGTGGCGCGGGCAGCGCCAGCATGGGGCCGGTGTAGGGCTGCAACACCTTGTATCGATACGATCGCAATTGAGCAAGCTTGTTGAATGCATCCCTGGCCTCTCTGATCCTAATCACATTGCGCAATCTGATTTGCTCCAGCTCATTCTCACGTCTCTGCGCAATGAGCAGCAACTGTGACTGTTGTTGTAGTTGTTGTTGTTGTATATGTTGTTGTTGTAATTGGTGCGCATGTTGCTGTTGCTGTGACAGCTGTTGTTGAATCTGTTGGAATTGTTGTTGTTGTTGTTGAAGCTTTTGATTGTGAAATGCGAGTGGCGGTTGTTGTTGTTGCTGTTGTTGATGTTGTTGTTGTTGATGTTGTTGTTGCTGTTGTTGTTGTTGTTGTTGCTGTTGCTGTTGCTGTTGCTGTTGCTGTTGTTGAAGGAGTGGGTTTTGCTGCGAGTTTGAAAGTGGCCTTGTTTGATTGCCTAAAACAAGAGGAGGTGGTACGTTATGTGGAGATGTCTGAGGCGGGGATGGTATATGCTGTGCTGGTTGTTGCTGTGTTGGTTGTTGTTGCTGTGGCACTGTCGTCCGAGGCTGACTGAGTAATTGTTGTATCTGTTGATCTACACTTTGAATAAGTACGTTGTTGGGAACAGGCTGCTGAGACAGCTCCAGCTTCTTGGCAAGCAGAGCGTTAAGCTGTACCTGATGCTCTACGGGACGACCACCGCCATTGCTGTGTTGCTGTGGCGGGTTCGTTGGAGACTGAGGTGAATCGCCGCCATGTTGCAGTGTTGACGTCTGAGTGACCACTGACTTGGGCGCTTGGACCACCTGAGGTGCCGTTGGCCTGATGATTGACATTGGTATTTTCTTGGGAATGGCCACGATCTCTGGCGGGGCCTTTAGTTGCTGCTGAATCTTTGGAAGACTTTGATGTTGCGGCAGCTGTGGTGGAGCTGGCTGCGCACCTGTATTTGGTCTTTGGGCTACGCCCAACTGTGGAGAACTCATTGAAGGTCCCCAATTCGCTGGCTTCTTGGTCTGTGATGATTGAGGTTGAGGTGGTTGAGGTTGTTGTTGCTGTTGTGGTTGTTGATACATATGATGTTGTTGTTGTGGATGTTGAGGCTGTTGTGGTTGTGGCTGTTGTTGTTGTTGTTGGATAGGTATCTTCTGACCACTGTTGTTGAGACTGTTGTTTGTGGCACCAGGTTGTTGTTGCTGCTGCTGTTGCTTGATCTGACCGTTCAACCGCTCCTCCATCTTTGGACTCAATGTCTTGAAGACATTATTGCAACTAATGCACCTCATCGATCTATGCTCATTGCTGAACACACATATATATCCTATACTACATGTGCACTTGGTGTATACGAACTGCGATTGATTGAATGTGAATGATTGAATGCCAATGACTTGGATTAGAATATGCCAATGATTCATTGCGTGCTAGTGCTGTGCTGCTGATGCTACAGCATTGTATGTCATGTTGTCGACGATCTTACCCATGTTGCACAGTTGTGACAAGAGGCAATCTGTTCGCCTTCGACAAACACCTTGATTGAACCGTTTGGAATGTAGCAATTGGTGTAACACTTGGGACATGGGAACTTGTGCTGTATATACATTGAAGGGTCAAGGGTCAGTCATACTCATTCATTCATTCTATCTATCAATCGATCAATCAATCCACCTACTGATACTCCATCAAGTGTCCTGTATGAGAAGTACTTCTGTTCAACATGTAGTATTTGCTGGATGATCGGTTCGGAGTATGAGCATTAGTATCACCATCAATCAATCGACCATGCATGCAATGAATGTGCCAAGACTTGAACATACGTATGCTCTCTTTACTCCATAGATACAGAAGCTAACAATCTCTGTTGTGCCCTTTTGAAGATAGTCAATGAGTACGTCGTGAGCTTGAGTAACAGATTGGAATGTAGACAAGCTAAAGATCTGTAGAATGTCCAATGCGCACTCGATCATCTTTATCTCTGCACTGATGGCGAGTTGACGCTTCTTCTCAGGGTTGGTCTCCTTGTCACCATTGTTTGTACTTGACATTATCTGATTGGAGGTCTGCACCGATTGAAAGAGGAACTGTAGATCCTCGTTGCGCATCTCCACCTTGCGCACTGCGCATATCACCCAAGGGTCCATGCACACATAGTCTCCCATCTTGTGTGCACTCTGCAGCATTGGGATCGGCTTGAATGGCACCGCCTTTCTAGATGCCGACATTCTTGTGTTGTCTATTGTCTTGGTCTTTGTCTTTGTTGTCTTTGTTGTCTTTGTTGTCGATGGATGTTGTTACTGTATATGAATGATGTCCTATCCCTATGATGTGCTAATGTCTGTTTGATTGGATGGGTGCGCGCGACTTGAATGTATCTGTGTTTGTGTTGGGGATGCGCGCAAAGTTACAATGATTGACAGATCTTGTCAAACTCTAATTATTGGAAATGGACATCACTGAGTGATGATGTCTTTGGAGAGTTGATTGATTTATTCGTTAACAAATGTTGGCCTTGATGCATGCGTTGATGAGGCTGCATCCACCTAGGTTGACATTGATGTCAACATCAACATTGACGTGGAGGTCTGGTAGACATGGGAGACAACCAAGGAGACTAGCATTCTGGTTGGATGATTGCATAGCAGAACCAAATGAGGCACCGGCGATTGTTGACTTGGACATTCCCATGGATGAGGATGGGTTCATGTTCTTCATAGCAGCTGAAGAGTGTAATAATATGATACGTTAGTTAATTGTTATTACAATTCCAACCTTATTATTATTACTTACCAATAAGAGTCATTTTTGATTGATTATTGATTTAAAGTAAGTATTAAGCTTAGATTGATTTGATGATTTGAATAAATGGATAAATCTAAGTATTTATACTAGTTGATTGATTGACAATCTGTCATATATTATCCCTTTAACCATCCATCTGTTAGTTGTGTAACTCATTCTACACTTTATTCAAGGACCTAAGTTGTTCTTATATATAACTAGTGTTTGACACATCATATTGGTATTCATTCACCAATCAATCTATCCAGTTGACATACTTACATTGACAAACCACTAACAAGTATTAAGATGTGTTGTGGATGATGTGGGTGGGTCAATGTTCAACTTCGTATCTGATGGTGATTCTTGTATCTACCACTACCACAACACACCCATACTTTGATTACTTATATCAGTCAAGTTGGTTAGTGGAGTTGACAGGTGCTGTCAACGATCTCAACTACATTCTTTGGATTCATGGATAATAAATTTATAGCGACGAGTTGATCCGAACTGATTGATTGATTAAACATTGATATTATATCACTCCATAAGAGTTGATGACCTCACTGAGTTGGAACAACCATGATGCAATACTTAACAGTTGTTTGTTTGTATTGTGCTTGTAAAGATCATTGAATGCGTATCCAGGATGAATGTATGAATGGAAAGAAGGAAATACCAATTTGTGCATGTAAGTGCGCTTATCGCATTTATGTCAGATGATTGAGTTGTGGACAACAACAACAAAGCCATATCCTTCGATATTTGCATCCATCGATTCTTTAAAGTGCCATGTATGAACGGACAACAATAACAGCTGACATGACTGTCACCAAACCAGCTGGCATGAACTTGCCAGAGTTGTAGAAACGCATTCCCATGAACACCAACAGTCCAGATGCAATCACTGTATACTGGGAGGTTAGTGATACTGTTGATCATCATAATCATCATGTTGAACAAATACATACCCAATATCAATTGGTTTCCAAGCTTTCTGTTCTAAAGTTAGTGAAAGACATGAATAAGCTATCGTGTTTGTCGTGAGTTGTTTGACTGAGAATACATACCTCGAGCATTGCACAGTATGCCACTGCAGCACCAGAGGCGACACCCATCACCAGTGACATAGTGCTGCCAGCCTTGAGGTATCCAATGACGCCTCCCTAATGATGAATGTAAGAGTGAGTAAGAGAATGAGAAAGAGATTGAGTGACCTTGTTCGGATCAGAACAAACTACCCATGACCAAACCTACCAATACCAATAACAATGCGTAGATGAATGTAAGAACCATGGTTTCTCTCTTCTTTAATTATGTGTATGTCTAGTAAATAATGTAATTAGTATTGCAAAGAGAGTGATGATCACCTTTTTGGATGTGTGTGAAATTTGGATTGATCAGACATGTTTCCGATGCTGGTCTGTGACTGATCCATCCAATCCAACCAGTTTCCATCCACATGGAACAAACTAATCAACAAACAAACAAACAAAAAAGAAACATTACACATGGATATCCATGTAATGATGAATGAACGAATGAATGAATGATGCTGTGTACCTATGATATCTGTTGAAGATTTATTGCAAGGCAGTTTAATCGAAGAGACCCATTCCCTGTTGGTTGTTGTAAATTGAGAGTTAAGAGGTGTGTATGGATTGTTAGTGATTGTGGACAGAGAGTTATGAACATATGTGAATGGACACTTACCATGTCATCATCAGACTCCTCCTTCTTCTCCTCCTTCTTTGGAGCCTCCTTCTTGGCAGCAGCAGCAGCTGGGGCAGCGGCGGCGGCGGCAGCTGGGGCAGCAGCAGCAGCGACGTTGACGGTCAAGATGCTGTCAACGCTCTTCTTGGCGAAGGTAGCAACGTAGAGCTGGGCAACGTGGGTTGGGACCTTGACGCCAGCAGCGCCAGCGAGGGCGATGATGCTCTCGGCAGTGATTGGTGCCTGTGTAAGTTTGATTGATTGATGGATGATCTAGATTAGCATTTGATTGATCGAGTCATGTGGATTGAGGATGGGATGGATATGATTGTTCGCGTATCCTCCATCCATCAATCCTTGAGTTGTGATGATGTTGTTCGAAATGTACCTGAGCGTCGTGCAAGATGAGGGTAGCGTAGTTGATGGCGAGTTCGACAGACATTGTGATCGGTTGAGTGAGCGGGGTGCCTAACGGGATTCAGATACAAAAGGTATAGGTTCGAAAGGGTTACTTTAACACAAGGATTGCCGATTCCACTGTCCATCCATGTCTAGCATCCATCCTGCGAGTCTGCCACAGTCTCACTCACATTGAATTGAAAAAAATAAATTTAAAACATTCTTCATCAAACACATTGAAATGAAAGGAACTTCATTCAAATCATCCCCCATCTTACCTTGGCGAACCAGGGTGACAGTTGGCGCACCCACTTAACTCAATCAATCTATTGATTGCAAGTTACATTGTATACATTGCTTGTTATTACATAGTTAAATAGTTAGTATCACTTTTGAATATACATATACATAAGAAATGAGAAGATTCTTTGGTGGTTCAAAGAATGTACCAGCTCCAACTTTGGATGAAGCTAATAAGCGTGTATGTTTGATGATGGACAACAGTTATTATATATACAAAGACAAACAAGATGCGGTATATCTAACTCAATCATTAAATGGATATCACTGCAATCAAACATATATATAGTTGGACAATAATATAGGTGGACTTGATGAGAAGATTAGAAAGTTAGATCAAGAATTGTCAGTGTATAGACAACAATTGAAGAATACTAGACCTGGTCCAGCACAGAATGGTATCAAAGCAAAGGCAATGAGAGTATTGAAACAAAAGAAGATGTATGTTTGATTGTTTGGAACTATGAATGAATGAATAGACTGAGACTGACTGATTGAATGACGGACAATTAGGTATGAGGCACAACGTAATCAACTTAGCCAACAATCATTCAATATGGAACAGACAAAGTTTGCAACTCAATCAATGCAGGATACGATTATAACTGTTGGCGCAATGAAGCAAGGTGCCAAAGAGATGAAGAAACAATTCAAACAGATAGACATTGAAGATGTAGACAGTTTACAAGATGAAATGCAAGACCTACTTGACTTTAACAATGAGATACAGGAATCAATGAGTAGAGCATACTCTACACCAGATTCATTAGACGAGACAGAGTTGGAAGCTGGTATGTATTATTATATCTATGTTCAATGATTGATTGAATGAGTTCTAACACACAATGCATGACTACGACAGAGTTGATGTCGATGGAGGATGACTTGGAACTTGAGGAAACACCTTCATACTTGATGGCACCATCTGCACCAACGTCAGAGCCACAAGCAGTAGATGAGTTTGGACTACCTGGTATGTATCATCACTCGCTCATTCACTCAATCAATCATGATCACTAACCTCTTCTGTCTTCGTTCAGAGCCTGCTCATCAACACCTTGTAAACTAAAACAAAACAAAATAATAATAAATGTACATCATCTTGAAGTTATAACTTATAATCCAATTAGATAACGTTTGTGATTGATGGTGATTGGAGTTAGAGTAGGGGAAGTGAACGTTCTTCATCATCAATTTATTACTTAATTTTATTTAATTAATTATGACAAAAACGAACGAAACCAACCCATAAATCACTTGAGTGATGATTGTAACAAAGTGACGAGTTTGGTCAAACAAACAATTCAGATATTACAGGAGTTAACTATACTAATGTATAAATAACTTCTAGATGATGACAAAAACATTGCTGATCATCCAAGCATGAGCGAAGCAATCGTCTCGGGAGGTAGTAAACTCTCGAGGCTGGTCTGACCCATATCTCTCAAAACAATTATAAAGATAAACAAACAAAACAATCATTCATCCATCCTTCTATTCAATCAATCAATCAATCAATCTTTGACATTATAATAATGATGTTTATAGGATACCAATCAATTCTGATATTGATGGATAACTTGTTTGAGTGCCGTAGCGAGTGACGCTGATGGCAGCCACTCGACATGCTTTGCCGATTGAGTCGCTGAGCGAATGACCTTGGGTCAGGAAGTGTGCCAATGATCCAATGAAGCTGTCTCCAGCACCAGTCGTATCGACAACTTTCAATCCATGCAACACTTCAATTGGGGCGACAATATGTTTGTAGTTGTCGATTGTTGCGCGTGATGTAAGTACAACTCCTTTAGCGCCAAGTGTCACAATGATATCTGCAATGTTTGTATGAATGCCAAGTAATCTCTGTGAAGCATGATGCACTGTCTCCAGTTTCTCAACATTGACCTCTGACTCTAAAGAGTTGGACAACATTGCCAACTCCACCTCATTCACCACCAATATATCTACAACTGTCAACAACTTCCTAAGCATCTCTTTATCACTTGTTACCGGTGATACATTAAGAATTGACTTGCACTTTAAGTATATGGATCATTAGTATTCATTCAACCAATCAATGGATATCATCATACATACCTTTTGTGACCCTTTGGCAGTGACTAGTGCGCGGTAGGTTGTGGCTAGACTGGTTTCCAGCTGACAGAGTAGGTATGATGAGTTCTGGATTGTCTTGGCAGCATTGGCTACGTCATCTTCGGACAAGAGGTCATTCGAACCACCGACTATTATAATGTTATTGTGACCATCCTTATCGACTGTGATTGATGCACATCCCGACGACACACCATTCACACAAGTCACATGATCCACCGACACTCCTCTAGTTCTAAAGTTATTCAATGTATTATCACCAAACACATCATCACCAAGCTTTGTAATGATGTACTATATTATCAATCAATCAAACATTAGATGTTGGACAGCATTGTGGGTCACCTGCTGCTGCATCTCAGGACTTACACATTTTGAACCTAGTAGTGATGCTTGTACCGCTTGATTGGCAGCCTTTCCACCGAATGATACTTTAAAGTTTGTACCCTTTATAGTCTCTCCAATGGCAGGTATTCTGTCACAGTATGTGAACATATCCCAATTTGAAGCACCAATCAATGTTATATACTTATTGTTTGTTTCATCCATCTCTCTCTTCCTTACTTGCTTTATACTTGACTTGATGTAACTTTGAATGAATGAATGAATGTTTATGATCTTACTTAAATGTGTGTGTTTTTGTCAATGACGCCAACAAAAAGGATATTTGCGAGCTGACTAAACTTTGTTTCCAAGATTGCTCGTGTGGCACGCCCAACTCCCTTTGAAAGGTGAGTTGAGGAAAAGGCAAGGTTGTTTGTCCAAGACCACTCGCGTCAACTGATTTTGTTTCATTCATCCGAAGGTAATTCATTCATTCATTCGTCCAACAAACAATCATACATCATATACATAGATAGATATACACATGAATCATCAATCATATAAACATTAGTTATAACATCATACAATCATACATCATATACATAGATAGATATACAGAATAGATATGATAATGAGAAGAAACAGACCAAATAGGGATATGGTCACTAGGTCATTGTTTATTGTATTGGCAATAACATTGTTTTACTTTATCTTTATTTATAATTCAATAGGAGGTACAAAGAATGATGATAGAGGAAAGGTTGAAACAACAGTACAACCTCAAAATAAAGATTATCACGCCGACCATGCTACAAGAACATTCTTATCAAAGACATTCGATGATGATGTTGTCTATCCATGGTTGAACACATACTCCCCCAACAACAACAACAACAATAACAATAATAACAACAATAACAACAACAAACAACAATCATGGACAAAGGATCATTACACCGATGCAAAGACCAAGAGACGTGTGTGTATAGTGACCACAGAGATAGAGGGCCCAGTGCTGGGCGGAGGCATCGGCACGGCATACACAGCAATGGCGAAGCGTCTGAGTGAGGACGGCCACAAGGTCACCGTGCTACTGGTTAATCGCGTCAAGAACCTGTCGGCATCACACTGGACCGCATTGTATCGAAGCAACAACATTGAGCTAGTTGTATTAGACGTGCAGATTATGACACCCGAGGAGCTGGCCGTCGCTCAGCAACAGGCGAGCGGTGCTGGTGGCGCAGAGATGGTGCTTGGATGCACTGGCCCCTGCATCAGAAGTTACAGAACATATCAATGGCTGTCGGATCACGATGGTCAATTTGATGTGATTCACTTCCATGACAATGGAGGCATTGGATACTTCAGCACACTGGCGCGACACCAGGGCGTAGCCCTGCTCAAGACCCTGCTGGTGGTTGGCGGTCACGGCCCGCATCTCTGGGAGAGGACAGCCAACTCGGCCAATCTAGACGATGGCAAGCACTTTGAAGTGGACTTTTTGGAGCGAAGATCGGTCGAGATGTGCGATTGGCTGATCAGCCCATCGAACTACATGCTCAACTGGATGAGGCGAAATGGATGGCAACTGCCCAAGCACTCCTATGTGCACCAGAACCTGCTGCCTGCGAACCCAGCCGATGCCCAATGGGACCAGACAGAGGCCAACTATTATCATACGTACGACGAGATCATCTTCTTTGGACGCCTGGAGGCGCGCAAGGGATTGGACATCTTCCTGAACTGTCTCGAGAGGATATCGCATCGCCTTATCGAGGAGGACTTGCTCGTCACATTCCTTGGCGCAAACACTCGTCTCACCGAGGTCAACATGATGGCTGACAACTACATCACGTTAAAGTGCAATCGATTGCACATCAAGTGTCGCGTGCTCCTTGGCAAGACACACACCGAGGCCATTGAGTACCTCACGCATGACAGCCAGCGTAAGTTGGTCGTGATACCATCGCCCATCGACAACTCGCCCAACACCGTGTTGGAGTGCATGACACACAGGATCGCATTCATTGCGAGCAGGGCTGGCGGCATCCCCGAGCTCATCCACCCCGAGGACCAGGAACGCGCACTGTTCTATCCCTCGGCCGGCTCGATTCAGCGCAAGATCCACGAGTCGCTAAAGACTGGCGTCGCACCCGTTCGCATGGCACACGATGAATGGTCGCGCACCAAGACATGGAGCAACTGGCACACGATCGTCAGCAACAAGCCAATCGAGGCACCCGTCATTATCAAGGAGAGCAACAGGACCGCAACAGTCACAGTCGTGTTGGTGTACAATGGTGACAACGTCAAGCAGATCAAGAACAATCTGGTGGCACTCAGTCATCATGCCAAGACCAATGTGAACGTGCTGATCGTGACAAAGGAGGGTGCACCCGAGATTAAGCATTTCCCTGCCATGGATCTTGTCGAGATCAAGCACACGTGGGCATCAGACTTCCTCGTGTCGGACAGCACCACATTCCAACCATGGAACAGTCTCAACGTTGTAGAGCGCACTACTGGCGAGTATGTGCTGTTCGTCGATCAGTTTGACTGGCTGGCCGACCAATCGTCCCTAAGCAAGATGCTCTCAGTGGCCAATCATACCGAGGCCGACCTGATCTCCTCATCGATCGGCATGCCCGAGCTTGGAATCCACTGGAACGCCGTGTTCATCGGATGTCAAGGCATGCCTGGCATCATGTACAACTGCTATGGTGGTAACAATGTCATAATGCGTCGATCACTCCTACTACTAGTTGGCAGGAACTACACCAACAATCAGTTTGACGACGAACTTGATCATGGCGGTGCATGGGAGCTCTATGTCGAGGCCACCAACCATGGCTTCAAACTTGAGACCGTCCCCAAGACACTATTCTACACAACAAAGAAGAGTGTCGACCTGTCCACGACATACGGACAGGAGCTTCAAGTCATGAGGTTCTTTGAAGGTATGTTTATAATCTCATCAATCAATCAATCAAGCAATCAAACTGACATCCCATCATGTACAGAGATGCTTCCACCATCACTTGGATTGGCACCAATGGCAACAAGACACTTTTTGGTGTCAAAGAGTTCATACATGGCAGAGATACTCAATATGACTCAGCGATCAAGGGAGTTGGAGTTACAATGTGCACAAGCTGCTGTCAAACCAAAGCCCAAATCAGACATTGAGGTGGAGCTGTCGGATGGCGCTGTGTTGGGCGCTGACGCTCGAACATACCAAGAGTCACGCGACCATATTGGAATGCTGTTTGTACGTGGACATGAGAAGTCTGGAACGTCTTGGCTCAAGAAGATATTGAACCTGCACCCTAGGATCTATCTGGCTCAGCAAGAGTTCCACTTCCATCTGCTGGAGGACGCCATCGAGAAGTTCACTGATCAGCCATGGGCCGCAGCGCGCGAACCATACCTTGGCTACACCAACAAGTGGTACAAATCATTCGTTAGGAACCTTCTGCTCTCTGGCGTGTCGCCTTCGTCTGCGCCATTGATCAGCTGGACGGGCGAGAAGACCCCCTCGCCACTGGCACCCATCATATCCGGCTCCAAGTATATATTGATCATTCGTGATGGCCGTGATGTGGTCGTCTCGCTGTTCTGGCACTATGTCCGTCTGGGCGGCTTTGAGAACTGGTGCGGCAATGGCAACAAACACCTGGTCAACCCATCATACGTGTCGTCTTACAAAGAGGATCAATCGTACTTCACCAAGAACCCTGGCCTGCTGCTCGAGAAGGAGACATGCTTCCGCCATGTGGTGCGCAGCTGGGCAAACCGTGTGCGTGCCGATCTGGAAGCCATCGCAGAGTTGGAGAAGAATCCAGTGTCTGAGGTCTACACGGTGCGCTACGAAGAGCTGCACAGGGACCCCGAAGGAGTCAGGAAGGAGATGTACGAGTTCCTTGGTCTGGACTATGGCGAGGCTGATAAGCTGACAACCGAGGACAAGACGCTGCCTGGAGGATTCAGTGACGCCGATGGAGAGGACAGCAAGACCAACAAGTTCTTCCGCAAGGGTGAGATTGGCGACTGGGCCAACTACTTTAGCTACGCAAACAAGCTGTGGTTCAAGGAGGAGGCTGGAAACGTTTTAATACAACTTGGCTACGAGTTGGACTCGTCCTGGGTAAAGGAATGATGTGATGGATGTCCTTTCATCATTCATTCATCCAGGCCTGCCCGAAGCATATATATCGAACAATCACATCAAATCGCACCAACACTCAAAGTGGATGGAAGAGCATTTATTTATTGAATCAGTGCTTGGCTCGGCTTGACCAGTCTTGACAATCACTCACTACATTGTTGTAAGTTGGTTCGACTGATTGTTGGACAGTGTGTTGTTATGTGTGGAGGTGTGAGGTGTGAGTGTGATAGATTGATCAGTGGGTTGATCGAGTGTTCATTGCTGTGTGTATGTGTGATCAGGTGTGGATGGACAAACACTTGATCAATATGAGATTGTGGGGGATGATGACACAGAGATGGATCGATCTGATAATTGCCACCCTTGCCAATGACTAGTTGGATCTGTTCAGAATCCACAAAGTGAGTTACCATGAATTAGACACAAATTGTAAATTGGCCCATTCTTGTGAACCATCCATTGAACATATGAACTCAATCCAGTCCAATCATCCCTTACCATCTACACTACATAAGTATCATAGTAAGATGCCAATCATCATTGGATCAATCAACTAAAATAATAATAATAATTAATAATATAATAATATTATTCCAACAATGACCAAACATTCCAACAAACAATCATCTAATAATCAATTAATATTAATATTAATATTTATAAGTTCAATATTATTATTTTGGAATCCACAAAGAGTTGATGGATGGTGCTTTGTAACATATACTGAAGCCAACTTTACAGGACATGCACAACAATTCCATCATCCATTCGGGGATCCAAAGTGTATTAAATTCCCCGAGGAATTAATATACAAGATGAACTCATTCACTTTTGAACCAAATAGTATTAGATGTGTCCTTACCTTATATAATCAACCAAAGTGTCATGGATCAATGGTATTCCAAACTGATAAATCAACTCAAATATCCGAAGTCACACAAGAAATCAATCGAGCATATGGATTCCGAGTCACAGGTTGTATCGACCCTGATCGATATGAATGTTTGAAGCCACCCATGCCCCTAGAGACCCCAGCTCCAACACCTACACCATTAATACCAAATAAGCCAAACCCAACAAACTGGACAATGAACTCGACCAAGGTATGATTGATCAATCAATCATTTAAATAAATATATATATTATTTTATTATTGTTCTTTAGACATCTTGATCATTCTCATAGACGAACCTGGGTGGTTTGTAATATGAGTATCCAGTCTCATATTGACGTTTCGCCACGATTACGAAGACGTGGCCATATTGCAAACATTAGGAATACTGAGAGTGAGATGGTATCCACGGCCAATCCACTGACTTTGAATAGTTGCCAGAATGTGTGATTGGCAATCACAGCTCGATGTGGATACCAGATCAACTCGACGATGGTGAGCACACCCAATGGTAGACCAACATAGATGTAGTCGATCAACAAAGCCAACTCGATCAAATGATTGTTTGACTTGCCTCTCGATGGTGTGTCCCACTCGCCATCCTTGATGGCAAAGAACAGTACCCTGATCAATAGTACCACGCGGCCAAACACTGCGAATGCCTTCCAAATGACTGAGAAGAATGCCATGCCAATGCCACGACCAAGACGTATCTCGCCCTTGAAGCAGAGCAATAGTGATGTCCACATTGCAAACAGACATCCAATGACCATGATCATTATACGGATGAAAGAGAGTATGTCCAAATCATTCGCATTTGAATAATAAGGATTGACCAATATCTTGATTGATCCACCAAGTTGTACTATATCACATAGTGTATCGACTATTCCACCCAACTGAGCAATGAGTACCAAGAAGAATGTGATTGGTAATGCACAATCCTTTATCTTATGAAATATATATGATATTGGAGTGGCTAATGACAATATCAACAATGGTGGTATTGCTATAGTATAATGTAATATATACCAAAAGTAATAACATATATTCCTATCTTTATCAAATACCCAACGAATGATTTCATTCAAACTATCATCGTGACTCATTCTTATTATAAATATATTATTATTATTTATATCTCTATTATCTGTATATATATCTATTTATATCTATCTAATGTTTTCAAACAATAAAGTATGATCGGTTGGATATTTCTAAAGATCAAGCCCAACGAAGCCTTCTCGTTGTGATCCACAAACACCCATCACTTTTTTTTTTGGTCAAAATATCCATTGAGTGCACAATCCTGTGACATCAGTCGCGTCTTTTGACTTTGATCAACCCATACCCAGGATAGACATATTCTCAAGGCTCTAAGTCATTTATGAATTGTATTGTATTGTTTACAATGAACGAGTGATCTCATGATCAAGGTCTGATGATTATAATCTTATCTCTTGATCAAGTTGACAGAGTACTTCTTTGGATGAATTGTCAATCCAAACACCTCCTCGTCATCAATTGGCTTTCCAGTAGATGACTCCATCTTAAAGTTCAAGAATATATTGGCACATGCAACATATATCTCATCCATTGCCAAGCTATATAAAGTGAATGATTGAGTGATTGAGTTAGTGAGTGTCCAGCATAGCTCCAACACCAACCAATGATACATACTTCATTCCAACACAATTCCTTTGACCAACACCGAATGGTATCCAGGCATCAGGGTTGATGGACTTCTCGTCGAGGAATCGCTCGGGTAGGAATACTTCTGGATCCTTCCAATACTTCTCGTCGTGATGGATGGCATAGATGTTGATCAGCATCTGGGTGTTCTTTGGCAGGAAGAATCCACCGATGGTGCACTCCTCAGCATTGGTCCTGTTCAAACCGAATGGTGCCAATGGTTTGATACGCAACACCTCCTTGATGAATGCTGTCATATAAGGTGTCCTTGGTCTATCTGCCACCACTGCAAAGTTACCCTTTCCAATGATCTCTGACAACTCTGCATGTACCTTCTCTTGCAACTCTGGATAATTACACATATACAATATTATCCATTCAATTGTTGACTCTGATGTATCTGTCTGTGTGTGGCGGAGGGGAGAGGGAGTGGTAAGTATGGAATAGTTCCATGTGATTGATGATTATGAGATACATACTCCAGCCAACAAAAGATCCATGGCAACATGAGCGATGGTATCCATGTCATCCCTCTCAACAATGATGTCCTCAAACAAGTCCTTGGGGCTAATGTGTGGAAGGAAGTATGTGTGAGTGATGAGTGATTGGAATAATTCCATTGAATGATTGATTGATTGATACATACTTGTTCCTGTCCAAATCGACTAGCTTCTCTTCATACATTGCTGATACGTATGACTTGATCTTTTTCATTGACTTGAGGACCTTGTGAGAGAAGAAGTGCTCGATCAATGGTGCGATTGCATTGAGTGAGAATAGGACACGACCTTGTGAACACTCCCTTAGGATGTCATCAATGGGCTCAACCAATGATCCGAGGATTCCCTCACTGACATCCTCCTCATAGGGGATGTGCTTGGAAAACACAATCATCAGAATGATGTTCATCGAGTACTTCTTGCAAAACATGGTGGGCGTGAATGGCTGGCCCGTGGCATGGTACTCATACATCTTCTTGACAAACAACTGTGCCTGCTCATCGATGATCTTGCTCATTGAGCGCAGCTTGGTCTTGGTGAAAGTGTTGGCCACCATTGCACGCAGTGGCTTCCAGAAGCCATAGTCCGATGACAACAAGTTCTTGTAGCCGCCACTGAGCAGACGGCCAATGGGTTGATGACGGCGATTGGCAAAGTTGGCAAAGTTCTTGTACCATATCTCCTTGACCAATGCAGGATCACTCACAAACACCGTGTAGTAATCACCCATCCAGATGCTGACCATCTGTCCGCCCACCTTCCTACCCATCTCTGTTATATCCAAATGTGGATTATGAGTCAACAATGGCAATGATCCAAGAATTGGATAATTCCATCTTGCGAACTTTGGTATGTTCTTGGCGAACGTTCTATTCTTTTGAATCTGTTTATATTATGTTATGTTTGATTGATTGATGGATTGTGTGATTGAGTGATTCAGTGAGTGGTGGGTGGGTTAGGCTCTCAGGGATAGTTCCAGCCACATAACTATCATTGGACTTACGAATGAATAGACAAGATATATAACGAATAAACTAAATAAGAATAGTAACATTATTATTTATTTGTTTGATAAGTTGTATGAATAATGAATGTAATATATAAACTAAGTTAAGATGGATGAGTACGACCTTTCATCAAACAAACAAACAAGGTAGGACCCACCGAACAATTTAAATCATTTACAAATACAACTCAATCGCAATCATGTTTCAAACAAACAACCGAGGACCACTCAACATTCATTGATTAGGCAAGTAAGTAAGTATTGTATTTGATTGAATGAATGAGTTGGGCTGTTTGGCTGATGGAGGGGTAGAATGATGGCCCGATCGGTCCATTTCCTAATTCGTTCTGTTATGGTGTCAAGTGATGAGATACCACCTCTACAGGATATTTTGGGAATTTGACACGCCCCTATTCATCACCTTTCATCGTCATCCAAACAATCTGGCTTCGATCACTTTCATCTACTTCCGGACAATTCCAACTTGGAACTTTAAAGTTATAAATAATTATTATTAATAAATAAATTAAAACATTATATTTATATGTATGTATGTTGTGAACGAATGATAGTATGGTCCAAGTGTGAAGATATCTTGTCAAAAATTGAAATTTTGACAGTAACATGACGAATGTGAAGGGGCTCAGCAAACGAACAGGTTTCGTCATTGTATGAACACATCTTTCTTCCAAGACCATCCCCACACACACTCTCACACACCACTGACCCAACAACACACAAGTCAGTCAGTTACATCAGCTTGCTAACTCACTGGTCAAAGTTACATACATACATTCATTACAACAACAAAGTCCATTATTATTACTAGTCTAATATCTACTTATAAAAACAATATTTATATTATATCTGTACATTACTTAATTGGACTTTGTTATATATATATTTAGTTAGTTATCAAAAGATGATGAGCATTGATGATCATATTTATGCTATTGCATCTATATTCGAGACGATAAGCTCACCAGTAGACAAACAACATTGGTATCTCTCACCAGAGTATCATGCAACAGAGTTCATCTATGCCAATGTATCCTACTTGATGTTGATCTATTGTATGTTACCATGAAATGAAATGGAATGGAATGGATGGGTCATGTAATATGTCAACTGACTTAATTGTTGAATAGTTGCATATATATTGATACTTAGAGGAAAGAGTACTATACCTGTCAAGGGAGTACAGAAGCATCATATTATATGCACATTGGTCGGTATCGTATTGTTGATCAATGTTGCACTAAATATCTACTACAAACCAAACAAGATGTTTGGTAACAGGAACTATTATTACATGTTACAACCATGTCATGTGCTCAGCGTCATCTATGCCTACCTCCTGCTCACCAACGATGCCATGAAGAACACCAAGTTGTTCAAAGTCACCATCCATTATGTCTTCTTTACGTTGGTATCATTCAATCAATCAATCAATCAATCACATGACTTGGCGGTGATACTTACTCCAACTCGAATCAATCAATCAATCAATCAATGTTTAGAGTGTCTGCATTGGCATTCCCAGACTTGACAGACTTGGACCAGCCATTTGAATGCCACAACTTCTTCATTCAACATTATGCATTGTTGATTGCACCATTCTTGATCCAGATTTATAAGACACCGGTGGAGTTTAGTGCAGGTTATGCTCTGTTTTCAAGTGGATTGATCTTGATGATCCATCACACTTTGTTCCAGGTGTGCGCCTTTATCAGCGGTATCAACCTCAACTATATGTTGTACCCACCACCCCTTGGCTTCGACCTGAACGACGCCGTCCAGTACTTGAGCAGTGGCTACCTGGCCGCCACACACTACCGTCTTATCCTCGGACCAATCTGCACGGCCGTCTCCTTCCCAATGTCCTACCTGATCATCAAGGTTGGCAACCTCATCTCCAGCGGTGTCTATGGTTTCAAGCCAAAGCACTATGAGATGAAGTCTTCCAAAAAGGTCAACTAACTTTATTAGCAAGTAGTCAGTCAGTCAGTCATCATCGTCTACATCTTCATAATCACCATCAGATCAGTTCATTCATCTATCTTTGAATAACATTAAAGGGGACGAACAAGCACCAACAGTGGTGCAGAGTCCTATATTACAGCGCGGATACAAGATTGCCTTCAGAGTTGACCTTTGCAAAAAAAACGACAAAACTTTGCTTGGTGTGGGTCTGCTGATGAGGAACCCTGCAAAAAAGTGATCAGTGATAGGCTGCACCCGGAAGTTTCTTGGTCCGATTCCCCTGTTCTCGTGTGCTGATCACAACCATAGAATCTGATACCTCTCTTATTTTATTTATTTTAAAGTTGATCAATAGGTGAATCAAATCAAGAGCCAGTCAAACGTGCTTTGTTGAGAACTTAAAGCCTCTTGTTGTTCTTGTTCTTATTATTATTATTACTTTATTATAACTATTACACGAGGATGATGTTTACCAAAGTTCTTGCCGCACTCTGTTTGATTGTGGCTGTTACTGCCGCTCAAAACTACAGACCAGTGGTCCTGATGTATGTCTATCATCACCCTCGGAACTATCCCCTTTGGTCAATCACACACAATCACATGATTGAATCAATCACATAACATAAACTAACAAACACATCACCACCAAAATCAAACAAATGAAGGCATGGAATCAGTCAGAGCCATACATCAATGGAACCAGTAAAGTCATGGATTGAACAAGCTTTGCCAGGTATCTATGTTGTGAACATGGAGATTGGCAATGGATTCTTTGATTCGGTCTTTATGCAGATGGAGCATCAGGTGGCAGAGTACGCCAAGAAGGTGGCTGCAGACCCCAAGTTGGCCAACGGTTTCAACGCCATTGGTTTCTCACAGGGCACCCTTGTCACCAGAGGCTACATCCAACGCTTCAACAACCCACCCGTACACAACTATGTCGGCTGGAACGGTCCCCAGCGCGGCCAGTTCGGCACACCCTACGTCAACATCGAGTGGGTGGACGAGGCGCTCGCCACCGTCCCCTACGAGCAGTGGGCACAGGAGACGATCTCGGCGGCCCAGTACTGGGTCGACCCATACAACATTGAGAAGTACCTGCAGACGTCGATGTTCTTGGCCGACATCAACAACGAGCGTCTAACCAAGAACCAGCTGTACAAGCAGAACATCCAGAGCCTCAACGCGCTGGTCGTGTCGTACAGCATCAACGACCTGACCATCGTGCCACGCGAGTCTGGTTGGTTCTCGTACTACGCCAACAACACACAGAGCACCGTCATCCCTCTGCGCGAGTCAGAGTTCTACCAGCAGGACTTCATTGGTCTTCGCGCACTTGATGAGGCTGGTCGTCTGCACTTCTTCACCACAGACTGCAAGCACTCTGAGCATCCAACAGAGTCTTGCAAGCCATTCTTTGATGACTACACTCTCCCATGGTTGAACAACACCCTGCAGCACTAAACATTACAAATATGTGCATCCACATTTCCCCTCTCTCTCTATCTCCTGGCGTCATCATCATCATTTCCATTCATTCATTCATTCATTCATTCATTCATTCATTCAATCAATCAATGTCCCAGTCCGAACTGATCGTCCATTACATACATCATGTATCATGTGATCAATCACATTGCGGGGCTGGCAATATCTTGCTGTTTGAAAAGGTTGTCAGCGTCAATACTGGAGCAAACCTTACCAGAGAGTTGAGGTGGATAAAGAATGAGTGATGTAAGAAGTGATGGTTGGTTGGTAACCCTTTACTTTGAATGGACTCTCCCCAATCAATCACTTCACTCACAATGATCACATTACCTTATATGTTAATATTGATGGATCCTTGAAGTTGCTTTGGAGGCTGCCAACCAGTTGAAGGGGGGTGGGTGGTAAACAAGCACAATTAATCATACTTCCTTCCAATCAGGTGAGGGGTATCAGACTTTGATCGAGAGGCAATCACACAACACACCACTATTGTCAACAACCACTCGATTGATTGATTGACACCCTTCCAGCCTCTTCAAGGCCTTGAGGACCTAAACACTTTCTCCTTATACATGTACATACTACCTTGCCTCATGGTGTTCAAAGGTGTGCACAACAACTACCTTTTATCCACCCTCTCTCTCTTGACTAAATTCCATCATCACAAGCAACAACATGTTGTTGTTGTTGTTGTTGATGATGATTGTCCAAGGACCATGTGCCTCAAGGCCTCAATTCAAAAGGTACTCCACCTCACTTACCTATCTTCATTCATTCAACTTTCTACATAATATAGAAATAATAATTGGCTGATTGATTGATTGATAAACGATGATGTATCATATGAAAGTAGTTATAGTTGGTGATGGAGCAATTGGAAAAGTATGCTAATAACTAAGGAACAATCCCATGATTTATCAATCATACTAACTAATTAATTGATAAACCAAACATAGACATCATTATTGATATCATATTCCACAGGTGGAGGATTCCCAAGGGATTACCAACCAACAGTATGTGATAACTTCTCATGTAATCAAATGTATAAAGGTATGAAGACCAACTTGTGGACCTGGACTCAATCAATCAATCAATCATTAACAATATATTTGTTATTAATGTATCCAAGGAATGGCATTCAATATTGGATTATGGGATACTGCTGGTCAAGAGGACTTTGATAGAATTAGACATCATAGTTACTCTGATGCCGATGTTGTATTGATGTGCTATTCAGTAGTCAATCCATCATCATTCCAGAATGTACTTCAAAAGTGGATGCCAGAGATCAAACATTATACATCAAACGTACCAGTCATATTGGTTGGTACACAGACTGACATGCGTGATGACAAGTCCGTCGTGGAATACCTGGCACTCAAGAAGTTGAAGCCAGTCACCTTTGAAGACGGCCTGCTCATGCAGAAGCGCATTGGTGCCTTGTCATTCTCCGAATGCTCAGTCAAGTCCGAGCATGGTGTAGAGCAGTTGTTCAACGAGGCCATCAGTATCTATATTCAATCAAATACCGAGGGTGGTCATCACCGTCGTCGTCGCGGCAACAGTACCAAGCATATCAAAAAAGACAAAGAAAGAGATAGAGATAACTGTGTATTACTATGATGACGAATGATATGTACATATGATGGATTAGGAGGACTAGGAGATTGGTTAGAGCAAGGGTATGGCCAGGTCTGCCAAGCGATCGACCTCATTCTGAAGGTTGGTCAGGGCTTGACGTGCGTACGCCGCTCTAAACTCTGGCGTCTTGTAAATGGACTCGCCCATATCAATAAAGCGCTTCAGTATGGTTGAGCGTCCTGTTCGATACTGGTCCTCAGGGACATGTATATACTCTCTACGAATGTTATGAGAGTATATAAGGTATTCTACAATCATTGATGGGATGGGTCAGGATGGGATCATTCCATCTTGTTGATGTGCCAAGTGGGTCGCGTTCATACCTTCAGTTGGACGACCGAGGATTGAGAGATCCATGTCGAGGAAGTAGTCGCGGTCATTGCCTTGAGCTGGGTGCTTGGTGTGATTCTTGGTGCAGTCAATGTAGTCGATCACTTGATCTTGGACGTCGGGTGCCACTACGAGCGAGTCTTTGGTGAACTGCTTGAATAGCTGTGCACTGAGGTCTTCATTGTCATGTTTGGTAGGATCGTAGACAACGTCGTGGAACCAGATTGCAAGTTGACATACAGCAGGCTGAGTCAAACGATGTCGATAAGTATCAAACAGTGATAACAACTCATCAATATGATTGAAGTTGTGATAACAACGAGTGGCTGTTGGTGTATAGTATGTTTCCAATGTGTCGAACCACTTTGCTGCCTGTCCATTGAGCATTCCCAACTGGTCAACTACAAGTGATATCCACTTTGCCCTCAATATAGGTATTCTATTAGCCATCTTATCTTATATGTTTGATTGAATGATCGATTGATTGATTGAATGAATGAGTGAGTGATCAAAACATTCCAGGATCAGGTGATAATGATCATGGTCCATCAATCACACCTTTATTAAGTTATACAAATACAGTCGTCTCATCTCATCCATATCCATACATGGTCAAGACTGTCGTGTTGCCTCTCGAGATGATATGTCGAATGATATTGAGGTGTTGGCATTGTCTATCCAGTTGCGCTCTTCCATTAGAACGCGCTGATTCGAATCAACGCTAAGGATGGTGGTTGTACGGGTGGCGTATGGTTGTCCCACCAACTCGAATGGTTGAACAAAGACCGAGGAGAAGCGATGCTCCTCAGCGGTGATTAGTGGATTGTTGTAATCCTGTTGAGCCGAGTCCTTCATCACATTGAACATCATTGTATTTCTTGGATTCTCCGATGTTTCTGATGATGATGTTGGCGTTGAGAGTGCACCTTCAAGTATACCAGACTCGAGTAGGTCTATTCCTCGTTTCACTGTTTCCCGGCCATTGCATGTCATGAGTTAGTACGGACTCTGGACACGATGATCATGATGACGACGACGACGACAATGACAATGACATACCCTTGGGCCATTGATCAAGCAAGAATCCATTAGATAGACCATAGAGTTTGTTGTGTTGTAGAGGTATGGGATCATTGGTGATAGGGATGTCTGGTCGATCGACATTGCCACTCGTGACATTGCACAGGTAGTATGCCTTGTTGGTCTTGGTACTTCCAATGATGATATTGAATGGTTCATACTTGTCCATGTTATCCTTCAATTGCTTGACGGCATCCTCCACACTTGGATTACTACTCAACMATCTCTGCAATAATCTTTCCTCTACTTAGACGTACAGGTGAGGTTGACTCTGGTGGTGTCATCAAATCACTCGTTGAGGTTGATGTTGTCGAAGTAGTCGAGGTCGAGGTCGAAGTCGAAGGTTTCTGATTAGTCGTCCTATATCTAAAGTTAAGTAATACACTATATAATCCATCAGAGTTGATTCCTAACCATGTACCTCCAAACATCTTATCTTGTCCAGCATATATATCTACTCCTGATGCTGTTGATGTTGATGTAGATGTTGTCGTCGTCGTCGACCTTTCATCATCATGTTGTTGCCATTTATGTAATGGGTTTGTTGGTCTAACCAAGAACTCATCTCTATTGTTCAATAGAAGTAAAGGTAATGTCTTTACACTACCATTGGCATCTGTTTGTTGTGCAGATATAATAAAGAATGTAATACACATATCTTTATCTTTATCTTTGTTTGTTATCGTCGAGTGAGTGATTGAATGAATGAGTGAATGAACGAATCAAAGAGTGAGTGGTGGATTCTATCTTGCGAGCTCGAGCCCAGATGGAGACTGGACCGCAATAGTAAAGACGAGGGATGACTTAAGTAATGTTGATTTATTAATATAATAATAATAATGTAGGATAGGGATAACTTGTGATGGAGTATGTATTGTAAGTCCTTCCACGCGTGTCGAAATGGAAGGTCAGATATCCAATCAATCAATGATTGGATCGCAAAGGTGTGACTGGCATGACATGACATATTGACTACCAGACATTGAATCAATTGATTAAATGGTAATCTCTTTCCTGTACTCTCTTAGGATGACAGGAATTGATGTGGGAGGAACCATGCCAAACTCGGTGATAACCATGTCAATGAGCTCGATGGGCGTCAGGTCGTACATGGGATTCAGTAGCTTGAGGTTGTCAATGTTCTTCCAATCTTTCAGGATGCTATCGCTGAGCAACTCCTTCTCGCTCAGGTTCGAAGCCAAATCGTTTGGATCGCCCAGGTCGTTGGAGCAGATCGAGTCCAGCTGCGCCTTCTCCGTGAACTTGTAGGTCTCGCAGCACACAATGAATGGCACGTTGTAAAAGTGCGCCATCGAAGCCACCAGCGCAGTGCCGGCACGTGACAACAGGTTGCCATTGGAGAGGATCGAGCAGGCGCCCACAAACACCTTGGTCACCTCCTTCATGATGTAACTGATGGCGTTGAGCAGGATGTACGTGCACTTGACGCCCTGGCGCACCAGACGATGCAGCAGCTCCTTGCCTTCGTGCTTGGGGCGTGAGTCCACGACGATCACACGGAACTTCTTGCCCTCCTTCTGTGCCTGTTGAATGATCATCTCGACGACATGCGAGCTTGCGTACGTGAGGATCACATCGCCATCCTTAATCTTTGAAACTCCATACTTTGTGATCACTCTATCAGCCACTCCTATTCTCTCAATGTACGAATCAATCTTCTCGTATAGTCTCTCTTTGGCCTGTTGTGATTGGTTAGTGATCGGCATGTCCATGGCCACTCGCGACACTACATACCTCTTCATGGGTCAATCGCTGGTTGCTGATCTCTGAGAGACATTGTTGCTTGAAGTAGACGATGGAGTTACTCATAGAGATGGAGATTGAACGACAGTCGACCAGGAATTGAATGAGTGGGTTGATGTGTTGGTTGAGCTCGCGAACAAAGTCCTTGTCGGCGGGGAGGTGAAAGTCGCGGATAACCTGCTTCAACGTGGTCATCAATGCGACGGCACGAGCATTGGAGCCAGAGATTGTGAATGTGGCGTACTTTAGACCGAGACTGATGATCTCTGGGTGGATGTCACTCGAGACAATGCCCAGCTTGTTCTCGATCTCAAACTGAGGCAGATGTGCAAACAGTGGGATGAGCTTCTGTGCGGGCATGGCGTTGATGATCTTCTTCTTGGCCACCTTGTCGCGTCTCTTGGGGTCGTCGTACTGCGTGGACGTTGTGTGCACTGGCCTCTTTGGGACGACGGGTGTTGTCTCCTCGCCTTCCTTCTTCTGTACCTGCTTTGGAACCTGTGGCTGTGCTTGCTGCTTTGGTGTTCCCTGTGGCTGTGGTTGTGGCTGCTGTGGCTGTTGTGGCTGTTGTGGTCTTGGCTGTGCTTGTTGCTTTGGTTGTCCACCAGCTTGTTGCTGCTGCTGTGGTGGTCTGCCACCTGCTGGTCTTCCACCTGCTGCTGGTGGGGCGCCTGCGCCTCCACTCGCCTGCTGCTGTAGCACTCTTTGATATTGCTTCTTGGTCATACCATGTGGACGACCGGCATCTGGATCAGCTGCAGCAGTCGGTTGAACGTGTGCCTGCTGTGTTGATTGAGGTGATTGAGATGTTGGTGTATGTTGTTGCTGTTGCTGTTGTGTTGGCTTTGGTAATGAATGAGATATCTGTAGATGTCCCATCTCTGACTCCCACTTTTGAAATATGTTGATTATCTGTCGATGTAGATGTAGTTGATGTTGGTGCTGATTGAGCACCATCCACAGCAATACTTGGTGAACCTGATCCACTACCACTGAATTGTTACATTGATGTCAGTCATTCATTCATTCATTCTTTCATTATCAATCAATCATGATAATGCATACCTCTTCTTATGATGATTCATCTTCTCGAGAGAACCTTTTGAACTACCAACTGATGATGGACTCTTTGAATATGGTGGTGATGTTGCTGATGGTATTGGGATAGGTGTAGTCTGTCCGCTCTGTATATACATGTAATGTATGTGTCAGTGACATCACATCACATCAAGACACAACCTCAATCAATCAAACATACCTTTGACGTATCAAAGCCAACTGTCTTTATTGCAGATGCCTTTGTCTTTTCTTCCTTTTGATCGATATCAATCTCGAGTTGTCTAGTGATTGAAGCTTCACTCTGTATAAATGTATTCTTATAAGACATCTTTATCTATATCTATATCTATATATATGTATATCTCTTTTCTTTCGTCTTGTTAGTTAATCATTTAAACAAGTAAGTTTTGAAGTGTTGTTGGTCCATCATCACTTTCATCAAACTTCACGAACTTGGGATCAAATTCAGAATTGTGAACAAACCCCCGTCTGAATTGCCCTCATTCACATCGATAATTGTCGCCTCATTCTGCCTTATTCAATCAAAGTAATACAGTCTAGAGTTGTATCTCTAGCATAGATATAACTTATGGACTCATTGCCACTACTAGTTACCAAACATATATTTGAATATCTATGTGAAGATGACATATTCAATGCCATTTGTCTAAGTCTAACATGTAGACGTCTATATCTAAACATGTCAAAATGTATAACATCACAGTTACAATACTCTAGAGATACATCATTCATTAATAACAACAACAATAATAATAATAATAATCTACAACAACAAATAACATGTATGACTTATGGTATTAGAGGAATGAATGAACAACCTTTGAAAGTTGGAGACTTGCCATCAACTTTAACAGAGTTGTCATTGAATGAAGACTTTTGTCAATTGATTAGTCCTGGTGCATTGCCAGCGTCATTAACCAATCTAACAATTAGATTTGGAAAGACAAACATACATGACCTTGGTCTCAATTGCCTACCTCAATCACTCAAAAGTCTGAGGGTGGAACAGTATCGCAAAGAATTCCAGCCAGATGTACTGCCATCGTCGTTGCGCACATTGACCCTGGTGACCCATCCCTCGCACATTGGTCCAAGATCACTGCCATCCTCACTGGTCAACTTGTACATGGTTGGTGTGAGTGCTGCAGGCTTCTCCATCGCTCATGACGCGTTGCCAAAGACCCTCCAAACTCTCACTCTGCCAGACTGGTACAACAGTGTATTGGTTGAGGGCTTTCTTCCAAAATCACTGCGCACTCTGGCGTTGGGCAGGAGGTTCGACCGAGACCTGCGACCTGGCGTCCTGCCAGCCTCACTACATACATTATTGATTGGTCAAGCGGACAATGGCTATGGTATCTTTGATCGCGAACTCGTCCCCGGTGCCCTTCCTGAATCCCTGGTCACGCTTTCAATCTGTACTTTTTTTGATCGACCCATCCAGCATGGCGTTCTACCGCAATCTCTCACCTCGTTGACCCTTGGCAAGATGTTCAACCAGCCACTGGCACCAGGTGTCTTGCCCATCTCGTTGTTATATCTTCACTTTGGACGAGGCCACATTGTCAGCTGCAAATTCGACCAGCCATTCCAGGTGGGATCTCTCCCTGACCACCTGATCGAGCTACATCTCAGCTATATATATGATCAACCATTTGCACATGGAGTACTACCTCAATCACTTAGAACATTATACTTTGGAGACTATTACCGAAAGACCTTGTCACCAGGTTTGTTGCCTGGCTCTCTGACCTCCCTCACTCTAGGCTCATACCTTCGTAGTGATGTTGCACCAGGTACACTACCTCAATCACTTAGGACATTGGAGATATGTTTGAAACCAGATATCTTAATTAGTGGAATACTACCATCATCAATCACTGAACTGTACTTGGAAAGCAATAATATTGATGCGATCAAACCTGGACAACTCCCATTGTCGATCACCAAATTGAGTCTTGGACACCAATACAATCATCCATTGTCCGCTGGGGTGTTGGGGCCCTCACTCACATGGCTCAGCATTGGCAAAGAGTTCAATCAGACCAAGAGGATCAACAAGGTGATACCAAAATCAGTCAAACATCTGGAGCTACACTCGCTTGGACAGAAGGCACTGTTGGATGGTACGCAGGTGGAGGAGTTGGTGATCAGAGGATCGGTCAGTGCCAACTACGCAGTGACAACGTGTCGTGCTGTCCTGAGGTCATTGAAGATGAAAGCCAACATTCCCCATACAAACACAAACAATGTACGCAATCGACAATTGCAGTTTGTCGCGTCATTGATCACGACCATACCCAATGTGACAGAGTACCAAGTCGAGATGAAGTATGCCAAGTCACCGCGAACCGGTAGGATCAATACCGAGGAAAGGACGATCACTGTACAGGTTCGAATGAATGATGATATACATGGCGTATGTCTTGTGAGGAAGCATCCCAGCCAACTCGAATCCATGGAACAGGAGAAGTTATACTTCCACACGCTGACATTTCGATTGGATCACAGCAAAGTGAACACGAAGAGCTCAAAGAAGACAACGGCCAAGAAGACAAAGTTAGGTGAATAAACAATATTATTGATTGATTGATGTAATTCTTAGATGGATGGAAGTTTGTACAAGTTGTGTCCTCTGATGGCATGCGCGTGTTGATTTGATTGATAGATGGTTGAAGGACGAATATACTACACCTGATCACTGATTGATCATGAATGATCCTCGCCACTGGAGTGAAGTGAGTGCTCATCGTTGCTGCTAACATGTTGCAAAGAGTCGTTGGTCACTTGGATAAAGTCATCAGTTGATTCAGAGTCTACCAGTACGGTGTCCGAGTCTGACTTGTTGACAGAGAACTCACTAGTGCCAAATGACTGGTTGCTTAGACTACGCTCAGGTACCTGTGTAATGTCGCCATCGTCATTATCGTTGTCATTGTTGTTGTTGTTGTCGCCGCGACTTATATTCTCGGATGATGATTGATTGGTGTTGTTATCTTTGTTGACGGATGAGCTACGGCTACGCGCCTTCTCAGCCTGCATCAACTCTTTCTCCTTCTTCTTGTTGAGTGCATCCATTATCAGACATTTGACAACGACCACCTCCTTCTTGGAGTTCTCCAGCGCCTCTTGTGGGTCGAGATCAATGTTGGTGCGAATGAGTGTTGGCGTCAGGACCACGGCCAGACTCTGTACATCCATCTTTGAAGACTCTGCAAACTCTGGCTCAAGGAACTCGGCCAAGAAGTCAATCAAATACTTCAACACTCTCTGATTGAGCAATGGAATACCATTCTCAATGATCGATGTCGAGTTGTGAGGTGTTGTGATGATCTCATCACTGGAGTGATAACCAGGAAAGGTGTTAGTACATCGAATGATTGCTGGACAATCATGTTAAGTGTGTACATACTAGATACCGAATGATATTAGAGGGTTGGGAAGGTCCTTTAGCCACTGCTTGAGAAGGGAGGCAACCATGTGGACGTCGGTGAGGTGGTCCAGACTGCCACCTTCGTCCAACTTTTGCTTCTCCACAAGGGTCTGGGCATGAGATGGCGACATTCTAAAGATGTTCTCTGTCTCGAACGCATTGAGCTTGAGTAGTGTCTGTACAAAGTCGACCAAAATCAATGGTACCTCGAGCTGAGGATTGTCAGCCTTTTGTTGGTCCATGAGCTCCTCCAAGTCTGCACCAAATATGCGACTCTTTAGTGATTGGAGCTCCTGCTGCTTGGGTGGTGGCACTGAGCTGCTGCTACTCTTGCCAAAGAATCCAAAGAGATTGAAGCCGCCAGAAGACTTGGCTGCGGGTGGTGACGTGGACATTGGCACCGAGCCCGTGCCACTGGTGCTGCTGCTCAATGATATCAACTTGCCCTCGACAAAGGGTTCGAATTGGAATGGAGGTGGAATCTTCTTGACAGAGGCATGGTTCTTGATATAGCTCTGGAGGTCCTCCTCTGGATCAATGATATCCGTCTGCTTTCCACGACTTGTCAGCTCACCATCAAGTGCTGGTGGCAACTCCAACATCAATGCCATGTAATTCTTGATGTTACTCTTGATGAACTGCATCCTCATCAATTCGAACTGTTCAAATTCCTGTTGATTGATCCATCCACCGATTGATTGATTGATGCGTTAGAGTGAGCATAAGATCATCGTCGCACGTCCAAACATACATTCAAGTTGTCAGTCATCTTTGATTGGTAGTAACCTTGGATAAAGTCGTTGGTCTCTTTGATCTGGATCTTGTATTCCTCTTCGGCAGTGATGCAGTTGGCTTCGCATTTGGCCACCTTTTTCTCGATGGCTTGTACCTTTACTGAAGGTCCTTCCACATCAGTCTCTTTCTCTAGCATTGTGATCAACTCAATCTTTGCGGCTTCATTCTCCTTGCACAACTTCTCATACTTTTGGCTTGCCTTGCGTACTGCCTCCAAAGAGTCCTTAAAGTCATTCCTAAGTCTCTGTCCCTCGTTAACAAGCTGGATACAGGTGTGTAAGTGAGTGAATGTGGACTTAATCAATCAATCATTCAATCAACATACATTCTTCCTTCTGGTCTCCATCTCCTTGACCAAAGCATTGAATGGATGGATTAGATTGTTGCTCAAGTTGGTAGAGAATGACTTGTGAATGTTGGACTCTGCCTCACTAAGTACAGACAGGCAGCTGAAGCCCTTCTGGAATGAACTGAATGAAGTCGGTAGATGGATGATGCATACTCGTTAGTGTCCGTATCCATGTCCAGTGAACAACAACCCTACATACTCTGTCTCATCCTTTAACTTAAACTTTGAGAACTGCTCCACGACGAACTTTGAGTACTTGTCCTCCATGGCAGCTCTCTTCTTGAAAAAGTCCAATAGTTCTTTACATTGATCGATACCAGCCTCTGTCCTCTTACATAATACATCAAATCCGTCCCACATATCAGTTGAGAACTTCATCCTCCTAACATCAGCAGTCTGTGATGGCAACACAGGTGTCGTCGCCACCTTTTCAACAACAACCTCCTCCTTCAGAGTTTGATTTCCACCTGTCAATGGATTGGGGACATTATTATCTTGTCCAATCATTGTTTGTTTGGTATATTTATATATGTATGTATTTGATTATGATTATGATATTGATTGATGGTTGAATGAATGAATGAATGAAGGTGATGAAGTAGGTGTTGTGAAGGAAACACTTTTAATTAAAGTTGAGCGATGTGGACTGTTCAAAGAACAAAAGTTAATGAGAGTGTTGGGGGGTTTGATCAACTAATGAAATGAGCGTGATTGGACAAGGTGTGATGAAGTGTGAGGTGGGTTGCAACGGTGATCCCTTTCAACAACAACCCAGGGACAGGATGACTGTGGAACAACAGGGACTAATTATTTATTATTATTATTATTCGAGGAGGATGAGGATGATGATGATGATGGATTGAGTATGACAATGTACAGGAAGTTGTCTGGATGACTAAAGTACTCGCCAAGCCAGACGAGTGATGTGTCCAAAGGTGGCTCGATACCTTGAATCAAGTATCGCAGTGTACCACTACTGTTGTCATTGGTCTTCAATGATTGTAACAGTGTAGATTGTTGTTGTTGTTGTTCTGATTGTTCAATATTGTTGTTGTTGTTGTTGGAGGCAGGAGTCCAAGGAATCTTGCTAAACAATGATTCCAAAGTCATTTCTTGACCATTGTCTTTGAATGGTGGGAATAGATCTTGAAGAGGACTCTTGTTGTTCTGTATGATCCTAACTGGTACATGCTTATATCCATTGCTGCTCACTGGGTAGAATATCTTGTTGATCGACCAGAACTTCTCATAGTCATCTATGTTTGATTGATTTGAATGTGTCAGTTGAATGTACATCATCTTCATCATCATCACACATTGACTATGTATACATACGAAGTCTGAGTCCATCCCATAACTCATTCGATTGATTGATATTGAGGTTGTTCCACTTGTTTATATCGCCCAGCTTGATGTAGTTGGCCTACATATATAGTGAGTTATCTTTGTTAGCTCATCTCATCTCAATCAATCAATGATATGATCGATCACTTACCTCCTTCAACACATTCTTGTAGTATGTCTGAACTGACTCCTCGTTGGGACATCGAAGTAACACCTTCTCAGGGTAGGACTGGAAGTGTACTGTTACATTCCAAATGACAGGTGTTGAGTTTGATCCATGATAATCATTGCTGCTACTGTTACTGTTACTGTTGTTGTTGTTGTTGCTACTGTTGTTGTTGTTACTGTTGTTGTTACCACCACCTACACTATCATCTGCAACCAACATATCAAACAGTACACCTATTGGTAGATGCCACTTGAGTGGTATTCCTTTGTATTCCAGCCACAACTCCTCAGATATAACCAATGTACTATAAGAGAAATGATCCCTTACCACTCCTGTTATCAAAGGGAAGTATGAGTTCCTTGGTACCATCAACTAATATATACATGTTAATAAGTTGTTGTTATTGTTGTTGACATCTTTGACATCACTATACATACAGTGATTGGTGATGGTGCCATATGAGTAGTAAGATCATTCTGTGATAATGTGAATAGGACTGGTATCTTTCCCTCCCAAACCGACTTCTTTATATCCTCATCAATATATGCAGAAGACATTATTATGTATATATAATATCTCTATCTTTATAACTGTCTTTGCAATACTTAAATGAAGTTGAGTTGGACAAAACACACCAAAAAGTTGAAATCTGGCAAATTGAATGAACTTCTAGTTTCCAAGCCCAAGGCCAACACGACTTGGAGCGACATGAATATGATTGATTAAGTTGAGTTGTTGTTGGATTCATTGTACGACTATAATAATGAATAGAAAAGAGTGAGAAGTGTTGGGACTCCCATCACTTGGCACTTGCTGCCGAGAATGGTCATCTCAACATCATACAAATCTTTATCAATCACCGAAAGGAACATCAATATGAGGAAGAATAAGAAGAGAAAAGGATAGACAAAAGTAGAATGTCAGTTATCTGAGACTGGTCTATCAAAACATCAAATAAACAAGCGATTCATTAAGTGGAATCTTCCATAATTGATTGATTTATATAATGTAAAAGTGATAAAATGATTGAATGAATTAATCAATGTATTAATAGGCAGAAGACAATTCCTAGTTACTAGATATTCTATTCAATAATTCCTGGTCAGTCTATTTTGGGTCAAATTGTAGAAGACATAGAGTAATCATACTACAAACCAACGAGTACTAATTATAATTTAATATATAGATGTAGTATAATTAATATTAATAATAAAAGGTTTTGTAACAATATATCTACCAATTGGTTGAAAATATATATGTAAATTGATCTTTAGTGTTTATGTATGATTGATTATGTTGACCCTAGATTTATTATTATTTATAGATGGAGGATATCATATAATTAATTATATCAAGAACATATATAACATTAAAAATAATAATAATAATAATAATGAATATTTATATTTTTACTCTCTTTTTTCTATTGTCAATATTATTAGTTGGAACATTATCTACTCCTCAGAATGAAAATTTCTACATAATGTCAGATGATCCTCCAAGACCAGAAATTGGGTTTCCTTACTCTGATGTTTATAGACCTTTAAATATCTATTGAGACAGGTGACGACTAATGTATATAATAAAGAATCTTCTCACTCAATAAATAAGTACTTAATCTGTATTCCAATACTTTAGTTTTGAGTACTTTGAGAATCAAGTGAAGACATTATGGAAAATCTTCAATAAGATTTGTTTTGAATTGGATAATTGATTAATGAATCCATAAAATAATAATAAGTAATAATAATAGGATAGGTAGGTGTTGAGGTTTATTCATAAATGCAACGAATGAATGAATGAACATTATATTATCTTCGCTCCTTGGAGAAGAATCTAAGAGCTAGATATGAAAAGATGTAGAAAGATACTAGGAAGGCTACAAGGATACTGACACATCCAGCTTTGGTAAAGTCCTTGGAACCATAGAATTCAATCAGCTCTGATCCATTGTTGAAGAAACATACCTCACCTGGTGTGCATGGGAACTCAATTCCCTCAAACTCACTAATGATCCATGCGTTGAATGCATAGTATAGTGGATTGAGATAATGTATCCAGGCAAAGCCGACTGGTAGACTCTTGACAGGCACGAGGAATCCGAGGAATAGTTGGTATATGATAGTGAATCCAGATCCAACTGAGAATGTGTTGTCACTTGTTCCAGTCACATTGGATAAGAAAACAATGAATAACACTGACCATAGGTGTATCAAACAGTTGACCAGTAGAGCAAAGAAGAATGCTGATGGTGTGCTACGTAGACCTGCGATCCAATATACAATAGTAGTGAACACAATGGCCACGATCAAAGACATGATCAGCTCACACATAATGTAACTGAAGAAGTATGAGAATGCCGAGTGTACCTTTGATGCCCTCTCCTTGTTATAAAGGTATCTTGATTCCAGGACTATCATTGATTGATTGATTGATTGATTGATTGAGTGTTAGGACCAAGATGGAACTACTCCATTGACCAAGGTTGTGTAAGAACTTACACAATGATATTGTCTTGAATGGAGTGAGTTGGAGGGAGGTGATTACAGAGTACATGATGGCCACTCGTTGAAGTAGTTGAGTTTGATTGTAACCAAGTTGATAGAAACATGCTCCAAACAACAAGGCAACCACAACTGATACCAATGTCCTAAGGAAGAAATTGCCTGGATTCCTCAATGTATGGATGGCACTCGTTACAAATATAACTCTTATTTGAGTAAACATTGATACGTTGCCCTAATGTATAATTAATAAGTTAGTTAGTACTATATATATACATTGGAATAGTTCCATTCATACATACAGCATATTTCTTTTGTGGACTATCATTTACGATCAACTTCTCATCATTCAATACATTGTTGATTACACTATTAATGTTTGGTGATATGATGGTATTGATATCGTTGGCCATCTCATCAAACACTGTCCTGTTATTATTCTCCAAATGTATCATTGAGTCCACTTAATAATAGTTTGTTATATTAGAGATTACATCCAAATAAGAAATGATCATGTTCAGTACATACTTAGGAAGTCCATTGAGTTCATTCCAGATGGGCAAGTATAACCTTTGTTCTCAAAGTATCCAAAGATATCACGTCCAAAGTATAGTTGAGTACCTTTGACAATGAGTAGGAACTTGGTGAACATGGAGAGAATCTCCATGCGTGGTTGATGGATGGTGCATACTACTGTGACACCCTTTCGACATAATCGTTGCAAGGTCTGAACGACCTGTAGTGCACTAGTCGAATCCAGTCCACTGGTAGGCTCGTCCAACACAATGAATGAAGGTGCCATCACAAGACTACATCCAATGTTCAACCTCTTCTTCTCGCCACCGGATAGACCACGTAGGTAGTTGCCGCCAGGCAGTAGTCCTCCAATTTTGTAGTCCTCCTTGCCATTTAGACCAACTGTTCGCAAGACTGATTCAATCAACTTGGCCTTCTCATCGACGCTCACATGGCTTGCCAACTTCAAGTTGGCATAATAATATAATACCTCACTCACTGTTAGAGTTGGTAGGAATACATCCTCTTGAGTGACATAACCACATAGATGTTGGATATCATTAGTCATTCGACTATTGTTTACAATAATATCACCATAAACATCACCAATAGTCTTTCTTTCAACCAATACATCCAATAATGTTGTCTTTCCAGATCCTAGAGATGTGTTTGATTGATTGAGTTAGTGATTGATTGAGAGATTGAGTGGATTGAAATGAATGAGTTGGGATATATACCTGATGGACCGACAATAGCTACAAAGTCACCTGGTTCAATATTGCCCCAGATGTTACTGATGATGTTCTTTGGTTTGTTGTTCTTGGTGATTGTGTATCCAACATTTCTGAAGGACATTGATGTTGGTGTGATGTCATATGACAATCCATCACCAGCTCCATCATTAATTGTTATAGTATTCTCAATCATGGATAAATATTAATAAATAAATAAATATTAAATAAATAATAATTAATAATAAATAATAAATATACTTGTGATTGATGTGATTGAAGATGACACTGTAACTTTTGGCTTTAGGTACCTTGGTGTAAATTAATTAATGAATGAAAGAAGATGATTGATTGATTGGAGCAAATATGTGATGGATGGATGATGAGGGACTGTGAGCCATGACAGTGCGAATAGATGATCACTCATCATCCACATTGGTATGGTTTGGCAGCATCCCCAATTGGCACTTTGTATATCGACAATGGCCACTCCGAAGCTTGTTGTAAAGAGTGCCTCTTGCCCAATGGAACAACAACAGTAGCACCACTATTACATTGATTGATTGATTGATAGATTGATTTAATGTACTGATTGATTGATTGATTGACTGTGGAGTCAAGAATGAATGTATGAGGTGGTCATTCAATAATATTTGTTGTTGTTGTTGACATGGCATGTTGTGATGGCATGGGTAGGTGTATCATTCATTCATTCATTCATTGTCGGAGTGCGAACAATGATGATGCCTGTATCATGGTCAAAGATCATTGACACACCCTGGCCCGCATTGCCACCCATCACCTATCCTATTTATTGATCCTCCAATGACTGTTGATCATGTGATTGATTGTGTGTGTTCGTATGTGTGTGTGTGTGTGAGGTGAGTGTGGAACTGATTGATCACACCACACTCAATCACAATTTAGATGGTTGATCATATGCTTTTAAAGGTTATAAATAAATAAAGTTGTGCACTTATATGCTTTATAATTTTTACAACGAGCAAGAGCATTGAGCAGGAGCAATGATGACACCATTTGTCCGACCTGGACTGGTCCGGGAATGGAAAGGAAAGGAATGGAATGGAATGATTGAGTGAAGCGGCAAATGAACAGCAACAGCAGACGACGGTTCCAGAAATAGACTACTATTACTGCTGCTGAAGTTGAAGTTGACTGTTGATCTCATCCAACTGCTTGACGATTGTTGGGAAGGGTGGACGGCTCTGTGGATCAGCGCTCCAGCACTTGGTGATCAGTGCGGCGTACGCCTTGTTGCAAAGGGGACTGATGGTGGGTCGCAGTCCGTTCAGGATGTGGTCCTCCAGGGTGCTCATAAACTTGATGTTGAACTCTTCGAATGGCAGTTGCATGTGGAACAGCTCCCACATGATCACGCCAAAGCTATATATATCGCCCTTCTCGTTATACTCGTAGCCATTGAGCACCTCGGGTGCCAGCCACATCGGGTTGTCCACGACTTTGGACACAAAGCCCTGCACAACCGTCCTCGACAGTCCAAAGTCTGACACCTTGGCCACTATCGCATTGGGATCATTAGGTTGAGTTGATAAAAGTATACTACAATGATTAATTGATTGAATGATTGAGTTAGTGATTGATCAATCATGGGAATGATTCCATTTCCAACTTATGTATGATACATACTTTGGTGACTTTAAGTCTCTATGTACAAGTGGCGGCGAGATGTTGTGCAGGAAAGCCATGCCAGAGGCAATGTCTTTGGCAATCTTGAAGATGGTGCTCCAGGGTAGGGTCTCGTTGGCCTCGCGCTTCTTGCGCAGGTATGATGACAAGCTGCCCAAGTCCATGTACTCCATGACGATTGAGTATGGGTCAATGCAGAAGCCCTTCATGTGCACGATGTTGGAGTGTGTCAGGTCACTCATCAGCCAGACTTCGCGACGGAACTCATTGATCACTGACAGCTTGGACGACTGTGACTGCGACTGCTGCTGATGCTGGATGTGTGTGTTGGACGATGAGTCCTCAGACGATGACGTGGAGGAGATCGAGCTGCTGGACGACTGGCGCTGGAAGGACAGGGGTGTGCTGGCTGTGGACGATGTGGCGGCGGCTGTGGGTGTTGGTTGCTCGCTGCCCACATCCATGCGGTCGAGGTTGAGCTTCTTGACGGCGACTTGCTCGCCCTTGAGCGTGCCCTTGAACACCTTTGCAGAGGCGCCTGCGCCAATCTGCTCCAGACCCTTGATGTCGTCGAAACTGATCTTGGTCGTGGAGGGCACCGAGGAGAGTGTGACATCTGGTGCGATCTTGGCAATACACATCAGCTTCTGGCTGCTAGGACAGGTGATGTGTGCCACGCCCTCGACAAACGATGCCTCAACTTGGCCAATCTCAAACAATGTGGGTGCGTCGCGACACTTGACTGTGCAGGCACAAGGCACGTAGGATAGCGCGGGGCTGAAGCCTTGCTGGTCCTTCAGGAGCGTGTCGACATTCTCCAATACGATCTGGAAGAGACGAGCCAGGGAGTCAAACTCATGGCCACGCACACGGATCTGAAGTTGCTGGGTGCGAGGGTCAAACTCGACCAGCGTGCCACAGGACGACATTGAATTCTTGACAGAGTCCTTTAGGCTCTGTGGCTTGCGGAACAGAATGCCTGTGCGCCAGCACACGATGGGCTCCATCAGGTAGAGGAAGCGCACCATCAGGCGCTCAAAGCATGACTTTGGTGCGTTGGTGAACTGATAGTATCGTCCGATCTGCAACTCGTCGACGCCGCTCCATGTGTCCCACATGCTGGCCAGGTGTGATGGCTTCTGTTGTGGCAACAGACTGGGAATGATGATTTTGGTGAAACGGATAATGCCGCTGAGGTCGGTCGAACGGTGACGCATGGTGTCGTGGTGTGACGTTGGCGTGTGTGGCGAGGCAGTGGCGTCGACAGACGCTAGGAAGGTGGCAGTGGATGAGGACGAGATGATTGCGGGTGCGGCCAGCTCAAGTGGCTTGAACTTTGGAAGAGGTGAGGACACGGTGCGCGTCTCCTCTGTGAGAATGGGCGATTGGTAGTCGATCGAGTCTTTGAGTGGGTAGACGATGTTGAAGCGCTCGAGGATCTTGACAAGCACGATGTGCAGCTCCTCTGGCACGATGGGACTGCGCCACACGTTCTTTAGCTTCTTGACGCTGAGTGTTGAGTCAGACGAGATGAATGTGTGCTTGGACATGACGAGAGCGGCGAAGCAGTCGCTGAGCCACTGAGGGTTCAAAATGACAAAGTCCTTGAACAACGACTTGTCGTCGTCCGCCAACCAGATGATCGAGCCCCATCGATGCAATGTCTTGGTGGCACGCTCCAGCTTCTCGGGCAGCGTGATATTGGCCATCTTGGCAATGTTGACGTACTCGCCCCACGACACGATGGGCGGCGTGCGCTTGCGTGACTCATCCTGCAACAAAGTCTCGAGCTGTGCGTAAACAGCGGGCACCTTCTCATTGATCCACGTCGAGTGCTGCTGGAGCAGCGTGGTGATGATCTCCTGGCGCAGCATGTCCATGTTGCGTTGTGTGGTCGTGCTGACGCCAATCACGCCAGTGACCTCAAGTGCGCGCTCCTTGAGGAACGCCTCGACCTGGTGCAGGGCGCGCATGATCACGTCGCCGCTGCCACTGAGATGCATTGCGTCCAGATGAGTTGCCACAATGTAGATGGGTGCGTTAGGTGCTTTGGCCTTGACGCTGTTGACCCAAAAGTCGAGTGAGCTGCTCAGGGGGTCCTTGTTGATGTCGAATGTGATCAGATAAAAGGCCTGCTCCGAGAGGAAGAACTGATGTGTGTTCCAGTAGACGTCGGGGTTGTTGAACCTAAAGTCTGTGCACATGAGCTTCAGACTGCGCTTCTTCTCGGCGCCACTGCCGCCAGACATTGTAGTACCTCCGCCACTCTTGCGACTAGCCTTGGGTGAGGTGGAGACACCATTGTCACCACCGAGGGTGATGGATGGCAGCTCGACGCGCCACTCAATCGTCTCGATCGGATCCAGTTGCTGTGTGACAATGTCACTGGCCCCGCTGATGACCGTGCCACTCTGGCGACGGTAACTGACGGCCGACTGCTTGGACAGCGTCTTTGATTGATACTTGGTGAGTGCTCGCACCAGAGATGTCTTGCCCGTGCGTTCCGAACCCAGTACGATGAGCTTGAGGTGCGGCAGTGGCTGACTGCCATCGATCATGTCGCGCAGGTAGCCCATCACCTCTGCAAAGCCCTTGGACGTCACGGACTTGGGAGGTATCTTGACGCTGTTCTCTGGGAATGCCAATGACTTTAACGAGRGGGCATCTGTGCAAAGAAGGCTGGTAACTCGACAATCCTGTTGTAGCCCAGACACGTCGACCGATTGGAGAGTGGAGAGCAGGCCCAACTCCTTGGGTATGCGTGTGATCTTGTTGTTCTTGAGGTCGAGGTGAGTGAGTGCGCGCATCGAGCCTATCAGCTCGGGGATGTATGTGATGACGTTGGCGGCGGCGTACAACTTCTCTAACGATTGAAGTTGGAATATAACAGAGGGCAGCAATGTGAAGCAGTTGTTGTTGATGTTCAGCTTGACCAACCTCTCCAAACGATTCAAACTGCTTGGTAGCGTGGACAATGAGTTGTGTGACAGGTTGAGTGATTCAAGGTTGTACAACGTCGCGACTGATTCCAAACTAATGGAGTCAACCAATGTATTGAACGATATGTCCAGGACCTATAGGGTAGGGTAAGGGTGAGGTTTGTTAGTGTCGCGTCCACCGCCACAGAGAACACACCGTCGTCCACTCGCGCACGGAAACACTTACCTTGAGGTAGTTGAGTGTGTTGATGATGGTAACTGGCACTGATGAGAGGGACTTGTGAGCGAGATGTAGTTCGCTTTGACGCTTGATAGAGACGTATGATATGATTGCCTCGGGCTTGGTGATGAACTCGTAGAAGACATCGTGGCTGTCCTCCAATGACTTGCTGCTGACCAATGATGGTGATGACTGTGATTGAGGTACACTTGATATTCCAAGTGATGATGACAATGATGTGCTATTGTTGTTGTTGTGATGTGAAGAGTTGGACGATGATGAGGAGGAAGAGGAGGAAGAGGAATTGGTTGAAAACGTGGAAAATGAAGCTGATGTTGAAGAAGAGATGGACTGTGACAGACCAGTTGACGCCGCCGCCGATGAGGAGGACGATGTTGATGAGGACATTGAAGAGGACATGGAGTTGGCGAGACCATGTGATGTTGAGGGTGGTGGTGGCATGCCCGTCGATGTGGACAAGCCTGATGAGGATGTTGACGTTGTAGTTGTTGGTGTAGTTGGGTGACAAGTGCCAATCTCAAAGAATATGTTCAAGTTCATCAGCTTGCCACCTATGCTAGTAGCATCGCGTCTTCCTATATCCAGTCGTGTCATCAACCACTCAATCAGCTGCGTTCCGCTAAAACAGTTGATGGAAGCTGCCATAAAGTTCTTCTTTCTGCGCTGCATCCTAATGCCCTTCTCGCTGTGCATCAAATCGAGTCCTAATTGAAAGAGCTACATTGGTATGGTGTCAGTAGTCGTTAGGGAGTGTTGGTACACTGATCCACATACCTCGTCTTTGAGCAGGGTCAACTGCCTGTAGTGTTTGGGACTGCTGTAGAATGGATTGTTGTTTGGCGTCGAGGACAATGAGCTGGCTTCGCTGCCACTGTCATTGCGACTATGATGTGTTGATGATGATGTAGTTGATGATGGTGTTGATGGTGTTGTACTACTGCGTGCAGCCGCTGCTGATGTCAATGTAGGTGTGGCCTCTGTACTGCTGATTGAGTTGACAGTGAGTGGTGGTAGTAATCTTGGAGTTGACTTGTTGAGTGGCGAGCTGTTTGGTGTAGACCTCTCTGATGAAGATGATAATGACAATGACCTGAAACTATAGAATAGATAGTCATCCTTGAACAGCTTTGCCTGTGTCGTCGTAGCAGCTGTACCTGTATTATCCATGAATGAAACTATATCGAATGTTCCCTAATGGATTGGATTGCATTGGATTGGTTAGTCTCTTGCTTACTGATCAGTCAGAGAGGAGGACTCATGTGTCTAGCTTACATTGTCCAACAACTTTTGACCAAGGATGATGGCTTCTTCCCTGGATTTCAGGCCGATTACATTGCCAAAGATCCAGTCGACTGCTTCATAACCAACGAAACACTTCTGGTATGTCTTTAACATATATTGTCTATCCTTGACCTCAAGGCCACCTGGGGCCTGCATTTCCATCTTTATCCTTTCCAGCTGTTTTGATCATTGTGTGTGCGTGTGAGTAAGTGTGATTGAGAGAGTGAGTGTTGGACTTTGGCCTCTGTACTTGGGCCTGGTCCCTGAGTCTCAACATACATCTTCGTGTGCAGCCATTTTGTTTGGCTCACTTTGCTATATATGTTTAATTGTCTAAATCGTTATCGATTGATTTGATTGGACTTGAATTGAATTGATTGGATTGGCTCCTAGAGTGTTGGGATTTGAATTGAACTGCACTGCACTATACTAATACATCAAATCTAAGATATATAATAAATATTAATATTGAGATGGATGATGGTTTGATTGATTGATTGAATGGGTTATTAGTAGTTGAACAAAGAGAGAACCGGTGTTTAATTCTGTTAAAGCAACAACAATAATAACGAGTGAAGCCACGAAGACGTTGTTTGGTTGTAATGTTTTTGTGTGATTGATTATCGTTTTGTTGATGCGTGTGTGTGTGGATGAGGGAACCGTTCTAACAAATCTAGATTCCTTTGTCTTAGTATTCCCACCAGCCGAGAGAGAGAGTGGGTGATGGGTCTCTCATTCTTGGGCAAGGAACCAAATATTTGATTGTGTTTTGCTTTCTTTGCCGAGTCGACCACAAATAGAGTTCACTGGTGAGTGGTGCAAGTGATCTTCGTACTACACATACCCAATAAATGATTAAGGTTTACTTGGATGGGGATACGGAGTTACTTTGTTGTTGTTGTTTGTATCTACAAGTTATTAATAAAAAAAAAATGGAGGGAAGGAAGGAGAGGAGGGAGGAGAAAAAAAGAGATAACTATATCTATTATTATTATATATATACAATTGATGGTAAGTTGATAAGAAGATAAAAGAGGAGAAAGTGGATAACTGATTGAAGGTAACTTTGGAAGGAAGTCTGTGTGTGTTGTGTTTGTGCCCGATCAAAGTTCTGATCGATTCAAAAACAGAGAGAGTGAGAGAAAGAGAGAGAGGAGTTTTCGTGAAGAGCGATCAAAGACGATGTTGTGTCTTTCTTTTTGTGTTGTTGTTGTTGTGTGTATGTGTGTATTATTTAATGTGATGACACATCTGACCCGTACATCTGTCATGATCTTTGATTAAAAGATGCAGGCTCGATGCCCGCGGGTTGTGAGAGAGTTAAACAGAGTGATGATGTTGTTGTGGTGTTTAGGTTTGGTGTATGTGGGATGTGGGAGGCGGGTTTGGGTTGATCAAAAAAATAGGGCTAGCTCTGCGAGTGATCGCTGTGACAGCAAAGTGTTGGGGCGGGGGTTTGGTCAATCCTTCCCCCAACTTGACACAAATACGAGTCTGAAGGCCCAGCTCATCCAACAATGGGTTCAGGTGTGTACAATTATAGGCAAGGCGGCCCAACACCATCACACACACCTCACCACTTGATTATGATATGATATTAATAATTATCTTGCTGAGAGACCAACATCCGCAGAACGATCATTTGATGATCGACGGGTCGTGATTAATACATGCATGTTCATTCATGGCGTGAATGTCCATAGTTTGTGTACCGTGTTTGACTTTTCTGAATCCCAACTAGCATCTGTGTAAAGGCTAATCGGTTGGTAAAATAATCAATGGGTCCTGGTACAGGCCCTGTAGGTAGGAAATGGGGTAATAGATGGGGTCTACGTAGGTTGCGAATACTAAAATGACACTGTATTACTTTACACACAGGACAAGAGAGAGTAGACGACCATTCGTCGGATGGGGTCTACCTTACCTTACACTGTGGTTTGATTGATTTGTTGAATAAGAGAGCGAATCTGTAAATGCATACCAGTCTTCGGTGTATGTCTTGGAAGGATACCAATTTGTGGGGCTCGGGTCGGAATGCTTCGATTGTAATTGAGATAGTAATCGAATAATAGTTTGAAATATCTAAGTATGTGAGGTTGTAAATGTAAATCTTTGTTTTACTATTATTATTATTATCTCTTACATGTATGTATTGATAATATATATAATAAATAATGTTATTGTTGATGATTTCAGGCGTGTTGTTGTTGGTCCATCTAATTGTCGTGTCGCCACTATATACCATTCAATCAATCAAACAAACAATCATTGAAAGGTTTAATTACCTTATTAATGGATTGATAAGTGATAGATGATGGTGGTCTTGTTGTTGTTGATTGATTGATTGATTGATGGACCATCAAACATATACATACATAGATAGATAGATAGAATAGTGTTCCAATTCAACACCACCCACCACGTTGTTGGAAGGACGGCCGTCCATGTTTCAGGAGACATCCTACATCATCAGGTCACTAATACCGAGTGCCCTAGTCTGATGTGTGTGTTGGGGTGTTTGGTGTTTATTGTTGTGATTGGTCAGTGATGTGGTGTAAGTAGTTATTCATTATCAAGATTAACACTTCACACTCAAATTTATTTATTAACATCACTGCTCCACAACCAACAAGAGTGATTGATAAATTGAGTGTGTATATGTATGAATATATTAGAGAAGGACATTGTTGTCGAATGGCCTGGAATGGGCTTAGTCATATTATCCTTGATCATATGAAAGGACATTCAATTTCAAATGGTATGCATACAATAATAATGAGAATGGTCACTCTGACTTCTCTTTGAAATTGATTGATAAATTATTATTATTATTATTATTAATATTATTTTGAATAAATGATTAATCCCAGTATTTTGATTGAATTTAAATATATAAATATTTAATATTATTATTATTAAATGATTGATGCAAACTCGATTCACACACATCATGTTTACCTGTTCTCATCTTTGTGTTTATGTTGTTGGTCTTGACATAAATTTTCAAAGCATAACGTTTTTGTTTCAAACACAATCACAACAACAACAAACACACAAACACATCAATTCTAATACAAGTACATTGTTCATTGGTGACTAACACTTATATTTATATTATATATATATACTTACATACTTAGTAGATATACGATATATCAACATCATATCAACATCATATCAACAATTCATAATAGATAGTTAGATAGATAGATAGATAGATAGATAGATAGATAGATAGATAGATAGATAGTATTGTTCAATCAATCAATCAATCAATCGATAGAGATGGAACATATCAGTGAAAGGGTTCAATGCGAGTCAAAGAAGGCTGGTGTGGTGTCTGATATGTACGAGAAGGACAATCAGGCAATCCTTCAATGGATAGATGATAACTTTGACACAAAGAAGTACAGTAACAATAACATTGGCGAAAGTGCAGGCAGCAGTACCTCTAGCAACAATAATAATAGCAGTGACAATGATGTAGACAATGGCCTGTCACAAACGACAAAGGCATCATTCGATGCATTGGTGCGCACAATATTTCAATTCGAAGACAGGTACCCAAAGCGACCATTCGAGGTCTACATTGATATGGATATGGCACTCAAGGTACTGCTGCGTAGACACTATCCCATCACACCAGCATCACACAACATCATTGCAGAGGACAAGATCGCCAATCAAAACCTCTTCCCCACTTGGATCGAGGGTCTTGACAAACTGCACTCGACCGTGCCCATCAAGGCACCCTTGTCTGGCACCTACAAGTACGAGGTGATGGTGTCACGCACCCCCATACAGCTAGGCTGGGCAGCATGTTATACATTGGAGGTGAGTTTGAATCGAGTTGAGTCGAGAGTCACATGATCGTCAATGCAGTGCACTAACTAACTTTGATCAATCACAAACAGACTGGAAATGATGATTCAGTACCAAACTCATTTCATTATATAATGGCATTTGTTGAAAAGACAAAGCCGATGGACTCTATATTTTCAAGTGGCGAAGTGATCAGCTGTCAGTTGGACCTTGATAGCATGGAGATGACGACTTGGGCCACTCGATTCTACTCGGTACAACCGATCAAGGTGGACAGGACCAACATCCCTCATCATGCTAGAGTGTTCTTCCTGCCCGTCCTAACATTCAACAAGTCAAAGTGCTTCCCCAACTTTGGATCAATGCCCTTTGTCCTCTCCAATCCACTGGCGCCAGCAAACACTCCCGATCCCAAGGCATTGTTCCAGATCAATGAGTCACGTCTAAAGCGACTTGAATATCTCTACAAGTCACTTTATCGTTTGATCAAGTTGACAATACATGGATTTGTAAGTTGTTGTGACGAGAGTTGTATTGATCGATCAAACAATGTACTCACTCACTCCACTCACTCAACTCAATCAATCAATCACTTACAGGTCGACATGGAGATGTTCAAACATATACTTCAAACTGTTATGGCAGAGATATGCGAGCCATCGATCAATCACTATTGTATCGCCAATTGCCTGATACCAATCTTGGAGGAGGTTGTCATCTTTCATAGTAGCTTCTTTGCAAAGGTGATGGGAGCATTCGAGTCTGTTCTAAAGACAAACTCATACATTATACTATGCTCGGTGGTCATCAGCAGAGCGGCCTTCCTCAAGAAGGCAAGGAATAATGATCAGAGCATTGCACTACTGCTGTGTAGACATCTGTTGGCCAACCCAACCATCAGAAAGATCTTCTGTCTCTTGCCCTCTGACATCTTTGACAGCATCTTCTCACAGCGAGCTCCCAACCTCATTGACTTTTATCACAAGAAGAAGAACAACAGGAATGTAAAGCACTTTGAGAACGTATGTAATATTCATTCATTCATACATGCCGTTGGACATCCTCACTCACTCACTCACTCACTCATCCATCCGATCAATCAATCATTGTCAATCCAGAAATTCAAGAACAAGAAGCATGCAGAGAGAGAGTTACAGTTGGAGATATTCAAATTTTTGATCGAGGATGATGAGAAGATCAGTGAGGGCAAGTCAATATCAGAGCATACCATTCAATGGCTTGAGAGGATCATTGATAACAACAACAATCACTCAAAGTACTTGGTATGTATTACCATTCCAAGTGTGTGGCGATGCGATACGTCTCATAACTAACATCATCATTGCGAATCACAGGCACAAGGAAGGATATCAGAACCAACAGACTTTTTAACATTGAACAACTTGTTCTACATCATTGTCCTCTACTTGGACACATACCTCATTGACAAGCGCAACGCAAGAGACTTCCCTGTATCTGTATTCTATCATGTATGTGTCCATCCTCAAGCTCATTCAAATCATCATTCACTAATAGTCGTCAATTAATCAATCAAATAGGATCAATCAAGTAGACAGAGAGTTGGAGGAGTATATTCCTTCTTGAAGAAATCAGTTATAATCAAGAAGTACATTGACGATCAGCAGCAGACAGAGCTCACACTGAAACAGAAGCTGTTCCATCTGTCTGTTGACATACTCAAGCTTGGCATGTGTTCACAGATAGCCATCATCAGACAGTTTGAGATGAACACATTCATCGAGAGGAGGGAGTTGGACAGGACATTGGATCATGTAAGTTGATGATGTTCACAATCACCACCACAATCATATACTGATCAATCAATCAATCAAACAAACAACCATTACAGAGCGACTTCCTCAAGCTGAAAGACAACTTGGAGATGTTCCAACACAAGATTGAATTCTTCAAGTTGGAGATTGAGGAGAAGGTCATGTATTATGAACATCTTTGGAATCACTTGGCATTCGTCATGGAGATCATTGATGCTACGTGCGAAAGGAAGATCTTTGAGTACCTGTTTGACTCGTACCTGTTGGTGCCGCTGTCAATCTTTTGCCACCTCATGAAGTGGAGCGAGAAGGACACCTTTGTCAATGTCAACTACAAGACCACGGTGGCAGTCATCACTCTGGTATTCAAGAAACATGGACATATTGTGGATCGTGAGATCATGGCAGCCACCATCGACACACTTTGCAACATCCTCAAGCGACCAATCTATCACAAGACACTCTCATCAAACCCTCATTTCAAGACCTTTATCCAGAACCTACTTAGAGGTCTAACAGAGAATGATGTTGACATCTTATCATTCTTGTGTTCCGTATGTATAATTAGTGGCCAGTCGTACTGATCAATCAATCAATCACATTCATACTTACACTACCCTTACATCATCATCACTCATACAGAATAGCTTTGATCGCTTCTTGGAACACTTCAAGCAGATATGTCTGGAGAATCCAGACTGTCTGCTCAAGCTCTTGAACATCATATTCTCAAACGCATCAGAGAACATTAGTTCAAGAGTTGAGATATTGGCAAGACTTAGGGTATGTTATGATCTTTGTTTGATCAATCAATCCATCCACTCATTCATTAACATTATGTTAATTCCTCAATCAATCAATCAATCATAGATGTTTGACTACCTATGCGCCAACCTACCTCACCTGATAGCAGATAGTGAGACCTCTCTGTTGATCACTGGTCAGTTCATTATGTATATTATCGACAAGCTCTCTCTTCATCCAGCTTCAACAGGTATGTACTATCCTATCATCCATGGATGACACACAACAGACACAAGACAGACAGGCACTAACAACTCAAACCAACCAACTTTACTACTTATAGGATCAGTCTATTTCATAACATTCGTTTGTTTACTACCATCTATATATCATTTGAATAGAGCGACACCAAACTACAAACTATCAATCACACAGGCCAAACCATCAATCTTAAAGACATTGGAGCTGATACCAACATCAAAGGAGGTCACCGCTCCAATGTTGTCAGAGATCAAGGCATTGTTTAGATCGATACTGAAGCGACAGCAGGACGAGGAGACATCCGAGGAGAAGGAGAACGAACCACATCCAGACAGCATATGTAATATATGCTACTCGTATGAGGCCAACATCATGTTCAATCCATGCAAGCATCGATCATGTCAACACTGCATCACCAGACAGATGCTCACCAAGAAGGTGTGTTTCTTCTGTCGTGAGGAGATCCAATCCACCGAGGCATTGAGCGAGAAGTCAATGCAACAACTTCAATCCACCGAGCAGACTTATTAAACTATATTTATATATATACATACATATTGATTGACAATACTTTATTATACTCCATCGATGACAAGGTCTTGTTGTTCCATGGATGCAATACATGATCGAGTTGTGGTGAACCAATGTTCACTACATCAACAAGCGATCCGAGACTGACTCCAAGAGTCCATGATTACTTGCTCATGACCAATGATCCTGCTCACATTAAGACCAATAGCCATACTGCTACCAAGTATTCCAAGTCCAAGTACAACAAGTATGTTCTATGAACTGTTACTTGTTTGATCTTCTCTTCTTAACTACTCTGACTGGGTGCGAGCTAGGGTCTTTCTCTATTTCCTCTTTAATCTTGGCTGTGATAAATGGAAGATTATGTAAATAATCAATCACTTTCAAAGATGTACTTTAGGTATTTGAATAAACCTTCTTACCTTCCCTTGCTGCTGCTTCAAGTTTAAGTATCCTATTCAACCTTGTCACCTCTTTCCTCAACTCGAAATACTCCCGATTGAGAGCCTGTCGATGTAGGTAATCATCAACCACTGATGTCATCGGTGACAATTGTGGAAGTTGTGATGTAGTTGATTGTGACTCTGATTGATTTGGTAATGTTGTTGACTCTTTTCTTGTTTGTGGCGGTCTAGGTATATCAAGCTCTTGATATTGTCGTGAGACTGGCCTTCCTCTCTTTCTTGTTTTACCAACATAGAACACAAACATCTGATTGTTTGACATTGTTGTTATTGTTGTATCTTATTTGTAGATATTTGTATTATAATAGACTATTGTATAATATCTTTTGCATGGTTCATCTATTCACTTTGAACCACCACCAACACGGACTGGACTCTCCAAGGCCACACCACATTGACCATTTATGGAAGATAATAATAAAACTGTTGACAACACCCACAATGCTACTTGTGTTGACTTATCTCATTACATTGGATAATCAATATAATTACTCATTTATCAAGTAATAACAGTGGCTCCGCCCTCCCGGTTATCGGTCGCCAAAGTCTATAATTCCAGACATAGACCAAGATGAGTCATTCAACGAAGTCCATATTGCCAACTAGCCAGAGTAACATGTATATTTTCCTTAATTATTATTATTAATTAATGTGTTGTTGTTGGTTGTACAAGAAGGCAAATCTCAAGATAATAACAACTGCCAGTGCCAGGTGGACTTGTTGATGATGGACGGATGCTTGTCAACTACCTTTTGGATGCACATCAACTTATGGTCATAGTCAGTCCATGACTGAGCGTTGCCATGAATATGAGTTTCCGAAACAATGTTGTAGATAAAGGAGATGGTTGTGTTGCTCATTAGTTGATCAATGAGGTCACCAAACGCATCATCAACAATAGAGCCAAATGGTAAGGAGATTGATATGGATCCTCTGTTGTTATCTACAATTAGGGCACACTTGTTCAACATGTTTGTCTTGATGTGATCAACATTACTGAGCGATTTAAGGAACTCATCGCTGAACTGTTCATCCTGCGCATCTATCTCAAACAGTTTGATAGACAACTTGTGGAGGTGGTTGGATACTGTTGGGTAGTCGTAATGGTAAGTCGGGCGTTGTACGAGTGACAGGTTTCTGATCGTGCTCTCTGGTGATTGAAAGAGGAAAAGGAGGGTCTCTGGTGACAACTGCTGGTTGTACCTGAATGTGTTGAGTGTCTTTGTGCTCTTGAGGTAGTCCAGCAACTCTGGACCGAAATAGTAGGACACGTCGCCAATGTCCTCGAGATCCAGTTCCAGTGTTTGAAGTTGCAAGCCACATGCGACCATATAGGAAGAGACTACCTTGGTACACGAGTGGACGTGTGAAAGATGTCCCAGGGTTCATCACGTTGTCATAGATCTTGAGTGTCGTGAGGTGTTGCCATCTAGTTTGAAAGATTGGCAAGATGGTCGCATTGTATGACGCTTTGTTCAGATCGACATTTGAAGCAAACTTGAGGCTTGTGATTGTTTGAGCCACAGGGCTCTTTGCCAGCTTTGACCATTCCTCTAAACAACGATGATATGTACAATAGTCGTCGTTGTCGTTTTCGTAGTCGTCATCGTCTTTGTCTTTAGAATATTGATCGTCTAAAACAAAGTTCTGTGAAAGCACGGTGTTGCTCAGTTGAACGCCAGGCAAGCTTGCAAAGCACGCTATCGTGTCAACTGAACCAGTGACTGTATCGAGTGATTGAGTATCCATCTTTGCGTCGATCAATTGGTTGTACTGCGCAATGTTGCTATCTTTGGTGGCGGACGACCTTCTTTAATATCATCGATTATGATTGAGCGAGGCGCTAACTTGTCTTGTTGGTCACGTAGATACTGCGAGAAGTGCTTGTGTGTTTTGAAAGAGAGATTGGCCAACAACAATATGGAAATGTGCCGCCTCCAGTTCTTGGAGACGAGCAGCAGAGACCGCGCCCACCTTTGACCCTCAACGCTACTCGATCTCTTTGTAAACTCAACCCAGAGCAATCTGACAATGAAGCCGTGTAGCCAATCGCTCAGTGGTGGCCCATCAGAGGTCGGACATAGCGACTCCTCTTTGAGTTGCTGTGTCAACTGCTCCTGACTGAACTGACTTTTCTTCACCTTTGTTCTGGCCATCTCTCTCTTTGGATGGATTATCTCTTTATGTTTTTTGTATAGCGTTTGGCATCTCCAAAGGATTCATTTCAAGTCTCAAAGTCAACAAAACTATATCTATATTTTAGGATATTGATTGATTATTTAATAAATAATTATGGTTTGGTTTGAATAATTTGAATTAATATTTTGAATATAGATCTAATACAGATTATTATGGTATTAATTATTTATTTAATTTTGGAATATCCTTGATATCTCCGACAGCGGAGTGTTGGCTTGGATGGAAGAGAACTCAGAGTCATATATAGTAATGGTGTATCAGGTCTTTGGAGATTGCTTGGAGACTAATTTAGACTTGGCCATCTTCAATAGTTGAATGGTTTGACGATCATCGGGTCTATGATTCCCTCCCTCATACCTTGAGCACCACCTCCTCTTGTGACCCACACACCCAAACAAGAAGAACTCAACAAAGTGAATTGGACTCACTTCCCATTTTGGTCTCATATTACTCTGACACCACCAAGGTCAACACCAGGGTCAACCTTGGTAGTGTCATTGTTTTATTTATTATTATTCATTAATATAACTAGTATAACATGTATACAATGAAGCAGTGGAGGTGCAGACATAAAATCATCAGTGGTCTATGTCCCACCACTACACAATGCGGAACTAGAAGCAGGCATGAGAAATTGAGACATGTGTGCTACTCATCGTGTGATAGGTGCCGATCAATGAATGTTGTCTTTGATTCCAACAMTCCAGACCWTCCTCCATTGGCCAACCAAATTGAAGATGCAYCAATGAACAATGCTATTACAGATGAATGCGATTCAGGACCAACAAAAGATGAAAGTGAACCAGAGCAAGCAGAAGCAGATGATGATGATCCAGGACAACTGGACGATGATGACCAATGTACAGATAGCAGGAGGAAGAAGAAAAGATGTCCCCATGAAGGTTGCCAATGTTTGATTGCGTCTCGCAACCTTGCAAAGCACATTCGTCTTATACATATGCACCATGATGGAGCATGGATGAATGATTGTAATGGCTGTGAGCGAGTACAAAATTTGATGGACCAAGCAAAGAAGAGATTGGATATGAGCAGTCGTGCGAGGAGCATACCCATGGAAAGTAAGTGATCGATTGCAATTGTAGTGAACGGAATACAGGTGATTGATTGACAGCTGGGGCCACTATCAATTAATATCCATTCCTTAGAGCCGTCCTTCAGTTGAGCAGGACTTGATGCTAATGATGAGGACAGGGTTGACCCCGCGAGAAGTTGGACTTCATTCTCTACTTTTGGCGATGACATCAAACCAAGTGATAGTGAGCCGAACAAGATAAAGTGTAAGTGAATGGTGTTGTTGGTCCACTACACTGATCAAATGAATACTAAACATACCTGTTGATATTGCTCTTGTTTAAGATATCCTTACAAAGAATACACCAAAAGGCCAATATGTTCCATCCTACATTCTCAAGCTCTATAGTCGTCGTGGATACAGTAGGTAGTGATTGAGTACTATAGATGTAGGGTTGTTTTACATCTAGGTCCAGTTCATCCACTCCTCCTCGACATCGAGTTGAGAGTGACTGGACTTGCGTCCACTCGTCATTCCTGGACTATACTGGACCTAGATGTAAAAAAAAACGAGTTTGGAGTTTAGACTTCTGACGCCGCCCGGTAGATATCCTTCGACGATCCTTCCACTATGACCGGCTCTCAGAGTTTGATTGTTCAGTTGCCTGCCTGCGTCCGTCTCTAAGTATCTAGCAACCTGGCTTAGGTCTCCTACGAGACCTGACCATGTTGGTCAGTCACTTGGCGAGGGCCGAAGTTTGTGATCTATTGATCCAGGCATTGTCAGAAGTCCTCTCCGTCCATGTTTTAATGTCCTCCCGGAAGTTTGGAGCGACAGACTATCACCAGTAGTCCGACAATATAATGATGTACTCGTAACACTTTTAAATCATCTGATCATCATTTAAAGTTAAATTTATGGTGCATACTTGACTCTCACTGAACGGTATGATGATCGAGTGTGGGTGTGTGTGTGTGAATAACACCATCATCTTTTGAAAATAAAGAATAATAAAATTATTTATCATGTATAAATAAATCAAGTCAAAAATAAGTCAACGATCAAATAAAAAACTACCATTCATTCGTCAACTCCCAAAAAAACAACAACCAAAACACACACAAACACAAAACACAAATACAAACAAACAAAAACACACACACAAACCAACAAATATTTGTTGATGTTATAAAGTAGTACCTTTGACTACTCTATTGTTGAGTCAATATGTCACTATTATTATTATTACTATTTATTGTAATATCACATTCGACTACTTATGTAGTTGCAAAGGAACAAGAAACAAATGAAGGATCAGGATCCAATGCAACAACAGCATCATCATCTGGAAATGTTGAACCAATACCATCAAGTGTATCAACAGACTTTGCTCTATTCACATTCAAACATTTCTTAATCATACTAGTTGTATTTGGTGCATTTGTAAGTCTCCTACTCATTCACTCAAGGGTCACATCATCATCTAACCTCCATCTCATTCAGCTTGCACTCTCAATCATAATGGTTCAATTACGTATCAAACTAAAGAACATTATGATTGATAGGATACCAAGGAAGATCATGCCATTCCTCAGACCAGGTGACTTGTCTCATGTATGTGTAGCATCATCATCGTCAATACATCAACTAACAATGCAAATAGAAACAAAGAACAATAATATTGAATGAGCTGGTTAGATCTAAACAATTGGTTGTAAAGCCTAGCATTGGAGAGTCACCTATTAGTCATTTGGGATGGGGATCACCTGGTTCAGAGTACTCAAAGGTTCACTTTAAAACATCAATTGCAAAGTCATGGATCATCTTGGAGCGAGCAGCCGTTCACTTTAACGCAGACCTCAAACGACAGGCAAAGATGTGTATGCGCGACTATGTCAATATGTTACTCGATCGCTGTCCACACATGAACAGGTCATTGGCAAGATTCTATGTTGACGCCTATGAGAAGGCTAGATTCAGCGAGCAAGAGTTCACTTTGGACGAGTACACTCACTTCATGACCAAGTTCCTAGTGTTGTTGCAAGACTTTGAAGGATCATCAAAGTTGATGATGTCATCTCCACTATCCCATCAAGTTGTTACAAGTCAAGCGTAGACATTAGTTCAGGATTGGATTCAATCATTCAATCATTCAATCAATCAATCATGTTGGATCGTGACTGCCATATTGTCGACCAAAGTTGGCAGGTTTATTCGAATTGGATTGGAGCGGATAGACGGCCAGCCTGCGATGCGCATCGATCGTCTAGACGGTAGCAAGAGGACTATCCTCATTATACCTTTTCAAACTCCTCTATGATGTGTGTGCTCTCAATGCTATCGTACAAGTCGAGATCATCACCTACATCCTCCAGTTGTTGATGTATCGTCTCTAGGAATAAAGAGTCTGGTGACATGCCATTCAGTATGACCTGTTGGTTCTTGGTCATCGTCATAGATATATCCTCCTCATCATTATTGTTATCTTCTCGGTTGTTGTTGTTGTTGTTGTGGTTGTTCTCTTCGTTGCTAATGTTGATGCTGTTGAGTGATAGTGATAGGTCGGTTGTAATGATTGAATGACTGTAACGCTGTTGACATTGTTCTTGATTCAAACTATTGGTCCTACTCTTGCCTATCAGGTTATCAAACTTGCGAGTCTGTGTATCTGGTTGTATTGATCTATATCCTCCGAATGATCTTGATTGTTGTTCGTTACTACTATGTACATGTTTGATTGATTGATTGATGGTTCCAGATTAGTCCAATATGTTAATGATTGACTGATTGATTGATACATACCTTGTGCAATTATTACTACTATTACTATTACTACTATCATCAGTTGACTTGTATGATGTTCCAATCCTTATCTCTAGGTTTGATAGGAATGATGTATATACACGGTTGAATCGTCGATAATCTGTTCTCAATGGTCTGTTCCTCAGTGCAGTGTATGGTATGTGTAACTCGGCCACCAACGTATCCTTGACCTCGAGCATTGATGATCGGAACCAGAATCCAACTACCAGGTCCTGTGGCTGATCATACACGACAAAGTCTCCGGCATACTGAAATGTCGGATTGAGCTTGGTCGCCACCTGCGCCGTCACATCCTTCTTCTTGCCCATGCCCACCGTCAGGTAGGTGATCAAATCAATGTCTGATCGATCGGATACTGGTCCAGTCAGATTGCCAGTGCTATCAATGTCGTCACTGATCGAGTACTTGACATCGATCACCTCGATAAACAGTCGGCCGGCCTCTTGAACGGCCAACTTGGCATTCTGAATCATCTCGGTCCACTCTTCATAGTCGCCCTCATTCTCGGCTGCAATCACAAAGATCTTCTTGACCGTGACGATCTGAAAGATGTGTGAGTAGCCCTCGCGCGCCAGTGACTCGTCGTCCAGGATCAGGTGCTCGATGTCTGCCAGTGGGATGGTTCCAGCGGGCGCAGAGTCCTTGGGCGACTTGAAGTATGACAGTGTGCCATCGCGCAACACAAACCATCTACGTCGCCAACTCTTGATCTTGTGTCCCTTCTTCATCAGATAGCCACTGCGCACACAGATCGTGCCCTGCTTGGACACGACATCCTTTGCCAACTTGATCTTCTCTGCGTTGTTTGTCGGGAAGAATAGAACTGAGCCAGTCTTGTTCTGTTTGCTGCCACTACTCGTTCGGAAACTATTCGTGTTGTTTGCCATGCTGCTGCTCATATTGATCCACTTCTTCTCCTTCTTGATCTCCTTTTGATACATTTGCAACTGGTTGTTTGGTAGCGGTGTCGTCAGCCGCTCAAACTCCAGTTTGAGATGAAAGTCGTTGGAGAATCGTTTGTCGCCTTCGGCTCCGTCCAGATCGGTCTTGTAGAGTATGAGGTTGGGCAACTGGAACATGCCCGTGTGGAAGTTGAATCGACAGATCTGCTCGACGCGATAGAATGGAGTGACGTTGGACAGCACTACCAATATGTCTCCACGGACTACCTTGCGTACCTCAAACACCAACTGTGCTGGACCTGCCACATAAGTCCTCGTCTCTTTCGTCTCGCCATCTGGTGCCGAACTAAATATCCGCAGACCCTTCTGTGTTGCCGAGTATATCGTTAGAACAGGGCATATTCCTTGTTTCATTGGTCCCATAAAGAACTATCATTGATTGATTGATTGATTGATTGAGTGGCGATGGCGAGGGTTAGCTTGGGGCGCGGCTATGACTCGGATTTTGTCGCGTGACACGAACCTTTGGGATTGTGTTCATTGTTATACAACGAAGGAATATGGGCTCTTCGTTGGGCACTTGGTTGCCATGATAGATGTCAGAGAAGTAGTGGATGTATCGTATTTGACTGGGACCAGTGATTCCAAAGTTGTTGGACGATCTCTTCACGGCAAAGTATCGCATGGCATCCTCACGATTATCAAACAATCCAGCGTACATCATCAGTGCCGAGATGGTGGTGCCCGTGCGTCCCTTGCCTGCCAGACAGTGCACGATGGCCACATTGAATGGATCCTCCTGCAGATAATTGTATATAGATATCACCGTCTTGAACATCAGTGCCAGAGGCGGTGCGTGGTGGTCTGGAAAGCCGCACCAATCATGCACATTGCCATTGAACAGGTTGTAGTCGTACTTCCTCTCGCTGAGGTTATATATCCTATAATGGTCAAAGTGATGTTCGTTCAACATCTGTGCCACATCATGTATAGAGTTGCGGTAGGCACTTTCCACGCCCTCTGCTGGGAATGACATTGCTATTGCATCATTGATTGTTTGTTAGGTTGAGTGGAGTTGGGAACAAGCGTGGATAGTTGGACATACCTATTACTCGCTCGCATATATATGTGAGGTCCAAGTCATATGTATCATTCTCAAACCTGTGATTTGATTGGAATAGTTCCGAGTGATTGAGAGTGAGTGGGGTGTGATTGAGGGTGAGTGTGAGTGTTGGGGTCGGGAGGGGAGTGAATAGTCGTCTGATCATGTGATCTATAATGTCGTCTGCAAGTACATACCTATTCTTCTCAGCGGATATGGTTTTCCTCACCGCCTTGATGATAGAGTTATACATATTATATATATATATCTCAATCAATCAGTGTGATGTATCTGTGTATGAATGTTATGAATATGAATGTATGCAATGAATGAATGATTAGATGTATGATGTTAAGGTAATGAAAGATTGAATGGATGGTGCAATTGCAATTGTATTTGAGTGCCAGCTGCTGCAAGTAAAAGTAGTAATGGGGAGATATTGTAGAAGAAGAGAGGTAATGTATTAACGGGCATTCATGTCTTTAAAGTAAGAATGTCACTTTGTCACTTCTATTATTATTTCAGAGTGTGATTGTTTGTTGTTGTTGATGTTTGATGTGTTCATTTGTGAGGTCCACTACCCGAGACCATCAAGTGTTTGTTGTAGCATACATACCTACCCAAAAAGTGATCATATCTTTGCCGACTTTGATCAAAAGCAAGCGAAGAATCCATTCACCCCTTGATTTGTAAATCAAAAAATATCCAACAATGAGAGGGTTAGGGCAAGGGTAAGGACAAGGGTATACTCTAGGGTTCGGAACCGAACCAACCAATCAACCAATCATTAATGTTTATTTGAGTAGACCAAAGAGGTTTATCTCTTTACCTCCATGATCTGGACTGTGAGCATTGATGTATGATGTGAGTGGTGCAATCTGATCGCGTATATATCTTTCGGTCTCCATGGTCACCATGAAGTCACCTTCAAACTTGAGTGTGACGACAAAGCGACGACACCATCCACTCTCTAGCCACTTCTTTAACAATGCCAGTGTGGTCATTGGTGGCACCTTCATGTCCACCATTAGCCAATCGAATGGTTGTGTTGGTTTGTACTCCATTGCGTCGCCTTGAATTGCTTGTCGTTGCTCTGATGGGAAATTGATAACGAGTGGATCGTACTCATCGGCCTTGTCCACAGAGGTCACTCGACATCCATGCTCCAATGCAAAGTAGGTCCATCCACCAGGTGATGCACCGAGGTCGGCCACGGTCTTGCCCTCTGTCATGTGCGCAAAGAAGTCTGGATATCGCATCTCCAGCTCAAAGAGCTTCAAGTATGAGCGTGATGGCAGACGTTGTTTGAACAGCTCCTCGGCCGAGCTCTCCAACGAGTCGACCTCCACTCCCTGTCTCTTGGCAATGTGTGCTCGCAGCCTCTCCATAAAGTCCTTGCTGGCGCCGCCAGGGTAGCCTGACAGCATGCGGTCAAAGTATCGCTGAATTGCCGGAGTCGTCAGACTGACGTAGCACAGCTTGGGACCAATAAAGTGCCATTGTAGCAGGCCCTCGCCAGGGGCGAGTGGGCGCCTCGTCAGCGGCGACTTGTCGAGCATGTTGTTAAGTGTGGGATGGATGTTGGCCACGCGTCTGAGCAGTCGTCTGCGCATGGGCATCATGTCTTTATCAGAGATGCCAGTGATGTGTACGCGCCATACCTTCCACGACGCGCCCGTGTCCTTGAGGGATTGTGTCAGTCTGAACTGCTTGAACAGCAGGTCAAGACTCGTGCGCAAGAGTGCTCGCTCGCCGGGCATTTCGTAGAGTATTGCGTTGGGTAGTATCTGCTTGGACAGGCCAATGAAGGGCAGTGGTGATGGCAACGACGAGGTGTCCAAATCAAAGCCATCTTTAAAGTGTTTCTTGTAGACGTCTGTCGACATGCTGCCAACCACCAATCGATCTCTCGATTGCTTGCATATGTTCCAGCCACAACCCGATATGTTGAGTCTGAGCTGATTGAGCAGTGCGTCCGTATGTCCATCGCGAGGTCTAACAACAATCAACGGTGATACATGATCGAATTGTTTGAGCAATGTATCATTTGATGCTATTGTTGTTGCTGTAATCGTGTCTTCTGATTTCGTATCTGATGTATTGTCTGATGTATTGTCTGATGTCTTGTCTGTCGTTGTCGTTGTCGTTGTTGTGAATGATCGATGAAGATGATATTGATTCGATTGAATCAAACATGAACGTAAGAGTATTGATGGCATTGATATCGCACTTCTATGCATCATCATAGTCTTCATCATCATCATCATCATCATCGTCATGATATGATAGGTTGGAGTAGTAGGTATAAAGGGTATGTGTTGTAGTTGTTCTTTCAAAGTATTGTCGTTCAAAGTCAATTACCGAGCATGGATCACTTCGCGAATTATTTCAAGACGACATCTAACAAAGTGTTGGAAATGACCTTGGGATAATCTTACGATGTAGACCCAAGGTAGGTTATCATGTCCGAAAATCAATCAACATCAATGAATCATTCATTCAATCAATCAATCAATATCCAGAACTGCCGAGTACATTCGACACTTTGATTACATGGGTACTTCCTCTCTCATTGAGGATCATTGCAATGAATTAGGCCTAAGATCTAATCGTCTATATCTACAAACAATCTACAACGTTCGGAGATAATAATGTAATGTTGGACACAGGAGGACTCCTGTGTTCGTGAGTGAGTGTGTTCGGAAAGGAAGAAAGAATCTGATCTTGTTGTTGTCCAACAAACTATTATTTTTTCAAAATTGTTGTTGGAAGATTCAAACTACTAGAGTGTTGTTGTCTCATCACCATCATTCAATTACAACTCTACATACACATACAAACACATAAACACACATACACACACACATACACACACAACACAAACATATACATTGTACCTTTATTCAATCATAGTACCTCTATTCATATATATATAACTATCACATAGAGTTTATTAGAGATTGATCACTTCACATCACAACACAACACTAGGTGTACATAGACTTTGACTATAAGATAGAGATAGATAGAGACACAGGATCATAGAAAGATACATAGAGAATGAACTTGAACAATTGCAAAGAGAAGCATCCCAACTTGTTGTTCGCCAACTTTAATCAGGACTACAGTTGCTTTGCTTGTGGAACTGAGAAGGGTTTCCTCATCTTCTCATGCGACCCATTCAAAGAGAGATTCGGTAGAGGTATGTTGATTGATTGGATGCTCCAGCAACAACAGCAACAACGACGACAACATATGACTGACCAATCAATCAATCACTCAATCAATCAATATTATAGTGTTTGATGGAGGCATTGGAATTGTCGAGATGTTGTTCCGTTGCAACATATTGGCTGTTGTTGGTGGAGGAACTAAACCAAAGTATACACCAAACCAGGTTATGATTTGGGACGACTACCAGAACAAGTGCATTGCAAAGTTGGAGTTCAAGTCCGAGGTCAAGGCTGTCAAGTTGAGACGCGACAGGATCGTCGTGGTGCTCGAGAACAAGGTCTACGTGTACAACTTTGCAGACCTCCAGCTGGTGCATCAGCTGGAGACCACCAGCAACCCCAAGGGCATTTGCGCCGTGTGTCCAGGCGCCGCCAACGTCTTGGCCTGCCCCGGTCTCAAGCCTGGCTACGTGCACGTGGAGCTCTACGACTTGAAGCAGACACAGATCATCCCAGCACACGAGAACGCACTGTCACAGATCGCCTTGAACAAGGACGGCACGCGTCTGGCCACGGCCAGTGAGAAGGGCACGCTGATCCGTATCTTTGACACGGCCACTGGCGAGAAGATCAAGGAGGTGCGTCGTGGCACCAACCGCGCCGAGATATACAGTATAGCATTCAACAATGAGTCGACGGCGCTCTGCGTCAGCAGCGATAAGAACACCGGCCACATCTTTGACCTGTCGCGCTCGGCCGCCACGGGCAACGTGCACTCGAACGAGCCCGAGAGCGAGGTCAAGAACCGACAGTCCAGCTTCTCCTTCATGGGCGACATCCTCCCAACCAACTACTTCAAATCCGAATGGAGTGCTGTACAGTTTCAAATACCCGAGTCGCGATCCATATGTGCATTCAGCTCGACTCCCAACTCCATTATCGGTATGCAGTGGACATCGCGATGAACCATCATCATTGATCGATCAATTGACTAACATGCCACACTCACCTATTCAATCATTCAATCATTAGTTATATGTGCCTCTGGCGTCTGTTATAAATATACTTATGATTTCTCAAAGGGAGAGTGTAGGAGAGATGAAAGTCCCTTGCAGTTCATGGAGAGTGAAGAGTCGTGATCAGGACATTAGGTGGTGCCAGGTGTGTACTTACATGAGACAGAGGCAGCAGCAACAACAGCAGCAATGGCAATCATTATCAACAGCATGGCATTAATTAAATTAACGATTCAAATATATATATATTATTCTCTATTCATACCCAATAATAAATCACTTTCATCCTCCATCTCCTGCTCACTCCTCCAACAACAAAGTAACAAAGTATTTATATTGAGAGATATTTATTATTGCAATATCAACACGGCATGGGCAGTTGCTATTGCTCCTCTCTTCTGTCTTTATCTATATATACATGTATAAATAGTGATGGTTAGTCAGAGCCCTTTGAAAGGATCAATCAATTAATACATACTCCCTTAATTGTTCGTGATTTTCTTTTCTTGTTAATGGCTTCTTGATTGTTGGGCTTTGTTGATTGGTAATGGATAGAGGGTTTGTTAGTTCGTTGCCTTGATGAGGTTTGGATGGAGTGTATACATACAAGGATCATAATTCACTGCTCCAATGATTAGGCAGCTGGCTAAGTTTGGTAGATGACGATATTTGTTGGTGTTTGGGGCTAGTTAGTAACTTATAGGTTGAAGGCTGGATGGATTGAAGAAGGAGTACTTACAATGATCTTCATATGTAGTACTAATTGATAGGTATTCCCATATCAGGGAATTTAAATGTCCAAGTGCATTTCGCTTCAGTGTAAACGACTATCCAAGTATCTCTGAGGGAGTCCCCTTCAAGTTGGAAACAACAAACAGGCTCATCACTCATGGGAGTGAATGGGTCCACAACAAACACACCGGATTGACTCTCACCACTGCCATCCAATGCAAAGCTTTCGATTTCGACTTTGACTGGGCGATTGTTGATGAAGGTTGTTTGATCATTGGATTGAGTGCGATTGGGTCTTGTATATGGTATACCTTGATTGTTATTCCAAAAGACCTTCACGTCCTCAATGATTGACTGTTGAAAAAAGAGTGGTGGGTCCTCCAAACTATGCTCGATATTGTTGTTGGATTGGAGTATTGGTTGTTGGGGAGGTGTGAAGTGAGATGGCTGACAATCGGTACTGGCATTCAAGCCCTTTGTCTTTGATAGGGGAGGGATATGAACTCCTGGTGACTGTGTAGCAGTAGAGGTGGGGTGGTGGGTGGACTGGTGAACTCCCAAGAGTCCTTCGGGATGGCTCGGGCCCACGGTGGTGGCCTGTCTGGCTGGACCTAGTCGCTCTTGGCTCTGACCCATGGTGGTCACAGCCGCAACGGAGGGAGGGGGGCTGATCAACCTCTCAAACAACGTGTCCACACTGGGGTGGGTTGGGGTTGGAGGAGAGTTGGTTAAGACAGGGCTCTCGAGCCCATCTCTCTCCAGATGGTCAGGAGGGAGTAGACCAACTTGTTCCAAAGAGAGAGTCCTTCTTACACGTGAAGGGATGATGCCTGAAAAGCTAACTAAAACCCTACGGAACGCCAACAACAAACAACTTGGGTGCTTAGTGTCACCATCACTCAATTCAACGGATCTTGATTTATTATCAGTGATCTGATTTGTTGACAATTAGTTAGTAATTTACTACCAAATAATGAAGATGGTTGAACACATACTTTCGACCTCTCTGTGGGAGCATCGTGTCGATGTTGTTGAAGTTGTTGTTGTTGTTTAGGAGTGAAGCGACTCATTTTTCTTTTGATTGATTTATAGAAGATATATATATATATATAAGATAACTATTGATGTGAATTGGCTGAAAAGGAATTTTGTATTAATACAAAAGTTGTATATTTATATATTAATAAACAGATATCAAGGAATTATGATGAATAAACCAAAAAAGAGGAATCAGGAGGTTGTCACGCAGCGTATCAGCGGGTAGGAATTAGTTCTGTTGTCTATGTTCGAAAGAAGACAGAATATTTATTAAATAGTTAAGAATGGCTCTGGTTTCAAACACTTCTCATCAAATCAAGAAACACACACGTTTTGATGTTCACCATGTCTCTACATCTTTAAGGTAAGCAAATCTATTTTTGTCATGATCCCTGGTTTTCAAAAGTAAGAGTGGTAATCGATTTTTTAGTTACTGGATAAGTAGATTTCTAAAAGATAGAAAGTCCAATAATAATATTATAGACTTGGAAGGTGTATCTTATTGAATCTTGGCTATTTAATTAATAGAGTACTGGTATCACACGTGTCTAATAATATTGATTAATTGAGTCATTGATCAAACGAGTTAGTGATTGAGTGAGGTGATTGAGACCATATGATTGTTGGAATGATTCCAACTGATCAAACATACACTGTCTTTGTCAACACAGATATAATCTTATGAGCCAGACTTGTCTTTCCTGCTCCACTTGGTCACAAGATCATTGTATGAGATTGATTGAAAAAAAATTGAATTGACACAAAAAGCGAGTGTGGTTTGAGTTGAACAACTCCAGTGGCAGTCAAAATTTTGTGTCAAGATTACTTTTTATTCATTCATCTTATTATTGCATCATACTTCTGTCTCTTTGCAAATATATAATAAAGTCATACAAATCAAACAATGGCTGCTCCCACACCAAAGGTTAGTAGTAGAGTAGAGCTAGATACCATTCAAGACATGATGATTCCTTACTTACAATAATTATTCCCTATCGATTAGCCAGTAGTCATTCTAAAGCCAACAAAGCAGGTCAAGGGTTTGTTCACAATAATCAGAGACAAACAGACATCGCGCGAAGACTTTATATTCTACTCGGACAGAATCATTCGTTTGTTGGTCGAAGAGGGACTCAGCTGTCTGCCCTTCAGCGAGACCACCGTGACCACACCCACCGGCTGCACATACAACGGTGTTGAGTTCGCCAGCAAGATATGTGGCGTCAGCATCGTGCGTGCAGGCGAGTCGATGGAGGCGGGTCTGCGTGCCGTCTGCAAGCAGATCAAGATCGGCAAGATCCTCATCCAGCGTGACGAGGAGACCGCCAAGCCCAAGCTGCTCTACTCCAAGCTGCCCTCAGACATTGCCACGCGTCACGTCCTGCTGCTGGACCCCATGCTGGCCACCGGTGGCACGGTCGCCCAGGCAGTCAGCGTGCTGTTGGAGCGCGGCGTCAAGGAGGAGAACATCATCTTTATCAATCTGCTGGCGGCGCCCGAGGGCATCAAGTTCTTCCAGGACCTCTACCCACAAGTCACCATTGTCACAGGCGAGATCGACAGCAATCTCAACGAGAAGAAGTACATAGTGCCAGGTATCGGTGACTTTGGCGACAGGTACTTTGGAACAGAGCATTAAACCGACTCTGCCATTGTGTGTCATCACATGGTAGAGTGGTAGGTCCTGTCGTCAGTCAGTCAGTAAGTCGAGTCTGACAGACTGACAGGCAACAACATTCAATCCGTCCATCGATCATTCGACCCAACCCCCTCATTCATTCATTCAGTCCATCCATCAATCCATCCATTTATCCAACCATCCGACGATGACAAGTCAAGCAAGTCAATCGTGTTCGTTTCGTTGAACACCTTCCAACTCAGGTTGACCCTGAGTAAGTGGTTGGTTCTTCATGCATGATCATCAATCACACACACACTACTTGCACGAGCTACCCCGCCCAATCGTGATCATATGATTAAGTAAGTGGTTCCATGTCCATTAACCACCAATTCTTGCGTGTGTATGTTTGTGGTCCACCCCCACGTTGGTCCTTCGTTTGCTGTCTCTGTTATGTGTATGACACCCATCCACCCATTAATGAGGCGCGAAGACCCTGGGTCGCAATCAAGTATGGGTAAGTTTGTGGCGAGTAAGTATTAGATCTCGGGATTCATCAGAATGGGGGTGTGTGTGTGAAGTAATAGTGTGTGGGGTACTTTGAAGTTGGGGGTGGGGGTTGGGGGTGATGAATAAAACTGAGTTCAAAGGGTCTCTTTCTGTCTTGCTCGAGGAGCCAAGCATCATTCATTCATTCATAAATCATTCATCTTTCTTCATTCAATAATTCATTCATTCATATATATTCTTGTATACATATATATAATAACATATATAAATATAAATATATATATATAGGATTGGAGAAACAAAATGTATCAACAACAACAACAAATGCATGGAGGTGGTGGACGTCCCTCCAGAGTTGTCGAACTAATGGACAGTCTCAAGAATGAAGTAGAGACACTCAATCATGAGATTAGCATGTACAAGCAATACAAGGATGAATATGATAGAAAGTGTATGTTGTAATCAATTAATCAAACATGATCACATGATGACTCTGACTCTAACAATCTCATTCAAATCATTATTATTAGTACAAGCACAAATGCAAGAGATAACATTGATTCAACAGACATTGCAAGAGCTTGAGAGAGGACATGCGAGAAACAAACAACAGTATGAGGAGGAGATTATTAGACTGAAGAAACAGTTGGAGCTGACGAATGGTGGTGGCGCGAGAGATTTGAACAGCCCAGCATTCAGATCAAACAGTCCAGCAGCAGTTGGACACCCATCGAGCAGAAACACGCCGACCCCAACCATCCCAGACAAGAACCAGCGTCGTCAGCGTCCAACCTCTCCAGAGTTCTACCCTCAACAGCAACAACAACAGCATCAACAGCAGCAATTGCAGCAGCAGCAACAGCAGGGAGGACCTCTCGGTGGCATGCCATTCCCTCCACTCGAGCAGCGCCAGCAACAGCAACAGCAACAACAACAGCTGCAGCAACAACAGCAACACAAGATTGAAAAGAGAGAGCATCACGACGACCACCCAAGCAACGGAAATAACAACTCAAACAACGAAGACAGAAGAAGACAGTAAGGATCATCATCATGTGTTTGATATTGCAAGTAAGGATCACCTGACTAACAAATTACATCACATCCATAGCCAAAGCAACAGCGAGATTGAGTATGACGAGAGTGGCAAGACTGGCCCAGACTGGATCGTTGGATACAACCCCAATGTACAGACCAACCTCAACGTCGATCTGTTGCAGACGATGACACACAACAGCGTTGTCTGCTGTGTAAAGTTCAGTCCCGACGGCAAGTACCTTGCCACCGGTTGCAACAGGAATGCCCAGATCTATGATACCGACACTGGAAGGAAGTTATTGTATGTGTGATTGTGATCGTTCATTGCCCTCCCCATGTCACATGCTAACTTATTCATATACACATACATACAGCAACTTCTACGACGATGGTGAGAAGGAGGGAGACTTGTACATCCGTTCAGTGTGCTTCAGTCCAGACGGCAAGTATTTGGCCACAGGTGCTGAGGACAAGAAGGTCAAGATTTGGGACATTGCCACAAAGATGCCTCATCAGACATTCTCTGGACACGATCTGGACATCTATTCATTGGACTACACACATGACGGACGATTCCTTGTGTCTGGTAGTGGCGACAAGAAGACCAAGATTTGGGATATCAAGGAAGGAAAGGTATGTTTGAACATAGCCAACTCATTCAATCAATCAAACAATCAATTAACCAATCAATACTTTAGTGCGCATTCACATTGGGCAATGATGAGGTTGGACCAAAGAATGGAGTCACATCTGTGGCTGTGAGCCCTGATGGAAGATTGATCGCCGCAGGATCCCTTGACAACATTGTCAGACTCTGGGACACCCACACTGGTTACTTCCTGGAGCGTTATGAGGGCCACACCGACTCGGTCTACTCGGTGGCCTTCTCGCCAGACGGAAGGACGTTGGTGTCAGGCAGTTTGGACAAGTCTCTGCGTCTTTGGGAGTTGAGCGCTGCACGCTCTCGCTCCAGATGTCGTTCCATCATCAATGGACACAAGGACTTTGTGCTGTCTGTTGCCTTCTCGCCATGCGGTGAGTGGCTCGTCTCGGGCTCCAAGGATCGCTCCGTGCAATTCTGGGACCCAAGAAATGGCGTCACCCACATGATGCTGCAGGGACACAAGAACTCTGTCATCTCGGTCGCCCTGTCGCCAAAGGGAGGACAATTCGCCACTGGCAGTGGAGACTTTAGATCCAGATTGTGGAAGTATGATTCATAATAAGTCAAGCAGCACCGTCGTCCGTCCTGTCCCATTTTTCAATCCATCATCACAACCTCTACTACTACCCGTGCCGACGAAGCCACCACAGCCATCCTTCTTGATGGCGCCACTCTTGTGTAGGCTATTACACAAATGTCCAGATGGACCCGAGACCTAAAGGCCAGGGTCCTGTATAGATACCTCAGACACCAACAAGCACAATCCAACAACATCATCAACAACAACATCAACATTACAGCAATCCAAACGAATCCACATCACATCACTAATCAATCCAATCAATTAATCAATCATATACATAACATTTATATATATATCATTCTATATCCGCAGCAGTGGCGGTTGACCAATCGATCAAGCTGCACACCAGTTGATACAATAACATCCATCCATCCATATCTTTGCAAATAACCTCGTTGGTTCGTCTAATGGTCTCTTATATTATTATACAATTAGTAGTCGATCAATCAATCGATCGACCATGCGCTGAGTAGCTCTCTATATTATTGTTATTGTTGTAGTCGTTACTCTCTATCTCTCCTCACATGTGGCCAAGTATTGCACCACCATCAGAGTCTGTGCTGTCGTTTCCAGGAGTTCTTAATCGCTTGTTGGCCGCCGCCAGCATTTTGTTCCTTCGTTCGTCCAGGTCTGAGCTGTCCTGTCGATGCAGTGACGGCTTGTTGTCTGAAGAGCTGGGCGGTGATAGTGCATGCGATGTGGCAGGGGTCGATAGGTCCTCCTCGCCCGACGACGACAATGCCAGCGGGGGTGGAGTGGGCAGGTCGCTCGCTGACACTGTGACGCGGTCCTCCAGCGAGTATCCCTTGCCAGGGAACAGTGGCGAGTTGATCCCCTCCTGAGCGTGGGTGGGACCAGTGGGAGTCTTCATTCCAAGCAGACTGTTGGGCAGCATGCAGCTGAATAGGCTACCAAAGTTTGCGAGTCGATTGACGTAGTTTGGTATGTTGTTGCCAGTGAGTCGATGGACCAATTCTTGAGAGAAACAATTGCAATTCCTCTGCAGTGTATGATAACTGTTGCCTGAATACTCCTCGGACAGCTGGTCGATCACTGATTGCACCTGGCTGCGTGTCTTGTTTGTCTCGCCAACCTGCACGCGCTCTCTGAATCTCGCGCCAGTTGCCGTTCGCGGTTCAATCTCAAACACGCCGGAGAAGTCATATTCATGTCCGCCGAATGAGTACTCTGAGCCATTCACTTCGACACCCGAGTGATATGCACCCAAGCCAATATTATATAAGTAGTTGTTCACTTTTTGTTGGTGTTCAATGGGAATGTTGTTAACAATGTGACTGTTCATTCACAGGTGTTGGTCTGGCGGCCATAATATTACCATCATGTAAATCATATATGTTCAAATAGACTGGTGTATTGTTGTTGGCACCGTCCTTCCTCTTCATTGATATTGAGGACATTATTGTTGTTGTTATCTGTTTATCTGTTTATGTCTATTTATATGTTGTGCCTTTATGTTCGGATGGTCACCAATGAGTGAGTGTATGAATTATTGAGTCTGGACTTTAATTTGATCTTCAAGAGGACCAACTTCAAATACTAATGATACATGTTGTTCTTCTCTTTGAAGATGTATTAATGAATGGAATGCATGAATGAATGAATATTATGTATGAATAAATGAAGGAATGAAAGTGATGTGAGGTTGAAAGGGTGAAGGGGGTTCATTCATTTGCGAACTTTCAAGAAGTTGCTTTCAAAACTTGAATGCATCACGACGTCAAGTTCATTCATTAATACATCCATCACTTGTACATAAACATATAATATATATATACATACACATAATATCATATAGTAATGTCTAGTGGTATTGGCAATAGATTGGTGGCCCCAAAGGCCACCCGTGTAAAGAACAAGTCGGCAGCACCTGTTCAGATCACGGCCGAGCAGATTATGCGTGTTGCATTGGAGAATCAACAGGCATTGCCAAAGGCACCAAGACAGAATATAACAGATGCCGACGAGTTGCATTCATACCGAACAAAGAAGCGCAAGGAGTACGAGGAGACACTGATTCGTAATCATCGCATGGTGTCTATCTGGATGAAGTACGCGCACTGGGAGGAGTCGCAGAAGGAGTTTGACCGCGCACGCTCCATCTACGAACGCACACTGGACGGTCACTACAAGAACGTCGTCGTCTGGAAGAACTACGCAGAGATGGAGATGCGCAACAAGTTTGTCAATCACGCGCGCAACGTGTGGGACCGCGCCGTCTGTCTGATGCCGCGTGTCAGCGAGCTCTGGTACAAGTACTCATTCATGGAGGACATGCTCGGCAACTCAGCCGGCACGCGTGCCATCTTTGAGCGCTGGATGCAATGGAAGCCTGAGGAGCAGGCGTGGAACGCCTACGTCAACTTTGAGAAGCGTCTCAATCTGCCACAGAATGCACGCGCCATCTTTGAGCGCTACGTGCTCTGCCATCCATATCCCAAGACTTGGATCAAGTACGCCAGGTTCGAGGAGAAGCTTGGCAACATTGACAACTGTCGCGCGGTCTTTTCGCGTGCCGTCGATTTCCTTGGTGACGAAGGCGCCGACGAGACACTGTTCATAGCCTTTGCCAAGTTTGAGGAGCGATTCAAGGAGATTGAGCGTGCAAGAGTCATCTACAAGTACGCGCTGGACCATCTGCCCAAGTCAAAAGCACAAGAGCTGTTTGAGAGGTTCACGACATTCGAGAAGCAACACGGCGACAGGATCGGCCTGGAGGACGTCATCCTCAGCGAGCGCAGGTTCAAGTACGAGGAGGACATCAAGAAGGACCCGAGGAACTACGACAACTGGTTCGACTACACACGACTCGAGGAGACTAGCGGACAGATCGACCGCACACGAGAGATATACGAGCGAGCGATTAGCAATGTTCCACCAGTGTTGGAGAAGAGATACTGGCGACGATATATGTACCTGTGGATCAACTATGCGCTGTTTGAGGAGCTTGTAGCCGAGGATGTAGACCGCGCTCGTCAGGTCTACCAGGCGATGATCAAGCTCATTCCCCATCAGAAGTTCTCATTCTCCAAGATATGGATCATGTATGCTCAGTTTGAGATCAGACAGATGGCGTTGGATCAGGCGCGACTTATCTTTGGCAATGCGATCGGACGATCACCCAAGCCCAAGGTGTTTGACGCATACATCAAGCTGGAGCTGGAGCTCGGCAACTTTGACCGCGTCAGGAAACTGTACGAGCGATACCTCGAGCTGTTCCCCGACTTTTGCGATGCCTGGAGCAAGTTTGCGCAGCTCGAGCAGGAGCTGGGCGAGTCGAAGCGTGCGCGTGGCATCTTTGAGATCGCCATCCTTCAGCCTAACCTGGATCAGCCCGAGCTGATATGGAAGAACTACATCGACTTTGAGATCGACAGGAATGACTTTGACAATGCGCGTGCACTTTACCGTCGTCTGCTGGAACGCACCAATCACGTCAAGGTCTGGATCAGCTTTGCACAGTTTGAAGTGTCGGTGCAGAACAACGATGCTGCCAGACAGGTGTTTGTCGATGCCAACAAGGCATTGGTGGGCAGTGACAAGGAGGAAAGAATCATTCTACTCAAGCAATGGAAGCAGTTTGAGCAGAAGCATGGRAAGCAAAGAGCAACTGGAATTTGTCGTCAAGAAGGAGCCAAAGACCGTCATCAAGAGGAAGGTGCTAAAAGGCACCAGATGGAGTATGTATCATCATCACTTGCAMCAGTGATCAAGATCACTCGTACTAACATAATCWMAATCAATCATTCAATCAATCACAGACGGATGCAGGATTGGAAGAGTATTATGATTATATCTTCCCAGAGGAGCAGACTGCCCAGCCCAACCTCAAGTTCTTGGAGATGGCGCAGAAGTGGAAGAAACAAAAGATGGGAGTGGACACTCAATCATAGGTGATAATGTACGATCAAACAATCAATCATAAACGAGGACCATTGGTCTTATACTTCTACAGTACTTCTTTAATGCAATAGTTGGATCGATATACCTTGCTTCCAACTTACTTAACTGCTATAATCCTCTGCAGACCTCTCAAAGTAGAGATAGTCAACAAAGAACAACGCTCCCATAAGCAATGACTTTTGGTATGTAGTGGAGTTGGGCGGGAAGTTGATAAAGAAGTTATCGGCCGTAGTGAATAGTTCTTTGGCCCAGCCTGACCAACGCTTCTCGATCTGACCGACCTCATCACCTGGATCGCCCCATCCACTATCCGTTCCAGATCCCTGTCTAACACTCATAGCATAGTTGGCACATCCACAGAACTCTCCAATCACTCTATATATCTCCTGACCAGAGTCATCAAACACATTCAACACTGGAACACAGAATGAGAATCGCTCCTTGATATGTCCCAAGTATTTTCCAGGTTGAGCAGTATTCTCTCCCATGAATATCTCGAGGTCTTGATGACAACTGATCATATTATATATTTGATTGATTAATTCAACATGTTATTGTATTGATACATCTCATTGGGTACTTACCTTTCAATACATGGACAACAACAGCAACCCTTTCTGAAACACCTGAATGGACGACGAAGTTTGAGTAACTCCTGACCTTCACCATTCCTAATGCTCATCTTAAACTTCCTCATGTTGGCACAGAACAAGAGACAACAATTCGATGCATTCTCTCTTGCAGTTAAGAATACTTTGTAATACAATGATTAGTACATGTGATAGACATCTTTGAAATATATATTATACAATACATACCCTCATTAGTTGGAGTGTAGACCTTATATTCATTCTCCATTTCAATACCGCAACATAACTCCCACCATTTACCTCTTGGTCTCTGTTTAACTATTAGAGTATTGAAATTGTTGAGGACATCTAATAGTGGATCCATTATTCTATAACTACTTTAACTAACTATCTGTATGTCTATGATATTTAACATTAAACAATGACATTTATTTATAATACACACACACGAGTTCATTCATTAGTTACCCGAACAATCTGAATCTAACCTTATTTGATATCTTACTTTATCAGGACACCTTATATCTCCGACTCACACACAACACACAGATGTTTGTGTTAATGTGAACATCTCTGTGTAGTGTGTTTGAATGTGGTGGTATTTAATTCACTGACTTGTCGGATGATTGATAGGTTGTATTTACCCTTCAGGTAATTTAAAAATTCCAACTTTGGTCCTTTCAATCCTTATTTAAATACATTGGTGAGTATTTCACTCCTAAATCATAAACAAAGAGAATAAAAATGATTGATTTAGATACAGAGGTTGAAGAAGGATGTCGTGATGAGTTCCACGTGGCCCTAGGACTCGATTTCTTGACCTTTAAGCTCCAAAAAGGTCCTCACGAGTAGCAAAAAAAAAACTTTCAAAAATGTTTCGACACCTGCAGGATTCGAACCTGCGCCCCCGAAGGGAATTGATTTCTAGTCAATCGCCGTAACCACTTGGCTAAGGTGTCCGGTTTGAATGCCAAATGGCCAAGTTCTGTTTTTGAACAAAAAATAACGCGATTCTCTCAAGCAAAAAAAATTAACGCGATTCCTTATTTTACCTACAATGTTGTACTTCGAATGTTTAAATCATTCTCTTTATATAAGAAATATAGAGTGTTATTTTTATGTTTGTATTGATTATTCAAAGAACAGTTCGAACTCCCCCAATCTCAAAAACTTGAGATCTAGATTAATCTTGATTGGGGGGTGTCGTTAAATGAATCTGATTCTTGTTCCATTGCCTCACAACAAACAAAATTGTAATTCATATCATACATTCATTGTACAATACCATCACAATTACTATTACTTTATCTACTATTACTATTACTATTAATACTTATTTACTTATAATTTAAGTCCTCAATCATGCAACCCAATAGGTTGAGGGCATCAACTGTCTCTACCAAGTTACATACTCGATCAAAGACTCAACCAGACAGCAATGATATAACAAACAACAACAATGTCAACAACAACAACATCAACAATAACAACAATAACAATAAGCTTCACTTGGAGAACTACTACAAAGTACTAAAGAAGAATGTGTTGGACTTTAGATTCGAGTTCATCGTCTCTCTAAAGAAGAATGAGAAGGTCAGGACATTATTAGTCAATCTCAAGGACAGATTCATAGAGTTGATCAAGTAAGTGGACTACACTCTATCATTCATTCAATCAACGTTCAATCACTCATTCAATCAATCACAATCACCATTAGGATGTCCAAGAAGAATATACACAAGAAACGAAGTAGCAAGAAGTATTACATTGAGGATATCATAAAGGTGGTCAAGGATCGCAATGATAGTAGATTGATCACATTCAGTGTGAACAAGGCTGGCACAAGTCCAAAGAAAGAGAGGCACAAGGATAAGATCAAGGACAAGACAAAGGACATCAAGAAGAGAGAGAAGCAAGAGAGAAAGGAGAGGGAGAGGAAGGAGAAGGAGGACAAAGATAAGATCAAGGGCAAGGGTATCAGGAAGAGCAAAGATAAAGACAAGGACAAGGAGAAGGAGAAGGATAAGGAGAAGGATAATGAGAAGGATAATGAGAAGGAGAAGGAATTCAATGCAACATTCATCAATAGCGAGAGACGTGAATGCTTCTTTGAACTGATATGGCTGTCGAGATCTAATGTTGGCAGTGACAATATAACGATACCAGAGAAGGAGGAGAGGACACCTTATGATGCTGTCTCACTCTTTGTCGGAACATGGAATGTTGGCGACGCCCCACCTCCAACACCAACATCAACATCCGCGGGCGTCGACGGTGGACTCAGCAAGTGGATACCAAACAATGGACAGTACGACATCTATGCTATTGGAGTACAGGAGTGCGAGTATGAAGTGACGTCATCGACGCCAGTCGAATGCGAGACACATTGGTTCACCACTCTTGCCAATCACATTGGCACAGGCTACATACGTCTCGAGTCGATCAGTTTGGTCAAGATGCGTCTGATCATATTCGTCAAGAAGGAGCACTATAACAAGATCTGTCACGTCGAGAAGGAGACGGTGGCCACAGGCATTGGTGGAATATACGGCAACAAGGGCGCGACTGCCATCTCATTCCAGTTCTTTGAGACCAGCTTTTGCTTCATCAACTCACATTTTGCAGCACATCAAGAGAAGACTGATCAGCGCAATCAGAACTACCGCGACATTGTCAAGAATGTAGAGTTGGGCAACAAGGACATTGATGTACTCAATCAGTTCCATCACGTCTTTTGGATGGGCGATCTCAACTACCGCGTGGACCTCTTCCGCGAGGAGGTGCTATTGCTGATCAGCAAGGGTAACACGACAAAGCTGTTGGCTAACGACCAGCTGGCCAAGCAGAAACAGCTGGAAAAGGTGTTCATTGGATTCAAGGAGGCGCCCATCCCCTTCCTCCCAACATACCGCATGTCCCGTGGCCAGATGGCCGTGTACACGGAGGAGAAGCAGCGTGTGCCAAGCTGGTGCGACAGGGTGTTGCACAAGTCACTGCCCTACAGCCAACCGATCACATGTGTACAGTACAACTCGGCGCCAGAGATACAGACGAGTGATCACACGCCAGTGTATGGTGTGTATCACGCATTCATTCAGCGGCCATGTCTGCCTGTGCCCCAGTCACTCATACAGCCGCTCAAGATATACTTGACAGACTTGCGCGCCGAGAACCTCGAGCTTAACGACGAGGACGTGGCGCCATCCGCATTCCTCGCCATCAACACCAGCGCATTCGTGGAGCAGGCGTTTGAGACCACGCCGCAGAGCAAGCGCACCAATCCAGTATGGGGCGACATGCCACCCATCGTACCAGGCATCCACAAACGATCCTATCTCGAGAATCAGCACCTGTTTGTCACGATCTACGACGAGGACGACTCGAACAAGCGACTGGGCCACGCAACAATCCCGCTGGGCTGTGGCTTTGGCGACGAGCCCTACAGCTTCAAGACCAGGATCACAAAGTATGGATTGATCGCTGGACTACTATATGGCAAGATATATATTTGTTATGATAGTCCGTCCACGCCGCCACTAGGCGGTGCAGCGGCAATCAGTTCAACAGGTGATATTATAGACTATCCAATCACATCAACATCAACTACTACTACAACTACTACAACGACAACACCAACACCAAGTATAACAACAACAAATAGTAATAATAATACTGTTGCTGGCGAAGGCGATGTGGACAGCAACAACAACAACAACAACGATGATGATGACGCACCAACTAGATCAGCCCTGAGAAGATCAAGGTCCTTCAGGAAGAGTGTCTAAGACCCTATTATCTGTACAGATGTTATATAATAATACACATATACACACTTCATTTGAAATGAATGAAGTCAGTTTGAATGAGTTGGGTTCGCACATTTGTGCAATGAAAGTGTGAACATGCATTCGCGTCGGTTGGCAGTTTCCCAAGCGGGGATGGTTGGACTTTTAGACTTCGTTTTTTTTGCACTGAATCTACACAGACGAAAATAGAAGTGGGCCAAGGCCCGACAATGACCAAGCAAAGAGACAGAATGAGGCAGTGATAACATTTGTTGAGTCCAAAGGCCACCACCATTTTAGAATGAATGAAAGGTCCTCAATCTCAAGTACACCTAGACCCATATCTACATCTTCATTTGACTCTTAATAAGTTCTAACTTTTCAAACAAAGAAATAATATATATCTATACTACTAATATTACAACAAATAATATATACATCAATCAAACAAAACAATACAATTATTATATTAGATCTAATACCAGGGTCAATAATCCAAATTTCTTCAAGTAATAATCCTTCAAACCAAAGGTAAATATAAATTAATATTAATGTGTACGATGTGGCACAATGACAACAACAACGATCAGTCATTCAGACAGACTTTCAGACTTTGCCTGGTATCTCTTTGTATTTCATCATTCATTTCATTCATTCATCCAAACATTCAGATCTGAATGTGTAATACCCATCCTAAGCACATTGGTGCACAGAGCCCCAACGATCGTTTTTCACACTTCCGTTTGCTCTTTAACACACTCCACTCTCACTAACTTGGGGGTAACAAGTCAACTTTCGATGCACACGAGCATCAGTGTGTGAAGACACCAGTCTGCACATCCATTCGTCCAACTCTCGTTCACTCTCTCTCTTCCTCTTACCTTACTTATGTCCTTCTCCCTCTTGTTGTGTGTTTATTTATAACTATCATACTCAAATACATCTTTTATATACATATAATATTATATGTATATATTATAATGGTGATAACACATCAATTATACTTGAATAGTACTTTAATTATAACATCATCAATAACAACAACATATATTGTTAGCTAACAATTACTTGTCTTTATATATATATTATAATACTTTAAATATCATCTGATCAAAATATAGATATAAGAACAGAAGGTTGTATAACATCATCACAACAACAATAACAACAACAACATAATGGTGGAGTCAAATGACAAGACATCATCAGAGTCTGACGGAAACGAAAAGACCAGTAGCAGTAGCAACCGCAGCAGTACAAGCAGCAGCAACAGCCACAATGACAATGTTGGCGTCGGTGGCGGTAGCGGCGGTAGTGATCAACCACCCCACAATGAGAAGGAGGGTATCATTCACAAAGACGAACTCATTGAGATCGACATAGACAACAATAACAACAATGACAATAACAATAACAATAACAACAACAACAATAACAATGAATCAAATGGAATACAAATGGATGTTATTGACAATAATGAAAAGAAACAAAAGAGATTGTCAATGGATACATTGGAAAAGGCACTGCCTAGCACGGCAGCACACAGCGCTCAGACATTCCAGGCTTTCGACCAGAGGGACGCCCGTCATGGCGCCTATCCAAAGTTGTCGATCGACATGTTCAACACGTCAAAGGAGATCCCGCAGTACTACCACGAGATCAAGCATCAGCTCGAAAAGAAGATTCAGCTGACACAGGGCGCAGGCAGTGGCGGTCTCTCCTCCACCACCACCGTGCAGCGTGGCGAGTTCCTCGAGATCCCTCTCAAGGCCATGAACGCCATCACCATGCCCACCCAGATGCCCAAAGGCGCGCATCCCGACGCCCGTATGGCCATCCCCTCGTTCGAGCCACTCAAGCAGCACGACGACCACTCCACTGGCGCGTCCGAGATCAAACCCACACCAGTGGCAGCCGCTGCCATCATCACCCCAACCCCAGCATCGCCCCAGGGTGGCGTTCAGCCCGAGACACATGGACTCAGCGCAAAGGACAAGACCAAGGCCAAGCAAAAGGCCTCCGAGTACGATGTCAGCGAGCATGAGCTCACCTTTGAGCAAATCATGGACAAGTATCACACTCACATCAATGTCCAAGATCCACAACAGAGTCAGGTATGTTTGTTTGGCGATAGGATTGATTGACTGGCGCATGAACATGACTAACATGTATGATCATTTTATATTTTAGGGTATATCAAATGAATCTGCAAAGGTATTGTTGGAGAAGTATGGAAGGAACGTTCTGAAACCACCCAAGGAGAGTCCATGGTACTTGAAGCTGTTGCTCTGCTTCACCAACTTCTTTATGATCCTGCTGGAATCGGCTGGAGTACTTTGTTTCATCGCCTATGCCCTGGACACCAAACAGAAGATCAATCTCTACCTCGGCTGTGTGCTCTGGGCCATCGTCATCTTCACCTCACTGCTCACGTTTGCCCAAGAGTGGCAGAGCAGCAACATTATGAACTCTTTCAAGAACCTGTTGCCCCAGGCGTGCCGTGTGGTGCGTGAGGGCGTGGAGACCAAGATCCCCGTCGAGACCGTCGTCATTGGAGACATTGTCGTCGTGGCGGCTGGAGACAAGATCCCCGCCGACATCCGTGTGATCACCTGCAATGGAATGAAGGTGGACAACTCATCACTCACTGGTGAGAGCGAGCCACAGTCTTGCACTGTGACCTGTACCGACGAGAACCCGCTCGAGACACACAACCTGGCGTTCTATGGAACTCTGGTGATGGATGGATCCGCTCGTGGCGTTGTCATCCGCACTGGTGCCAACACACTCATTGGCAAGATTGCCGATCTCGCCTCCAACACCGTCCAAACTGAGACCACCCTGCAGAAGGAGACCAAGCGTTTCGTCCGCTTCATCTCTGGCCTCGGAATTTCAATGGGTGTCATCTTCCTGATTGTTGGTTTCATCGTTGGAATCCCAGCCATCCCCAACCTCATCAATGTGCTCGGCCTGATTGTCGCAAACGTGCCCGAGGGTCTGCCATCGACCATTACCGCCTGTCTCACTGTGACTGCCCGTCGTCTCAGCCGTCGTAACGTCTACGCCAAGAAGCTCGAGTCAATTGAGACTCTCGGATCTATCACCCTGATTGCCTCGGACAAGACCGGCACTCTCACTCAGAACCGTATGACTGTCAGCCACATGTGGTACGACAACGCCATCGTCAAGGCCATCAACGACGGCATGACCGTCGGCAGAGCCATGTTTAACGAAAAGGACGCGACCTGTGAGACTCTTTTGCGAATTGGAGCCTGCTGCAACAGAGCTGACTTTGACAAGGGTGCCGAGGGCAACATGGAGAAGCCAATCGACCAGCGTCTGATCCTTGGAGACGCCTCCGAGTCGGCCATCGTGCGTCTCGTGCACAAGATGGAGAACATTGAAGTCACACGTGCCAACAACCCCAAGATCTTTGAGATCCCATTCAACTCGACCAACAAGTGGCAGCTGTCTATTCATCGTCGCAGCTCCGACCCCAACGACACATCCACACGTGTGCTGATGATGAAGGGAGCACCCGAGATCATCTTTTCCAAGTGCACAAAGATCATGATGGGTGGCAAGGACGTTCCCATCACCGAGAAGATCAGCGAGGACTTCCAGCGCGCCTACGAGGACCTAGGCAGCATGGGCGAGCGTTGTCTCGGCTTTGCTCAGATCGTGCTCGACGAGAGTATCTATGGACCAATGCACGACAACCTCTACGACGCACAGACACTCAACTTCCCAATCAGTCAGCTGACATTTGTTGGACTTTGCTCACTGCTCGATCCACCCCGTGAGAATGTGCCACACGCCGTGCACCAGTGCAAGACCGCCGGTATCAAGGTTATCATGGTCACTGGAGATCATCCAATCACTGCCAAGGCCATCGCCAAGAAGGTGGGCATCATCTCAACCCCCACCGCCGAAGACATTGCCGCTGCCAAGTGCATACCACTGTCCGAGGTCGACGACTCTGAGGTCAAGTCGGTCGTGTTGCACGGCAACCAAATCAGAGAGCTTACCGACGCCGACTGGGACCGCGTGTTGTCCAAGAGCGAGATCGTGTTTGCCCGTACATCGCCACAACAAAAGTCACAGATCGTCGAGCAGGCTCAGAAGCGCAAGGAGGTAGTGGCCGTCACTGGTGACGGTGTCAACGATTCACCCGCTCTCAAGAAGGCCGACATTGGTGTGGCCATGGGTATCGTAGGTAGTGACGTTGCCAAGGAGACCGCCGATATTATCCTTCTGGACGACAACTTTGCCAGTATCGTTGCCGGTGTCGAGGAGGGAAGAATCATCTTTGATAACCTCAAGAAATCCATCGCCTACACACTGACTCACGCCTTCCCAGAGGTTGCTCCATTCGTCCTCTACCTTGTTCTCGGTATCCCTCTGGCGCTCACATCCTTCCTGGTTCTGTGTATCGATCTTGGTACCGAGCTGGCCCCAGCCATTTCCCTCGCCTACGAAAAGGGAGAGAGTGACATTATGACCCGTAAGCCACGTGTCCTTGGTGTGGACCATCTGGTGACCAAAAACCTCCTCTCCTACTCATATCTGCAGGCTGGCCCAATCGAAGCCATCGCCTGTTTGATGAACTTCTTCCTGGTGCTCAACTCGTACGGCTTCCCACCCTACAGTTTGATCGGCTCCGCTACCAACCATTTCTCTGATGATGAATTGGTCTGCAAGACACTCTTTGGTCACAGTTGTTCTTATCAAATGGAGGCCCTGAAAGAGGCCCAGACCGCCTACTTCATGACGCTCGTCATGTGCCAGTTCTTCAACCTCATCACAAACAAGACACGTGTAATGCCCATCTGGAGACATGGTATGAGCAACATGTACGTCAACGGTGGTCTGATCATCGAGGCTGGAATCCTTTGTTTCATCATCTACGCACCATTTGTGCCAGGCATCATCCAATCCAAGGCTGTCAGTGGAATCTACTGGGCTTTCCCATTGCCAATGATCTTCCTCCTCTTTGCCTACAACGAACTTAGGAAGCACGTTGCTTTCAGAATGGACTTGGACGTGTCAGCGAATCTAAAGTTCTAGTTGGACATCCCTCCATGCCCCTCTCTACACATATGTCTTTCCCGTAGAAAGATCAATAAACTCTATTCCAAACAAATAATCATTATGTTTCCAGGTCATACATTTATATTATTACACTGTCTATTACATGCAATTCAATTTAAGTAGGCAGTGAAGTACTCGAGTACTGCTTGATCCATCCATGAACTATCCTTCAAGGACATGTTGTGGAGGAAGCCAAGATGTCCACCATACTTTGTGGTGGCCAGAATGGTATGAGGATTCTCCTTAATCTTCTTGAAGGGTAGTCCACACACTGGTGAAATGGGATCGTCCGTTGAACTGATGAATAGTATTGGCCTCTTGATGGCCTCGATATGATTGCAACTACTGCCATCGATGTAGTAGTCATCAACTGTTGGGTATCCAAACACCCTTTTTGTGACCAGATCATCAATATCTTTGATGGTAACGGCCTGGTAAGGTAAACAGTGTCAGTCAGTCAGTCATTCTCACTATGATTGGTTCCAATCAATCGAACATACCTTTTCAACCTCTGCTCTGCTACAGTACTGCTCCAACCTGTTGCCCCACTTGGTGAACAGGCCCTTTAGGTTGTTGGCCAGTAGTTGGTTGTAGAACTTGTGATTGATGAAATTGGAACTAAGATTGACAGATGACTTGCGCATGTCCATAGGGTTCGATACGCTGCAATGTGCAATGAATGGTGAGTTCTCGCCAACCTGGCTGAGGTACTTGACAAGAATGCACGAGCCCAAACTGAAGCCAATTGCAAACAACTTGGCCTCTGGCAATGCTTGCTGGATATGCTTGATGACCAACTTTAGGTCACATGTGTAGGCTGCGCTGTAGGTCTTGTCGGCCTGTTCAAGTGAGTTAGTATTAGTGTCTGTACAACCTTCAGTTCGCTCTTCCCAATACATACAGTGACCTCATTGTCAGCGCATCCTCTGTAGTTGAAGACAACAGATCTGAATCCCTTCTTTCGATAGGCATGATGGGCACAGTGTTGAACATAGAGCTCGTGTGATCCTCCAGTGAGACCATGTAGCATGACAATGGTTGGAGTGTCGGGCTTAAAGTCTCCAAGCTCGAACCAATCCAAAGAGACCGTTCCACCATCCTCCATAATCAGAGTCTCCCTCCTCGTGGGCAACTTGGGATCGTGGCGCTTGTAAGTGGCGCAGTAGGTATGCACATGTGAGAATGTCAACAAGAAGGAGGTCTCGTAGATAGCGGCATTGTCCAGAATGGTTGGTGTCTGCTCGACGTCGGTGTTCTGCGCCTGTAGAGATAAAGAATATTGATCCTCTGGCTCCTTGGCAATTTGCAACAGTGATGGACAACGATGAAGGACCTTTAAGTTCTCCAAGTTGCTCAAGTTAAAGTATAAGTTGATTGGTGACTTCATGTTGTTATAGATAAGATAAATAGATGGTATGTATGTATGTATTTGTACAAGATAAGAGATGGACTATCACTAAAGTGAGTCATCAGACACATCGGAAGGTTTATATGCATCAAACTCCGTTGTGGACCACACTCAAGCCCAAAACGGTTGGGAGTTCCCTTTGGCGACGAGTCTTTCCTTTTTCAGACGTTTAATCTAAGATTTCAAGTTATGTCGAATATTCGTCATGATGATTGATCGGTCAATCAAGTTAATATTATTATTATTTGAAGTATTCATGCATTGATGGACATGTGTATATCCTTTGATTGTCCGAATCCTTGCCATTGACATTATTGTTCCCATTGCTGTTGCCATTGACATTGCCATTGCTATTACCATTAATGGTGCTTCCATTTATGTTGCTACCATTGCTGCTGCCATTGATGTTTGATGTAGTTGTTGTAGATAGTATTGTAGATGAGGACAAGGTTGTAGTCGTTGTGGTTGTAGTGGTCGTCGTCGATGTATCGGCATTGATATCAAACACATGTAGTAGATGTTGTACATAAGGTTTCAAAGATGACAAAACAGTCTTATCATCATCAATGTGTAGATATGCTTCCAGGTGTCTTGATATATGTCCTCTGCCTTGTGCTGTCGAACAGAATATCAGTTTCTACAATGGTCTTTTAAGTTAGTTGGGCAACTCTGATTGATTGATTGTGGATGGTGGAGACATACATGTGGATTCAAACCAGCTTCAAACACTCCAGTGGACTTTAGTAGGCTTGCTACTTGCTCCTCCTCTTTGTCCTCATCGACCTGTGTGATAAGATATAGATCGGCAGCAGCTGCCAGACGTAGCAAGGTGTCGCGCTCAGACTCTATTAACTTGTAATTGGACACCTTTCTATCTGATATATGTTCATAATATACTGTCTTTTTGAATATTGTCTGAACTCGTAGGGTAGGATGGTCAGTCGAATGATGAAGAATGAATGAGGCATGGAGTACATACATCTACAGTTGACAGCGTGACCCTCTTGCGCTGCAGTGAGTTGAGTGCTACTCTGGGAGGTGGCTTGTACTTTGTGATCAAGGTCGTTGACGATGACGTTGTATAGCTGTTGCTGATCGGGTCATGCTTTGATGAGTGATGCTCGTATCTTGATGTTGGTTGATCGTTTGATGGAGACAATGACGGTGACAGTCGGCCCTTTGACGGCGTGGACGACAATGAAGGTGATGGCGTCTGGCCAGACATAAAGTGTTCAGTGTCGATGTATTGTAGCAGAGATTCAGGCAGTATGAATGACAGTATGAATATGAACCATCGTCTCTTTCGCAACCAGACACACATGCATGACACCAAGAACAGAGCCAACAGAGCTGTATTCCTTCTAGCATTTCTTGATCTGAACAAGTTCAACACGATCAGTAATCGTGTCATTAATGTATTAGTCCCTGTCCCAGTCCCTGTTCCTCTAGTGATCCTATTATTATTGTTATTATTGTTGTTGTTCATTGTTGTCGTTGTTATATGTGTGTATGTGTATGTTTGAATGAATGAATGAATGAGTGAGCGAGATTGAAACAAATAATCATCAATTATCTTCAATTTCAAACAAAGTGTGTGGTGGAAACACGTCATTGTCCAATTACTTGTCGCGCGCGAGTCTAATGATAGTCCATGTAAAGGTAGGAAGGAAGGAGGGAGGGTTTATTCAATACAAGCTTTGGTTGGTTCATCTACAGAGTTGTGTCCATCGTCAAGGTCGTCAGACTTGAGATGGAAGTTGGTGATCGTTGTGTTGTTGGCTGTGTTGTGTTGAAGAGAGATGATAAAGGGACAGAAGGGATGGAAAATGTAGGTGGCGTACTTCTTGGACTGGCGATCGTTCTTGTCCGTCATGCTGGTGTTCAGCTTGAACTTGACGTCGCCGCTGAGACGCGAGTAGAACTTGATCGGGTACTCCACCAGGGGCTTTGGACGCTCGGTCGACGAGATGATCTTCTCGTCGTAGCTAAAGAGATACTTGTCAAAGTAGGGCGACTCGTTCCACGACTGTGGCGAGAAGGGCAGCGCCGAAAGAATGCGCTTGACGGCCTGCGTCTCGCCACCGTAGCGAGCGTTGACAACCGCCAGCTTCTGCTTCATCAAGTGTTCGCGGACAAAGATGTTGTTTGAACATGTGCTGCGGAACTTGATGAGGCCGGATGGGCTGCTGCACGCTCTAAAGTACTCGCAGTACTGCTCGAACGTCTTGGCAAACTCCTTGCTGCTGTTCTCGTAGACACCCACCACCTCGGTCGTGTGGATGTTGTAGATGACAAAGTAGCTGATCTGGTTGCAGTAGTCGGCGATGCGACCAAGCAGGCCGTCGATGGGGCCGTACTTGATGAGCAGATGCGACGCGTCCAGAGACTGCATCTTCCACATCACCAGACTGCTGTACTGCGGGAACAGCGAGTAGTAAAGACTGAGTGCGCGCTGCGGCTGCTCGGCCGTCAGAGCCTTCTTGAACAGATAGCTGATGAATCGCTGTTTGATGCCCATGACTGAGCCGTTTGGCAGAGCGTGGTTCGAGGACGCCTGCTCGGCACTGTCAGTGGACGATGTTTGATGTGTAGATGATAGTAGTACATGAATGCCTGTCGTTGGCAGTGTTGTTGTTGGTGCAGTTGTTTCAGTTGTTGTAGTAGTGGTAGTTGTAGTAGTTGTAGTGGTAGTGTTTGGAATGTTGGTAGTTGTTGTAGTAGTAGTATTGTTGTTGTTGCCGCCAGATGATAAAGATTGTGGAGATGATGAAGTTGCCTTTGATGGTGTTACTATCGTTGGGTTGTCGTAATGTTGTCTAGCAGGGAATGGGGTAACAGACTCTAACTGTTCCGCTCTTTCCCGCTTCTCTTGAAGGATGTGTTGGAAGGACTTCTCGCGTTGAAGATGTGTGTCGATTTCCAGTTGGTCGTCTTCATTGCAATGTGGTCCAATTGAGCGGATGTTCTCAAACTTGGCCTCCTTGATGTGGAACATGTGGATGGTCTGGTACTGCAGACTGAGCACAATGAAGAAGTCCTGGTAGAGGTAGACGCCAGAGTGATGCGCCAGGTGTATGACGTCCTTCTTAAAGGTGCGTTTGTCGCAGACCACGCCGTCCTGGATCCTCACCAGGTAGAATGAAATGTCGTCTGGGTTGGGCAAATGAATCGAGTGCGCCTCTGGTTGACGAATATTTGTGCTCTCATTCAAGTTATTGTTTGACTCTGTCGATTGTCCACATGATGCCAATATGAACTATTGATTGGTTTGATGTTAGTACCGTCAGCCCAAACAAACTATGCTACAAGTTACTTACATATTTTCCACATGTGGTAGTTAGGGAGAAGTCGCGACAGAGGAACTCGTTGAAGGGTGGAATGACACTGGAGTAGATCTGCTTGAAGTAGGACTTGAAGTTCTTGTCGATGTCTTGCTTTTGTTGGCTGGTAGCAGACTTGGGATAAGAGGGTGTGGAACCAAGGAAGCGATAGAGCTGGATCTCCTTGAGGTCCTTGGAGAAGCAGAGCAGCTTCTCGCCGTCGCTGGTGAACTTCTTGATGGTACAGATAGGTGTTTCGACATTGTACACGGTCTTGTCGGGCACGACGTTCATGTACAGCTTCCTCGTCTGCAGCGAGGTGGTGCCTGGGCGGGCGTGCGATAGCTCGCGCTGCAGCATCTGGTTGGGAAGACTGTACTGCGCGTGCTGCAGGCGCTGTCGGCGGCGCATGTTCTCAAACGATTGGTCAAGGTCGGCCTCGTCGTACGTTCGCTTGATTGACTTGGTGGTCTTATTATTGTTGTTGTGTGGTCTGTTGACCTTTAGAGTGGTTGGAGGTGTGCTTATCGGTGTTGTGTCCATTGAGGTTGCGGTCGATGTTGTCGTTGTCGATGTTGTCAACAAAGTTGATGTTGTTGTATCATTATCCTTATTATTATTGTTGTTGTTGCTATTATTATTATTGATGATCATGTTGTCAGTGTTGGTGTTGTTGGTATCGTTGGGAAGGACAAGTTGAGGTGACGTAACATTGCTGCTGCTGGAGCTGCTGCAGCAGTCTGAATCACCATCAACCATGTCGTCATCACTATTTGGTTGAAGTGGAGTGGATGTTGAACTATTATTATTATCAATGTTGCTGTTGTTGTTGTTGTTGTCATTGTTGATGTTGTTGTTGTTGTTATTATTATCGCTATTATTATTGTTGTTATCATTGGATGGAAGTGGAACTGAGGAAAGTGAACTGTTGAGGGCAATTGGTGTGACAAGGATTTGCAAGGGGATCTCCTGGGTCTGCTGCACCTGTGATTGCATTGGGATCGATGACGACGACATGTTCAACGAGAACGATGAAGATCCGTTTGTTATGTTGTTAACGCGCGACTCTGTTGGTGTGCCGCTGTTACTGCTATTGTTGCTGCCGCTGCTGTTGCTGCTGCTGCTTCCGCTCATGCCATTGCCACCAATTAAAGTATGTCCGTTCACAACACTATGTAGTGCCGATGGAGGACAGCCGTAGATTGGCGACGATAGGTAGAGTGCGGGTGGTGTTGGGATTGTTGGTGCAAAGGGTGGAGCTGGCGATCCCAACAGGAAGCATGGTGAAGGTGACAATGGTGGAGATATTGGCGACTCCAACTTAATTCTTGATGTATTTTCCAACATTATTTTTGTTGGCTATGTATGTATGTTTGTATCTATGTATAAAGTCGCTTCGTCCAATGCTACTGGCCTGCTAATATTGTTTTGTTGTTTGGGTTGTATTTACAACCCTATATACAAGTGTTTGTTTGATTGGTTGTTTGTTTGTTTAAATAATATTTAAAGTCTAGACTCTAGATGGATGTTCGAAGCCTTTGTGTCAGACACAAAGTAATTGTATAAATGTATCAGTATCATGAATTCGTCATGAGTTCGTCTTTCTCATTGCTAATGTATATTATCCTGCTGTCCTTTTCTTCATACCTTGTGTGCTTTGAATCCTCTCTGTCTGTGCCTTGTATTTGTTGTCTTTGTTTGTTCTATATATTAATTAATAATAAATTTATGTAAATTTAAAATTAAATAATACTAACTAGTAATAATAAAACAAGAGAGATAAGTGAAAGATAAATAAAGATAGATAGAAGAAAAGAGTGAAATATATGTATGAATATGTGTAGAGGGTAGTAGTTAGTTAGTTAGAGTGAGTAATTGAGAGTGAGTGAGTGAGGAGGAAGTGAGGGAGAGAGTGAGAATAAGAGTGAGTTGGTGAGTGAGTGTGGTTTAAAAGTGTGTGAGCGTCTGTCCTCGAATAACCCAGCAAGCTTTCTTTCTCACTCACTATCTATGTCATTCATTCACACACTCATAACCACAACAACTACAAAACAAAACCAACCTAACACAACACAAACACGTTGTTCTCACAACATAAAATTGATAAAAATGAGTTGTGTTGAGTTTTGTTGAGTGAGAGTGAGGTAGTTTGTGAGATTGAGTGGTGACACACATCGAATCTCATTCCCAGGATGACATGTCCACACTCGACTTTGACTGACAAAGCGTGGCACACTAGGGCCCTGCCTTGCAAGATGGAGACAGAAGACGCGACACACAACATCCATGTGTGCATGCCACTGACGGTGATACACAAGACCAACCAGCCAACCAACAACCAAACCAAGGGTCAGTTGTTGATTGTTTGCAATCTTGAACACATTGCGATTTCAATCAATCAATTAATTAATCTAATCATTCGTTTCGAACAAACACATCAATAGTTGTTCGTAGCCGTCGTCGTCTTCTTTGGGTAATATGATTCGAAAGATTTAGTTTAGAGTAGTCCTTGACGCGAGAGATTGTTGGACATGAAGATCGCCGGGACCATCTCGCAAAACTCACGGGATGTGCATGCCTTTGAGATGAAGGGATGTTCGAGAAGTTGTTGAGCAGTGGGTCGCTTCGTGGGTTCGAACTGGAGACACGACTCGAGAAAGTCGTAGAGCGTGTCGGACCAATCTGGATTGTCGGCACGATTGATGTGGATGCCGTGCACGGCCACGCCAAACATGGCCTTGAGTCGCGAGCCCTGGAAGAAGGCATTGATGCGCATCATCTCCATGAGACACACGCCAAAGCTCCAGATGTCCAGCGAGAATGTGTGCGGCTTGCCCTGGATCTGCTCGGGCGGCATCCAGAAGGGAGAGCCACACATGTGTCGATCGTGCGTCTCGTCCTCGCCGCCCATGCCACCAAAGTCAATGGCCAGGCCCAGGTCGATGATCTTGATGTCGCCAAACAGACTGATCATTACGTTGGCGCTCTTGAGGTCGCGGTGGCAAATGCCATTCGAGTGAAGATAGTGTAGTGCGCGAAGGATGTACTTGGCTATGTGTGCGATCTTGGTCTCGCCAAAGACAAAGTTGTTGATGGCCTCGCGTAGGGTGCCGCCTTCCAAGTACTCCATCACCATCCACAGGTCGTCGTCGCGTTGGTGCGCGCACAGGAATGTCGTGATGTTGGGATGCTGGCAGAACTTCATGAAGCCAATCTCGTTGAGGTTCATGCGTCGCTGCTTGGCCGTGCGATGCTCCATCTTCTTGAGCGCTACCATCTGGCGATCGCCACCATTATGCGTGCCGTTCTTGAGGCGGCCGGCGTAGACCATGCCAAAGCCGCCCTTGGCTTCAAAGTCGATGTTCTTGTACAAGTCCTTGGCGTTGATGTTGTTGAGCAGCTTCTCGATCGCCAGTCCAAGCTCCTCGGGGAACTTACAGTGCTTGCCAGGTGCGATGAATATCCTGTCCGAGTCCAAGTATTTCTTTTTCTCGACGCCCACAAAGCCTGGGCCAGACGAGCGTCCTCGCGATGATGATGTTCCTGCTGGTGTCGTCGGATTGGACGATGCGTTCGAGCTTGATGTATCGTCGCTGGTGGCTGAGCCACGTGGTGAGGGTGGCGGGCTTGCCTCGGGCTCGGGTGAGCTCTCCTTCTCTGCAGGCATTGGCGAGCAGGTAGTTATGACAAGTGATGGCAGTACATCTGCACTCTTGTTGGCGCCCATTATTATTGGAGATTGATCAGAAGGCGTGGGATCGACAAACTTGTAATGTGTATCCTTTCGGAGGAAGTTGACTACATTGAGAAACAATGCAAAGTTGTCATGTATCATCTGTTCATTGATGCCGGCATGCTCGACCCATCGGCGATCGGATGGCACCAATCCACTCAAGTCATGTAGACATATTATCGATTGATCTCCAGCTTCCTTGTCCTTCTCCTTATCCTTATCGCCTTTACTATGTTTGTCGCCGCCACGTGTCGGAGAACCACTGCGTCGCTTTGACTTCTTTGTGTGTGTTGGCGCTGGAAGTGAAGTTTGAAGATTGGCTTTGGTGTCTTCCGATGATGTTGTGGTAGTTGTAGTAGTGGATGTAGATGTGGATGTTGTGGAAGTTGGTGACAATGATTGAGTTGATCTGTTGGAAGTTGCTTTGTTTGGGTCGCCTGCTACATCGACCTTTTTTTTAAAGAGAGAAGACAGAAACTTCATTGAATCAGATGACTTAGCTTGAAGTAAGTATAACTGTTTGTTGATGTTGTTATTGAAATAATATCTATCTGTGTGTGTCTATGGTCATTCTACTTCAATTCAACTCCTTTATTATTATCCGACTTGGCTGTGAACTTGGCAGTAGTGCGAGCCGAAACTCGTTGACTGCAACCCATTTTGGTAAAAATATCACGTTCGTGGTGAGGACCAGCGGGGCCTACTTTCGGCAAAGTTGGGGTGGGCTTGAGGCTTCGTGTGGAGACCTTCCACCACTCAAACAGAACCCATCTTCGGCATTTAGTTAATATGCGCTGGTCGCTCACTAACAAAGTGCTCATCAGATCAGTCATCAAGAGTCAAGTGATTGTGTTTTAGGTTATCAAGGGCTCAGCCATTGCGATGGTGAGCCCTTGGTTCGAACAGAGCAAGGTGATTCGGCGTCACCTTTGCTCTTTTATTTACGATGGTTGTTGGGATTGAGTACATGGGCTTGGTCATTGACGCAATTGCATGGCATTGTATTGCGCTGCAACTTGCGATCGGAATGCTGATGTCGAGGGCTCATGTTGGTGATATGGTAGGTTGGTAAGGTTGGAAAAAAGACCAGTAGAGGTCTACTGGACACAGGGTGTACTTGGCGATGATTGTAGATTGGCTTGGCTTGTCCTGATTGGTTGTGATGATGGTACTGTCGCCGACCGTACGTCGTCGTGCGCTCGGTGATGCGTCGATGCCCTATTGCTCATCTCAAGTCAGGTCAAGTCAATCTCGATCGCCTTTGTTGTCGCTGCCAAAGGCAGCAACATTATAAAGGTTATGATTGATTGATTGACATGATGTTGAGTATTTACAATGGGCCGAGGCAGTAGAGCGAGGCAATGACCTTTCCCTTGATCAATGTTCTTGGGAATGGACTTGAAGAGCAAGTGATGGACGAGGACTTCAAGTCTGGCGATGTCTGAACTGGAGTAGTAGGGTACACAAAAGAGTTGGTATCATCATCAGTGGCCACAATAGTTCTTACAATGATCTCAGATGGTCTTCTTGGGTTACTATAATATATTTGTTTGAATGTTAGTATATTTGTTTGTTGTGATCGTTTGATTGATTGAGTGAAACATACACTAAGGTAACTTTGTCTCCGGTCTTGATGTCATCGAGGTTGTTCTTGATGAGGAGCAGGTCATTCTTGTCACGGTCGAGGTGAAGGGACAGAGGCAATTGCTTGATAATATAGATGCCAATGGGGATGGGCAGCAACAACAAGTATTTCAAAAGAGATGCAAGAGAGATGTTAAGCTTCATTCTTTAATATTATTATTATTATTATTTGTTAAATAAATTATTTGTTTAGAATTATATGTTGTGAATGTTGATTGATTGCAATGTAATTGTAAATGCAAACGACGATGATAAGAGATTAGATGATGGTATGGTAGAGCAGTGATTGGCCGAGCGAATTAGTGTGTGTGGGGTGTGGGGGTATCGGCGAGAACTGATTATTATTATGATCAAACAACACGAAGTATCTTATTTCTTGTGTGTATGTGTAAATGTGTGTGTGTATCTTTAAAGATGATAGTAATGCAAATGGTGTCGAGAATGTATGTCCATGGACCTCCTTAAATGCGTTTTTGAAAGGCTGAGAATCAATGAGAGAGCGAGCTCAAGCCCACACCCTTTCAAAGCTAGGATGCGAACGTGTGTGCATAAAACAAAGCAAAGGAAAATGCTGATCAGCAATTTGCGACGAACAATCCATGACTGGGCACCAAACACACGACCTCACGTCAGGCTGGGTAGTTGATTGTAACATAGATGACCCGAAATGGGCACAAAAATGATCGTTTTGCATCAAAATGTGTGCGAAAACTGTGTTTTGACGAGAATCAGTCTTGGAGAATTCCAATTTCTCGCCCATCACCATCATCACACCTACACAAGATGAGCCGGATGGGTGAAAGTGTGGCTTGGCGAACATGTGTGTTTCTGTATGTGTTGTGTGATGTTTGTAGGTGATTGGGCCAATTCACCCATTGGGTTTGGTGTCTTTTGGAACATTCCTCCTATTATTCGTGGCAATACTACCTTCCGAATGTCGGTGGGCAGGTCCGATGGGCGAGTTATTGGGTCTCAACACATCTATGATTGATTGATGTGGTTGTTGTGTGTGAGCGGTGAACGACATGACCTGCGAATGAATGAACAATCATACCATGCTCAACAATGGAGGTACGAGACACTGGCTACTTCAGCTCCATCTTAAGTAACTTTCTATCGAATGATGGTTGGGTTGGGTTATTGGGGCGGAGACCAGTGACCAGTCTTCACTCCATTAAAGTAACATCAACCACAACAGAATGTTACTCGACAACTTCCAACGAACATACAATTGAATACCATCCATTAAATCTCACGTTATTGCGCTCAATCCTGTTGTGTTTAAACGATCTTACGAAGTTGTATTGTTGTTGGAGGTGGCTTGGATGACGCTTCGTTGTGTGTGAGTGAGCCAGCGAGCGAGTGAGTGTGTTGGCAAGATCACTCCACTCAATCACAATGGAGAGAGCTCTTGATGTCTTGGACCGACCCTGGTGGTGGGGCTCGGTTGATCGTTTGATTAATCCATCGCTTGATGGGGTATGTATGCCCAAGAGTCTATCCATCTTTGGCAACTGGTGCAACTATTCTTGTGTTGGATGCGACGACGAATCATCAGGATACGTGTCCATATATGTTGGTGAATGGTACATGTGATATTGATGATAATAATATTATTCATCATTATCTCCTCACCATAGAGGCCACAGTGTTCCTAATACCTTGCCAGTGATGAAACCAATTGGGAATGGACCAGAGACTGTGACACCTCCTCTATCGCCACTACCTTGTTCATTGTTGTTCGTGGCATTGTCACGATTCATTTTACTACATAGGAAGTGACCCATAGGTACAACTGATGGCAATGACAACATTCTTGACATCTCTGCATTAACAGCCACATTGCGTACAATTGTATTATAAGGATGCTTTGGATCACTGTGGAGTTCGTTCATTCATTGAGCGAACGAGATGAGTAAGTGAGTGAGTGATTGATTGCGTAGCGGATCAAACATAACAAGATAACAAACATACATCATTGTCACTTGATCACCGGGCAAGTAGACCTTGCTGAACTTATTTATCAGGAGCAACTCCTTTGTATCTTTGTCATAATGAACTGAGAGGAATAGATCCGATACCATGATGGGTATCGGTAGCAACAGAGCATATGTTATAAACTTGCTTGTCATATCTGTATATTATCACATTAATGTAGTCTGCAACAAATAAGTGATTGAATCAATGAATGAACGAGGGTGATGAGGGCGAGGGCGAGGGTAAGGGTAGGGTTCAAACTTTGGTAACTGAACTTGATCGAAGAATGATTGAGTTAAACAACAAAGTAAAAATTTATTACAAAGTTGATGACGATGGAATGAATCCATCCATCTATCCACTTATAAGGATCAATGGTAGGCGGGTCGAACCGGGTTTACCTGCTCGATTGACTACCTCTTCTTTGATTGATTGAGTGAATGTTGTTGTGATTGATTGGTTGATCAAACATGACGACTTAAGCCTTTCTGACGATTGGTGACTTGGTGGACTTTGGTGTGGTCTTGGTGGCTGGTGCCTTCTCAGCTGGGACGATTGGCTTGGCAGCAGCGGCGGCGGCCTTGCCGGTGGAGACTCTGGTGACTGGCTTCACTGGGACGTTGACCTCATCATCCTCATCATCCTCATCATCCTCCTCCTCTTCCTCGACTGGGGCAACAACGCCCTTCTTCTGGACCTTCTGGGTGGGGGGTGGGACCTCATCCTCCTCATCATCCTCATCCTCAGAGTCGACCTCCTCCTCTCCCTCATCTTCCTCCTCCTCCTCGACTGGGGCGACGGCGGTGGTGGTCTTGGTGGTCTTGGTGGTCTTCTTGACGGCAGTGTCTGGCTTCTTTGGCTTGGCAACGCGTGGCTGTGGGGCAACGTAGGTGCCGTCAAAGTAGGACATGATACGCTTGATTACCTCGGGCTTGGTGCCAGAGACCTTGATCTTCTTCTTGGCGCAGAACACTCTGAGCTCATCGAGGTTGTAATGCTGGAAGATGTCGTGGAAGGTGAGCTCGGCAGACAGTGGAAGCTTCTCCTCGCTGTACTCGACGACGGCAGCCTTGGTGCGCTTGACCTTTGGAACCTTTCCGGTCAACAGGGCCTTGATGAGCACGGAGGCGACCTGGCTCTCGACCTTGATCTTAGACTCGACGCACATCTTCTGGAGGGTGGCGACTGGGGTCTCCCAGAGCAACATCTCAAAGCCGGCCTTGCGCAGCTCGTCGGGCACGCCAGTGCCAAAGTTCTCCTTGGGGGTGGTGACGTACTTGTTGATGATGTCGATGGTGGCGGACTTGGCCTTCTTGCAGTAGTTGTCGAGGCCGAGGTCCATGATCTTGCTTTTCAGACGACGGATGAGGAACATCTTGGTCCTCTGGGCCTCCTCCTCCTCGTATGGCTCGTAGAGAATGGTCAGCTCATCACGGGAGCACAGTCTCAGCAAGGCCTTGATTCCGTACTCGGTGCACTTGTTCTTGAGAGTGGTGGTTCTCTCCTTCTTGGAGGCGGCGACGTCAACGGCCTGAACACCTGGAGTACGCTTGTAATGTGAATCAGTGGTATCATCAATGATCTGAGCGTGCAGAGTCTGAGTGGAGAACTTCTCAATTAATTCGTCGATTTCCATTATTATTATTATTATTGGGATTATTTAATACTATTTAGTATGTTTGGTATATATATATTATATAACTTATTGTTTGTTTGTTATAATTAATGGTCAGATGTGATCAGGTCTAACACTTATCAAGGTCACTCTACCTCACTCCTCCTCTCATTCAAACTTCTTAATATTATTCCCTCAATGACCCGCCTTTTTTCAAACATTGATGTTTGATCGCGCCCTTTTTGAACAAATATCCAGTGGACCCAAACCACTAATTCATTTATAACCTGATGATGAAAGAGTGGTTAGTGGAACAAAGATAGAATGATCAAACGCCATTGAACATCACTGGCATAAGGGGAGTATCTAGCCGGTGGATATCCAAGATGATTGTTACCTACCTCGTACAATCTTTGCACCATCACTTTTAAATCTAAGTTACCTTTTGTGGATGGAGTCAGACCCATTCCGCACTGACCCGCTCATTCACTCACTTGGTCATTATTGAGCGATTGACCCAATAAATGTCAGTTAAGATGAGGGAAGATGCGGAAGAAGGACGTTGGTCTCTGATTAACTTTAATATGGCGCCTTTTATCGATTAAGCAATCAACTGATTGGTAGTTTGATCATTGTTATTGTACATCTGGCGAATCTTGGCCAAGATCAAGAACTACAATGATTGATTGATTGAGCGATGGATTAAGTCACTACACAGCAAGTCCACAATCCCCTACTTTGACTTGGGATACTTCACGTAATGACGTGTCAACAACATACATAAAATGTTAATGTTGATGTATTATACATCTTTGAATATTCGCATATCACTATGTTTAAACAAACCAACTCAATTCATTCACTATGATATGGTTGTGGCGAGAAGAGTGCTAGAGGTGAAAGAGATTGCGTCTTCTGACACCCATTCCCAAAACAATCTCACCTTTGAGTGCACATGTGTTCAAGTCGAAACGAATCTTTTTATAGAGTTGGAAGTTTGGAAGATGGAAACAGAAACTGAATCAAAGTGTCTGACAGATAATGATTAATACATATAAATATATAGATATAGATATAGATAAACATAAATATATACATCATAGTATACCAGTAATGTTACATATACATAGTTAACAACAAACAGACAGACAAACAAGAGACAAATAATCAAACAAAGAGAGAATAAGAAGAAGAAAATGAATATGAAAGTAGGAGTTAAAGTATTATCAACAGGTGGTGGATATACAAATCCATCGGTTATGTTATGGTCAGCACATCAGGATCACAAGTATTTGTTCAACGTTGGAAATGGAACACATCGTCAGAATTTGACGGCAAAGGATCATGCTTATAATGCCAATCACCTGTTCCTCACACATATCGACCCTTCAACGATGGCCGACTACCCAAACTACCTGCTACGTAACACTGACGACTTCTCATTGGTCGGACCAGTCAACTCCACCATGGCCGTGCTGTCACATCGTTACTACATTGGTCGTCGCAACAAGACCATCCACGTGACCGAGTGTGCCGACGACAACATCGTCCTCACCGATGGTTACCTCACAGTCTATCCATTGGTACTTCATCCCAATGGTGACATCATTGTTGACAACAAGGACATTGGATCACAACAATCACAAACATGCCCACTCATACACCCTTACAAGAGGGGCTTGACGGCCAACTCGACTTACAAGGCGGCAAAGTCAATGGCACTGTCATCGTTCTATGAGTGGACTGTGCTGCGTGGAGGCATGCTGGACATTGGCACTGGACATCCAGACTTCACCACTGACGACTTGGAGCAATACATGATCTACAGGATGATGAAGATCTCTGACGATCTGGATGAGGTGGACATCAAGTCGTATCGTCCAGCCAACTCCAAGCGAATCAAGGAGTACATCATGGACCCATTCAACTTCCCCCACGACGGCGCGACCACCCAGCAACGCGACGAGTTCTGGTCGCTCGAGTCACGACACTTCAGGGTGGTCACGCGACTGACCAACCTGCCTGCGATGACAGACGACATTAAGAAGAGGATAGTCAAGGAGCGTGGACAGTTGTTCACGTCACACAAGCACTACGGCCCCATCAAGAGTCAGTCCAAGACATTCTTTGACGTCAAGCACGACGAGCAGACTGGCATGGGCGACGTGGTCTGCTACATCTGTCAAATGCCCGACATCATTGGCAAGTTCGACAGCAAGATGGCCGACAAGCTTGGCGTGCCCAACGGTCCGCTACGCAGCAAACTGTGCAAGGGTGAGTCGGTTGTGATTGCCGACGGATCGACCGTGCGTCCCGAGGACGTCCTGTCGCCCAGCACCATCGGTCCAGTGTTCATTGTGCTGGCGTGTCCCGATATCAAGTATCTCAAGGCTCTGGTGAGCAATGCCAAGCTGCTCGCCTACGGACAGGGCGAGAGGAGTGGCTGCATCGCACACATGGTGCCCGAGTCCATTGTAAACACACCCGAATACATTGGCCTCATCAACTCATTCAATCCCAAGCAGTGGCAGCATCTGATACTCAACGAGTCGTGTGCCTACCACGAGCTCACCATTAAGTCTGGTCAGCTATTCAATGGGCTGAGTCAGCTGTCGCCAGACTTCTTCCCCACGCTGGCATCAGCACACGGTCCACAACCACTTCCACAGGAGCTATCACACTGTCAGCGCGGACGCTACCAGCAAAAGGTGGTGCTGAATCCATTGCACAAGTCCAAGTTGCCTGAGCTGGACAACACATCATGCACAGAGGACACTGATCTATCATTCCAATTCGAGACTCAATCACCTCGAGATAACAACGATGGTGTTGTAGTCGTCGAGGAGGAGAAGACCGATGCCGAGAAAAGGGTCGAGCGAATGGTACAAGAGGTAACAAACGAGGAGTTGGAGATAGTATTCCTTGGCACTGGATGCTCACAGGCATCAGAGTATCGCGATGGTATGTCATGACTTAGTGTCTTTGAGTGAGCGAGTGAGTCTGGAACACATTGACTAACATTCATTCATCATACAGAGTCATGTATATACTTGGATCTGTTTGATAAAGGTGGACTAATGATGGACTGTGGTGGAGGAAGCTACTCCCAGTTGTTCAGGAAGTATGGAGCAGAGGTGACAAAGAAGGTATGTCATATATGATCAAGATATATGCACTGAATGATTGACTAACACCACATGACCCGGAATCATTCCAACCATATTTAGAAACTGGCTAAATTGAAGTTTATATACCTGTCTCATTTGCATACGGATCATCATCAGGGATTGTTCAAGGTGGTGGAGATGCGTCATCGCGCTCTTGTGGAGTTGGACGTGCCAAAGAGTGAGTGGCGACTGTGTATACTCACTCCGCCAAATGGTCAGTTCTACATGCGTGACATCGAGTCCACTCTAACGCTGGGCAAAGACATATGGAGCTACCTCGAGTTCTACGACTCGAACGATCACGACAACGTCCACAATCAGCCCATGCTCGAGTTCTTGCGACGAGAGCTCCGTCTGGCCGTCGTCCAAACGATACCCGTGGTACACAACTTTGCCGCCACGGGCATCGTGCTGCGAAGTGAGCTGGGCTGGTCGGTCGGCTACTCTGGTGACACAACCTTTTGCGAGCAGCTGGCAACGCACCCTCTGTGCCAGGAGCTCACCGTGCTCATACACGAGGCCACGTTCCAAGATCACCAACACGAGCTGGCCAAGAAGAAGAGTCATTCCACATTCTCCGACGCGATCCGCACTGCCAAACTCAATCATGCTTACATGACCATACTCACACACTTTAGTCAACGTTATCCAAAGATCGATCCAGTTGGCAACACATTTGATCATCAGCGTGTCGTCCTCTCCTTTGACTTCATGACCGTCAACCTCGCCAACCTCCAATCACTACCCCAAGCACTATCCAAGCTCAAAGTGGACCCTAACGAGGATGAGCAAGTTGAGGTTGGCTTTGAGTAAGTGATCGATCGAGAGAGTGAGTAATAAAGTATGATTGATGTTATGTCTTTCCCATGTAACCAAGGTACGAGCAGTAGTAGTCTGAGTTCCAAAGTGCTTGAGTCCTGTCAATGCTTGACTTTCAAAGATAGTTGTACAAGGTTAAATTATTAGTTGACCACGACTTGAAACTCAAGGATAGAAGGTCGTACATTCACCTCCTACTACAACTACTTTACAACCAACTATGATTGTTTGAATGAATGATGTCAGTCCACCATCCACAGTGAATCGGGCTAAAGACAAGGACCTTGCAAGCTTCTCGGCATCAAACAAACCCAAGAAGTGAGTGTTTTGATGAGTCTTTTGCCCCCATCCGATATTTATGTTTTAACAATCGTGTGTGACACCCTTCCCACTTCTCTTTGCAAACTTCGTGCATCCCCGCTCGATTACTCATTCTCTGCGCTCAAGTATTATTTTTAAATCAATCAGGGGAGGGTCTCCTCGGATACTTTAATCCTTCCTACCCTGTTACCATCCCCAGCACAGCAGCAACGCATGCTGGTATCATTGATTGAATGATTGAATGCCTGCATCATGTTGAGAATAAAGTGACGAACTATCAAATGCACGTTATAATATAATCTCTTACACCTATTCATTCAATCAATCATTAAACAACTACAAGTTTGTAGTAGTAGTAGTAGTAATAACACTGAGAGTGAGAGAGAGAGAGAGTTCTTGGTGTCTGTGTGAGTGAGAGAGTGAGAGTGAGACACGAGAACAATGAGCTTCAACAATAACAACAATAGTAGTCGGAGAGGAGGTAGTGGACAAGAGAATACACCTCTAAGAACAAGTACTTCAGGATTATATAATACATTCAACTCAAGTAGTGATAATAATAATAATAATAGTAATAGTAATAATACAGATGCAACATCTATATTGAGTTCAAGCCCAGCATTGGGTGGCAAGAGATTACCAAAGCGAAGAGGTGGTCAACAACAACAACAGGAGGATAGACAACCTTTATTATTGTCCGATGAGTATGATCAGATAGAGTCGCCAAGTGGTGGCAACTCACCACAGTTCAATGGAGCAGGAGCAGGAGCAGGTGGCAAGGTCCATCACATGTCAACAGTGAATCAAGATTATCTTGCGATGTTGGGCACTACTGAGCGACAGGTTGAACGTAGACGCAAGGCAGCCATCGATCTCAAACTAAACAGGAGACTACTCAACAAGATCATCTTCTGGCAGAGCATTGGTAATATGATCCGTGCGCTCCCCATCTTTGTACTCGAGCGTTACTACATCATGTTGATCATATTGTTTCAAGGTATGTCAAAGTCGACTTGTTTGGCGTGGCCCTCCCAAGTGAGGGCCTACAAGGCCACTCACTCACTAACTCATTCAATCACTCAATCACTGGAACTATTCCAATCAGCCATATTCTTACTGATTGGATCATATGGAGTCAAAAGACTGAAGAGATACTTGGTCCTTGTATACTCACTTGGATGTTTCAGCACGACTGTAGCAGACCTGGTGTTGACATTCACTTATGCACACGTCCAGAACTCACTGGCGTTCAGCCAGGCGCAGATCGCATTCTGGGTCTACGTCGTCTTTGTATTCATTCTCTGTACACTAAACATTGTTGGAGGCATCGTTCTGGGCCTGAAGCTGTTCGTGTCGCTGCACACGCTGGACGACCGCTCCAACAGCCCGCTGGTGCTGCTGGCGGCCAGTCTGGTCGGTTCGTTCGACCAGGCCGACGACGACGAGCAGCAGCCCATGGTCAACTACACACAGGCCGCAAGCCGTGTGCTCTACTTCTACGGCGCGCACATCCTTCACTCGCTCAACGTGCGCGAGTCACATGCATTCAACTCATTCACCAACATGCTGCAGGACTATCGCATCAAGATTGCATCACGCACAAAGTCGACTCCTGCCTCTTCCGTCCCGTCCTCTCACTCTGCTGGTAATAATGGTAGTAGCAACGCAACGATGCGTATCGAGTATCACAAGCCGGTGAGATTCATATCGAACGAGGTGGTCACGTCCAAGTACAATGTGATCACATTCTTCCCCAAGGTCATCTACTTTCAATTCTCAAGACTGGCCAACTTGTACACGCTGGGAATCGTCATGCTGTGTATGTTCTCATTCTCGCCAGTCGGCCCCATGAGCAGTGTCACCCCATTGCTCGTCGTCATTGGCGTGGGCTGTATCAAAGAGCTGATCGAGGATGTGAAGCGACACAAACAGGACAAGGAGATCAACGGTCGATCTTGCATGGTCTATCGTCCAGCCATCGGCCACAACTCGCGAGGCTCTGGTTCATTCGAGACTGTAACATGGCGCGAGCTTAAGGTCGGCGACCTGGTCTATATCAAGAACGACGACCTTCTACCCGCAGACATAATCTGTCTGTCGACGTCGCGCTCCGACGGCAGGACCTACCTGGAGACGGCCAACTTGGACGGCGAGACAAATCTCAAGCCCAAGGTCAACCTCACCAAGACAAGCTGGATACGCTCGGCCGCCGACCTGGACGGGCTCATGTGTCGCGTGGAGTGCGAGCAGCCCACACTCGACATCTACAGCTTTGAGGGCGTGTTGTCATACGTGCGCCATGGCGAGGCGACCGTCCCCGAACAGGCACCCGTCTCAATCGAGTCGTTCCTGCTGCGTGGCACCAAGGTGCGTAACACCGAGTGGGTGATTGGCCTCGTCACATACACTGGAGTCGACACAAAGGTCGAACGCAACAGCTCACAGATCAGCCACAAGCGCAGCGCCGTCGAGAAGGGCGTCAACTACAAGCTCATCCTGTTATTCTTCCTCCAGACCATCATTTGTTTGATTTGTTCGATTGGAGCCAACAGCTGGCATCTGGAGGATCAGGACGAAGTGTCGGCCTGGTACCTGGGCCGCGCACAGCGCAGCTTCATCTACGTCAGCTATGTGATCCTTTACAACACGCTGATCCCACTCTCGATGTACGTGTCGATGGAGGTGATTCGTGTGGCCAACGCAGTGTTCATCAACTGGGACGAGAAGATGTACGATCCCAAGACCGACACGGCGGCTCAGGCGCGAAACACAAACATCAACGAAGAGTTGGGCCAAGTGCAGTACCTCTTCTCCGACAAGACAGGCACGCTCACTTGCAATGAGATGCGCTTTAATCGCTGCACCATCGGTTCCGCAACATATGGCCCCGACGAGAGCGACCTTCAGCGCATCGGCGCCACACACAGCGCCACCACCGAGAGCGGCCAGGCAACCTACATCCGCGAGTTCCTCTACAACCTTTCCATTTGCAACACAGTGATTGTGGACTCGCATTGTCAAGACGATGACAATGCCACACCCAAGTACCAGGCGTCCTCGCCCGATGAGGAGGCACTGACAATCGCTGCAGCATCATTTGGCTACGTTCTCAAGGCGCGTGACGACAGATCGATCATTGTCAAGGTCAATGGAGTGGACGAACGCTACGAGATACTCAGCATACTAGAGTTCAACAGTTATCGCAAGAGAATGTCTGTGATTGTACGTGCACCCAATGGCGAGATTAGACTGTACTGCAAGGGTGCCGACTCGGTGATCATGGAGCGATCAAAGATCAGGTCGCTGACGCCATACAAGGTGGTCGGCGAGATGTTGACCGACACAGAGACACACATTGGCGAGTTTGCATCCAGTGGCTTGCGAACTCTGTGCATGTCCGTCAAAGTGTTGAGCACAGAGGAGTACGCAGAGTGGAGCCGCAAGTACCAGGAAGCCTCACTATCATTGGTTCGTCGCGTCGAGTTGATGGACCAGGCAGCCGAGCTGATAGAGCAGGACATGTGTTTGATTGGCGCCACTGGCATTGAGGACCGTCTTCAAGATCAAGTGCCCGAGACCATTACCTCTCTGCGAGAGGCTGGAATCAAGGTGTGGGTGCTGACAGGCGACAAACAAGAGACAGCCATATCCATTGCCACCGCATCATCAGTGATCAACCCTGGCATGGAGCTCATCATATTGAACGAGAGAACCAAGGAAGACCTCCTGAAGCGACTGCTCAAGTTGGTGGCAGAGAAGAACCTGCACAACTTCAACGACAGTCGTCGCTGGGGTCCATCAATCTTTGGAAAGGTAGCTGCAGCACTCAATCTTGAACCTTCGGACGCACCGCTCATCTTGGACCGATCCGAGAGCGTGCAGTTCCAAATGGCCATTGTCATTGATGGCACGACGCTAGCACTGGCATTGGACAATGACCTCAAGTATCACTTCCTACAGGTGGCAAAGACGTGCGAGTCTGTTGTCTGCTGCCGTTGCTCTCCATCACAAAAGGCCAAGGTGGTGCGTCTGGTGTCCGAGAGGTCCTTCCTCTTTGGAGATGGTGCCATTACGTTGGCCATTGGCGACGGTGCCAATGACGTACCAATGATACAAAAGGCGCATGTGGGCGTAGGCATTTCTGGTCGCGAAGGTATGCAGGCTGTGCTGGCCAGTGACTTTGCCATTGCCAACTTCCACATGCTCAAGCGACTGCTGTTGGTTCATGGCAACAGGAGCTACAAGAGAATCATCAAGCTCATCCTGTACTCATTCTCCAAGAACGTAGCGCTCTGTTTGTCACAGTTCTGGTTCGGCTTCTACTCGGCGTTCAGTGGCCAGATGATCTATTTTGACTTCCTCTTCACCCTGTTCAACGCACTGTTCACATCGGCGCCAATCCTGGCCGTCGGTAACTTTGACCAGGACGTCAAGGAGGAGGTGTTGATGAACGACCCCAAGCAGTATCACGAGTCACAGAGCAACCGACCATTCTCAATCTGGAACTTCCTCTGGTGGATCTTCCTCGGACTTTGGCAATCGGCCGTCATATTCTACGCAACCTTCTTCATTCTACATACGGCCGATGCATCTGGTGGCAAGACACTGGGTCTGTGGGCATGCGGAACAGCAGCCTATCTGTACCTGGTGGTGACGACCAACATTCAAGTCAGTTTGATCACATGCTATTGGACCAAGTGGAATGTGATCATGGTGGTGATCAGTGTGATTGGATCTATATTGTTTGTAATGTTGTACTGCTCGCTCATCTGGCTGGAACCCGAAGCACTGGGTATCATCTACGAGTTGTTCACCGTGCCCGACTTTTGGCTACTCTACATACTTGTGCCGGCAATATCACTACTACCATATGGTATATTCACAGTCAACAAATGGATATTCTCGAGCCAAAGCGACAAGTACTACAAGGACAAGTACAGTGGAATCAAGTTGGGCAACAGTTAGACTACTGGTAACCCAACCACATAAAATAGATATATCTTCAAACTCATTCATTCATTCGTTTGTTAGTTAGTTCACATTAAAGTCGTCACTTGTGTGACATTATGCTGTCCACTCCAAGTAGGTGTGGATACAACGGGAAACAATAACAACAACTGGCCAGAGATAGTTAGAAGCAAGAAGTTACAATAATTTATTGTCATTCTTGAGATAGGAAGAATTGAATCAAGTAAATCCAACAAGTATTCTGACTTGGTCGTGTAAAGGGGAGTTGAGGCGGAGTGCGTGTCGTATAAGGTGAGAGAGGAATGAGTGTTTGAGAGACTGGATGCCATGGCCTCAGGAATGTGCACACAGGAATATAATAATATTTATCAACTTGTCGATGTTGATCAATTGCTGCTCTGAGAGTTCAACAGATGTGTAAATGACTGGAAGAATGACAAGGATAATGTTAGCAACCTTGTGATAGTGTGATTGGATTCCAAACTAATATAACTTACCATTGGGAATTTATCAGAGGTGTCTGGGACAATGGGCGATCGATCCATGGATATGGAGAGACTGTTCAGCTTGAAGGGCTGGCTCATGGGTGTGGCTGGTGTGATGGGATCAGAGTTGAGGAGTTCGTTGGACACGTGGGACAGCAGGTTGGAACTGATCTGCAGCTTGGGCAAACGGGAGAAGGATGTGGAGGTTTGATATTGCTTGTTTGAAATGCTGAAGAGGTCGCTGCGACGTGACAGGCTGTCCTCTCGGGTCTCCAGTTCCTTCTCCTTCTGGTCCAGGGTGATGCGCCACTGCTCCAGCTCCTCTTGGCGACGCTTCAGACGCTTGGCATCCTCGCGCTGCTGGTCCTTCTGGAGGTCCAGCAAGCGCTGTTGGCGGGTGACTTTGTCAAGCTCCTCTTGCTGCAGGCGCTTCTTGTTGACGAGCTCTTGTTCATTGTGTGAGAAGATCTCCTTCTCGACCTCTTGCTCCAGGCAGAGCAACAGCGACGAGTCGATGACTGATGACGCAGAGTACGAAGCCGATTGTTGTAGTGGGCTCGATACTGTCATGCGTGGTGTGCTCTCTGGTGACATGGATGGACTTGGTACAATGGAGTTGATTGGTGAACTGTTGGCACTGTCGTCAGAGTAGAACTCTGGGGATGAAGGCGGCTCCATCGACTTTCTCTTCCTCTTGTTCTTGTTCTGGTCATGCTCCAACCGGCTCTGGACGGACATCAGATTGAGACTGATGTTTCTTTGTGCTTGGGATTGTGAAAAGGTTGGTACTTCATCAGAGGAGGACAATGGCGAGATGGGACGCGAGCTCGATGGTGACGATGAATCGTCACTGGTTGTGTGCTTGGACTCGAGCAACTCGGGCAGCACGAAACGGGCGTTCCTGACCTTGCTCTCCAATGATGTAATACTGCTGGACCTTCCAAGGTGAAGCATTGATGTTTGTTGTGATTGTTGTGAAGAGGAAGAGGATGTGATTGACTTGGTTGGAGGGTATGGCAGATGAAGTTGTGGTTGTTGCTTGTTGAAGTGGGCCTTGCACTCGGTGCAGCCAACGGTGAACTTGTCTTGAATTGGTTTGTGTGACTCGGGTGGATGGCTGACGCGGCCCTCACAGTTCTCTGGACAGGCTTGATGACGCTTGTGATGGAATCCACAGGACACTCTCTTTCTATTTGGGCGTTTATCACGCTTGGATTGTTTGATTGTGATGTTGTTGTTTGAGGTTGATGTTGGACTTGAAAGTACCAAACATTGTGGAAGTAATGATGGTGATGACATCATAGATGACATTATTGGTGATGACGAGGATGACATTATATGATTGTATATACAGTTGGTAGAAGGGGAATGGAAGGGGAAAAAGGAAGTATTTGTATTGATTGTTGGACTTGTGTATTTGAGTGAGTGAATTTGTTGTTGGATGTTATGGATGGATGAGGAGGAACTCAGATGTTCGGGGCTCACAATGTCTAGATCGTGGAGATATAAATATATAAAGTGGTTGGTTGGTATCCGATGACTGGTAGGCCTGGTTGAGATGTGCTGGCTGAACTTAAAAACCAAGGTTGGCTATCGGTAGTAGATCCTGGCGGTCCAGATGCACGTGTTAGATGGATGGTGGCTCCCTGACGTTGTCCTGATTGGAATAGGAAGTAGGAAAGTAGGAGTAGATGCGGTAACTTTGTAATAATAATTTAATAATTATTATTAATGTATGGCGCAGCAAGGTGGATAGTTGATTGATTAATTGATTGTTTGAATTGTTGTCTATCTCTCTCTCTCTTGTCTTGGTATCAATTCAAGTTAAGGAGGAAGGTTGGTGCAAGGTTTGATTTAATTAATCGTTGGGTGTATTTGCACGGAATGGAGCAAATGGAAGATTAAGATGGTTGTCGAAGCGTTGGCCGAGATGATGATGTTGGTTGGTTTGCTGATGAGCTAGTTGTAAGTCCTTTTTTTAAAATAATTAAGGATTTGATTGTTTGTGTATGTGTGCGAGAGTGCGATTGATTGATGGATGGATGGGATGACCGAATGTTGGAGATGAATGATATAAGTGGTTGAATGGCTCTGGTAGGCTGAAGATGAAGTAAGGGGTGTGATGTGATACGTGGATGGTCTTGAAGGCCTGGGTGTATGTATGACTGAGCGAGCTGAGGGCTTTGATTGTTAGATACAAAATAATAAAAAACGATCACTCTTGTTGGGTGATGGTGAGTCAAAGATGGTCACACACAATGGGATTGTTAGATGGGAACAGAGTCGGAGTTGATGATGACCGAGTTGTTTGTGTATATGTGTGTATGTGTTTGTCTGTTTGTTGTTGTTATAAAAGTTAAGATGGCGGATGGATGCCTTTGCTAGACTAGACGGGTGTGGAGAAGGACGTCTCCACCGAGGTTGGTGATTGAATATGAGATTTGTTGCAAAGATGTGTCTCCCAGTGAGTGTAATCAGCCCCGTCATTAGGATTCGTGCAATCAAGACTTGATGATAATATCTAGATAAATATCTTTCAATTTAATAATATAATTTTTAAAATGTGTGTGGGTTAGTGTTAATGATCAATCAGGGTACCTTTGTGTGAGTCACACACTCTTCCTTCGCATAATGACCAACCAACACAAACAAAGGTCAACAAGCAACACGTCAATGGTGGAATGGTTGGTGTCCTCCGTCCGAGCATTTTCCAAGGAATCGTTTCGCAATGAGTGGCTAAAAGGCCTTGAGTACCCTAGCCCCAACCAGTGGGGGAGTATCTCTCAAATACACACCTGCGGACCATCCTTGTCAAGGTGCCCAAAGTAGGGGAGTATCTGAATCGGACTCTAGGGTCACCCGAGTCCTGTGTATCAATCAGGCATCTTTGCAGGGTTGGCGGGCTCATCTTCCCACCTTAGTGGCACGAATTTTAAAATATCCTAGGATTTTGATCAGCCCCGGTGTAACTCGCCCAGGCACCACCCGGGTCTATTTTGCCCTGGCCTGTGTCGACCCGACCGGGGCTTTTGATCAATTGGGGGTGGACGATATGCTTAGGACACCCATCATCTTATTATCGTTTGCATTATCTGTCTGTAGGAGGAACACTCCGTCATTGGTCGTTCTTAAGAACCAGTTGCAACCTACCGACTAATGAATCTTCAACTCGATTCGAGTGTCTATCTTGGGTGACCATTAAGTTGTTGTAGTGTGCATCTAATTCAAGTATCCAAGTTACAATGCTGTGGTCATTAATGTAGTTACGACCTGATCTTAAGGTGAATGATCATTCTCTCCTACGATGACCATCATGGATACCAAGGTCGTCAATCGGATTTCCGACTTCACTCTAGTGTATGGTTCCACCACCATCTTCATCTTCACGTTGCCTTGTAGGTAACCGGACTATGTGGATCTACCCTCCGATACATTGCAATGATGAGATGCTCGGGATGGGATGGGTACCAACAAGACCATGATGTTATGTCTGTCATCATCATGTCCGCAGGTCAAGGACTTTGTTTAAACAAGTTTAGTCGGATGCCATCATCTACACTCTTCACACCAGTCCCTCTAATGTGAGATGGTTGAGTATATAGTATTCTGTTGTTGGATACATATATTGCATTCAATATTTAATATTATCTATATCTCTATCTCAATCATTTAGTCAATGAGACTAATCATACACTTTACCTCTTTATTATCTCTCTTTGTGTTAATAAGAATGTTTGAATGAATGAATGAGTATGTTTGACTTCACTTGTCAAATGAATGAATGAAAGAATGGTGGTGTGATGTAGTCAACGAGTCGGAGAAGGGTATCGTATGCGTGTATGCGTGTTACCAACCAAACAACAAACAACCTAGTGTTGTTGATTGGTTGATAGGTTTATTCAGTTGTTATAACTATCTCTTCAGGACTCTCATCCTCTGTAACATTGGACTGGGTATCGTAGGATGCACCTTGGTCAATGTAGGATGTATTGCCCGATTGTCCAGCACTGTTGGCAATGTAGTCACTGATGTTGGCGTTGTTGTATTTATCGTATATCTCTTTGTACAGTTTGGTCTTTGACTCTGATGCCAACATCTTCATTATCTCCTTGTGTCGTTGTTTGTAGATATAGTTGAAGATGACCAATCCTACTAGAGCCACGACCACAACTACACCAACAATGATTGATGTTCTTATTTGTTTGTATATGGGCACGGCTGGATCATCCCTTGTCCTGCAGTCGGGGATATCCACTGAGTCGGACCAATCCTCAACATTACTATTCATGTTGATGATGGACACTTTATATTTGCCTCGTAGGTTGTCGAATGTGATGTTGACATGTCCACTACTACCATCCACTGATTTAGTGATTATATTGGTTAAGTTGTTGTTGTTGATTGGGATATTCTCCAACTTGACTTCCAGAGGTGATGTTGTATTGAGCTGTACCTGTAGTAATTGGCACTCGATATGAATGATTGGAGTACTATTAACTTGAGGTGACAATATGTTTAGGTCGACAATGATACCAGGTAGGAGAAGTGAACCATCTGGATTTGAATTATAAGTTTGGCTGAGACCATTGGCAACATGTTGCCAATTAGACACAAACAATATACAAATGAGGAATATAGAGTTAAAGGATAGAGATAGATTTGGCAACATATTATTAACTGTTGTATGTGAAGGGTTGTAGGTTAGATTGATTGTTTGATCGATTGATTGATTAATTGATTAAGTGAATGATCACATAATAAATAGAGCGAGAGGGAAGAACGATAGCATCATTGGATTTCAGTGATGTATGAGTGAGTGTCAGTGGCAATAATTTAACCATAGCCATGAGGGTCTTTGAAATCCCCCATCTTCAAGGATATCCAACTCGAGGGCGAGTGTGCATAGACTCTGACCATTGATGGTTTGGATGACACCTCTTCCACAAAACGCAAACCAATCAGATCGCTTGAAATATTGATGGGCGAGTGATTTTGATTTTGAACTCCAAAAACTGAACCATTTTTAGAAGTTTCCTATCAGGATTTGGTTGAGATGCCCGCCCCATCACCTGTTGGAGCACGACGAATGGCTTGAACCTAATCATAGGACATCCGTGATAAAGTCAACATTAAAGGTGTGTCACTTCCTTTCAATGACTAAAGAATCTTTCTTGTTCTTTGTAAATTCAAACATGTTGTACTTAGATTTAATGTAATTTTAGATCTATATTAATGGTATTCTTCTTTGATATATTTGATCAAACCACAGTACATCATGACAATTATAGAATCAACTATTAGTTAGTATAAGAAAACAGATACAACAAAAGGTGGCTCATGTGTTTTTGATCAGGTGGCACATGCCTACTTTGCAAATGGGTGCCACCCATTTTTTGATCAAACCATCAATCGACAAAGTTGTAGTCTGTTTTTAGATCAATATGCACAAAAGATAATTATTAATAGATACATATATATAGTATATACTAAGATGGGATTGGTGATGTCAACACTTTGGTGGTTACTTGGATGGAACAATGCCATATCGCCTCAAACCATTGTAATGGTAGGATTGGATGGAGCTGGAAAGACAACTATACTATATAGTCTAAAGCTTGGGCACCTGGTCCAAACTACTCCTAGCATTGGATTCAATATCGAAACAGTCCAATATCGTAATATATCATTCTTCATATGGGTATGTTCCTTTGATTGATGTACATCCTCCCATTCAATCATACTAAACTCACTCATAATGTAGGACGTATGTGGACAGAAGGAATATAGGGCTCTTTGGAGACATTATTATAATAATGTCAATGCCATTATATTTGTAGTGGATTCAAGTGATAGGGAGAGGATGGAAGAGGTCAGGGAGGAGTTGATGCATGTTGCCAATGAACCAGCTCTCAATGGTGCCCCACTTCTTATACTTTGTAACAAACAAGATAATCTAAATGCTGCTGGAATCAATGAGATAGTATCATTACTCAACTTGGAATCCATTGTTGACAGAAAGTGGCATTGCCAATCCACCATTGCTCTATCTGGGTAATGGTCTGACAGATGGTCTAGAGTGGCTATCAAAGATACTTCTGCAGTCAAAGCCACAACCTCAACCGCAACCGCAACGGCAACTGAATGAGCCGGAAAGAGGAACAAGATAAATTTAATGTACATAAATAGGCGTTTGATTGGTTTATTATCTATACAGGGCGGGTTGTGTAGTTGACTATAGTATATATTTGGTTGATTGGCGATGACTCAAGCATGGTGGACTAGTTCCAGTTGGCCTCTTTGATTGATATATGTGATTGTTTGATGGTACTTGGACGTTTAGCCGTGTGGAACACTGGCTTCTTCTCTTTGTCATACTTGATCTCTTCAACCTTTGGCGCGAATGTAACCGATTGACTCAGTGATGGTTTCTCATACTTGAGATCCAATGTCACCATCTTCTCTAGTATCTCCTCCTCGTCCGAGTCGAGTGTAGGCTTTGGTCTGGGCGGCGACATTGGCTTCACCAGGGGCGGACGCGAGAAGCTCTTCTTTGATGATGATAGGCCCCATGATGAGAAGCTGCTCCTCAGTGAATGCTTCTCCTTCTCCTTCTCCTCGGGCGGTGTCAGCTCTGCCACCTCCTTCTGGAACATTGTCCACTCTTCATTGATCTCGTGCTCCAGACGCTCAATGACACTGTCACGCTCGTTGAGTGCGTGCAGCATCAGACGTTTCTGGAAGATCAGCCTTCTGATCTTCTGCTTGTCCTGGCTCTGTACCTTTGCCTTGTTGCGACGCTGCAGACGTCTCTTCTTGGCCTCGTAGTCGATCATCTGGTCCTCCTCGTCCCATTGTAGTTGAATGAGTAGATCATCTCGTTCATTGATCATTCTTCTTGTGAGTGCCAACTGGGCTCTATACTCCTCAATTTGGGCTTCCAGATCTTGGTTTCTCATGTCCAGCTCATCAGTGGACATGTTTGACATTGGGCCAGTGTTGGCCAGGGCGTAACTATCAACAACAAGAGTAGGGTCCATGATTGATTGTTTGTTTAGAAGATGGTAGTATAGTAGATAGTAGTAATAGTAATGGTACTAAAGATAATAAATAGTATTAATTGATTGATAATATAGACTACTGTTTGATTGAATGAGAGTACTGGAGTTTGTTGCAACACTGCAATGTTGTTGGAATGGATGTGCTTATATCTGCGTCGAGTTGGAATGTGGTAGTAGGTGGATGTGTGGCGAGGGTGAGGTTGATGGGATGATGGCTGGCCAGAGAGATAATGAATGAAATGTTGAAAGGATGAATGAATAGGAATGGTTGATGGACAATGCAATGTGGAGGTGATGTTGAAGGTGATCAACTAGTTATTATTGTTGTTGCTAGTGTGTGAGATGTATGATGTATGATGGATGATGATAATAATTAGTGAGTGATAGATGACAATGACAACACACTGTAGTGAGAGAGAGAGAGAGAGAGAGATGTTGATTTATAGGCTACTTTGACTAAAGGGAGGAGGGCAGAGGCAAGAGTAGCTGATGTGTGAATGGCCTTAATTATAACATCATCATCAGCATTGTTATTATAACAACGCTATTTATAAAGTTAAACCATCGTAGCGGCCCAGACTTGGCGGTGTGCCTGTCCCTCGGGCGCCCTTTGGTCAGGTCAGGGTTAGCCAGTCCCCGCCACACACCACCCGCTGCTTGATTGATTGACTGGCTGATTGGGATGCATCTACCCTGCTCCATCTACCTCCTTTGCCACCAGTGTGTTTGCCAAGTGGATGGTTGGTTGGTTGGTTGGTTCGTGTTAGTTGCAGAAGTGCCGAGACTTATTGTTGTTGCTGTTGTTGTTGTTGTTGTTGTTGTTGCTGTATTGTTGTTGTTGCTGTTGTTGCTGCTGTTGTTGTTGTTAGCATCCTTAGCGGGGCAATCTTACCACTCACTCAATCACTCCTTCTAACTCAAAGTGTGAGTAGATGTTCCAGTTAGCCAACCACAATGCTAACTGGTCGATTACCAATGGAGAGGACACACACATTAGTTCATCTCCACCTTGTGTGTTTATTTGTTTGTTTCTTTGTTGTGTGTACCACACACATTGTTATCTTACTTAGAGGTGATGTATTACTTTCATTCACACATAACACACAACACCAAGCTCACACTCTATACCTTGGTGTTCATGGCAATAATAATGATGCAATGAATAAAGATCTATCTTGGGGATTTATGGTATCGTTTGTGGATAATGGAATACGAATTACTTTATAATATTGTTGTGTTGTTATATTTATTTATTATTAATATCAAGTATACTTGATTGATTTTAATCAATCGGTGACAGGTGAGGGTATTGACAATAATTTTATTAATTATTATATTTATGGATCTTGGATTGATTGAATGATTGATCAATATAGAAGATTCAATTTAAAAAGTTATTTGATAGATATGGATACATCTTTATTCTTCTGAATCTGAATATACATCATACCAAACAGGACATGTCAATACTATCAATCATTAAATAAATTAATAATCAATCAATCAGCCTCTGAATCTTATTCTTTCAATTATATGCTAATAAACAAATAAAATATATTAGCTCTTGATTAAAACATTATTTATTTCAAGTGATAGCAATAAAATAAAATAAAACAATGTTTATTTGTGAACTCCAACACAAACACTCATTTTCAATGAAGAATGAAAAGTAATCAAAAAATATGTCAATTAGGGTGTGGGGGTTGGTAATGATCAACACAACATAACACCACACTGTCGTCAAGAAGTCTCATCATTACATTACAAACATATAAACAAACATATACTCTGACGGTCAAGTGAAAGACCTCACTTCTGATACTTCTCTTCATCATCACCATCATCTCACCTCAGCGGTGTCTAAACTCAACTCACATCACTTCAACACATACTACAACTACTACAACTACAACAACTAAAACAACTACAACACTAGGTACTAATAGTACCTCTATATAACATTACTATTTATTTATTTATATTTTTATATATAATATATATAACATATATTTAGAATGTACAAGTTATTTGTAACAAATGAACATCTTATACTTAAGAAGGAGACACTACATGACAGTGCATTGGCCATAAGCAGGACTGACTCATCATCGATGACCATCATGTCCAAGGCCGATGTGTTAAAGTCAAAGTTTGTAGAACCTCCTCGTGCCTTTCACTGCTGTCTAGGTCTATTCACCGTCAACCGAGGTATGATGTTCATCATCAAGATCATCAAGATCATCACTCGCTCATTCATTCAATCAAACAATCAACTACAGAACCATACTTGGTAGTTGTTGAGGATGCATCGATTATTGGATCAGTATTCCTACCTGGTTCGACAGAGCAGAATGTTATAATGAAGATCAATAAGACAGACTTTGTAAGCTTTAGATCGGGCAAGGGAGTTCATCCAATCGAGTTGCAGGAGGAACGACCTTACACGCACGTGATGAACCTGCTCAACACGGGCGACTTCTACTGGGTCAAGTGGCCGCAAAACCACTTCTACGACATCACGCGATCCTTCCAGGACCAGGTGTGCGACCCGCGCTCCGACATCCCCTTCTGGGAACGCATGGACAAGCGATTCTACTGGAACAAGTTCCTGCAGAAGGACTTTATCGCGTACAGGCTGATGGACTGGTGCTTCCCCATCATCCAGGGCTACGTCACCTCGACGCCACTCGGCGACATTGGCGGACGATCAGTCGACTACATCATGGTGTCGCGTCGCTCACGTTTCCGCGCGGGCACGCGCTTCAACACGCGAGGCATCGACGACGATGGCAACGTGGCCAACTTTGTCGAGACGGAGCAGATCATCAACGTCAAGAACTTTGGTACGCTCTCCTTCCTGCAGCTACGCGGCAGTGTGCCCGTCTTTTGGAACCAGTCATCGCCACAGTTCTCAGACTTTAAGATCAACATGTCCAATCTCTCCAAGATTGGCAAGATCAGCAAGAAGAAGATCTCTGTGCTCAGGACGACGCAGGCAACCACGCCCGCCTTCCAAGCACACATCAAGGAGATGCTGTCCAAATATGGCAACATAGTGATCATTAACCTGCTCAGCAAGCTGAAGCAGGGCGAGGCCGACCTCGTCAAGGCGTACGAGGAGCAGCTCGACATCCTGAACGCAGACACCGTGACCTACATTGCCTACGACCTCAACGAGCAGCTCAAGGGCAATCGCATGGATTCGCTCGATCGTGTGATCGACGACATTAACCGAAGTGGCAACGTGGGCTACTTCTTTGTGACGAACCAGCGAGTGGTCACCAGCCGACAGAACGGCACAGTGCGCACCAACTGCAAGGACTGTCTGGACAGGACCAACATCGTGCAGGCACGAGTCGCCTGGAAGTTGTTGGAGCATCATCTCTGGAGCCTCAAGGCAATGGACCAGCATCACAGTCTCTCAAACTATACATACATTGCACAGCACCTCAAGACGATCTGGGCAGACAATGGTGATGCGTTGTCAATGCAGTACGCCGGCAGTGGCAGTCTCAAGTCAACACTGACGCGAGAGGGTGACTACGGCTTCAAGGGTATGCTGGCCGATGGCAAAAAGACCGCGCTCAGGTTCTACGTCAACAACTTTAAGGACACAGGTCGCCAGGAGGTGCTGGACCAGTTCCTTGGACTCAACGTCCAAAAGACAGGCACAGAGTCGTCGCACGACGATCGCATCAGAAGGCAAGTGCAGGAGCGCAAGGATGAGTACTCCCAAAAGGAGTACAGGAACGTATTCATTGGCACGTACAATGTCGGTGGTGTGCCCTCTGGCCAGTTCGTCCTCGACGACTGGCTGACACCGCCATCGCCCTACCAGTCGCCCGACATCTACATCCTTGGTATCCAAGAGGTGGTCGAACTCACAGCCCAACAGATCATCGCCACGGACTCACAGATCAAACAATGGGAGGACACAATCATGCGCAGTCTCGAGAAGATCAATCCCAAAGTTCGCTACGTTCAGTTGCAATCCAATCAGCTGGTGGGTCTGCTCATGTGCATCTATGTGCGCGAAGAGCAAGTGCACCTGTACCGTGAGGTGCAGGCCAAGATCATCAAGGTCGGACTGCAAGGCCTGGCTGGCAACAAGGGAGGCATCGGTGTGCGCCTAATGTACTGCGATACTTCGTTCACCTTTGTCACTGCGCACTTTGCCGCCGGTCATGGCAACGTGGAGGACCGTGTGTCGGACTACCACGACATTAACAACCAGGCACGATTCGGCAGCAAGAGCCAGCACACGATCGAGGACAGCGACTACTCGTTCTGGTTCGGCGACTTCAACTTTAGGATCAATCTGCCCGACGACGAGATCAAACGAATGGTGCGCTCAGACAACCTGACATCTCTCTACGATCACGACCAGCTCAAGCAGTGCCTCGAGGCCAAGTCCGTCTTTGTCGGATATCGCGAGGAGCAGATCACATTCGCCCCGACCTACAAGTACGACTTCAACTCGACTGTCTATGACACCAGTCCCAAGCAACGAGCTCCCGCCTGGACCGACCGTGTGCTTTGGCGCAATAAGCCCAACCACGACATCCGTCCACTTCACTACAGCCGCAAGGAGTTGTTGACGTCGGACCATCGCCCAGTTCGCATCTATTTCCAGCTGCAGGTTACCAAGGTGGACAAGGAGAAGGAGCGACAGTTGAGACATCAGCTCTATTCCGACTCAATGAACAAAGACGGCGCCAATCTCTCCAAGTCGGTGGTACCCGCGCAGCCCCAACCAAAGACTCTACAGCCACCCATGATTCAAACGCAGTCTGCGCCAACAATCACCGCCTCTTCGTCCGGTGGTTCAAACACGCGGCCCTTGAGTGGTGGCGCTCGGCCACTGCCATCAGTGCCCTCACAGCAGCAACAGCAGCAACAGCAGATCATGCAAGAGGTTGTGACAACCAGGCGAATGACTGGTGGCGATTCGTTGCCACATCCATTGACCCCAACCAAGCCCATGACGGCGGGACAACTGTTGGATCAGCCTGTGATCCTGGAGAAGCGATACCCATCACCCATTGACGCACCTCTCGAGCCCTCTCGCTCTGGCTCGGCCTCCCCATTCCAACCAATCCAGCCCAATCTAAGCAACAATGTAACGCCATCCACACGCTCACCAATGGGCAGTGGCAACCAACAACAGTTGGCACAGGCAATACAAAGGCAGCAACAGCAGCAGCAACAACAGCAACAGCAACAGCAACAGCAACAGGCAATGTCCGATGATATGTTTGCCCAGATACAGCTGTTCCACGATGCTCCAACACATGCCATCCAGCCATATCAACCAATCACAGTGACACAACCACAACCAACATATGATACGCCTCCTCCGCTTGCCTATCCACAGGAATTGGTACCATTCCCACAATCACAACAACAGCAGCAACAACAACAAATGTATCAGCAGCAACAACAACAGCAGCAGCAACAGCCACCACCACAGATGTACCATTCACAACCAACAATGTATCAACCACCCATGGAGCTACTGCAACCAATACCCAACGCAACGACTTTTATACCACCAATCAATCCAGCTTACTACAATGCCCAGCCAGTGTCCTCATCATATCCACCACCAATCGACCCAATCAATCTTAATCCAAACGCTGCTCACAACATGCATTTGATCAATGGTATGCAGCAAATGCAGATACAGCCACAGTCCTACACGCTCCCTCCACCCACAACGTCTGGCTCTGGCCGGATGATAACCAACAATCTATATCAACAACAACAACAGCAGCAGCAACAACAACAATACCAACAACAGCAACAGTACCAACAACAACAACAATATCAGCAACAACAACAACAATACCAGCAACAGTACCAGGGTGGCGGAGGTAATTCCTTGATCTAAGTTAATAGCACAACTCCACATTACTCACCAACTGTCGCAATAAACATCCATGTAACATTCCAATCCATTCCTTTCCATTCCTTTCCATACCAAGCCAAAGGACCATAATATTATCAAAGGGCACACAAGTCATTTATGGATATTCCCTTACCTTGGAGGACTTCCAGACTCTTGTACATTTTTGTCAGTGACCTTGAGACTTTGCAGACACATGTCACATGATAGACCATTCTACAAATGGACCTATCCTAGTTTATTCCTTAGAGTATTGACCATTATATCTTGTATCCTCTATGTCCCCGGACAATCGATCAATCACTACTTACTAATCATTGTGGCTGTGGTCCACACCCACCAGCTAGATTATTAGATGAGTTCAGATAACTTTAATAGGTAAAGACATCGGGCCTAGGCTCCTAACTCTGGACCACGTAGACAATCTACTTCTAATTATCGAGACAATAGTAATGGACACATTTAGTAATAATTTTAAAATTATCTTTCATTATACAGATAAGATGATGGGTGTCCACAAGTCTAGTGTGTTTGTCATATGATTGAATGAATCAGTGAGTTGAGCTAGAGTGAGAGTGTGTGGAATCAGAGAGCGAACAGTTGGGGGGGATGTAGGCTGGCTGATGATTTGCGAAAGAACATCATTAGTCATGGTTCTGTAGATTGTTAGTTTGTTTGTCTGTGTACATTGGTAACAATATAATATATGTTTGAATGAATGGTCCTCGGTATTTACTCCCACCACACTATTATATTACTTCTTCTGTCTAACTACATCAACATCCGAGAGCACTAACTCACACTATCACACACAGATAAATATATATTATTTATATATAAAAATAAATATATAAATATAAATATAAATAAACACCCATACACACTCATACACTCAAATAAATAGATCTATTTACATGTACATATTTAAAAATATCCCTAATACATAATAGGGATTACAACTGTATACACGCTCTACAGCTTCTTTTGTTTCGTTCCATCAATACCCAAATCCCTTAAACCATCACTCCATCCAGACGCCCCATACATCATCATAGCGCTTCACCCATTATCCTCAAACACCGACCAAAGTCAAGCGAGGGTCAAAGACGGTCGAAGACGACGGAGACGACCAAGTATCCAAAGGGAGGCAAGCAGCAAGATTGCACCTCTTACAAGGTTCTGAAACATTGGTACAGTGAGATTTTTATACTAAGAGAATCTTTGAATATTGAAAGAGAAAGGAGAAGGTAAGTCAAAGTCAGTCAGAGCATCGTGACACACATCAGATCAGTATGATCGTTTGGACCATCTACCCATCAATCACCGTCACCACACTCATTCACTCACAACCGTCAGTCAACTTCGTTTATCCTATCAATATCCACACTGGTCACCCAAGTCAACCTTAATTAATTGGGATGGGCCTCACAACGCTCCGAGGGTGCACACGACGACCCCGCAGCGCATTTCGTAATCAGGACGAACCCACGGCACCATGGTGTTCATCTCCAAAATGATGAATTCATTCATCAAACTTGTGTGTGTGTGTGTTTGTTGTTATTTGATCATTTATGTGTGTGTTTGTAGAACGACTAAAGGAGTGACCTAAACAGAGCACGGCAGAAGGTGTCTCCTCGTACCTTCTCCACCATCCATTCAATACTTTGGTCAAAGCGGTGGGGTCCGTGCGCACCTCATCAATGCGGTTTGGGCCACGCTCCCACTCACACACATGATTGATGGCCATAATTTTCATCCATTCCACATGAACATGGTCAAAGGTATTGAATAGTTGTGACCCAATTCAGAAATGTGCCCACTCTTTAGGCCTCCCTCCGTTCACTGATATTGAAATGTTAACAATTATTATTATTATTATGATTGTAAGAGTTTATTTAAGTTTATAATTATTCATTGTGAGTATACACCTCATTCCATTCACTTTCAATCAATCAACCATCCATTCATTCATTCATTCATTCAATCAATCAATTTAATCAATAAGATTAATATCCGAGTTTGATCAGATCAATAATAATATTAATATTATTTTAATTGTTAAATAAGAATAATAATAATAATTTAATAATTCTCGAATAAGGATACTTATTTCAATCTTTCAATCAATCAAACAAACCTAATTATAACACATATAAATAACAACACTGTTTATGATGAAGGTTACATCAAGATGTGTTTTCCATCACTAATGTTGGATCTTTCCCAAAGAGCCCAACTTTGTAGCGGCGAGACGACGACCAGTCAAACCAACACAAACACAAACAAGCCCCACCCACATCTTTGATCATTTCATCATTTCTTTAAAGAAACAATCTGCTTGCCTCCCCTCCTCCCCAGATACATACATTTCTTTCTTCTACACCACATTTGTAGTTGACTTGTATTTACGCGCACAAGGCGTGTCGCGGAGTCTCAATTCTTTAATATCCTCCACCTGATCTAAAAACTGTGCGCCTTGCCCAGCCATTCATTCATTCATTCATTCATCATTGTTGTCATTGACCCAGTCAACCTGGCATACGTACCAAAACACCGTGTCGTCCATCCACTACACTTATTGCACTTCACCTAAGTTGAAGTAATATTTATACAATACAAATACAATACAATATATATATATATTTATTATACTTTATAGAGATATATATATATATATTATATTCACACCGCGAGTCAACCTCGATATCATTCTGACTCGCGATCAATCGTTCAATAAATCAATCCTCCAACAATCATCACAAACAAATATAATCAATCAATCAATCTATCCTCCAACAATCCTTCCTTTCCTAGAGACCAACTCAACCACCTGCAACCATTCAACCAAACCAATATATACACAGTGTTGCTGACTAATCAGCACTCATCGACTCACACGCCACATGCTTAGGTTCAATGGAAAGGCGTAACAATGAATCTTTTCACGAGTCGGCACCACCTGCGGACCAAGAGGGTCTGGATAACACCGACCTTCCAGCGGTAGACGATGGGCTGAGCAATATCAGTATCAATAGCAACAGTATTAGTGGCGGAAGTAGCGTAGGTAGTGGTGGCAGCAACTCCAGTATTGGCAGCCAAGACAACATCAACTACAACATCGCCATCACCACGGCCAGTACAAGGGGTGGAGCGTTCAGAGAACTAAATGTTGTTGACAAAAGATGGCACCAATATTTCGACCCATCAACAACATTATCAACATCAACAAAATCATCAACAACAACAACTTCAACAACATCAACATCATCATCGAACTGGATCAGGACAGGAAACCACCGACTACGCAAAATACCATCATCACGATGATGAGACATTATCGCCACAACAACAACAACAACAACAACAACAACCACAACATCCGCAAGACCCACCCCAGCCATCACTACCAATGGATCCGCACCATCAGCAGCGATCAGGAAAGATATTTGTTGGAGGATTGACCAAGTCCACTTCCAATGGTAAGCCTCCTCGCCCTTGTCCCTGTCCTTGTCCACATTCTAATCCTCATACTAACTCCAATCACGTGATCACTCGCCTCTTAATGTTTAGACAAGTTGAAAAAGTATTTCTCAGAGTTTGGCGAAGTTCAGGACCATCTAGTGATCAAGAGCAATGAGAAGACGGTCAAGAGTAGAGGCTTTGGCTTTGTCACGTTCAAGGATCCAGATGTAGTTGACAGAATTCTCAATCTGGAACATATTATTGATGGAAAGCAAGTTGAAATCAAACGAGCCATACCAAAAGAGGAGATTGCCGAAGAGCCACCTAAACAGAAGCTATTCATCGGAGGTCTACCAAAGAATCTAAATCAAAGTAGGTTATAATTAATTAATTATTATTTATTAATTGATCAATCACTCACTTACTTACTTTCTCACTCACTCACTCAATCAATCAATCAATCATTCACTTAATAATTCAAACAAATAATCAGATGTGTTTAAGGAGTACTTCCAAGCTTATGGAGAAGTTATTGAATGTAAATTGTTACAGGAACGCAATGGAACAGGCAAGGGATTTGGTTTCATTAGCTTCAAGGACGACTCTGTTCATCAACTTGTCCTTAACGAACAAAGACACATCATTGCCGGGAAAAAGGTATATATATATATATTATTTATTTGATTGATTGATTGATTGATCATGGTCTAACAGGTCTCCTACTTACCATTATATCATCATTAAATATATATTAGGTTGATGTAAGAATTGCCGAGAATAAGAAGAACAGTCCATCAAAGAACCAGCTAATGCATGATCCTTTGAATTTGATCCATCAACAACAATATTCGAATACAAATATACCAACTACGAGTCAATCAACTTATTTAATCAGCCCAACTACTTCAACACCTTCAACGTCAACTTCTCCAACCTCAACAACATCAACAACGCCAACAACATCTACACAGCCATCCGTTGGTAATCCACAGCCTCATGCAACTACCTCGACCAAATTGAATCAATCATCCGAGCAACATCTTATTCCTTCCCCACCGCCGCCCACAACAACAACGACCACTACACTACCGCAACAACAACATCACTACAATCCATCAACAAACACCCAACCGACGAGCACCACCAGTGGCAGTGGCGGTGGTAGCGGTAGTACCAGCAACACGACCAGTGGAACGACAAGACAACAACATCTACAACAACAGCAACAACAACAGAGCCGAGAACATCTGCACCCTGTTGCCCCACAGCAACAACAGCACATGCTTTCACAACAGACATATATACCACAGCCATCACTATTGCCAGCGACACATTTACCGATTGACTCGAGTCCGACCTCACCCTACCAGATGCAGTACACTCCCAACCCAGCCGAACTCTACTACTACACCGAACCGCCACCCAACACCCTCTATCCGCCACAGAGTGTGATGATGGTTCCAGTCGTCTATCCATCCTACTACCCAAGCGCACCACCCAACCAATACAATCCCCGCGGTAAATTCTCATCATCACAAGGCGAGTCCACTCAGTACAGCCAAGGTATGTTCACAATCTTCACACTCATACTCAAACTCAAACTCATACATTGCAAACTCAAACATCACTGTAGGATACACCTATCCAAGAGGTTCATATTACCCAAGATGGGTATACTCTTCGTATGGATATGATGACAGCACTCAAACGGAAATGGACAAGAATGTTCCCATACCGACATACCAGCAATCAACTGTGCCTTCACATGGCCTTCGATACTCTCAACAACAGACATCAACTCATTCTCCAATTTCCCATCAACAACAACAACAACAACAATCGACAAACTCACCTACAACATCATATCAGCAACAGCAACAACAACAACATCATCATCAACAACAACAACAACAGCAACAACAACAACATCAACAACCAAAGAAATATCCGAACAAACCTTTACATTCAAGTTATGGCACTAGTGGATCAGGACCTGATACCAAAGTAATTAGCTCACCCTCATCACCTTCATCGACCAGCTCAACCACTTCGCCAATATCATCGCCAACGGCCACATCAGTCAGTACGATTCCATCTTCGTCGCCCGGGACTCAACATCGACATCATCCAACACACAAGCCGGGCTCGATGATCACTACGACCACTACCACAATGACCACCACTCCAATGCCAGACCTGACATCCTCGGCATCCTCCTCCCCAACTCAGCCCTCAAATAGCTAGACATCCGAGTCTCAGCCACACAACCCTCCATCCGATTCATTTAATAATATAGACTATTATTAGACACCTCAATATCAACATTCAACCAAAAACCAACTTCCATCAACTCAATCCACCAACCTCAATCAATCAACTCAACATTAATGGCACTCTGTCATCATTGATCACTTTAGAATGTGAACAAACTCAGAGTTAACCATCACCCCATTCTCTTAGACCAACCCATCTTGGTCTGGAGTTGGCAAATTAGTTGCCAACACCGTCTCAGCTTGGATGTATCATTAGGACATATCCATTCGATGTTTAATTAGTATGTATCTTAGATACCCTATCATTCAATCAATAATATTAACATTTGGTATTAATCATTAGCATAAATATATACATACATATATACAACTCAGCTCAATCAATCCAATCACCATCGATACTTACTTACTTACTTATATATAATAATAATATTTATTATACACCAAGCAATGGAATAACAACAATGTTAGGTATATCTAATCAATCATTCAAATACATCTTCTGTGAAGTCGACTTCCAGTAGCCTTAAGGCCAACCCCCAACTTTGAAAGTGAGATAGAGACCAACACTGATTGCCATTGTCCGATAATAAACACACACACTGCAACCCTCTGCTTGTTCCACAAACAGAGTTGTACATATATACAATACATACATACTGTCTACTGTCTACTCGTTCATTCGTAATGTAAAGGTTAATGTTTATGTTGTTATTATTTCTTGAGGTTTGCCTTGGCACCAGTATCCTTCTTCTTGGTGACAGGTGTAAGGATCTCTTCGAGTGTCGTCTGAGCTGTAGTCTTCTTCTTGATCTCCTCTATCTTTAGTGTGTTCTTCTTCATCTCAATTGACTCGATGATCGCTGACAAGTCCAGATTCTTTGTAAATAGTGTCTGCTCAAAGTCGTTGTCTATGTTGATGTCGTGTCATATCGTGTCGTGTCGTATCCTGTTAGTCTCCTGTCTCTTGTTTCATCTCCTGTCTTATCGCATGCACAATGATACCTACAATACTTAATCTTGATCTCTGGCTCACAATCCTTCTCAGCGAGCTCAATGTTAACCTTACACTCTGGTGACAGAGCAGTAGCTCTACCGCAAGTGACCAGCGGCAGACATGATCTATAATATTGATTGATTGATTGATTGAATGATTGAGTGTGTCAGCAACAAGACATTGATGTTGAGTTGCTAGACATCCTACCTGATCGACTTTGTATATGCATTCATTGGGTAGAACTTGAATGTGATGGCCTTAAGGCTGCTAAGTAGATTCAGCTTTTGTTTCGTTGACATCTTCTCCTGTGTATATGTGTATGGTTTGTATATATATATATATATATGTATCTGTTTTCTGATCTAATTGATCAAGTTTATCTGTATAGTTATATGTGTAGGATGGTGGTGATGGGCAACAGTCGACTCTGACAACATCATTCGGCAAGAGAGAGAATGACAAAAAATGAACCAAGGGTGTGTGGGTGAGGAGAAAGACAAAGAGTGTTGGTTCATGAACCAAACAAATGAGGGCATGTCATTCATTCACATCACATGATCATAGATAGAGATAAGATAGATAGATAGAGTAGAGATAGAATGAACAACAACAATAATACGACAAAGTTGAAATTACATACAGTTACTGTACATAAGGATAAATTGACAGATGCTATTACAAATAGATTACAGGTGTTGTTCCAAGTTGAAGTGGCTACACCTTCACCACCATCGACTGATAGATGTATCAGTCATTACAACTTCAAATCATTCAATGTCAACTTCTTGGTCTACACCATCACTGAGATTAATGAGCAACCAACAACAGTAATAACAACAATCGATGGCCTAATAGGTCAATACGGTCATTGGTAAGCAGTTTTGACTACATTGATTGAGATTGAGATTGAGACTATATTGAGATTGATTGAGTTTGAGTAACAACTAATACTTGGATTCAATTGATTGAATGAACTGAATGAATTGAGTATAGCTACTTGATCATAGACTTTGAGAAGGATACACATAGTAGTAGGACATTATCAATATTTAGTAGGTTCCAGAGACGTCTCAACTTGAAGTCAGACATTAGATTATTGTTTGTCAATCAGGCATTTGAATGTGTAGATGCAATGCTTAAAGTACTATCAAGCAACACCAGCGAGTATGAACAAATGACCAACGAGAGGATACAACAAACAGAGGACAACCTACTAAAGAACATCAAGAATGTCCTACTTCTTACCATCCCTGGTATGACTGTACAAATGTCCAAAGATATATTGAAGAGTAAGTTGTATAACTTCAATCTCTTAACGATGTGCTTGCTTGGCCTAACATTCATTCATTCATTCATTCAAAGAGATAGGAAGTATCAAACAACTCTCTGAAATGGATGAATCACAATTGAGGGCTCAACTGGAGCTTAGTCCGTCAATGTCCAAGACAATTGGCAACTTCTTTCACAATGATAGCCAATAACATTATGTTATCCAATCCAACCTTATTGGTTGTGGACTCAACTAAACAAGTCATGCCAAGACCCTTCCATGACTGATATTTTCGAATGATGTTTCTTGAGGTTTCAAGGTCAACTACACTCGTGTGAGTGTGGGGTGGTGCTTTCTCGATTGTACACTTGCCTATCTATCTTATTCATTCATTCATTCATTAACTAATTACTCAATTGTTGTTGTCATCATCATATTTATTTATACATTATCTTCTTGTGTACATTCATCACAACAAGATCTATTAACACAGAGAATACATAAACAAAGGTTGCTGTGAGCAATCCAATCAATCAATCGATCAATCAATCTAGAGAGATAGTAGTGTTAGTGTTAGAATAGATATAGATATATAGATATATATGTACATATAGAGAATGAAGAGCAGTAGTATATCATCATTCAATCTTATATATATAGTGTTGTTGGTCATTCTGCCGTTGACAATCAACAATGTGTCACCAGTGTCGGCTAACTTCTTTGATGACTTTTGGAAGCCAGTGTTCACAAAGGCACCAAAGTTCTCTTCATCACAACTCTATCAGTTGCCATCAATAGGATACCAAGGTTATGATGGCAAAGTCATGGCCTTTGGCGACTTTAATGCAGACAAATAGTGAGTATCATCATCATCATCATTCCATTGATTGATTGAACTGAATGAGTGAGCGCATGACTGACACATTATATTACATTATAGCTTGGATGCATTCTTTGTATACTCAAACAAATCAACATTGCAGGTATTCTTTTGGAATATGAGAGAGTGGAGATATGATCCATCAGACGTGATCATCAGTATGGCACAGAATGTAACTATCACAAATGTTATCCCAGGTGACTTCACTTATGATGGTTCACTGGACATCATGCTACAGGGTCTGTTGGCGGATGGCACACCATTCCTCTACCTGTACAACGGTCACTTGACCACTGTGTCAAGCTACGTTTCTCTGCCACCCGCCTACGACCAGGCGCTGGCACTCGATGTCAATGGCGACCTGCGCATCGACCTGCTCAGCGTGGACGACAATGGCACACGCACACTCTGGATCAACCAGGAGCAGGGTCACTTCATCACGGTGGCACAGAGCAGCGAGATTCCTCTGCGGCCAATGGCCAGTCCACACTCCAACTCGTTCGTCGATTTGAATGGAGACTGTGTGGCCGATATGTTCATCACGAGTCTTGCCGCCGATGGCACACTCCAAGGCGAGATCTGGTTGAATCAAAAGTCCAATGGCTATATCTTCACCACTACACTCAAATTCCCTCCTGGCACTGGTCAGATCACCTTTGCAGACTTTGGTAAGTTGTCAGCTGATCCGTTGACGATCATCCACTCACTCACTCACTCGCTAACCTCATTCATTCAATCAATCATTCAAATATTAGATGGCGATGGAGACTTGGATATGGTGTACCCGGTTTGCTATCCAGCAGGAACCTGTTCAGAGGTCAACGAGTTGTACTTGGTGTACAACTCACAGAAGCCAGTATGCCCAAGCTCGTTGTTCTCCAATCCAGCCAAGTGCAGACCACAGAATCAACTGTGCATGGTCGATCCAAACTTCCAATTCTCAAATACTACTGGTCCAGATGGAGTATGTACATCATCATTCATTCATCAATCACACTCACTAACTCAATCAATCAACTTAGGTAACACAAATCATTCCAATGTCAGCATTTGGTGGATATGCATTCTATTCCAATCTTGAACAGTCCATTCCAAACATTATTCATTATGGTGATTACAACATTGATGGCTATCCAGATATCTTGATCTCTTTGTACAATCCAAAGAACAGCAGCGAGCCAAACCACGTTGAGTTGTGGCAGAATGTTGGATGCACCGCTCAGCTGTGTGGCAAGGGCGTGACGGGCCGCACATTCACCAAGGTGACGAGTGGCACCGATGCCCTCACCAGCATCCCCTACGCCTACACCGCCGCCTTTGTCGACTTTGGCGAGATTGGCAATGCCGACATCATGGTGTTGATCAGATATCCAAACGGCACCGAGGCCACCCAGGCAGTCTTTAACAACTACTACAACGATGCTTTCTTCTTCAAGACTCTGGGCCTGAACGGAGTGTGCACCAGCGTGTGCCCCACCGGCCACAAGTTCCCCGACCCCAAGCCATACGGCGTCAACTTCCCGGGCGGCACGTTTAAGTTCATCTTTAGTGACATGAGTGGCACGACACACATGCAGATTGGCGCGCAGCTCTATCAGTCGGCGTACATGTCGCTGCAGACACCCTACAACTTCTTTGGTCTGGGCCGCACCAGTAACTACATCGACTACCTGTTCTACGGTGTCACACTCAATCAGACCGTCAGCTACAACAGCTGGATCGGCACCATCCCCAACTCTCAGATCGTTGCCATCCCCTACAAGCCAAGCACTCCAACCTCTTGGACACTGGAACTCTTTATCAATCCAAGTGGTATCTTCTTCTGGGTAATGATTGCATTCTTTGTCGTGATCATCTTCTTCTCCAGCGTTGCCTTTGCACTCTACAAGCGAGAGAAGGCCCAAGACGAGAAGCTTAAGCAAGAGCAAGCTCATCTGTTCTCATTCAATGCACTCTAGAGTCTATCACTCATTCAATCAATCATTCGCCGTTTGTCCAAACACTACCTTTATATATATATAAACTCATCACTTACTTACTTCGATACTAGGTATAGATTGGAATTGTTCCAGCCTCAGCCTCATTTGATCAATGTGATATTGGATCCTAGTCCAGATATATAGTTTAATGTTTGGTAATGATGATGAAGAGTCGGATGTTACTGGATTGTGATGGACTCATGGGCAGTGTGGCGACCCTCATTGGTGACCACGTATACATCCAAGACAACTCCACGTGGAGTCGTTGGAGGAATATCAACCAACAACTCCTGTTGACCATCAGTCCTCTGAGTGATGAATGTTGGGTTCAATGGTTGATTGTTGAACATCACCGTGGTCTGAGCTGGTATACCCACAACACCAAGTCTCTCACCAACCAGCATGATAGTATCACCCAGTTGGACAGGTCTCTGAGAGAGTCGATCGTATTGGAAGTCAACATTGTCAATGGATGACACATTGTTGATTGTTACATGGACTGGAAGGAAACTGGTAAGGAGGGCATGGTTGGAAGAGATGTTGGGCATCACACAAATCAATGTGTCAGATGGAAGCTGGGAGTTGGCAATGAAGTCAACGAGACAATCAAAAGGTCCCATCTCAACAAAGATTTCGGTGGCACTCAATGACCAGCCAAACTTGGCAAAGTTTGATCCCTTCAAGGTAACATCTCCTCCAATGTCACTGGCTACACTTGTTACACCTGTCACCTTTGGACCTGGATATCAACAATGTTAGAAACTGTATTAGCTATATGAAGATAGAGAGGGAGATGAGGTAGTACTTACGAATGACATGTTGGTAGGTTGTGTTGAGTTCGTCAACTTCAACATAAAAGGTCTTGATACCTGGAACATTGAAGTATGATGAGTTGAATGGATATGGCTGAGCAATAGTTGACTCAAAGCTCAATGATATGTTATGGTGATTGGTGAGGGCAGATACATGTAATGGGATACCATCAACAGACACATTGATCGTTGCAAAGTTTGTTCCAAAACTACCTCCGTTCACAATGATCGATGCATCATTGAGTACAACTTTGTCTACATTAGGGTCTAAATTTTGAAAGAGTGAACAAAGTTGGTAAATGAGAGATAGAAGAGAATAAGTGACAGTTGCCTAGTCATGGTACTTACTGGCAAATGTGTAGGTGATACTGGTGGTTCTAAGTTGGGTGGTTGATGTGAAGCCGGTGATACCAGCGGTCAATGAACCACTGAGACCATTGGGTGGCACGACAAAGGTATTGTTGAGGAATGAGCAGGACTGACTCTCAAGGACAAGGTGTCCAATGACGAGGATATTGGGACGATCAACACATGAGAGGAATCCACCTGTCACTGTGATGACTCCACCCTGAGTAGGAACTGGTGATATTGCGTTGACTGCGATGGGGTTCCAAGGAGCAAGGTATACCTTGAAAAATTGATCATCTTGATAATAGGTCATAAACAGACTACCTTCGATCATATTCTGATTAGGATTATCCCAAGAGAAAAGTTGAATAGAAGTGTCATTGGATACTTCGTATTCCACATATAGGTTCATCAGGTACCTTCCATTGCCATATACTCGATAGTTAGTGTCTGTTTGAAGACCACTTCCCTCTAGAATGAAAAGGTCACCTCTTTCATCTGACCAATTATATTGGATTGAATTAACAACTGGATCACCTTTAAATAATGTTGGAAATGGATAAAAAAATATTTTAAAAATATTAATATTATTGAATATGGAATTTGTTGTATTAAAGATCTAAGAGTACTTACATTTGATAAATGTTAATGAAGAAAGGGATAATAATAAAATAAATATTTTGCTAAACATTGGAATTGAATACTAATATGGTATAAAATAAGGAGGGATTAATTGATTGAATGAACAGTGTCCATGGACACTATTTATCCTTTTGTGTTTGTTTGTTTGTCCCAACCAGTTGAGAGAATGCCTGTTTCGAAATGAGGGAGTTAGACCCATCAATCCAATCAAAATCATTGATGTTTTTGTTCTTCGAATAAATAATAAATTAATCTAACACACTGCCCAGGCAACAGATTAAATGATTTATTGTATTGTGATGGACTCATGGGCAGTGTGGCGACCCTCATTGGTGACCACATATACATCAAAGACCACTCCACGTGGAGTCTGAGATGGGATGTCAACCAACAACTCTTGTTTTCCGTCGGTCTGAGTGATGATTGTTGGGTTCAAAGGTTGATTATTGAACATCACCGTGGTTTGAGCTGGAGTGCCGACAACACCAAGTCTCTCGCCAATCAGCAAGATAGTGTCACCCTGTTGTACAGGTCTCTGGGAGAGTCGATTGTATTGGAAGTCAACTTTGTCGATCGATGATACATTGTTGATTGTTACATGGACTGGAAGGAAGCTGGTAAGAAGGGCTCTGTTTGAGGTGATGTTGGGCATCACACAAATCAATGTGTCTGTTGGGAGTTGAGAGTTGGCAATGAAGTCAACGAGATGTTCACGAGACAATCATAGGGTCCCATCTTAACAAAGATGTTGGTGGCATTCAATGACCAACTAAACTTGGCAAAGTTTGATCCATTCAATGTAACACTCCTCCAACGTCACTGGCAACACTGGTCACACTGGTGACCTTTGGACCTGTTGATATTAACATGTTAGAGCTAATTAGATGAGGTATGGGTGAGGATGAAGGTATGATTGTACTTACGAATGACGTGTTGGTAGGTTGTGTTGAGTCTATTAACCTCAATATAGAATGTCTTGATACCTGGGACAATGAAGTATGATGAGTTGAATGGATATGGCTGGGCAACAGTTGCCTCATAGTTCAATGATATGTTATGGTGATTGGCGAGACCAGATACATGTAATGGGATACCATCAACAGACACATTGATCGTTGCAAAGTTTGTTCCAAAACTACCTCCATTGATAATGATCAAATCATCATTGAATACAATCTTGTCAACATTTGGATCTAAATATGAATATTGATTGATTGATTGATTGATCGAGTGAGTGAGGTGTGTGTGGAGGTAGAGAGATGGTTGTCATGGTTACTTACTGGCAAAGGTGTAGGTGAAGCTGGTGGTTCTAAGTTGGGAGGTGGAGGTGAATCCGGTGATACCTGCGGTCAATGAGCCACTGAGACCATTGGGTGGCACGACAAAGGTATTGTTGAGGAATGAGCAGGACTGACTCTCAAGGACAAGGTGTCCAATGACGAGGATATTGGGACGATCAACACATGAGAGGAATCCACCAGTCACTGTGATCACTCCACCCTGAGTAGGAACCGGTGATATTGAGTTGACTGTGATGGGGTTCCAAGGAGCAAGGAATAGCTTGATAAGTTCATCATCTTGATCAACGTAGTACATCATCAGACTACCCTCGATCATATTCTCAATGGGATCATCCCATGAGAACATATGTAAAGTATTGTTGTCATTGGATACTTGGTTGTCCAAATATAGTTCATGGGGAACAATCTATTGCCAGTGACAAGATAGTTTGTGTCATTGGGGAGACCACTTCCCTGTAGAATGAAACGGGCGCCTCGTTCATCTGACCAATTATATTGGATTGAGTTGACAACTGGGTCACCTAAGATCAATGTTATTGAAGATAGGGATAATATTAAAATAAGTATTAGCTTAAACACTTGATTAGAATATTAAATATATATATTTATATATGTTGAGTGTCTTTACAAGACTTTGTCATATATTATTGAAACGAAAGATGGATTTGCAGTTCACGATTCGTGATCAGAACTGGCGGGATCATTTTACCAAAAGTAAAACATTGGTATCGTTACAGTCATCTGCAAATGAATCGGTCGAAGAGCAAAGATGATTGCCGCCTCAATTCGGAAATTTGCATTGTTTACCCCACCTACTTAGCTCGCTTTGATTGGTGGGCTTTATTTGAAAAGGCACTCATGTGGACCACATTAGACCTTGTGTTGTTGAACAATCAATGGATAAGTTCGAATGTGGAAAAGCATCATGATCACTCTATTCAACTTGTTTAGATACATATAATAAGGTAATGACTTTGTGATCACTCACTCACTCAATCACTCATTCTATCAATCAATCACTTACTCAATCAATCAATCAATATAAGATGGGAGACATTGAATCATTCTTTAGTGATAGAGTGTCAAAGGATGATCCAGAGGCAATCTTTCAAATTGTAGAGGTTGTTGGTTGTGGCAGCTTTGGAACTGTGTGCGCATGTAGGTGGATGAAGAAAAAGGACAGAGAATTGAATGGCAACAAATTGATCGCCTGCAAGTTTGTAGAGGTTGCTGCCGAAGATGTGGAGACCAACACCAACCTGGCCAAGGAGATCGACATCCTCAAGCAATCAATCGACTGTCCGTTCATCGTTGAATACAAGGGCTGCTATCTAAAGGGTAACATGTTGCTGATCGTCATGGAGTACTGCAAGGGTGGCTCCATATTGGACATCATAGAGCTGTGCCAGAAGCGATTGACAGAGGACGAGATTGCCGCTGTGTGTGCTGGCGTTGTCAAGGGCCTGGTCTACCTGCACTCCAAGCGCACGACACATCGCGATATCAAGGCTGGCAACATCATGTTGGACGAGGACGGTCTGCCCAAGCTGGGCGACTTTGGCGTATCGACCATCGCTGAACAGGGTCAGAAGATGAAGACTGTCATTGGCTCGCCCTACTGGCTGGCGCCAGAGATTGTGATGGGTCAGGGCTACGATCAGAAGGCCGACATCTGGTCGCTTGGCATCACCGCCATTGAGATCGCCGAGACTGTTCCGCCTCGTTTCGAAGTGCCGCCCTCACGAGTGATCTTTATGATCCCGCACGAGGACCCGCCCGAGCTGAGGATCAAGTCGGATTGGACGCCCGAGTTCCACGACTTTGTCAAGGTGTGTCTGGCCAAGAACCCGGCGGATCGTCCCTCTGCGCAGGAATTGCTCAGCCATCCATTCATCCTCAAGGGATCATCACAGCAGATTCTACAGAGTCTGGTGACAGAGTGCATACCATTGTTAAAGCAGAAGCGTGATGAGAAGATCAAACAGATGGAGGCGGATCAGGCAGAGACAGACCAGTCAGAGTTGGACCAAGAGCAGCAGGATCAGCAGGCACAAGAACAGGAACAACTGGAGCAGCCATTACCAACAAGATTGGAATCACTCAAGGGTACAGTGGTCGTACTCAATACAAATACCAATACAGCTACAATGTTGAGGAAGAATCAACAACAACAACAAAACAAGAGACCAGTATCAACAAGGATAACACAACAACAACGCGAGATATCAAACAATAGACCATTGTCTACAAAGGTTGTACCTACACCAACAGCCACAAGAGGTACAATAAGTATTGGTACACAAAAGATACCACAACAACAACAACCAGTAGTGGCAGTAGCTGCTGTTACAACACAACAACAAGTACATCAACTACAACAATCAGATGTAAATAGAGTACTAGAGGATGAAGAGGATCCATATGATGATGCAGAGTATGATGAATATGAGGAAGAGTTCAATCAAGAGGACTATGAAGTGTTCGAATTATAGTATAGTATCCATTATGTTCTTCATTGTACATATGCCCTAGTCGATGGTTTGGTCAATCGACAGCGTCAATAACAACATCAATCAATCATTCATTCATTCAAATCAATCAATCAATCAAACCAACAAATAACAATAAGATGTCATCTTTGCATTTGCATATGACTCGTCTGGGATTAATCCATCCAGATCTTTCATCGAATTGGCGCGATGATCATGAAAATGCTAGAGAGTCTTTCAGACTTTCCGTTCGAGAATGCCTGGGAGTGCAGTTTCCTCGCGTCATTGTCGCACATTCTGACAAAAAAAGACTTTGCGACCAACACACTGGCAACAATACACACATACATAACCAGGTACTGCTTTAACTAAGTATGACCAACAACTATGTTATGTATTAAGCAACAATAACAAAGTTGTAGGAGGTGTTGATCGCATCGAATGGATGCATTGGAAGTGAGATCCATCATCACATCCTGGTTTTGTAGTTGCAGTTGAAATCATTGATGACTCTCTGTCACTCCATTGATTGTTTACTTTGGTAGTAATGTGGTTATGTCTATAAACCTTCATTCATTCATTCATACATATATTCAATAATTATAACAACAAATAGTAATAATAACAGGAATTACAAATACAGGAAACGACAGAGACAGAACAGAACTATTTATTATTTGCATTGCTTTGTGACAACACAACAACCCCCACACGCGACAAAGCACAATAACAGGTGGCACATTACCATTTATATCCATAGACGCGATAATTACCATTCATTGAGAGATAGGGATAGAGGACAACTAGTCCACTCTCAAGGGAAAAGATTAGATTTACACCTTAGTGTAAAGGACAAGACACACACATATTCAACAACAAACATATATATATTTACAGATACACACAACAAGTAATCAAACATGTTTGGCAAATTGGTAAGTGAATTATCTCTTTGTTTGATTGATTGAGGATGTGGTGAATAGTGATGGTGATGTTGATGGCAATGGCGATGTCGATTGTGTGTTCTGTGTGTGGTGATGTTGATGAGTTTGTCGTTCAGATTGAGGGTTGTAATAATAACAACACCCTTCAGCTAACCAGGATAGGTTGATTGATACAGATACCACATCGACACACAATACACACACACTCATACATATATAACCATGTCCATTGCCATCCTTCCATCTTCTCTGTATTTGGAGAATGAATGAATGAATGAATGATTCCCCATATTCACTCAGACTCAATCTCAATCCTCAATCCAATCACATCTCAATCCAATCACATCTCAATAACTAACATATTGATACATACTTATTTATGATGATGGAATTCATTCAAACTATACACATACAGTTAAACTCAAATAATCAATCAAAGGATGAGTTGGACAGATGTAGACATAAATTGCCAAAGGATCAATCGATGTTGACTGGATTCCCAATGACATTGATATCGAATAGCAATACGATGGTACATACACAGAACACCTTGAGGACATACAGCTCCACACCAGTCGGTCTATTATTGACCAACACCGAGTTGTTTATATATAATACATCGGATGATGAACCAATTGAATTGTTATTCAGATGTCCTTATCGAGAGATATCAACGCTGGCCACAGGATACCTACATTCGTCTTCGACCAAAGGACTGCCCCCAGCAGTCGATGGTGTATTGATTGATAACTCTGCAACACAAGGACAGTACTCTATGAAGTTGACACCGACTCAAGGCCGAGCATGGACATTGATGTCATTCTCTCCGGGTGATACGCCAGACATCCAAAGAGAGCGTGTACTCAAGATTGTAGCCATCATCAATACTGTCAAAGAGGAGACCCTACACAAGTCAACTACATCACTCAAATCATCATCTTCATCCAAGAATCTGGCAGCAAGTGGACACGACAATATCACCATTTCAAACATGTATTATAAACTCAATGGACTCATCGTAAGTACCACTGGCCATCAGACTCACTTGCCAGTCACAAGATACTAACCATCGATATATAGATACAAGGTGAGATGTATCTAAGTTTACAAAGAATGTCATTCATTCAAAAGTATATTAGAGATCCAAAGATGAATGTTATTAAGAAGTGTACCGATAATTATAGTTTCTCAATAGAGACCAAGTCAATCTTTGAATGTAAACGAGTGGAGACCAAGATTGTCAAGCATCATGCAACCGTCAGGCTGTCAACAGAGGGCGAACGAGCCAATATCTATATATTCTGTATAAAGAAGCCAGGGTATGTAAATATTATGTATATTTGATCATAGAGATACTAACTTAATGTTTACATCCAGAGTTGTACAATATTTGGAACAAATGATGAAGATTATTGCAGAGGCTCAGGTGGTCGAGACACATTCAAGTAACTCGGTGGACCATGAACATGATTTGATGGAACAGAGCTCACCAGAGACTTCTGATGTAGCATTTGGAGAGGAGGATCAGGATGGTATCATATTTAGTATAGACACGGTCAATACAAAGTTGGATGACAAGCCAACTCACAAACCATTGAAGAACAACTTCAAGGTCAACTCTGATCTGTTGACCAATGACGAGATGATGTGGGTCCAGTCATTGATACCATTGCGGCACACTGACGATACATTGGAGCTTGTGTACAGTACAAAGAAGCATGGCATCAGCATCAGAACATTCTTTTCCCGTCTGACCAACAGGTCGCCCTGCATCATGATCATTCGCGATGACCTTGGTCATGTGTTTGGCGCTTTCACTTCTGATCCATGGAACATGGAGAAGACAACTCATTATGGATCTGGCGAGACATTCATCTTCAAGGTGCGACCCGAGTCAAAGAAGTACGCTTGGACCAGGATAAACGACGACTTTATGCTGTCTACGAAGGAATCATTCATCTCAATGGGCAGTGGAGGAAAAGGAGTTGGACTGTGGATCGACGAGGAGTTGCTCTACGGTTCGACCAACCACTGTGAAACATTTAACAATGAGATTCTGGCACATAGTACCGACTTTAAGATCGTTGACATTGAGGTGTGGTCGCCTGCCGTCAAGAAGACAACACAAGGCAACAAGATGATGAACGCTACAGAGTTGTTTGGAACAAGATTCACTGCCAAGCCAACTGGAAAGGCAATGTCTCCATATGCCTAGGATATTAAATAATGTATTATTTTATTGATTGATCACCTTCATCTTGTTGTTGATGTTACCCGTGCTTCCAAGTGTAGTTTGTGAACCACTATTGGACAATGATGACCACTTAACTTGATTGTAGAATATGTATATTGTTATGGCTGGCACCACTTCAGTCAAGATTAGACAGACAAAGCTAAAGGCATTGTTTGTCGTCTTGATGGTGATCAGCACTAGCAAGAATATTGAATGAAGAATCAATCCGAATGAGCATGATACAGTGACAGTGAACACTTGCATCTTACGAGATGATACGGCTGACAATGATCCAAGTAACCTATTGATCTTGATGCCAAGATATATGAACATGATGCCAAATACAAGGGAGATCATGGCTTGAAGTATGCCATAGAATATTGAGATGATTGTTTGAGTGGTGCAGTTGGACACGGTCTCGAGCACCCTTGATCCACAGAAGCTGATGGAGTTTGATACCTTGGATGCGTTGTAGACCAAGATAATGATGATGCATGCAAGGTAGTCTAGAATGACAAGAGGGTCAACAAACAATTAATGATTAGGCGAGTAAGAGAGTGCAGTCTCACTTATAGACTGTTTAGAATAATAAGAGGGTCAACAAACAATTAATTATTAAGAGAGTACAGCGAGTGTATCCTCATATGTCGGCTGTTAGAAGGGATAGAGTAAACAATCGATTAATGATTAAGCGAGTAGGAGCGAGTGCAGCCTCACATAGAATGGTAAGACAGTTTAGAATGATTAGAGGGTCATTAATTAATGATTAAGCGAGTAAGAGCGAGTGCAGCCTTACATAGAATGGAGAAAGAAACATTATAGACGGCTTGGAAGACTCTGCATGATGACGAGCAAGAGTAGCTTCATATCCAATTGGCGCCATCTGGACACAATACAGTACGTATAAAGGTAGCGACAAGGTCAACGAACGAACAAACAAACAATCAATCAATCAAATTAATACCTTATATTATTATTATTATTATTATTACATATTTACATAATGTCTAGTGATTCTGAATCATCTACATCAACATGGCGCTTAACATGCTGAAGCTGGAGTACAAGAGCTATTGGACCAAGTACTCCAACAACAACCAGCCAGAGCGCCCACCTCCTGAGGATAAGTTATTCCCATCAACCAGTTCATCCTCGATCGAACCCGAGTCTGATGTAGAAGATGACGACGACGACCAGGATGACCAGCCCAAGCTCATGGACATCAATAAGCTTCCCTCAGAGTTGAGAAGGTTCTTGCTCCATCCTCGCATCCCTAGCAGTGTCAACACTCTGTCGTGGTGGGCCGTCAACTCTGTTACCTTTCCCCTAATTTCAAAGATAGCTCGTGACTATCTTGGTGCGCAAGGTGCCACGACTTTCCTCGAGACTTCGTTCTCAGACCTGAACGACATTATCACACCCAATACTGCCAGTCTCTCGGACTCCAGTGTGACCATCAAGTTCGTCACCAAATACTATATGAACTATATTAACAATCGTAAATAAATCTTCTAGTCAATCGAATGAATCGAATATAAATACAATGAATATGAACAACTGTTAACTTGTCAAATGATTATTTGTATTCATAACTCGTCGACATTTATTCACCAATAATCGGGTCGGTTGGTCATCGTCCCAAAAATTAACTATATCCGATGAATAGGAGCCCTGCCTCCACCAAGTCCACTGAATCTGCTCACATGGGAATAATTAATAATAAACTCCCAGTGGACTGGAGTTGTTGTTGTTGTTGTTGTTGTTGTTGTTGTTGTTGTTGTTGTTGTTGTTGTTGTTGTTGTTGTTGTTGGGTAGTTAGGAGAAACATCAGACGTTAGATATCTATTTTGATTGTTATTGTCGGTTCACTCTCTGGTTGGTGTCCACATCGGTACGGTTGACTCCTAGGTGTCATCGGCTCTGTTGTGTTAAAGAGCTCTTTTGGTTGAAGTTGCCTATGTTACTGCTGACGTTTCAATAGTACAGCACATTACATGAAGTTAGTTTGTTTTAATGGGCAATGATTTTGATTGGGCGCACTCTGAAGGTGTCACCTGATGGGTTTTGCACTACTGATCAAAATGTGTAGGATGACCATACTGAGCAAATGGAGATCACAGCAAAAAAGATACAGGCTATCTCTAACTCTGATGGACCATCCTACAAGGTCCCGCAAGCCTGACACCCAAATTTGTAGGATGACCAAATTGAGCAAGGGTCCAATGTTGTATAATGGCCAGGCCAATCCATCAGTCCAGTCCACCCATCCTGGAAGACAGGTATTAATCCACACACACAACAATACTAATAATTAAAGTACCTAAATAGTAATTATAACAATCATCTAATAACAACAACAACAAATAAATATTAATAATGTCATCGGTAGCAATCGATTACAAACCTAAGTCTTCTGGCGGAGAGACGTTGGCCAACCTTTTGCCCGGGGCTGCTGAACGCATTGCCCAGAGCATGAGCGAGAACCCATTGAACATGATTGGCATCGGTGTTGTTGTGGGCGCTCTCGATATCAAGGACCCAATCCAGGTGCTGGCCAACTATGAGCCGGACAAGGAGGATGTTGGCATCATGATCACCTCTGTCATGTAAGTTGTTGTGGACCTTTCCATGTGACGAACAACCTAACTAACTGACACCCAACAACACTGCACTTCTCCCTTTCTTCAGTGGTGTTATCCCAATGGTCGGCCCAATCCTCCAGGGTATCTTTACTCTGTACTGGCGCAGAGCCTCCGATCAGGAGGAGAACGTCACCAAAGAGGAGCTTGAGAAGAAAATCAAGTCCCTCAAGGAGGATATGATCAAGACGATGGAGAACAAGATCAAAGATTCTGAGATCACCCAGTGGACCCAGCTCTGTGGCACTTTCGTCCAGACTCTCTCTGACAACTGTGAGGCCCTGTCCAACGACATGAACGCCCTGTCCTACCAGCTCCAAACCAACGGCCAGGCCAGCGAGCAGGTCAAGGAGAGCGTGCGCATCAAGTTGGACATCACCCGTGACAAGGTGATGACCATCATGAAGTTCTGTGCCAACAACAACTTCGTCAAGTACACCGTCTCCTACTACATCGAGTGTCTGTTCATCTATGGCCTGGTCCTCCGCCACTATGACGTAAGTAGTTTTGACCCTTGCACAACCTCCACCACCACCAATGTTTAACCAATCCCACGCCCAAACTGCAGAGCTTCTGGTACCAGCTTGGAATCGACCCAATTTTTGTGGCTGGCGCCGAGGCCAAGGGCAACGCACCTGGAGTCCTCTCGTTCCGCGAGAAGCTACACCAAACCATCACCTTTGGTGTGCAGCAGCTCAAGACAGTGATTGAGTCAGGAGACTGTTCTGAACAAGACTTGGCACGCGCGTCCATTGTGCTCAAGCAGGACATGTTCTGGTACCCAGTCCCACTTATCTGCCATAACCCCGAGACCAACTACCAGCTGAAGACCTACGCCCTGCCCGAGAAGTCTGGCCCTTTCATCTTCCGCATCCCTGGCGAGAACCTCACGCCTAAAATGTGGAAGCCAAACTTCATTTGGAAGGCTCCCAAAAAGGAGTATTTCAGCGACTGCTACGGCCAGGGCATCGTGAACAGCCGTGTCAACGTGTCGATGAGCTCGCCTCGCGACGTCTCAGTCCGCTTCTTTGGCGATTATGGAGTCGAGAATTTGAAGTGCGATTTCCGTTGCTCCTCCATGGCTGGCGATGAGGAGGTCGAGAGTACCACAGTAACCGATTTGATCCAGCCAGGCTTGGAGTACTTTGCCACTGGTGTGTACTGTAAGGAAGGTTTCTACGACATGGCCGTGAAGAAGGGCGGTTTCAAGGCCGGCTGGGCCATGTCCGAGAAGCTGAGCAATGTGTCCAACCTGGCTCTCAAACTGAACGCTATGCAAGACCCACCCTACCCCCACCCTGGCTACTTCTGCAAGCTTCTCTTTGTCGAGATCATCGTCCATAACTAGAGCTGTGGCAACGAGGTCTCACTCCAACCAACATTACACCATCAAATAAATGTCCAGGTTGTATTTGTCAATGAGTCGCAGAGAGTGAAGGAGTACCAGTGCCAGCAAACCAACTACTAACGTAGTTGCCAACAATTTGTTATTGTTGTTATGTTGTTATGTTGTTATGTTGTTATGATGTTATGTAGTTGTTGTTGTTGTTGTTATTGTTGTCAACAGAATCCATTGAGCAGGCACACATCCACCACGGATGTAATGGAACGATGGCTTACAAATCATTAAAGCGGCTCATTGACAGTGCACTAGAGAGACCGCTCAGATCCAGGCACCAAGGGGTGTGCCCACACGCAACCGACCAACGAGCCGACAAACGAGCAAGACGTAAATGAAAGGTTGGATGAGGATGACAGCACCGTTGATGGTGTAAGCACTGTCGATGGTGTAAGCACTGTTGTTGTTGTTACTCCAATGAGAGAGACCTGTAGGTAAAGTACGGTCTTGACTTGACTTGAATGACTTTTGGACCTCTTGAACTTGAACTTGAATTATGTAATCATTCTTGAACTTGACTTGAATCTTGAATCACATTCAAGTTCAAGTTCAAGAATTGATGACACTTGGTTTATTGATTGTTGTTGTTGGTCAAGAACGCCTGTAACTTGCGAGTAACAAACGATTTGCCTATTGTCTTGGGCTTAAGACGGTTCCTGTTGGCTGTTACCATGTCTGGTCCATGCTTGAACTGGCGCTCCAAGAACACAGATGAACAAGATATGGCAAGATAGTCCTTGGCTATGGCTGCCACAGTAGGATACAGATGCTCATATCTCCTCCAATACTCCAATGCAGGCTGTAGGATATTTCGATATGGTTGATACTGTGTAATGACAATGGCTGGAAATTGCCAATGGTTCGATCAACAAAGGACATGTGCACCCTAGACAACCAATCCAATTCCAACTCTTGCCGACTAACCTCGTCCATCCCCACAATATCCGTAAGGATGAATCATCGCCAAGGTAGGGAACTGGTTCCTCATGGTCTTCCAATAGTCAAGAGGATTCYTCTCCCCTTGACGGTTGGTTGGTCGAGGTAGGCACTGAGCTCATTGGCAAGCTTGACCTTGCGTCTCTTGACACCAGCTCCAGTTGGCACAGGAGCATGCATGGCGACCTCAGACGTTGTTTGCAGGCTCGAGATGGTGAGCCTAAACCTAGCACCAGCAGCAGTAGCAGCAGTAGCAGCAGTAGCAGCAGTAGCAGCAGTAGCAGCAGTAGCAGCAGCAGTAGCAGTAGCAGCAGCAGCAGTAGCAGTAGCAGCAGCAGTAGCAGTAGCATCAACACAGTAGCAATGATCAGCATATGGTTAGTTTGATACAAGTTGGCATGGCTACTTATTGGTACAACCATGATGGATACAATCAGTTATACAACGAGATATCACCATTGGATGCAATTATAATTCTGATCGTTCATTGGCCTCATTGAATGATTGGTCAACTGATTATCCATTTGGGTACTGACCTATCATCTGGGTTGGGCCAATCCTATCCAAGGAGAGTAAGGTGGTGGAGACTCTGGATAGGGTTGTGGGTATGTACTTACTGAGCACGGAGCCTTACTGAGCTCCTCGTTAGTCATTTGATGGAACTCGCCTTTCTTAATCGGGACTGAGAATGTGCTGCTTCTCATGATGGCGGCGTACATGCCAGAGACGTCGTACTTGTAAAGAGGGCCATTGTATGTGTCGGCGAACCTCAATGGTCCATTCGATGCCTTGGCTATCCACTTGGCTTCCTCTTGTTCGATGATATCTGGAATGACATGCTTGTTGTGTTTGCTGAATAGGTTGAGGGCGGCCTTATTAATGTTTGATCCTGTAAAGTACAAATCGATGATGCCATTGGTACCTTCTTTGAGTGCGTCGGCGTCTTTGATAAAGTCCAGCCATGTCTCCTCCAGCGTCTTGATGGGCTTCTTGCTCTTCCTCTTCTTGGCAGCCTCTACTTTGATGTATCGACACTTGGCATCGAACTTTTGTTTCTTGAGCTCCTCGACCAGTGATGCCTTGCTCATTGTGCTGTGAGTGGTGCCATCGTAGATCTGCACTTGATCATTGTCGTCGTCCCACTTGTACGCCACTACTGGGAGTATTCTGTCATCGTTGTATCTCTTGAGGATGATGCCCTTGGGCTCAAATGATCCCTCCTTGTCTAAAGTGTAGTGCTCGTTGGTTAGTTTGAGATTGACGACTCGGACGTAGTTCTCGGTTGAGGTATTGCATTAATCACCTTTGACATTGATACAGATCTTGAGCTTCTTCTCGATCACTTTGCGGAGCTTGAGTGGCACCATGGCGTTGCGCTCTAGTTTGAAGAATCGCTTGAAGATCCATGGCGTGCTAAAGTGTTCCGTCACCTCGTCTGGATAGGCGGCTTTGAGGCAGTCGTAAAAGCAGTCGTTGTATTTGCCATTACAGCCGCCTGCTCTGAGGTTAGGATGAATGATAAAGATGTAGAAGCCCTTGATCGTGAGATCGTCGAGGGGCTTGCCATCGTACTCATCTGGGTTGAACAGACTGATCGCATCACCTGCCTTTGTGAACTTGCCCGAGCGATATTGACGATTGGCGTATTCGATTGCGACCTCGAGACGAGCAGCAGAACCATCATGATAGAGATCGTCACTGAGCCGTTGTGCAATCATTCTGATCGTGTCACGATTGTAGGCTCCCGCGTAATGTCTCATCTGACAGTCGAGGTTGTTGAGTCTGGTTGTGCTGTAGGTTGCTGGCATGTTACTAAAGATAATCATTTAGAATTATTTGTTGGCCATCAACTGCTTGTGAATGTAGCCCTGTTTGTGTCGATTGAGATTGGTGCGACCCACTTCAAAGCCACACTCACACTTGACCTTTTCTTTGATGTAGGCCTTGTGGCGTTCTCTGAACTCCGGGTCTGATTGATAATGATGTTTAATTGATGGCATTCTTATATCTATTGGAGAGAAACAATATTATGTACATGTTTGGATTGGTCAACAGGCTAGTAGTGGAAGTTTGGAGTTGCCTCGATCATCTTCCTGAGAGTACACAAGTCAACATCGATTGTTGCTGGATTTGGCAGACCCGGATCATCAGGACCTAGTAGTCCTGGTGGGTGAATAACTGGGACACCACCAGGAACGCCATTGAAGACCTCGGCAATTGGAAGTTGGAGCAGATATTGGGCAGGCACAGCAGGAGGAAGTACACCGAGCACAGGAGCAGGAGGTGCAAAGTAGGGGTTAGCGGCAATTGGATGTTTGTATCCCAATATTGAAGCTTGGGGAACTCCAAGACCAGTGAAGAAGGTGATAGTTGGTCCATGGACAAGCGGTCTCGCCCCAAAGGATACAACGTGTGTTGGTCTGATTGGAGCTAAGCCAGCTGCTCTGCGATACAAGAATGCCAGTGCACAGAAAGTAGTTGCAGGAGGTACACCTAATGCATTGACAGGTCCACCAAGATGATTCTGGTTTGGGTATCGTGAGAAGAGCTTGATGCATATCACGAACTGAATGTCCGTGGTTGCACCAAGATAGTTGACGGCCCGTTGATGAAGCAGGTCAAGAGATGAGGAGTGCACTCCGACTTCGATGATGATAATAGGAAATGGATGGTTGCCTGGGTTGGATGCCAAGAGACCTCCAGCAACAGGATCGGGTCTACCGGTTGGAATGATGCAATTGTCGGCCATGTATCTAATTCCGGGTGCAACATCCATCATCCTTCCTTGTTCACTCATCAGATGATCCATTCGATTCTGAATCATGTACACCATTATCCAAGGCGCGATCCGATCGTGAATGACGGATGGATAAAGCTGTGTGATATACACAGTTCCATTGTCGTACTGGAGTTTGACCTTGGGGTTGCCCTTCTCGTAGCTGAGGAATCGCTCCAGTGACACATTCTCTTCGAGGACATAGCGGGTGGGCAGAGCAGACAGATCATCATCCTCTAGGTTCTGTACAATAAGATGGTATTGCTGGAGTGCAGTCGTATGAGCATGAGATTGAGTGATAACAATTATTGTACGTACATTTTGGAGTTGTTCAACTCTGGTTGGGATCCATGGAACTGATGTTGGTGGTGAAGGTGAATGTGCCTTCTTTGCCTTCTTCTTTACTCTGTGACCTTGGGAAGTTTGTGTTCTCTTGGATGAGACTTACATAGTAGCTGTGATGATGAGGACTCCTCGTTTCCAATGACATCAGCCATTATCTCTTTGTATGAATGAAGTGGTGGAGTGCAAGGTAATGAACCTCTTTGATTGACCTATCATCCAATCACCCACTCATGATTGATTTTATATGGCACAGGAACTTCAACCCCTCAACCAACAAACCTCACTTTTACTCACCACATCTTCTCAGGGAGTTTCAGGGATGATCAAATCAACCAAAAAGAGTAACAGTGTCCAAACAGGGAGTCGGGGAGTCGATGGTGGAAGAAATTTAAGAATCAAATAATTTCTTTCAATTATTAAAAAGTTTCCACCATTGACTCCCCAACCTCCCTATGTCGATACACATCCTCTTTTTCCCCAATTTCCCTATCCCTATTCCCCTCCCTTCCCTCCCCAAGTTGCGACAGATACACTTTATTATTCCCTCCCCATTCTCCTCCCCATCCTCCCCAAGTTTGTCGACACATACTCTTTATTATTATTATTATTATTATTATCCTCCCTAGACTCCCCAAAAGAAATATAAAAGAATATAAAAGAGTAATTGGAAGTAAATAATGGAAATCGCGAAGCGATTGTAATGTTGGATAGGGGGCCCCCTGAGTTATACACACACTGATGATGTACCATAATCCAAGTATGAATGAGAAGCATGTGAAGTAGATGAATGTTGGAAGAATGACCAAGACATAGTCCGATGCCATCTATGCTGTGATTGACAGGATGAGAGCATGAACCAATTTGGGCACCTCTATCTTTGTGACCAGTTTGTAGGTGATCCCAGTCAATTGGAATAGTCCCCATACTGCACACATTCCAAATATGAAGGCCAATATGTATATCATCACGCGTTGTTCCAAGTTGAAGAACTCCTTTGATTCTCGCCAGTCTGCAATTCGGGACACAGGGAACAATGTCACATTGTTGTTGCCTCCATTAATGCTTGGCATTGTGAAGTTGACACATACCATATCTTGTCCATTGAGTTGTGCATCTTGTAGAATGAACGAGGATGATGTACCGCCTCCACTACTGTATATCATTGCAATGTCTTTGAAAGGGAAGTCGGGATTTGATCGAGATATAACTTGACAGATTGTGAAGTTATTGACCTCACCTTGTATCCTGATTCCATCATTCTGTATGATGCCAACAAATGATCCACGGCGATTGGTGATTCCATACCTGATTGGAGACTTGTAGCTAAAGAATTCAGCACTGAGCGGCACTCGGGATGGTTGCAAAGCATATGTCTCCCTGCTGATCTCTGACAGAGTGATTAGCACACACGAGTCCGAGACAGAGTTGGTGTTGAATTGAATGTATCCATTGATTACTTGGTACTTCTTGGCCTCCATTGAACAAACTCTGACTTCTTGAGTTGGTACTGATGTTGATTGGAAGCATTGACTACCACCTCTACCTGAACAACTACATGCCACTCTCAACACTGTCCTTTACTCGTTGGAATTGACAACTTGATCGAATGATGTCAAACTTCATAATGTTGCTAAGTTCAGTGCTGAATCCATTGATGCTGAATGAGTAGCCATAGGATGATGTGTTTACAAATCCAAGGTTGCTGTACCATGATGGTTGAACCATAACACCAGGTAGCCATCGTCCAGGGGTCCATTTGAACTTGTTGGTCCACTTGTACAAGTCTGGGCTTGATTGACATTGGTCACACTCACCCTGGCTCATCTCGTTGAATCTGACTTGCCCCAATGGATTGGCGTAGTTGGACATCATGCAACCCATATTTGATTCGCATTTTGTTTGACTGTCTGCTGCGTCCCACCACCAGTACTCAGGACCTTGTGACAGACATTCATTCTTCCATTGAACAACAAATATCGGGTAGCAGCCCATTGGACTCTCGTATTCATATCCTTCACAGACATATTGATTAGATGGCTGATGGATCACTGAATGATTGCGAACACATAGACCATAGACTGATGTTGTGCCTTGTGTGGTCAACCTTGTACTACCAACTGTTTCAAATGTGAAGTAGTAATCATCTGAGCATGAACCAGATCCAGCAAGACACTTCTCCTTGGTGCATGGTACTGGCTTGACTTGACAGACCCATTCCAATCCTTTAGCATGACACTCTTCCGATGGGCAAAGTAGAGCAAACAAGCCATAAGTATCCTGAATGTTGACAACTTGATTGATTGAGCATATCTGTGACCTGGCATATACCATCAGTGAAAGTCATTGATGAAGTTTGATTGCACAACGATGGAGTGAGGTTTGCGTAACATCCAGTGTATGATCCTTTACATGCATATCCACAGTTTCCAGTACATTCTCCAAGGTCCGCACATTCCTCGGCATTGGCAGTGAAATTGTATTTGCCATTGGGTAGCATACACAATGGCTTGGACATTTCTTGACATGATGTTTGATTGAATCCATCCAATACATGACATAAAGTTTTGTTTGATGAGCAGTGTCCACAGAAGCTCATGTCCTTGCATCGGACACACTGACTTGATGTCTCGTAGTAATCGCACATCCTTGTTGAGTTGGGACAGATGCCATTGAGCATACAAGTGTCCTGAGTCTTGAACCCAAATGGTATTCCTATAACTGGTCCATAGTAGTCGGAGTAGATACTGTGTGGCAGAGGACAGTATTGATCAAGACAGTTCATGACCTGTACGGTGGACGTGCGGAGCTGGTAGACTGTGCGGTACGAGTTATCAATGCTGGATGTGCAATCAATCATTCTGAACGAGTTGTAAACAGAGTCGATGAGCAACTGGTTATCATTGGATGAGTTGGACAATCCAAGTTGGAGCTTGAGTGTGAAGATGACGGAGATTGGAGCATGTTGAAGGATACACAAGATGTAAGACTTGTCTTGCTGGATGAGCGGGATGATGCATTTGCGAGTGTGCACATTGCATGTTGACCCTGACGGACATTGATCATCACTATCACACCATGGCATCGTATATGCTTGATCTTTGCATTGTTGAAGTACTTGGATCAGTTCATATTGTGCCAAGTTGATGTCTAGGAGCGACAGTGCGCACTCACGATCAACTCGTGACCTTGATGTATGGTAGTCTTGGAGAACTGATTGAGTACATGAAGGACTGGTACATAGATTTAGCTCGGCGGTTTGGAATCCGGCAAGGCTGTCGATCGACATTGATATCTCGCGAGCTTGGCAACATTGTTTGAACTTGGCAGACTTGCTACAACAAGGATCATTGATGTAGTCTCCAGTATCCTCTTGACATTGATTGGATAGTGCAGTTATATTCTTTCGTTCCAACAATAATAGATTGGTTGCTTGATTCATACATGATATCCATTCATCACGGAATGAGAATAGATCCATATTGTATCGTTGAGTCATCAATTGAATATTATCATTCGTGGTTGACATGTCATGACAAACTGATGATCTGATCAACTATACCATCATACTTGTTGTAATCACACGATTGATTGAATTCACCGAACTCCAAGTCTAAGACATCATCCAACACCTAAGTTGATTGATTGAGTGGGTCAGTATGATTGAGTGATTGGAATGGTTCCAATGAGTGTTAACATACATTTCCATCAATGTCAATGAATACACCAGTGAATTGTAACCTGGCTTGGGATAGAGTGAGCAGGTTGTTGTAGTTGATAATGTAGTCATTGGTCCTTTGTGATAGTTGATATGTTGCTTGGAATCTTTGAGGACTGAATGTAGTGTCGTCAACGATCATCTCAATCTTGTTCAAGTCTTGTTCTGGATACAACTGTGTGAGGTATGGATCATGTATCATTGAAGGCGGTAAAGGCCAGAATGGAGTCAAGGTGTTCATTGGGTAACCAATCTGGAAGGGACCAGTTCGTTGTGCTCCAAAGTATGTTTCACCAATATCCACTGAACCTTCTTGATGTAGCAGTATGGCACCATTGTAGTACTTCAATGTGGATGCCACTCTATCATTTGTAAACACTGGTACCCTCCACGCATTTGCATGAGTAGTCAGCACACATGACAGATTAGTCATACTAACATCAAACTTGATGTACAGCACCTTGCTCTTCCCATTCTTCCAAGGTGTCATAGGCAATGTTCCCAAGAAATCATCTGAATAATAGTGTTTTACTGTGATCACGACAAGTGAGTCAGTGAAGATCGAGATAACGAAGTTGTTGGATACTTACATCCTATATAATATATTCTCCATTGATGATGCGTGATGTTGGGACTTGGATAGAGATCGGAGATGTAAATGTTTGATTTGATATCAGTTGCTCGACAATGTATTGAGAGTATAAAAGGTTGATCAACAATGAGTGTGTACATCAATGGTGAATCAGTTCTTAGAATGAGTTGTCCATTATCAATACATTGATGATCCTTTGTAATGTTGTTGCATGATGTCGTTACTTGTTTGTTTGATGATTGTGATGTGTTGTTATAAACAGGTGGAACAGGACTTGAATATAAAGTGAATGATATATTTCCAACATAGTCATACACCTCTGCTTGAAAGTATGATGTGGTACGAGTCCAATATGGTGCGACAGTGTCTGAAGGGCATATTATTGTATAAGAATGAGCATCTGAACTAACTCCACCTTGAACTGACAACATTATCGTCTCTGAAAAGTTTGTTCTACCAATCATCTCTGCTCTCAAATTAAAAGTTTGGAAGGAATTTGTTAGTTCCAGTTCCATGAGTTGGATAGATCAATGGAACATACCATTAATGCCTCTGGGATACTTAAGTTTGAAGGGAGGTATCTTAGAAAGATATTCTGGAATGGTTGTAGTCGTGGTAGGTTGACAACAATGGTCTTGTTTGCCTCCAATGTATACCATATATCATTTTGACATGGTCCATTATTACATGGTTTGCATGAAGGGTTGCCTGATACTGTCTTTCCACAATGAGTATGACTGGCATAGTCACAAGTACAATCGATATCCGACTGAGGTGCTGCTGGCAAAGTGAAGTTTGGACATGGTATTGATATATATGTATATAAGTCACGATCCAATTGAAGATCCAACAATGCATATTCATAATGTACTCCAAATATATTAGCTGACTTATTTTTCAGCCTTACTGAGTTTGTCATATTCCAACTCGCAAACACATTGTAGGAACTGCATAATACCAACAACATCAAAGTTGTTATCATTAACAACTTTGAACTTGTCATTTACTTGAATATATATATTATTATTATTATGATTATTTTATATATTATATATATCTCTAGACCTAGGTTATTTATAAACTGTATCCTTTCGTTTTTTTGGTATGTTTTAAGATCTTGCATTGGATATTTGAGTGTCATCCATCGTTAACGAAAATATCCCTACTCAAGATATTTTCGTAAACGATAATCATCTTAAAAACTAGATATTTATATATACCGATAAATAAGAAACGATCCATACAAATAGTTGTTGATGTTACTTCTTCTAATTTATATTATATGTTGATACATATAAATATTCAAGTCGAGTAACTAAAATGAAACTGAAGATGTATGAATGAGCAGGTGTTTTGAAACAACAACACCAAAGACCAAACCAGGTCCACATCTTGTTCAACAAAATATCTTATTTAATTTAAAGTAGTAGCTATATTGATAAAGAGAGAGAGTAAAGATATAATTATTATAGAAGTAGTAGTTTGTAGTAGTAGTAGTAGATATTAGGTTGGTTGTTAGTTATGAACTCGACAGCAGCATCTTCATCAATATCGAATAGTAATACTTCAGCTGCGACTATTACTCGTACATTGGGTTCGGTTAGTCCTCTGGGATTGCCTCGATCAGTGTCCAACTTAGAACGTGGACCACTGCACTCGAATCAACAACTTCAACTACACAACGCTACAAATGGAGGCGGAGGAGGCATCGCGAATATCGCATCTTCAAAGCCTGCAGCAACATCATCAACGACAACTGCAGCAGCAATATCATTATCATCACTAGGGCATTCAAACAACAACAATAATGCAGGTAGTAATGCACCTGTATTCAACATCACACAGAGTGAGTCACATCTACTTGTGAACATCAAAGATAACCCTGCATTCAAGCTGAAGTTTGTCAATGGTGTCAATGGAATGATGTCAATAGGTATGACTTGACATGACTTGCATTGCATGAGCAATGTATCACCTTCAACAACTCATATTGACGACGATATACTTGACATACATAACCAGAGATTGACTTTGCAGATGTAAAGACTCAAACATATAGTATACAATCAATTAAGAATTATACAAAGAGATACTACTTCAATGGTATCATCAACTCATTCGGTAAACAACCGACGATTTGCGAAGACTCTCATTTCTTATCAAACGACTTTACAACGGTTGGCGTAGCGGATGGCGTTGGATCATGGCGATCAGTTGGCGTGGACAGTGGAGAGTATAGCAGGGGCCTGATGCAGTATGCCCAGAGTATAGCGAACGAACATCCACACTACAACCCATATGAGTTGATCGAGCATGCCTATGTCAACACAACGAATCGAGTGCCAGGCAGCTCGACCATATGTATATTGAAGTTATCCGGATCACGACTCTACAGTGGTCTCGTTGGCGATTCATCCTTCATCGTCATCAGGAAGGACAAAGTGTCCTATCGTTCAAGGGAACAGACACACAGTATGTTGATGTAATTGTTGTTGATGGGTGACAACAGACAGAGCTGACACTAACATTATGCGACCATCTGTTCAGAACCAAACTGTCCATATCAACTTGGACAACAATCATTGGATCGACCTTCCAATGGCGATTACCAGGACCTTGAGGTACAGGAGAATGATATTGTAGTAATTGGCACAGATGGCTTCTTTGATAATGTGTTTGACGAGGAGATACTGGAGGCGATAAAGAAGGTCAATTCGATACAGAGCTTCTTCCAGCATCTGGCGGACACGGCGCGCAAGAAATCCATCGATCCCAATTCAAACACGCCACACGCAGTGCGCTACAACTCCAAAGGTGGCAAACCTGATGACATCACCGTCGGATGTTTCGTTATCACTGAGAAGGGCTCAGCGGCGAAGCAGCAGTAACACCTACCTACCTCCTTCCAATCCATTCATTCACTCATGTATAGTTTGCATACATAAACCAACAACCTTCTTCCTTCTTGTCTAATCAATTAATGTAGTTTTATTAGTTGAGTTTAAATGATGAGGTCATGTCTTCATTGTCCTTTGCAAGCAGTGTCAGCTGGATGAGCTGCTGTCGGGATATAAGGAGGCTGAGCCTGGAGATTGGTTATGGCATCCCAATCAATTCCCTCAAAGAATGGATGTTTCTTGATCGATGTAGAATCCAATCTCTTTCTCTCTGGTGCAATAAGACTATGAATGGTTGGAAGTTGATTAGTTGAATGTACATTATAGATCGAATGAATGAATATACATACTCTCTAATGAGGGACTCTGCAGACTTTGGTATATTCTTATTCTTGCTGAAGGCGGTGTTCAACAATCCTCTCCAGTTGCCAATGTTTTGTCTAATCTTTTGTTCAGTGGTGTCTGGCGACTCGACAAACAATGGACTACCAGTGAGTAGCTCGAATAGGATGCAGCCCAAAGACCAATAGTCACACAACTTGGAGTAGACTATGCCTTGGACAACTTCCACTGCCATATATTGTGGTGTACCAATATAACCTGTGTATGACTATGTTGTATGATTGATTAGTCAGTTAGCCATGTGTCAAAGGACCAAGGTCTTTGAACTCTGGATACATACATTGTTCGGATTTCTCAAGAATGATGAGAAGTTTGGAGGTGTATTGCCCAGCTCCTTGGTGTTGGAACTGAGATTGGCGATTTCTTTGCAACTGCCATAGTCACAGAGAACTAGATGACCGTCTCGGTTGATCAGTAGGTTCTCGGGCTTGATGTCACGATGCAGGAATCCCATGTTGTGGAATTGCTCAATGCAGACTAAGATCTCGGCGATATAGAACTGGATATCATCGTTGGTAAAAGGGTTGTTGTCACACAATCGTTTGTAGACATGATGGTTGAAATCTCCACCCGATATGTACTCCATCACCAAGTTGAAGCATCCCTCCTCCTTATCAATGAATGCATAATATAATTGAGGTGATCTCTGACTGGCCTTTTCATTATTAGCAATCATAGCGTCTCTTTCTCTCATTGCTCTTTTTTTCTACATTAAATTATAATAAATATTAATATTAGTTAATTTTCCAGAAAACATGGAAATAAATAATTAATAACTTACAACTAATTCTGTATCATATGCATCAAGATAAGGTATCTTCTTCAATGCATATATCATATCTGATTCTTTATGTTTGACAATGCAGACCTCGCCATAGGCACCATTGCCAACTTGTGATATAACTTCGAATGATTGACTGTCGACCCTATCGGCACCGTCGTGCTGGTAGAGGAACTCTTCCTCGACAGGCTCCACGGGGACATTTAATCTATTCTCCAAAGAATGAATGGAAATTGGTTCCATATTGTGAAGTATCTATATAATAATATATAATAATAATAATAATAATAAATAATATAATAATAATAATAATGGATATGTACTGTACTTTGAAAGTTGTTGTTGTGATGGGCGATGTAATGGATTGTTTGATGGATGGGGAGATGTAAGGCAGGGTTATACAATGGAATTCGGATGATGTTGACAATGAGTTGATATATATAGTATGATGATAATAATATTATATTCCCTTGGGGAGATGTGTGAAGTTAAGTTGTTGTAGTAGTAGTCAGAAGTGGAGGAGGTGGATAATGATTTACTGATTGTAATGGTTTGTCGTTGTAGGTTGTCTAATAAGTTTGTATTGCAATGGCAATAGTTGTGTTGTCCCTCCCTTTCTATCTGTCTGACGTCGCTCAGCTAATGTAATGTAATAGTACTACCGAATATTATAATTGACCGCCGTGTGTTTGAAGGGTGGAGCAAGTTGAATGTGTTACAACGAATCGATGATGATGGCTGTGGATGATGGGGCAGAGTCGTCAATCATGTGTGTGGACTCAATCAATCGAGAGATATGATGTATGATTGGTTGAATGGATGGATCGATGTCCTGTCAGTGAGTCTGTCTGTTATCGTCTCTCTGTTGTCTTTGTCCGAAAGATTGATTGATTGATTTGATTGATTTGATTTGTCACTGATGAGTAGAGTGTAGATTGATTGATTGAGTGTTTGAGTGTTTGAGTGTTGAGTGAGTGATAATGAGCTAACTCTCAGGTGTGATGTCAGAGCTAGAATGAATGTCTAGGTAATGTTATTGGACAATCTCGTAGAAAGGTTGGAAGTAGTGTTGTAGTTGATGGGATTGATGCAGGAATGCAAATGTCTACAATGTATCTCCGGATATATCAGCGAGCTCTCTCTCTAGTCCGTCTCTCTCAAACGCGCGCGCTCAATGCCATTTCTCACTCACCTGAGAGTGTTTGAGGCTGTTAGCGGTATGTTGTTCGATGAGTGTGCTCGGTCATTACGAATACACCCACCACCTTAGGTGTGAGTGTGAGTGTGAGTGAGAGTGTCGTGTTGTGTTGTCTTTGGTCTGTGTTGTGTTGGTCTGAACATGATTCCGCGCCATCTATCCTTCCATCCATCCGTGTGTTAGAGGCAATGGTGGTTGTGTAAGTGTGTGGCAGTGTGTTTGATTCCCTCACTCTTTCACACATTATCATCGATAGAGGGAATGATGTGTTACTTATTATACACTACTGTTGCCGAATCAACAACAACATCGATGTTGTTGTGTGTGAATCTGTTCACAGTGTTTGTGTGTGTATGAGAAGTCAGGACAATCACTACCCCCCATCTATTAATAATTCTTCATCCACATTCACCACTACCCTCTCTAGATGTGTGTAGTGTTACAAATATAGTAATATCATTATTTGTTATAACAACAACAACATGGATTAAATCAGTTAAGGTCATCGGATCAACATTATAAATAATTGTAATAACATCCATAAATAGTTACAGATACTATCTCTATGCCCACCACTTAATACATACATATACATATATGTGGTTTTATTACTAAAACGGGACCATATTCTTTGAACTGACTTGACTAACTGATGAGGCACAACAACTCTCTCTCTCTCTTCTGTGTATGATGTGGGTTGGTTGTATCACTTTGTGTAAGCATGCACTTAAGAAGAGAGTGTGTTGACAAGCGACAGGGAATATATATCTCCATGACCATCCAAGGAATGAAAGTGCGAGAATGAATGAAGGATCATTTATGATGCCGACGAGTGTTTCGAATCAAGTCATTAATACCTTATCGATGGTACTACAACTACTGACACTGCTAATGCTACTAATGCTACTGCTGCTGCCGTCGCCACTACTATTACTGTTGTTATTGTTGTCATCGACATCCAACAATGCTTGACATTGTTCTTGGAGAATACCTCGATAGACTTGGAAACGATGATTGATTGACTTTTGTGTGTGCACTTTGAGTGTGCCTCCAAGTCCACCAGCTTGAGGCTGTGGAGTACCAAAGACAACTCGTTTGATTCTACTGTGTACCAATGCCATTGAACACATGATACATGGCTCTCTAGTGATGTACAGACATAGGTCTGTGGCAAGGTATGCATCTTCCTCGCTGTTTGGATGTGTTTGAACGCCATTGCTTGTTGACAGATCGATTCCTGCCATCTTTAGTTTGGTAGCATGCACCGATTGATGTTGTTCGGCCAGTTTGTGAATGGCATTCATTGTGCAATGTGATAGTATTGGAGACAACAAGTGATTACATGTTGCTGCCATCTTGCCAGATGATGATGATGACGGTGACATATCGTGAGTGGCCACATGCACCTCATCGGTCTCTGGATCAACAATGACACATCCAACTGGATTGAATCCAAGACTCTTTGCAATGTTTGCTTGCTTGATGGCTCTCTTCATGAATGTTACCATGCGACTTAGTTCAATATCCTCCAAAGTTGGTACCAATGGAGTTGAGCTACATAGATGGAGCAATGTTAGTGATTGATCAATCAATCAGGGTTGTCCCATGCAACAACAGATGGAGGGCACTTACAAGAAGTGTGACTTGAACACTAGTGGCCATATCTTGTTCCATTCAGTCCATATTGCATGTGTCAATGGTGGGTATCGCGGAACATCTGCCGTGGTAACTGTAAGCTTATTGCGGTTCAACAGAGATATCAGATCTGATTGGAATGGTGTACACTCGCGGTATACCATATCATGGATTTGAGTTGTTCTTTTGATCGATTCATCACCATATGAAGAAGTAGACTTGTCATCGATATTCTGAGTTGAGGCCTCGTTGAAATAGTTCAACAAGTTTGGATATCTATCGTGTGGACAGAGTAACAGTTGTAACTTGATATTGTTCTTTTGGTGTTGTTGTTGTTGTTGCTTCTTATTCTTCTTTGCCTTGGTCTTCTTGTCATCCTCCTCATCACACACATTGTCATCAGCCTTGCTTGTATCGATACCATTGACATCGCAGGTTACATCGACATTAACTTTGACATTGACATTGACATTGACATTGACACTGCCATTACTGTTATCATCGTCAACAACAGGAGTGGATGTACTGGGTGCACTTGAGTCCTCTACCTTTCTCATCTTCTTCAAATGCTGTAATTCAACCAACAACTCCTTGTCCTTATCATGTTTCCCTATCAACTTATTAAGCTCTGCCAACAACTTATTGGCACTCTGAGGTTGTACCTCTGTTATATATATAGTGACTATCGAACTTGAGCGAGTAAGTAATTCGTTCATTCATTCATTCATTCTATCAATCATTCATTCAATCATACCTAGTTCCAATCCTCTCTCTTCATGATCACTCAACACAGGATGTAATGATGATCGTACATTTGCCAGTTCTTCAACAGATAGAGGATCAATCCCTACCTTCTGGTATGTATTTGTATTCATTCTACTTCTTTGTTTGTAATTTAAATGAACAAGAAGTTGGGTCAACATGATGTTTTATTCGACACAACCACGAAGCATCTAGATCATTCGAAGAATGTACACTCGATGTCTATCTGTATTGTATATCTATATGAATGACATTACAAACATCACAGTGGCAATGACTAGACATAGTAGGGCAGTTGGGTTGGCGCGTTTTGAGTGACCACTCGATGTCTTCTTACATCTCCAGGATAATGGCTTGCGATCTTTGAACTCGCATTGCTTAGTCTGCTCATTGCATACGCCGACTTGGCACTCGGGCTTGGTTGGCACACAGTCTCTGTCCTCCTCCACACAGCCAAGCTTGTCATCGCACTTGGCAACCTTACAGAACTTTGTGGTCGTGCAGTTTCTGGTGGTGGCGCCACATGTACCGTTGACGAGACATGAGCCCACTTGACACAGGCCGACATCTGGACAGGTCTTGTTCTGATACTTGCAGCCAGCACCAGCGACACAAGAGTCAATAGTGCACAGGTTGCCATCGTCGCATGTGTTGGTGACGAATGAGCATGAACCGTTGCTGCACTTGCCGACTGAGCATGCGTTGCCATTCGTGCACTGGCTGTTGGTGTCTACACATGTACCGTTGCTTGGATTGCAGGTCTGGCATCCCTTGCACACTATTGGCGTGTGGGTGATCACACCGGTGATTGGATCGCACGCGTCGATGGTGCAGGCCTTTCCATCACTCACATTGACATCACTGTACTCGCATTGTCCTGTTGAAGAGTTGCACTTGGCCACCTTGCACTTGGGTGTCTTGCTTGGATCACAACAGTTGCACTCGGTACTGTTCAACAACCTTGAAGTGCAGCCTGCGCCTGGTGCGCACGAGTAGATCGTGCAGGCAGCTGGGTTGTCAGGGAGACAGGTCTTGTCCTTGGACACACAACCACCCTTGTCCTTGTTACAGACATAGTCCATGCATGGATCGGATCCCGTGCAGTTGACCGGTGTGCTGAGGCACTCCTCAGTCTTGGCATCACAGACTGTGTTGGTGCAGACGTCTGAAGCTGCGCACTTGGGACTGTACTGGCAGCCACCCTCATTCGAGTTGCAACCCGTGGACACCTGACACTTGACCAATGGACAGGTCTTGGCACTAGTCTTGGTGCAACCAATGCCGTCACAGGCCCATGTGTAGCATGGATCGGATGCATTCTTTGCAGCGCATGGATCAAGATGAGTGCAGAACGATTGGAAGTTGGTCGAGTTGACGCCAGGAGTCAGTCTCGATGGACAAGCATCGATTGTGCATGCATTCTTATCATCACAGTCTCCACCAGCTTCGGCACTGCAGCATGCAGAACCATCACCATTGCACACTCCACAGTAGTCCACATGATCACAAACAAATTTGAAGTTGGCAACAATCTTCATCGTGGCCTCAGTCGTATGTCTATCACATTGGAAGATGTCCAGTGGATATAGATTGCCCTATTGATTCCGTAAGGGTCAGTATCAATCAAATCGATTGTTCCCAATCATTCAATTTCAAACATACTATTTGCAATCCTTGCAATCCTAAGAAGTTCCTTGACTGGTCCTCTGGATGATGAAGTCCACCCATGTCCAAGAACAAGTAGTTGTTCACATAGACCCAAACATCATCATCTCCTCTAACATTCAATCTCTCATTACCCTATGGTCACGTGTTCAATGTTAGTAATTCACTCCAATCTTGGTGCCATCGATGTGTACTTACAGTGTAGTTGAACAATACATTGATCCTCATACAGTAGTGGAAGTTTTGGTAGTTTCCAGCTGCATCTGTGTACACTCGGTACTGGGGATCGGTATCCCATCCTTTGAAATTGATGGGGAAAAAGTTGATTGATTTATCGAAGGTATATTGTCCAATGGTGTCATTGGTAAGGTTAAAGTTGATATTGTACAAAACAAACTTGTTGATGTTTGGCTTGTTGGCAAAGAATGTTGGGAATAATGCTGGATCAACTATACGACCATGTGTCAAGTCAGCATTTGCTGATAATTCTGGTACCTTTGATGTTGAGTTTAAAGAATCCTTAACTAATTTAGTTGTCAATCCTTCAACACTAAGATCAGGTTCAAAGTTGGTATTCTTTGAAGGGATATGATCAAAAATAGCAACTCCAATTGTGTATGAATCTATATATTAAATGTGAAAATTGATGAACATGTTAGGGTATTCTAGAAATAAATTAATATTATTACATACTAGGATAGTTGGGTTCTCCTGAAACATATAGGATTCCAAGAAGAATGGTAATTATTAATTTTGTAATTGAAGTCATTGTATCTGTGTAATAAATAAATAATAAAATAAACAAATCTTGTTAGGTCCGACTTAACATTATGACTTTTAAATAAATAAAAGGAGACCCTCAATCATCTTTACCTTTTCAAGAGATATTATAATGGAATAGAATGGCCTCACCTCAAGGTAAAGGACATCAAAGAATGATTACTAAGTTGAAAAACGACACCTCACCAGAAAGGCATTCATCGAATAATGACGGACAATCAATCAAAAAATCTCAAAAACGTGGTATTTTTCCCTTCAATGGGACTGATTGATCACTCTTGTCTATGATTGAATGTCTGAAAGTCAATGCAATAAATCAAGGTATAAGTAATAAGATGCAAAGAAAGGTAAAGTATGTTATAGTAAAGGTTTAATAAACTAAAATATATTGTTGTTTAAACTATTATTGTTGGCTTGGATACCTCAATCGCTGGAGCCATGTTTGTTGGGCTTGTGGACCTCATCATCTTTGTTGGAACTTGTTGTTGTCCATTCATCTTATTATTATTGTTGTTGTTGTTGTTGATTATATTGTTGTTGTTGTTGGTTGGTGTCGTTGTATGATGATGTTGATGATTTGGTAGAGTCTTGAAGGACTTGACTATACATGATAGACCACACATGTAGACTTTGTGATCAAAGACAGAGTTGGTGAGATAGTAGAATCCAGTTACTTGTTTATGACACATCTTGCATGTATGGTTCTTGGAGCGTGGAGATGAAGGGGACATTGATCGAGGCTTGATATTACCATAGGATTGAACAAACTTGTTGACAAAGTCGTCGTTGTAGAAGTGTTGTGCATGACATAAACGGATGTGTAGGTTACCAAACACAATGACAGCCTTCATCGAGCTCCACACAGGATCCATCAAACATTTCTCGACTACACAATCTTGGTACTCTGGGTCCTCTCGACGCAAAACTCTAGGGTCAACTCCACACTCCATCTCACCCAACTTTCTCTTTAGACTCTTTATATCCGATCTTATCTCCTCTGTCTCTTGTTTTGTAGTATATTCATTATTATTGTAGTTGATGTTGGAGTCGACATTTGATATAGTTATAGCCAATTGTAGACATTGGTTCATGTGTGGTATCCATTGTATCTGTTTGATATTCTGTTGACAGAATGTGCACTTGCTAGACAAGTTATTGTCATAGTTGTCCAAGATTGCATCCTTTGTTATATTTATATTATTGTTGTTGACTTTGTTTTCCTTGTTATCCTTGTTGTCCTTGCTGCTTGTGTTGTGATTGTAATTTTTTAATATTAATGTTGTTGTTGTAGATGATGATTTGAGTTGTTGTTGTTGTGGTTGTTCTTGTGATTGATCAATTGTTGGGTTTGGTAATTCCTCAACTTCCTCTGTGATTGGCTCCATCATAGTAATATTAATAATTTTAAAACAAAATAAAAAAATTTTAAAATAAATAATCTCTATCTGTATAAAATTATTTGATGATTGATTGTTAGGGTATTTGTTATTTGATCGAATACAACATCAACCACATCTAATAATAATAATAACGTACCAATATTTGTATTCCAAACCTGTCCCCATCATAAACGGACATTCGGTTAGGCAAACTGACGAACAAAAAAGTGTTTGGATGTGGGGTGTTTTTACAACTTTGTCCCGAAATAGGAAAAATGGCCTTAAAGGGCAAGTTATACTTCGTTGCCTCACACTCAAGGGATGGTTGGAGAGATAAATAGATAGCAGTTGGTATCTATCGTTCTAGACTCTGTGCCATGTCCTGCAAGTACACGCAACCGTACATTCGATAGCACGCAGTTGGATTGGGAAGTATCTGTGACAGGCTAGCAGACATGATTGATTGAATGAATGAAAGATCCAATGATTACTTGATTACTGGGATACATGGCATCATGACAATGCCTTACCGTTTCTGATTGTTTGTGAAACAAACAACCATCAACGAAGACAGACACCATCAATCACAACCAACTAATGTTGTTGCTGTTTAATTGTCTTCAACTCTGTATCGGCATGTACACTGCTTATATGCCTCTTTGCCAGTACCTTGGTATAAAAGATGAAGCCACCAATGCAACTGGCAATCAGGATCACACCAGCAACAGACATTGGAATGTAGAACTTGTAGGACTTCCAAAATGGCGGGTCGTCGATATTGAGTGAGCCGCGCACCATCAGCATATCCAGATTGCTCTGGCGACAGAGGACATTGGGTGGACATTGCAGCGTCCAGTTGCCCTGTGCACCAGTTCGTTGGATCTCGCCTCCCTCCAAAGGACAGTCGAAATAACAATTGTCGACTTTGATCTGAAGCACTCCGCCAGGTGTGCATCGTGTGTTGAAGCACTTGGGCACGGTCTGATTCTGTCTGGTGTTGGTAAGCATGAAGCACTTGGCATTGACGTCGCCCAACTGTGCCTCGCACAGATTATGCTCTCCATCCGTTTGTATGAATGGACAGTAATCGGTATTCTTTGGACCGCCCAGTGTTGGATCAGCAAAGTGTTGATAATAATCTGGAATATATTCATTACCATAATACTTTAGATTACAAAAGCCGATTGCCTTTGCATCATGAGTACAATAAGAGTAGTTCTTTAGCCATGTCGTGTTCTGTTTACCTGATTGATGTGAGTGGTGAGTGTGTTAGTTTGGTGTGATTGTGATGACAGCCCAGCCTAGTCTAGTCCAGTCCAGTCCAAGCATACCTTTGGGCTCGGTACAAAATAGACCTCTCTGTTTGCCTTTGTACCAGCTCTCGCAACGGTTTTCCAGGAATTGACATCCTTGTCCATGTCCCCAATGCATCTGTTGTACCATATTCGTATCCACGAGATACCATCCCATATCCTGAAGCAATGCCAGTGTGAGTACGGATATCACCATGTCTGGAGAATCCTGTGATGTCATGATCTCTGAGTACGCCACTCTAGACTCCCAATGTGCGCCTAATATGATGATTGGAGTTAAGTTAATGTTGTTGTCCTCTCCTCCTAATAGATTGTACTACTTACAAATCATGTTTGGATTGGCAGTGTTGCGAATTGTATCATTGCAGCCCATTTCCAACTCCATTCCATCGCATTCGGGACAGTCATAGAAGGTACGTGCCGCACGAGTGACTTGAGGAGTGGAAATCTTTGATGAGTTCTGGTAGGATGTGACATTGCTTGGATTGACGCCATAGGACTTGCTGTGAATGATTGGCTGTTCATGTGGGTTTCCATCACGATCCAGATAGCTTGAGTACAAGTTTGGCGTAAAGCCCATCACGTGAATCATCTCGTGCAGTGTGACGACGACCGCCTTCTCAAAGGTGTACTGTGAGCTTGTGTTGGCAAAGTTGTTCATCTGGTTGGGATTGAGGTTGATGTAGCCAGCTAGCGGGCGACCAAAGATTGTGCGCTTGTAGGAGGTCGTATCGTAGTCGAAGTTGCAAGGCATGCCAAAGGCCATGGTGTCGACCTTGGGAAAGGGCCGAGCTGTTAAATAGAGGAGCAGGTCGGCGTCCTCGATTCCCTCGTCGATGTAGTGACGATGGATGTAGATGCCATTACCATCGCCACACTGTCCATTCTTCAGGTCGTAGATGCCTTTGTTGAGGCGCAGTGGTCCTTCACGTGTGGGTATGCGGAGCAGGTGCGACATGATGGAGATGGCCGTGGGCATGACGTCACGCATCAGATACTGCCGCGTGAGGGGCAGCAGGATGTCCGTCTGCTGGCAATCAATGTAGCAGTTCCAGGTGGGAGTCGTGAAGTTGTATTTCTTGCGACAGTCAGGTGACGCATCGTTCGTCGGACCAAAGTACAGCCGCTGG